GTCAACCTGGATGATTTTCCACCTCACAGAAGAAGCTATCGTAGTCTCAACTCCGAAGCAGATGCAATGCCCATGGAGGACTTAGAACCTGTCTACACGGAGATGCGTAAGCCTCGTCTTTCGAAGAAATCTTTTAAAATTTAATTTCATAATTATAGTTTTGTTTAGGTTTTATAATAACAACAATTATATTTTAATTTTTATTTTATATATTGTACACTTTAAATTTTAATTGTATCTTTGTAGTTTACTTAGTGTTTTATAAGTTTTAGATTAATTTAACCATTTAGTGTTTCAATAGGATTTTTAACCCTTATCGAAACACTTAACGGGGGAGGTTTGTTAGACCCTGTATATTTTGTTAGACCCTGTATATTTATTTGGTAACAGTTTGTTTTTCTAATGTATATTAAATAATCTTTTAGTCGTGATCTTTAGGGTTACAAAAAATAAGTCCATAAATTAAATTAATAAAAAGTTCAAATAGTTCAAGTAATTATTACGCATCATTAGATATTTCATAATTTCAAAGACAGCGCTTCTATTTTTCCATTAACTGATAAAAATTATCGCGCTGTATAAAAGCTCATTTTTAGAAACCAAAAGAACACTTACTATTTACTTTTCACTCACTTAACTTAAGATTTAACTTCTCGAATATTTATTATTTAATTATTATGTAAAACTTATTTACAATAAACGATCTTACGAGTCAAAGTGTTAGTTCTTCGTATCCCAACAATTTTTACAACTTTAACGTGGATTATCCCAACAATAATGCATCGATGAACTTAATTTGACTTTTGGCGACAAAGTGCCATAAAAAACAAGTGAATATCGGTGGTGTTCAGAATTTAATCGTGGCCGTGGTTCGCTCACCGACGAATTTCGTGAAGGTTGTCCAAAATCACTCGTTCTTGCAAAAAACATTGATGCTGTGCGTGAACTGGTAATGCAAGATCATCATATGACATATCGTGAGATTGGGTCATCCTTGGGCATTAGTGGGACCAGCATACATTCAATATTAAATGAACATTTGGCCTTCAGAAAAAATTGTTACCGTTGGATCCCACATAATTTGAGAATCGATCAAAAAAGGTCTCGGGTCTAGTGGTCAAAAGAAATGCTTAAAAAATACGATGGCGGTGCTTCAAAACATGTTCATGACATTGTAACAGGTGACGACTCATGGATCTATGCGTATGAACCTGAAAGTAAACAGCAGTCGACTGTGTGGGTCTTTGGAAGCGATTGATGCGTTCAAAATGCATGTTTTGGAGGTGCCTCAATCGGAGTGAAAAAAATGCTTCGAAAATTGGTTCAAGTGCATGCAAAAGTGTGTCGATCTTCATGGAGAATATTTTAAAAAACAATAAAGCCATGTACGATGATTAATTGTTGTTTGTTTTCTCTATTCCCGAAATATAAAAGGCAACCCTCGTATAAACAAATTGGGTCCCAATTCCCGAAAAAGCACGTACATTTCCTTCTTGTTTGATCGTCCCACACAATGTTTTTATAACCGATTGCTTAATGATCGATATGTCGGCACCACTATCAATAATGTACGTAAAAGACTTAGCCTGGTTACTGCACAATAAGGTAGCTATGGGTGTCGAATACAAATGACGTCATTTTTTTATGACAAAAGCTTTTTTAGGCTTACCATTCTTAAGCCAACAATTAATATCAGTGTATCCAATTCTTTTACAAAAATCACACGTAACAACTTTGTTAGGGGTTGACGTACTATGAGAGGTTGATTCGCTGGCTTTTTCATCTTTCTGAGCCAATCTGCACTTAGCCTGATGGTGTCCAAGCCGGCCGCATTTAAAACATTTTGAAGTCGACGCGACCTTCGGATTATGTCTTTCTTTTGAATTGCGTTCGATTCCTCGGGTTTCAGTACTCTTTTTAGTTAATCTTGCACGGCGGGCATCAAACTCGCTGAGTAAGACCAATAATTCACGTTCAGACGCTGGTTTTTGCACACGGATTGCAGAACAGGCTTCAATATGTTCTAAACCAAATTCTACCATGCTTAGAATTATATTCCATGGCAACTGACTATAAAACCGATTTATTGCTCTTAGTTTTTGATTCCCATAATCAGACAAAGAATCACAATCTCTACTATTAAGATTTGCAGCAATGTGTGCACGTGTTCCAGGTGTTTCACGATCGGGAAATGCCACAGAAATATCGTTGCAAAAATTATCCCATGTTCTCGCAAGGGGTCTCCAGTCACGATAATAACGATATCCTCGATGACGCAATGCATTCCCGGCTTTGCTTATCATCAACATTTCGCTGACGTTGAGTTCTTTTTTTAATTTTGAACAATCTTCAAGCCATTCGTGGATTGGGTATGTACTTTTGTCAGGGTCATAGCTCGTGATCTCAAAAGAGCGGACTTGCGCACTCCAAGTGTCTATTCCTGAATCACTAGGCGTTGGCTGCGATGGTGACGTCACGTTCTTTGTGTGATTTGCTAATTGAGCAATTTGTTGTTGTTGAGCTGCTACTAAACTGATAAGAGTTTCCTGCCACGGAGCCCTGGGACGTTTGGCACTGGGTGGTAAAGCTTCCAACTCTTCTAAGTCACCGTTCTCAATGTCACTCACAATTTCACCTTCTTCGGCCATTTTATAGTTTTTTTTTTTTGAAAAGTCAATTTAAACACAAATAGCACTAGACAATAGGCTATCCCACTTCTGATAATAACTAAACGAGGGTGATTTAACCCTAAATGATACAATAACGACGATTTGACTATTTATTGTGCATAATTGCGTAACAAGTTTAATTGAATCTCTCGCTGCCCAGAACCAAACTCTACTGGCTGCAAAAGCATCACGCGCGTCCTACTTTCCACTCGTCTGTCCTGACTCAGCATTACAGAAACGCTAACATATATATATGTAACGGAACTCGTTGAGTGACAAGTTGGTTGCCTAAACAAGCTTGGGTGGAATCAAGGGCGGTGCCAGGTATTTCGGGGAAGTACCGAATGCGAAATGATGAGCAAGCAATGATGGCTTTTGCATCGTAATAGAAAGAGGGACAGGCATTCAGTTTGAGATCCCTGACTTGGCACGACCAGTGGGATCACCTTCATTCTACGAGTTACCAAAATAGACATTAGTTTAGTGCTTAATAATTAGTTTATGTTAATACTTAGTTGAGTATAGTTAGTTTTGTATGTGTGTGATAAAATAAACAATATAAACGTTAATAAATAAACATTGTGTGGATACTATAAACAATTATTAAGTATGGCAGACCTTGGAGAACAAGGGGATGCAACCCCGACATATATAACTATAGTTATTATTATTTGTCCAAAAAAAACACTTCTATACCGTTTACAAAAACGTTTTGTTGTATTAATAAAACCCTACTTGTATTATTTATAGAAATTTTGTAAATTTTACAAATCCCTTTTCGTTTAAAATAAAACTTTTTTTATAATAATAATAAAATGTATGTAAATCTAACAACAAATTAATTGTTAATTCAATAAACTATTTTCATTGTAGCAATGGCCACATTTTCAACCTACTGTTGGGTGTTGGGTAGTTTTTTTTAAATAATTGCAAGGCATCAAAACAAATTATTTATTATATATATATTATATGATGTACAAAATAAAAAAAATATTAACTCACTTTTTAAACAACAAGTCGCTTCGTTTATAGAATAGACCTTAAATATTTATTTTAGAAAACGTCGGAATTTTAATTTTCTTAGTGATCTTTTTGATACTTTTATCATGCTAGATTTTACCACACTTCACTCGCACAAGTGAAATCAATAAGATTATAACACAGACTGTGGATTATAAAGTTATGTTCACCAAGGAGAGCGCTGGCCCTTTCCCCCTCTTTTTAAGGGAAATAACAAATTTTGTTACCATTGCAAAACAATAATAAATATAAAAAAAGTCTTTTTATAGCAATACAATTTTTTTTGTTATTATTCTTAACGTAAGCCATTAACAAAGATTTTCTAATTAAATTAATTTGAATTACAACGATAGTAATTTAAAAAAGACAAATATGCCATAGTAAAATGAACAAATTTTGCTATAACAACTGCGCATTACTTTATGTAAGCGCAATTCACACACAACTATAGATTTAACAAAAACATTTTAAGTTCGACAAAGATTTAATATAAACATAAAGTATTTCTTATTGCCATGACAATATGATAACAACTATTACTTTGTTGGATGAACATTTTTTTATAAAAGCTCAACATTGCTGCTTTATTATAGTAAATGAGAATTTAATTAACAGTAAAAAAAGTTTATTCTGTAAATAAAAATAATCTCATTACTTTGACAAGTCGTAGGTTTTTGTCCCAATAAGACACTGAAAATTTAATAAAAAAGGTACCTTAGGTGGTACACTTTTTGCAGCCATTACAATTTTCAATTTAAGTTAAATAATATTATTTTATTAATCGCTTACAAAATTAGTTTCATTATCAGTGCATGTACATTTTTTAAGTGTATACTTTATCTACGACGAACACAAAACAGAATTTACTTTATAAAAATTTGACATTTGTCAACTGTCACCCGAATTTCACCTCACTTTTTCCAAATTTATAATAAAGCTAACTTCAGCCCGTGACTAAAATGTCAATATATTTGGAATATGAGACGTACACGTGAACTATTTAAAATTGAAACTCAGCAAATTGTAAGCTTATGTATGGTATAAAAGTGAATGCATACAGTTTAAGAGCATTAATTAAGACTACCTACTTTAATTTATAAATTAAATTTGCAAAATAAAGAAAATCCTAATGGACAGCGACAACCGCTCGAGAGCAATAAAATGGCCAAAATTCATTTATAAAAAAACTAATAAAGATATCGTTATGAAATTTTAACACTATAATTGTGTGGTATTAATCCTGATTCTTTACAAAATTTAATTAAATTGATCCAGTGGCGGGGATTTTATAAGGGTTTAAATCATTAAAATTATTTTAAAAACTATTAAAAACCTTCATTTTTTACAAATACATTTTTTAATAAGGCTTTAGATTAGAATCAAATTTTATTTTATGTTTACATATTTTCAAGAACAAATCAAACTTTTTTCTTCTGGAACATCAGGACACGATTCGGCATTTTCGCAGGTTTGATTGCCATTTTCGTCAACACACCGACAATAACCTTTCCTGCACTGCTTTGGATCATAATTTCCATTTTCCAAACACTTTGGAACCTCCGATTTTCGTGCTAAACTAGCAGCCCTAGCACACTCTAAAATTTAAATATTAATCCCGGCGCATTCGCCATTTTTGACAATACTTACTGCAATTCATTTTGTCGGAAAGCGGGTCAATTTTTTCTATTGAGTTTAAAATGTTACCTTCGATATCAACGCATGTTTTACTAAAAATATTTTTATTAGCTTGTTAAGGTATTAGTATTTCCATTTGAAGAGTTTTCATAGAATGTCTTCAAAATTTATCACACTCATTCACATAATTTCAGATTTTTTACATCACAGGTGGCTTTGGAAATTGATTATTGCAGTTTATTTTTATGAAATTCTCAAAAACCAATTTTTAACACTTTTTAAATGTCATTTCAAATTTTGTGCTGCCAACTTAAGAAACACAAAAATATGACAGTTTTAAACGTTAATTTTGCCGTTATAACAATAAATAAACAATTTATATTGTTACTTATTTACCTTTTATGTTCTTATTAGTTTTTAATAATACTTGGATTTGTTATAAAGTATTAATTTGTTAATTAAAATGCAACGTTTTATTTTTACTACATTGGCACCGCCGAAGTTGCTGCCACGGCCTACTGTTATTATTTATATTTATTTATCAAACTCTTCAAATGTAAATAGTTTTAATAAAGCATTTACTGAGTTTTGTTTTCTTGTAGAGAAGCGTATGTTCCATCCAAATCACATTTAGGAAAATCAACGGAAAGTATATTGCTATAACCTGCTTTTTTGTATTCCAAAGTTTGATTTAAAGCATCTAAATATCTTCTTTCGCATTCCTTATAGAATCCGTTTGGGTGAATGGTTTTATTGACTGAAAATGTAAAATAGTTAGCCAAATAAAGTAGGTACCTACATGTTACTTGGTGATTACAGCAATCTAATTTGCTGATTTCATCAACGGAACGAATTTCGGCATCAAAATCCGGGGTACCGTCAAATATATCAACGCATAAACATTTATTTCCTATACATTGCAACCTGTCAAAATTCCCATTGGCGGCGCAACGAAAATGCTCATGAGGGGCTATTTTGTCGAATATTTCCAAGGCTTCATGATAGTTTCTTGAACATTCTATAAAAATGTCAAATATTTATCGATATTTAAATTGATACAGTTTTACTTACGACACTTTAACTTGAGTAGGGGAATGTCGGTAAATTCTGACAAGCCAAAAATTCTTTCTCCATTTTTATTCACACAATAGCATCTACAAATATTTAATAATTGTTATGTAAACAAATCTTGTTTTTGTTATTTCATTTTTACAATATGCAATAGTTAATTTTATTTGGTGATATTAATATATTACTTATGTAAATTAATATTCACATTTCCGCAATAATGCAATTTTATAAATTTATTTATAGAAGGTATATTATATTATGTATTAATTATAATTAATTAACACTTAATTAAGTGTTAATTAATTAATTGTATAGAGCGACATCTATACAAAAATAGAGTAATAAAAAAAAGTTGTTAAACAGTTTAAATTCGACATTTAGGCAGTTTTTTACAGTAAAAGTAAAGAGGATGTTTTATGGGTATTAAACCCGAAATTTGTAATGCTTTATTGGCAAAAACAATTGTTAACTGCCGACTAAATCAAAAGGTTAGTACAAACTTTTCCAATATTGGTGTCAAGAAGCTATTTAATAATTTTGTGTTTTTGTATTGATGTAATAAAATAATTTTCAAGTTTTAGTATTATTTCACAAGAAGGCCACTTTATCTTGACGCTTGTATGATATTTGACAGCTGTCACTACCGTGTCTAAAATGTCATAAAGTCGCTGCTTGTGTGTAATGTGTACCTATTTAAAAGATCAATTGGTATCATGAAAAAACCTATGAAAATGGGGGTTAAAGGTGAAAGTAGAAAAAATAATGAATTAATTTTTTAAATATGATACGCTAAAGTATCGGGTTTTCGCAACGCGCGCGCCATCTGGTGGACTTCAAAAGCATTGCGTGAATTTAAGAATGGTCAAAAATACATTTAAAGCATACGAACTGTACATCATTTTTAAATAAATATGTAGTTTTTTCACAAAAGCGGAAGGCAGAAGTCTTACTCGACAAATTTTGTTCAATTGCACAGCTAAATCGCGCACGTTATTTGTGTTTTACGTCGCAAGGAAAAAACTAAAAATCTGGTTTAGTACTCGATTTCGATTGATTATTCTTTATATCATTGATTAAGAAACTCAACGCTTAAATGCTTATATAGTTACATTAGTGTGTGCATTTTATCTAAGGGATCATCGTGAATTATTGTGTTTAATTGTAAATAAAATTCAAGAACTAAATCGTTGCATTTTCATGTTTTGCCAAAGGATCCAATTCGGTAAGTACATTTGTTGGTGCAGAATTAACTAATGATAACTTTACCTAATATAATTTATATTTAAGTTTGGACGTTTTTAAGAAATTGGTAAAAAATAATTTTTGCACAAACATAACTTTAAAATCAACCATTTTTATATTTCTCTAAAAAACGCCTACAACTGCATTTTAAACAACAAAATATACCTACGATTTCATGGCAACATAATATTATATATAATACATAATACCTATAATGGTATTTTACCGTTGAGTGGAGACTTTCTTAATCAACGCTTTTAATAATGCTTAAATTATTGCTGTTTAAATTTAGACGACTTATTTGTTTGACGATTTTTACTGAATTGAAAACACTAGTTTGACAGCTGATTATCAAAAGTTGTACTTTTGTTACGATGATAACAGCCGAGTGGTGGCGCTACTAGCTAGATGGTTAAAAATAACATTACGCTTGTCCTGGTATGCATTGGTAAGTTTCGTAAAACCCCTGTCCATCACAATTCGGTCGAACTTCCAAAGTTCCAATTGTGCCTTCTTTCTTTCTTGCATCAAAATTTGCTTGTTTTTCGTAACAACTAGTTTTCACTAAAAAAAAATCTGGAATTGGGGACATTTTTTTATTTGAAAAAAGACTCACTTGTTTGACATTTTCCATCAATACACGAAAGTCCTGGCCCACAAATATTGGATATTAAACTCCCGTCTAGACTTCCACTACTGCATCTAGCATTTATTTCTGAAAATATTTGTTAGAGGTGTAAAATATTTAACGGTCTAAAAATATACTTAAATAAGTAAAACACTGCTTGCAGCAGTTACAAGTATCGGCAGACGGTAAATATATCCCGTAATTAGTTGAGTTTTGAATATCGCAATCAGTAGGTTTATCATCGCAAACTACATTCTGAAAAAATAAAATGATCATTATTAACAAAAAAATGATTCACCTACTTGTTGTAGCTCACTCTACAATAACTTGAGCACAAAATATTTTCATTTTGAGCCAACGCATAACATAAATTTATTAGTAAAATTACTTTTAAAATCATTTTGTTCATTAAAACTATTTTAAAATGTTGCACTAAATTTATATCTGGGATTAATATTAATCGATTAGATATAAGATACGATATCTTTTAAAATAAATAATATAAAATTAATATTTGAACGCTGCTAAATATTTAAATTATTTCTAGCCATCTAGTGACTAATAGAAAAAGTATAAAAAACATTATGATAAAAGGAACCCTGTAATTTAAAAACAGCAATTTGTTGGTAAAGTAGAAAGTTGTAACGTCAATCTTTTTGGGTTCCGGTTGTGCGTATTGCAAGTGAATTTCTTTGTAAATTTATTCAATTATACCTAAATTAAATCTATAAGTTAGTAGTAATGGCAGACTTAGACGATTTTTTTGCAAAAAAAGACCGTAAGAAATCAAAAACCACCAAGAAGTTTTCAACCACTGATGAAGTTGCGAAAAAATTAGAAGACACTGCGAAAAAGACTGAGAAACTGAAGAAGGAGAGGATACCCGAAGGGGACGAACAAAACGCGCCAGTTCACGTAAGTCACAACCCGTAAATAACCCCATTATAAATAACAAGTGACGTGTGTATGTCATTGGGTTCATTTTGGGAGGTTAAGTAGCCATATTGCAAATATTTTTCGCAGGATCAAGACGAATGGAAGGACTTCGAGGAGGAAAAGAAGGACTATTCCGGCCTGAAAATCGGAAACCTGACAATTAACCCCAACGCTGAAGCCAGCCAAGGCACTACGGAAACCAGCACCGAACAGCAGTCGGGGTACGATGAAACCCACCCCGATGTGGGCGAGAAGAAAGCCCAAGGACCGTGGAAACGCATCGACAGCGATCAGCAACAAGAGGAACCCAAACCCGAAAAGAAACCCGAACCTGTGCAGCAGGAACAACCCAAGATCAGGGGTGCTTATGTGCCCCCAAGTATGAGGAACCCGTCGGCACAACCGCAGGTTCAGAATAACCGCTTTAAGTCCAAAGCTGCCCCAGATATTCACAACGATGAATATTTTCCTTCTTTATCTAAAACTAGTGACCATAGGAAGTAAGTTATTAGTTTTTAGGTTTATTGGTGTTTTAGATAATTTTGTATTGTTTATGTTCTCTTGCAGAAACCGTACTGAAGGTTCTTTTGAAGTGGTGCAACACAACCGATCAAGTAATTATAGACAGGCTGAGCAGTCTAAAATAAGTTCCGGGCAGGGCCCCAAATTGAATCTTGGAAACCGTTACAATACTCTGAGTAACGACAGCTAGTGTTTTGAGGGCTTTCTAGAGACACGTTTGTAATAAGTGGTGGCCATGTTGATTTACAAAACTGTTGTTTAGTATTTTCCGATATGTAAAACCAGTCAAATCACTCCGGTAAATAAATATATCTTATGTATTACTTTTAATCTTAGGTTTTGTCTTGTAAATTTTTGTTAAGCATTAAAATCTACATACCAAACTCAGTTTGAAAAGATATTTTCAAAAGTTCAAAACATTTTTTATAAATAAATATTGATTTCCATATTTTGCGTGTTATTTAATTAATTTCCTTATAGTAATTTAATTTATATAAAATGTACATGGATGGGGTTACAAAAAAGAAAAACAAATTATTTTACATTTCACAGAAGATTTTATACCTGATAAAAGTTTTTGCTTGATTTCAAACCCCCAGAATATGCAACACGTCATTTTTATTGTCTATGGTTAATTTGTAATTTTGATTTTTAATATTGGTACTCTGACTTCATGAAACCTAAAATAAAAAAATCGTAAAATGCTCTATAAATTTAGAAATACAAATAAAACTTAAAAAACCTAAAAAAATTGGCACTTTCCTATGAAGCGCCATTTTTGGTCAGTTTTTTCATTTGTCATTTCTCAGAAAATTTCATTTTTGAGAAAAGTTTTTGCTTGAAAATAAATCCCCAGAATATGCAATACCTACATCATTTTTATTGTCTACGGTAAATTTGCAATTTTGATTTTTCTGAAAATTTTGGACTGATTTTTTTATTTTAAAATTAATTTTTGTTGACATTTCTCAGAAAATTTTATTCTTGATAAAAGTTTTTGCTAGATTTCAAACCCATAGAATATGCAATATATCGTTTTTATTGTCTACGGTAAATTTGCAATTTTGATTTTTCTGAAAATTGTTTATAAATTTTTTTGTTAAAAATAATATTTTGTCAGTTTTCGTTAATTTCTTAGAAAATTTCATTCCTAATAAAAGTTTTTGCTTGATTTGAAACAATCAGAATATGTAATTAAGCAAAAATAAAGAATTTGTAACAATTTTTTGATCAAAATCATTTTTTGACAGTTTTTATTTATTTGTCATTTCGCAGAAAATTTCATTCTTGATAAAAGTTTTTGCTTGATTTTAAACCCCCAGAATATGCCACACATCATTTTTATTGTTTATGGTTAATTTGCAATTTTAATTTTTCTGAAAAGTTTGGACTTATTTTTTTATTTAAAAATTATTTTTTGTTGTCATTTCTCATAAATTTTTATTCTTGATAAAAGTTTTTAGTTGATTTCAAACCCATAGAATATGCAATACATAATTTTTATTGTCTACAGTAAATTTGCTATTTTGATTTTTCTGAAAATTTTTTACTAATTTTTTTTTGTTAAAAATAATTTTTTGTCAGTTTTCGTTCATTTCTTAGAAGATTTCATTCCTAATAAGAGTTTTTGCTTGATTTGAAACAACCAGAATATGTGACACAACATTTTTTTTATTAAAATCATTTTCTGACATTTTTTGTTTATTTGTCATTTCTCAGAAAATTTCATTCTTGATAAAAGTTTTTGCTTAATTTAAAACCCCCTAAATATGCAACACGATATTTTTATTGTTTATGGTTAATTTTCAATTTTAATTTATCTAAAACATTTTTTGATAAAATCATTTTAATAATAATAATAATAATAGTTATTTATTGATTATCATAATTATAAAAATAACAACAATCAAAAGGCCATTGACCTAGGTCCTTCAGCCAAGGTTAATTAAAATATAAATGTAATGTATTTGCACGTGTTAGAAACCAAAATTGAAATTAGATAGAGTGCAAAAAACAAAAAAAAAAAACATAGTATTGTGTATGTAAAGAATAAATTAGATATATATATATATATATGTATATGTGTTCATTCGTCAGCTAGAGCTTGCATTTCTTCAACCAGGGATCTTGTAGGATGTTTGATTCGGGTGGGAGCTCTCTCTAGGTCTCTTGGAATCAGTACTGGTGCCAGAAACTGGTAAGCGGCTTCTCTCTGGGCAAAGTTGGTGGATAGTTTTATTAATCTCGCAGAAATTGGGCTGATTTTAAATTTTTCATAAAGGAGGGTGTTGGGAGGGTTGTGGAGTGGATTTCCTGGGTGCCTCATTTTGGTAATTTTTCTCATTGCAGAAGTCTCAGCCACATTCAGGATATTTAAGAAATCATTTTATTTTCTTTTAAACAAATGAATGTTATTATCACGGCAGGTAGAAATCTCTCAAAAATTCTCCATGGATTTCATTAATTTTTAGTTGTATATGAAAAAGTATAAAAAATGTATAGAAACAATAACTTTTGAGAAATAAACCGGACGAAAATTCTAAACTTAATTAAAAGACAAACAGATTTTTTTAAAACAAGATTTATTTATAATTTTTTATAAAATTTAATTCACAGTGGGCCATTTATAATAGATCGTCAAGACTGGAATCTTCACTAAAATATTATTTTCTGATAATCTCATATTTCCAATTCAAATCTTGTCTTAAGTACCTGACAACATACTCTAACCCGTGACTTCCCTTGCTGCTGTAATCTTCCAAAGTATCTCGATTTAAATATTCCGCTTTAAAGTTTTTAATTACGTAAATCCACACTTTAACCACTTCCTTATCGCCGTCCAATCGCTGCACTTCGTTTAATTCACGAATATAATAATCCGGGTGTTCCTCAAGGATGTCCAAATTAGCCAAGACCTTGTCATCTACCTCGTATACTTCGCCCACCACATTATGGCCATTTCCTAAATTATCAAGATTTTTATATTTGGGTATGTCTCATTTAACTTTAAATTCCAGATATAACTTTTTAAGTATTTTTGATTGTTCAAAAAATTATATTTTTTTGGATTTTTAAATTCAGTAAACCTTTGCAAGTATATACCTACCAAAAGCAGTACAGTTTTTACCCATTTTATCTTTTTTTTAAGGTTTTAAGCAAAATATCAAGTCATCTACGCCACCAATTAAAAAAAATATTTAAATTTAAGTTTAAAATTAATTAAATAGTTTTTAGTATATATCATTATTTATTATCAAAATACAGTACGTACTTTTATTACTCGTCACCTTCGTTGCCGGTTTTATTAGACTACTGCGTTTTTTTATATATAAAAAAACGCAGTAGTCTAACAAAACCGGTAACGAAGGTGACGAGTAATAAAAGTACGTACCTGCTCCAACAGAATCACGTAGAATTTTCTGGAACAACGACAATAAATAAACCACCTACACGTTTCCAGTAGCAAAATAAGACTGATTCACTGCTCTAGACTCTAGTCAAGAACGTTTGACCAAAAATCATCCCCACCAATATTCCATTTCGTAAATAATAGTAAGTGGCGTAGATGACCCTTACCTTATGGGACACAATATCTAGAGTCTTAAAAACTAAACAAATTAAAAAAAAAACTAAAATTTGATAAATTGGGTGAACTTGATGTTTACTCTATGAGTTTATAAGGTTAAACTTAAGAAACAGTGCAATTTACATTTAAAAAACTATTTTGCACATTTAGTTTCGGGTGAGGGACCGGTAGTGTAGGTGACATTATAAATGTTTCCAATTAAATAAAAATATATTTTATATATTTTTTACAATTTATTTTATATAAATGCGCTAAAGAGCATGATAGTTTTTAAGTGATGTCCTAAAAACTTGCAAAATATTATTATTTAAAAAAATATTTGGCCGGGACAGGTCATTTTTAAGTTAAATGAGACATACCCATTTATTTATTTTTATTTACAAAAAAAATTATATTTTAGCAGAGACATCTCTGATTTTAGTATTGCGCTGACGGCCTTTTGACAGTCAATATTGTGTATACAGACTATAGTCTTCTTGGTCAATATGCTTGGTAGAAACAAAGCCTACTTAATTTTTCGAATATAAAACAAATTTAAACAGAATGAGGTTATGTTAAAAAAAAATTATTGTTCAATATCTAATTGAAAAGTAAATAATCATAAAAAATTATTTATCAATAATCACCTGGGCTGTATAAAAGAAACGGTATATTATACTTTGTAGCAATAATTAAAGGTAATTTTGCAACAGTTTTGGCTTTAAACAAGAACTTGTGATAACCCTCTTCATCCTTGGTAAACCAGTTATGATTTGGTTCTCCAGTTTTCAAAGTACCGTAAACAAAAACTTTGTGCAGCTCGGGTGCAGTCATTTTACCTAAAAGATAAAATTATTTCTTTGACTACGCCACTGTAATTTCTTCCGCGTTACGCCTCTGTCAACGCCCTTATGTTTTTTTAGAATCAGCTGATTGAAGTTACGGGAGGCGTGGTGTTTTTGTTTTTCTTCACGGAGAGTGTGTTGTTCTTCAAAACAATCGAATTATTTGTCAAAACAAAAAGGTAAGTGTCTACTATCATAATAATACTATCTAATCTATTAAACGTTTTAATTAAGGCGGTAAATTTAAACTTTCTGCATGGATCGTTTGTTTACGCCTCCACTGGATTTTCTTTTCCGGTTTAGGGACACCTGGGACATGGATAAGTTAACTTCGGATACGGACAGTTTTTTAACGAGTTGTTCGTTAATGTGAATAATTTCTTCACATGTTTTGACGTATTCATTTCCGTCTAACTTGACTTGTATTAATCCTTCTCTATCAAAGGTTTCTTTCTGGTAAACAAGAGCGTTTGAAATTAATTTTAAACCATCCTCTGTTAGTTTATTATCTACAACGACACATTATATTTTACTTAAATGGACATTGTTTATTTTATATCCAAACATGATAAATTCAAATGAGTCATTGTGCTATTTCCTTTGCAATATACTGCATTGTTTTCTTCGATTGTGTCCACAATAAATGGGTGCTGGAAATCTTTCATCTTTACACTTAAACTTGACGACTTATTTGATCTTAAACTAGTTAAAGAAGTCTTAGAAGATCTGTCTAAAAAACAGAGGTATGTTGTAAAACCTAAAGTTAATTTTTTTAAAATCTGGACTCGTGTTTTTTTGTTAGGTTGGTGGCTTATGCCAGTTTGACTAGTATTTAAAAATGGTACTTCTGCTAAAGAATTTAATACTTTGACACTGTCAAATTGACAATAATATTTATTATTGTCACTTATAAATAAAAAGATAATTATGCCAAAAATAATAGCAACGAATTCGAATGTAAAAGCCCTTTTGAGGGCAAAACTTCATTTTAATGAAATTATGCCAAATGCCACAATGGAAGAAAAAGTAAATCGCCTTATGGACATTTTTGGAGTAAAAAGTAACGAATTTGGTTTTATAAATATTACATCACCCATTATTTTCACATTATTCACCATTCGACAACATTTACGTTCACAAAAAATTTTAATTTCTTTTATATAAATTCTTTTCAAAGCGAAGATTGTTATCCGCTAGGAATACTTTCTCTTCTGGGCCGTAAAGCAACCTATATTTAACTACTTTTTTATATGATTTTACTCATCCAAGCACCACCAAAGCCAAATTAATTGCATTTTTAACTACGAATTTCGACAACTCAACTTGACAACTGCACAATGTAACCTACAATAATTTATACATAACCACAATTAGATTTATAACTAGCTTAGTTTGTTTTTATAAATGCGACCAACTTGACAACTGTATATGGTAAATATATTTACCAACCAAAACCCTAAAATTGCAACGTTGCCGCAGTCCAGATAAAAAAATGAACTTTATTTCTTCTAAATTTGGTGGATGTTTACCTTTCGAGGATCTGCTATCTTTTTTTAAATTTTCAGATACTTTTTTTAATACTTTGAAGTCTTTTTTCTCCTAACAATACAGGGTTATAAAAAAATATGTGCAATTTCAAGTAAAAAAGGTCTTGTTATAATTTTTTCAAACCAGACATTTTTTTCTGAAAATAAAATTCTTACTGGTATAACTTCCATCAACCTTAGTTTAATTTTTCTCTTGAGCACAAGCTCATTTTGACTCAATGGAAAAAGTTGAAAGGACTTCATAATAATTGCACAACCCAAATTGCCTATTTTATTATCGGCCAAGTTAAAAGCTTTTAATGTTCTATTAACCCTTATAATATTTGCAACAAATTCTGCTCCGTCATCGTTTACATCGTTACTGGACAAATTTAAATGAATCAATTTTATTTCCGTTTTATTAAATGCTTCGGCCAAAGCTTTAGCCCTGATGGAATCTATTTTGCAGAATCTTAAAGACAAGGATAATATCGGCAGATTTAATAGGAGGTGGAGATTTTCATTGGGATTGCCGTTTAAACTAATTTCAGTTAATACTTTATTATCCTTCAAATTTGTTTGCAATATTTCTACGTGATCTGCGGTTATATTGCAGTACTCCAATCTAAAAATTAAACAAACATTTTATCGCCTTAAATTTGACATTTGCCGCCGGTAATAGATTCCTATTCTAATGGTTTCTCTATTTTTGTATAGATGTCGCTCTAAACAAATATTTAATTTAAATCATTTTTAGATAATAATAATAAGTATTTGTTGTAGAAAAAGTATAGTATGCAACTTGTTTATTAACTTTTCTAGATAGGTACTAGCTTAAATTATTGACTAAAATGGCGTTTATCAAACTTGATACATAATATTCCATGAAAATTGGGAGAAAGTGAGGTTATAATTAATTTTGTTATTAATGCAATTATCAAATATTGTTACCAAGTATTTACCTTAATATTTTGGTGTGAAAATATGGCATACAATTTGCCAGGGCTTTAAATTGCTCGTCCCCTATGAACCATTGTTTTACATGAACTAGTTCCAAAATATTCACATTTTCGGAATTATAAGACACAGCAATTTCTCCGGGACTGCACGTTACTAAATCAATCTGAAATTTTAAATGTGAAAATGTAAAAAAATAACATAAATTACCTGTGAATTTTTCACAATTTGCAGTTCTGGCAAATTGCAATTATATTTCTCACAGTTTTGTACGAGTTTTCCCTGAAAATCATTATCCCATATGGAAATCCTTTTATTTAAACGCTTTTCAGAGGGCCTCTTTAAAAAAGATTTTCTTTCCCCAATTGATGATTTTTGTAACGACATTTGGTATATTTTTGACACAAGCAATACAGGGTGTAGAAAATGTATAATAAGCTAAAGAAGTATCGCTAGTAGCGCCACCACAACGATTTGTTGTGTTGTTGGGTGTTAAGGCTTTGTTATCTATGGGTGTATTTCGAGAGGAAATCCTGGATTGAGTTTTTACCGGTTTTCCAAGACACAGTGTTAATCTGAATGAAGAAATAAATTGCATACAGTCTCTGTAAATATAAATTGTACCTATTAGATACAATAAATGCACATTTTAGTTGTGATTAACGTGAAAAGTGTAAACATTTCAATTCAGTAAAAATCGTCAAACAAATAAGTCGTCTAAATTTAAACAGCAGTTAGCATTATTAAAAGCGTTTATTAAGGAAGTCTCCACTCAACGGTAAAATACCATTAAATTATGTATTATATATAATATTATGTTGGCATGAATTCGTAGGTATATTTTGTTGTTTAAAATGCAGTTGTCGGCGTTTTTTAGAGAACTTAAACGTAAAAGTGGTTGATTTTAAGGTTATGTTTGTGCAAAAATAATGTTTTACTAATTTCTTAAAAATGCCCAAACTTAAATATAAATTATATTAGGTAAAGTTATCATTAGTTAATTCTGCACCAACAAATGTACTTACCGAATTGGATCATTTGGCAAAACATGAAAATGCAATGACAATTCTTAAATTCACGCAATGCTTTTGAAGTCAACCAGATGGCGCGCGCGTTGCGAAAACACGTTACTTCTTTAGCATATAATACCTATAATACTATACTTTATCTACTCCAATATACCTAATTAAGTAAATGATTTTCAAAAATAAATAAATATCTGATATCTGTCAAATGGTCAAATGGTAACCTTACTTTTTACCAATTTTAAATGATATTATAGTCGCCTTCTCCCAATTTAAAACAATCGGCCAATCACTGATGCCTAACAACGTGAATAATGAGTTCATTATTCACGTTGTTGTGGCTGTATATTTTTTAATTTTTTTTAGAGTTTTGCCTTCGGTTACAATGCACCATTGCCTAACAGAATTATAAAAAAAAATAGAAAAATGATGGGATATATTATATTAACAGTAAGAAGTATGTCATGGATGCTTTTGACGCTTATGGCTACTCTGATGATATACAGCGCCCTCTTGAATCCCTCCTGGCTGACAGCAAAGCCGCAGATGGCTACATTCGAAAACGAAACTATCTCGTATACGCCAAGCGTGGGAGTGTACGCTAAATGCATTAAGCCGATCAGTTTGAACCATCCTTCTTGCACCTTCATTGGGATCGATGGATTGGCCACTGACTCGGAAATTTATCCCACCGTCTGGAAAGCTGCAACTTTATTTTTATATTTTGGTATGTCAAACCACACAGCATCAATCTCTGAAAGACATCTAAGCGAATTTTCGTTAAATGTACATTTTGTATATATATTTTGTCCAGGCAGGTCAATTTGATCGATTTTTTTTCCTTTGTGATAGAACAGTGTAATATACTGCAAAAAAAATTCTATTATTTTATAAATAACTTTAAAGAAATAAAACTTATAGGGTTAATCTGAAATAGGGAAGGAACACAAGGAAGAAATGAAACATTGTCCTCCTCCTAACGCATCTTCCTGAACGTTTTATGACGCATTGCTTTTGACTTTTTCAAACGTTATTTTTCAGAAATACTGTTAAATGTAAATATCTTTCGGCATTTGTTTGGAATTTCTACTATACTATAATACAAAATGAAAATAAAAAAGTTAAGTTCTAAAACAAGAGTTGTATGTAGCGTTTTGTAAAAGACACCAAAAGTGTACGCAAAAAAATCTTACCTTTAAAATATTTACAAAAAAATTCACACACTTTACACGTGCTCACTTGTTGTTGCCGAACTATCAAACATGTATGCCCTCTAGAAATAACACGATAGTATCTCTATCTCGTGTCTCTATTTCGAAGCAGTCGGCATAGAAGACGACGTTAGGAAGAAGACAAGATTTTTGAATGTCAATATTAATATTTTTTTCTGTTTAAACTACTTTGTAGAAAACTATTTTATTTTTATATACGAATAAAAGAACTTTCCATTGTTAAAAATAATTTATTTTTTCAGAAGAAAGCTGCAAAGAAGAATATAATAATTTAAACTAAAAAATCGCCTCTGGGGACAGTTAGGTTACCTAACTTTCACCTAGTTTTTCTGCCATATATAGAAACAAAGTAATTTAAAAAAATACGATGGGTCCTATCAGGAAGGGGGTATTTAAATATAATAAATACAAAATTTATCAACAAAGGTCAAAAATAAAAATAAAATTAGCTGGGGACAGCAAATGTACAATTAACGAAAATTTGCCCATCTATAAGATATCTTTTCCTAGATATCCCTTAGACATCTATGAAATATTAATTAATTTTTTTTATTCAAGCTTTTTTAATATTTATATTTCAGGTTTATTCATCATGTCCATAACAGTGGTGACAAGCATAATAAGCTGTTGCTTTCAAAGCATATTCAGAAAGAGCATATTTACTTTGTCAGGAGTAGCACAAGGTGTAGCTGGTAAGATATCTTAATTATTTTTGCACTATTCAGGAAAAATTAGGTGGGATGTTATAACAGATGTGTCAAGAATTACGAATAAATCCGATTGTTTCTAGGTTACGTTCAATGTTCTTTAGTATTAAAATCGTTTGAAAATCGAGGAAAAGTACATACATATGAGACTAGCGGTGCAAATTTTAAATTTAAAACTAATTTTAAGAACTTTAGTTGCAGACCTGCTTTATTTTTATAATACGCATCTGTTCTGTCATAAAACCTAGATATGCTTACCAAATTAATTAAATGTGAGGAGACTGTTTATAAAGATTTGTAGAAAAATAATTATTTACAACTTTGTTAACTGTTCTATAGTAAGTTCAGAAAGTCTATATTTTTTAAATTATTTATTTTAGGCTCCTTTATCACACAAAACTCACAACCTATATGTTTACATATAAAGCTGTTTGAGACTAATTTTTCTATGTAGGTAACAATGAAAACTGCAAAACCATCACTTTTTTAACCAGTTTATTAATTAACATTAATTTACCAGCGAGTTAAAATATGGTTGGTAAAATATAACTTGTTGGTTAAAAAAATATATTTTAATTAACCATTTAATGCTAGTTAATTTACCGAAAAGTAATATAAAAAGTTAAACTAAACCAAAATATCTGGTCTTAAGCATTTTCAAAGGTTAAAATTAGAAATTAATATAACGTTATTTAACTTCTAAAATAACCTACTTTTTTACTTATAAGCAATTTTACTAGCAAGTTAAATATTTGGTTTATTTTAGTCAACTAAAAGTTTTAATTTAAAACTATTGAAATAACCTTAATTTATCTATAAACTAAAGAAGTATCGGGTTTTCGCAACGCGCGCGCCATCTGGTGGACTTCAAAAGCATTGCGTGAATTTAAGAATTGTCAACAATACATTTAAAGCATACAAACTGTACATCATTTTTAAATAAATTGGTAGTTTTTTCACAAAAGAGAAGAAGGCAAGAAGTCTTACTCAACAAATTTTGTTTGATTGCACAGCTAAATCGCGCACGTTTGTGTTTTACGTTGCAAGAAAAAATTTTTTTAGTACTCGATTTCGATTGATTATTATAGTTAGTTACGTTAGTGTATTTATTTTATCTAAGGGATCATGGTGAATTATTGTGTTTTTAATTGTAAATAAAATTCAAGAAATAAATCGTTGCATTTTCATGTTTTGCCAAAGGATCCAATTCGGTAAGTACATTTGTTGGTGCAGAATTAACTAATGACAACTTTACCTAATATAATTTATATTTAAGTTTGGACATTTTTAAGAAATTGGTAAAAAATAATTTTTGCACAAACATAACCTTAAAATCAACCATTTTTATATTTGAGTTCTCTAACAACTGCATTTTAAACAACAAAATATACCTACAAATTCATGGCAACATAATAATATATACACATACATAATATAATGGTATTTTACCGTTGATGGAGACCTTCTTAATCAACGCTATTAATAATGCTAAATGCTGTTTAAATTTAGAAGACTTATTTGTTTGACGATTTTTACTGAATTGAAATGTTTAACACTTTTCACGTTAATCACTACTAAAATGTGTATTAATTGTATCTAATAGGTACAATTTATATTTACAGAGACTTTATGCAATTTATTTCTTCGTTCAGATTAACACTGTTTATTGGAAAACCGGTAAAAACTCAACCCAGGATTTCCTCTCGAAATACACCCAACAACACAACAAATCGAGCCACGGTTTTTTTCGATATTTTTTAACATTTTCCGGCTTTATTCTCAAAAAAACTCGTTTGTAATATAAGCGTTTGACAGCTGATTATCAAAATTTGTACTTTTGTTACGATGATAACGGCCGAGTGGTGGCGCTACTAGCGATACTTCTTTAGCGTATAACCAATTGTTTTTATACATCTTCTCCAAATACCTAAGATCTAAATAAAGTCTAACAAATTAAAAAAAATGTATTCTAGGTATATCGTTTATTGTGTGCGTAATGTTGTATCCAATGGCATGGGGCACGACGAGAGTTCAAAAACTATGCGGGAGAGACGCATCCCCATTTTACATAAACGATTGCAGCATAGGAAATGGTCTGTACGTGGCGGTATTTGGAACTCTACTTACCTTCGCTTGCGCATGTCTCTCGCTACCCGCTGAAAAGTCCACGAGCAGCGACAAGGTCCAGGACGAAATTTTCAAGGGCCGAAGGTTTATTTGTTTAAAATAAGGTAAGCAATTGTTCTACAGTCGCGGCCAAATCTGCACCGAATTTTACATTTTTCAACGTGAAAGGTTATAAAATTATTAAAATGCATTTATACAGGTAATAATAACGCACGCCCGCTTTTAAGTGTCAAAATTAAAAAAAAATCTCAAAACTGCTTTTTTACTTGCGACACTTTTGAGGCGGGTTTCAGATACGATTGTATTTTAATTTTTATTATTAGCAAGAACTTATGCAAGCTGTAAAAAAAATATTTGGTTAGGGTAAAAGTTACTATAGTAATATATATATATATATAAGTAGGGTAAAGTAGAGTTATTGGACACTTTATAGTTATTGGACAATTAACATTAATACTGTAAAAACAAGAGTTCTTTAAAGTTACCTTAAAGTCAAATTATTAGATGACGCTGTATACAATTATAACCAAAAAAGTTCTCACGTTACTTTGGTGGTAAGATATGTGTTTTTTTGTTAAGAGTAGGGCTGTGTTTAAATTACAATAAAAAATATTTCCAAAAAGTGTACAGATCAGTGTGTGGTATAAATTTGTTCCTCATGGTTTAAACATTGTCACTTAAATGCGTTTTAATTTTAATTCTGAAAACAAACAGTAAAATGGCCAGTGTTCAATTAATGGTTGGTAAAAAATGTAAATTTCTATTATTGGACATATGTCCAATATCATACTCTATTTATATCCCGGACATTTACCAGCCAATTCTTATGTAAAATTGTCCCCTGAATCCGAAAAGACCGTCAAAAACTATAAAAGTTTTGAGATATAGTCAATTCCATATTATATGTAAAATTGATTACATTTCAAAAACTGTTCTACTTTTATAACTTTTGACGACATTTTCGGATTCAGCGAATAATATTTTATAGGAATTGACTGCTAAATGTCCTGGATACAAATTGCTGTTGACGAGAATTATTAGTGGCTGCTTTTTCGCTATGACATTTTTAGAGAGTAAGTAATAATTAGTGATTTCTTCGTCACAGGACATCTTGCAGAATAACAGTGCATGATAGAGAACATAAAAAACTAATGGCAACAAAATTAATAAATTCGGAAAATACTTTTAACATACCACCAGAAAAAATATTAGATATATATATAAATCATCCTGTTCCTACCTAAACATTATAAATGCTTCACAAGCTAGAGATACCACACTTAATGATATTTGCAACAAACTATTTTAGAAGTCAGACCAAGGAATTAGTAGTTACCTTCAGAATCCAGAAAACGGATGAGGAATCCGAGAAAGAAATATATGAATTATATGATATTTACAAAAACGAAATAAAAAAAATTACCTAAAACCAGGGACCCGGACCGAAACCGAAAAAAACCGAAAACCGGAACGGAACCGGTTTTTTTTTCCAAACCGAAACCCGAACCGGAACCGTTTTCGCTTTTGATAAAATCTGTTGGACCGGAACCGAAACCTTTATTTGCTTTCATTCTAATAACATTATATAACATATACAGTATGTCTCAGTATCTTGGAATCATATGGAAAACTTTTTTATTATTAATTTTAGGAAAAAAAGTTATTCTACATAAAAAGTTCTGCATGGTGTAAAACTTAAAATGCAACCCACAAATATTAATTTTTTTTAGTCGTATACGGGGTATGTCAAAAAATATGAATTTGGCTCAAGAGTAAAGTACCTTTATATTTGACAATATCGAAAATTGTTATAAAGAAAAGTTAATCAGAACTAAAAACTAAGTTCAAATATGCAATTACATCTATTTACATTAAAAAAAATATTTTTTCTTTTTTGTCTACAATATCAATGCAAAGTTAACTGTAACATGTAATCTAGGATGCACTGATACACAAATGATTTGTTGATATTCTAATACTTTTTGGCCTGCTAGATCCCCTGACTTAACTTTTTAGTTTTCATGTTTTTTCTAATCATAACAGATAAAATTTAATGTTCATTTAAAATAGAAAGATTAGTAAAAATTAACAAAACCTAATTTTTTAATGTAAGTGTATGAAATTGCATATTTAAACGTAGTTTTTAGTTCTGATTAACTTTTCTTTATAACAATTTTCGATATTGTCAAATATAAAGGTACTTTACTCTTGCGCCAAATTAATATTTTTTGACATACCCCGTATACGACTAAAAAAAATTAATATTTGTGGGTTGCATTTTAAGTTTTATACCATGCAGAACTTTTTATGTAGAATAACTTTTTTTCCTAAAATTAATAATAAAAAAGTTTTCCATATGATTCCAAAATACTGAGACAAACTGTATATATGTGAGGTTATAGATTAAAATTTCGTAAAACAAATAACCTCACTGGAACCGCTTAAAACCGAAAAGAACCGAACCGTTATAACTCCACGAAACCGAAACCGGAATCGGAACCATTAAAACGAAAATAGGGTGAACCAAAACCGTACCGGAACCGATATTTCATTTCGGTCCGGGTCCCTGCCTAAAACAGCAATTTATTTTTTAAAAATATTTAACAATTTTTGTTATTTGATGTAAAGTTGTTATGTTTATATAAAAATTGTATGTCCAATAACAATGGTCCATGTGTCCAATTACTATACTTTTTGCATGTTTTTATAAAACTATTATTAAAAATTCAAATATTCTTATTTTTAAGTAAACGTAAATAAAGTTTAAACAAACAAACTATCCTTTTTATATATTTAAAAGAAAGAAACTAAAATCTTTAAAACAAAGGCATATATAAATTTTAAATAAATTATATTCCCTAAGTGTCCAATAACTATGTGGTTAACAGAAAATTTTATTTTTTATTCATCCACTGTGCCGCCACATCTTTTTTTTTGGAAATCGAAAATATTTAATGTGAGGTTAGGTTAGGTCTGCTACAACACAGCCCGGCATATTTTAAAATTTAAATAGTTACTAGAATCTAGTAACTAGGTCTAAGAAATATAACACAAACTTAATAAATAACCTGGTATGAAACACCGCGCGTGGTACCTTGTAAATAGTTATTGCTGATCAATAAAGCAGTAAAAACTTTACGAAAAACGTTTCAAAACACAATAATTTCAGAAAAAACTCAAAAGAAATCGTAGTAAAACACCTGTGCATAGCGTATGCCGATGAGACGATGCTGACGTCATTATATTGCATTTATAACGTGCACCTAGGGTTGGGAAAATTTCACTTTTTGCTTGTACTTGAAATTTCACTTGAAATTTTCACATTTATGAAATTTATTAAAATTTCCTGTATGTCTGAAATTTATTAAATTTATTGAAAATTTCAATAAATTTCAATCATTTTAAGTGTAATATATTAATATTGAAATAAGCCCACTCGGTGACCATGGCAAATTGCCTCTCTTACCTCCTACCCCTCTGTGGGCCCCTGCACCAATAATATAAATAGTAAATACCCATGTTTACCACAAATTTCTTTAGATTTCCCTTTAAAATATTTTTAAAATTACTAAAACTAAGAGAGATATAGCACTTTTTGGTAAGTTAATGAGATTGTGCCACTTTCATTGTTTTATATTTATATATATTTATTATTTTTATATATTTTACTGAAATTTTACAAAAATTGAAGAAACTTCATCAAAATTTTATGAGCCAAAGGCATTTTTTATCCGTTTTCCTATACAATTATAGCAAAAGTTTAAATTAATCATGACTTTTAAAAAAAATTTAAAGTCTTATTTAATTTACAAAATAAATTGGTAACTGAATTAAATTATTTAAATTAATTTATGCATATAAGTAACAATAATTACTTACGCTTGATAACTCGTTCTTATTGGTCGATTCGGAATCTGTAAATTATTATTAAAGGTCCCAGGGGAGGCCGCATGTGAAATTTATGCGAAATTTTCAGTAAATTGCGAAACTTTCAATGAAATTTCTGAAAGTTTCACAGGCAATGTTGAAATTTTCGAATTGAAAATTTCATTTGAAATTTTTAAAAATTTTATTTTTCCAACTAAATGAAATATTTCAAGTTTGAAACTTTCAAAGTTGAAAATTTTATTTGAAAATTTCAACTGTCCCAACCCTACGTGCACCCATACAGATTTGGCTGCGACTATGCAAGCTGCAACTTTTGGGGTTGTATTAAAAGTCGTGTTTAATGTTTTTGCCATACTAAACATTTATTGTTCGCCGGTAGATCGTAACTCCTCACTAAAATTACGCCGAACTCTTTGGCGACCTTCTTCAAGTCTTCCACGTCCCTCACTCCCCATTCGGGGTTTTGCCTTTTCAACCCGGCATCAAACTGAACGTTCGATTGCGGTTCGAGGACCCCGTTGACCGCGTAAGGGCCGTACGTGATTATTTTGCCGCCCTGCTTCAAAACCTTGCCGCCGTTTCGGAAAAACCCCACCGAGCACCCGAACGGCGTTATGTGAAACATGTTGACGTTGACGATGTAATCGAACGGGTCCGCGAAGAAAAACTCCTTGGTCACGTCAATTTGCTGAGGTTGATGCACGTTTTTCGTGGGTGCGTCGTCGACGTACGTTTTTATGCTGTCCAACAGCCGCGTGTCGTATTCGGACGGTTGAAACGTGTAGTTGGGAAAATGCGCGGCAAAATAGACAATGTGTTGCCCAGTGCCCGAAGCGATCTCCAGAACGCTTCTTTCTCCTTCGCAGTCGAACTCGCGTTTAAGCACCTCGAGGATGAAGGACTTGTTTCGATCTGCTGAAGGGTAATTCATTTTTTGACTGAAAACAACAGTAACGGGTCCAATAAACAAGCTATATGGGGCGCCATTTTATTTTTTATTCTGCGAATTAATAATATCATAGCAGATATTTTAAAATTAGATTAAATTTTTATGCCAAACATTTTTAATTTAGTGAATTTAAAATATCTGCTTTTAGTTAAGCACATATTTTTAATTCGCTAAATTAAAAATATCATAGAAGAAATTTTGAAATGTATTATTAATTCCATTTAATTTTTATTTTATTAAATAAGAAAGAAAATACAAGTATAAGAAGCAAATATTTTTAATTCCCAGAATAAAAATTCTTATATGATATTTTTTATCAAATTTTACATTTTATATATTGAATGAAATAATTATGGAACATATGGCGCCTCATGCTTTAGCGTTAACACATAAGAATAATTCCTGAATAAAAAAATAAAACGGCGCCTCATAAAGAACTTTATGTAAGGAAACATTCTACTCTTAAACTTTATTATTATTTAGAGATTTTTTGTAACTTTAAATGTATGTTATATTTTGACTAACAATTAATTTAAGCCAAATTATTAATTTTATTTTATTGTGATACTTAATTATTAGTTGGTGCTCCTTTTTTATTATTTACTTACCTAATTTTACTGATCGATATAAAACGTTTTATAACTTGCATCTGTAAAAAATATAAAAATATTTTAGCCTATTTTATACTGAACTATTATACCAAAAATTTTGTACTATTTTACTCGTGCTTTATATGTATTTACAATGTTTATATCTACATATACAAAATAAATGTGTTTATTAAAACTTCTTTTGTTTTTATTATACCAGCCTAAACTAACTTTTTTATTTAAAGAACTACAGGGTTGGTTAAATTGGAGGAAAGTTACAGATTAAAAAAAATCAGCAATTCTCAAATAATTTGAAAAAAAACTGAATATCTGTCAAAACCAAAAATCGTTTTAACATCTTTATTCCTGGGAATTTTGAAAAGAAATAAGTTTCACATGTAAGTAAATATTCATATATATTTTTATATTTATCCAATTTGTGTTTTTTTTTCGCCCACTAGATTTTGAGGTAGATAATCAAGAAACCCAACAATCTATCAAACAAAAAGTTATGGCGGCCAATAAAAATATAGTACAGGAAAAATTTCATGAAAATGTGTAGTGTGAAGTGTATGTTTACATGTAACTTTTTTCAAAATTCCCAGAAATAACTTGTTATAACAATTTTGGTTTTGATGTACAATTGGCGTCCCCGAAATGTGAACGATTTTTGGTTGTCATGGATTTTTTTCATAAAATTCATTCGTTCATTCCTGGCTTCGGCCAGTGGTGTTACAAATAGAGGGGAGAATACTAAGAACAATATCCTAAATCGTTATTTTTTTAATAAAATTTGAACAAACAATAATATAAACAATCTTACAAATAAATTAACGTTAATTTGGTTTTGTACAACAATATTAACAAGTAGGTAAATAAAAAATATAAATAACATAACCAAATTAACATATTGCTCAAGAAAATTGGTCTTTAAGTAAAATAGCTGCAGATTTAAATGTCTTAAGCTATGTTTTGTTGGAACTGTGCGCCGCAGACAACATACGCGGTTAGCAGAATCTGTAGCGTTCAACTTTTTCGGTTTTAAAGAGAGGGTGTTTTGTTATAATTGAAATAGTTTATATGCTGGTAGGTGCATACAACAAATATTTATAAATATTTTGGTAAAATTTATTAATATCATAATAATGGCTGAACATTTTTTGCTGGCAATGCTTATTGAGGAAAAAGAACATGAACAAGATCTTCTCTTGAGTTTAATTAGTTGTCGTCGCCATAATAAAAGTGAAGACAAAATCTTTTACTTTTAACAGTGTACAATGGGGGATGTTCTTGTACGAGATCAATCAATTTCTCGTCTTCCTCTGATAAAAACTTGGTTGTCATTTTAAAATTCGTTAAAATAACGGGTTCTTTAAATAATGTCACTGTGAGCTCAACTGAACGACTGCGTTGAAATCAAATGGAGTTTGATTCCGACCGACACATAAACGCACATAATTTTCCACCTAAGCAGATTCTTACAAACCGGCTACGGCGTAGCCGCTACGCGTCTTCTTGTCTTCTAGATTTCAACGCAAGTCCGAGGCGCACAACAGACTGTCTGCTTTGCGTCACATACAGTTTTAACAAACCATAGCTTTAAGCTCTTCCCAAGAATGTTCAATAGCATTGCGTAGTTCATTTCGGTTTGCTGGCTTAAAAAACTGTGCTACTGCTCATAAGCTATTTTAAAACTTATTTGCAGAGCCATTAGCTGCCACAACACTTTGCAAACTTTTTGGCATGGACATTATTAGGTTGCGCATGTCGTATGACTCAGCAAGCTCTATTAACTATAAAACCCCACACGTTTTCAATGGGGTTTAAGTCAGGACTTCTAGCTGGCAATGGCAAAACAGTTATGTGGTTGTTGTTTACCCACTTTGTAACCACGCGAGCTGTGTGAACTGGTGCATTGTCCTGTAATATAATATTTATTAGAAATATTTTTGTATACTTTTGTATAGTTTACTAACATGTTGAAATATAAAATTTTCTTGAAACACATGTCTAACTGAAGGTAGCATAACGTTGCCCAAAATCGTCGTATGGTGTTCAGCCGTTAATCTACCATCAATTTCCCAACATATTCCCGCACAATCCACGCCCAAAAATTTATGGAAAAGCGTCCACTATTTGAGGTTCTTAATGTGTAGTTCTCAAATCTTGCGTCTCTTGGACGATAAACACGCAGCCCTCCATTATTGCAAGATTGGAAAGTTTTTTGCAGAAAATATAACATTATTCCAAAATTCCTCTCCATAATTTAGATATTCATTGGCGAACTGGACTCTCCTGCGCTTATTTCCGTCAGTTGAAAAAACCTTATGAGCAGCAGCACAGTTTTTTAAGCCAGCTTGTTTCAATCTTTGAAAGGATTTTGCCTAATATGTGCGACAAGAGCATTGTCTTCATTTTCGTTGAAGATTTTTCCTACACCTTGTTCTTGCCAGCGATTCTTGATATAAAATATGCAGCTTTTACTGACATTTAAATCTGCAGCCACTTCATTTAAAGCCCAATTTTCTTCTAATTTGGCTATTGCCCTGGACCTCTGAGCCTCAGTTAAGTGGGCATTTTTGATATTGCAATTGACAACTATTATCAAATTTGACAACTACCGACGACACTGATGCAAAGCCCATATTAAACGATTAAATTTTGGCGTTCACATTTTTAGTTTTTTCAAAATATTTTTTTAATTTATTTAAGGCAAACATTTAAAATCCATTGGGAGTTAATTATAATTAAAAAATTATAAATTCTTAAAATTAAACAGTATAAAAATATTCTTATAAATGAGTATTTTAAAATTTATTTGGACCCTATTAAGATTTTTGATTGCAACAAATGGTATACAAAAGACCAATTTTATAAAAAATAATAAGAAATCAAGTAAGTTGTGATACACTCTGTGTTAAATTAGAGGAAAGTTGCATAATTACAAGTTCATTAAAATGGCATTTACAGATTTAAAAAAATCAACAATTCTCAAATAATTAAAAAAAAAACTGAATACCTATCTGTCAAAACCAAAAATCGTTTTAACTTCTTTATTCCTGGGAATTTTGAAAAGTAGTAAGTTTTACATGTAAATATACACATTCATATATATTTTCATCCAATTTGTGATTTTTGGGCCCACTAGATTTTGAGGTAGATAAAAAATAATCAAGAAACCCAACAATCTATCAAACAACAAGTTATGGCGGCCATTATAAAAACAAAAGATGGTGATGGTAGCTCAAAATATAGTAGCAAAAAAATTGGATGAAAATGTAGATTAATGTGTATGTTTAATTTTTTTTTCAAAATTCCCAGGAATAACAAAGTTATAACAATTTTGGTTTTGATGAATTTTTAGTTTTTTCCAAATATTTAAAAAAAACTTAAATAAAATTAAACAGTATAAAAACAGCTAATAAACATATTCTCATAAATGAATATTTTAAAATTTATTTAGATCCTATTAAGATTTTTGATTGTAACAGATGGTACAAAAGACCAATTTTATAAAATAATCAAGAAATCAAGTTGTGATACACTCTGTATACAATACATTCATGATATTATATAACACTGTCCTAGTTCAAAAACATAGAGTATAGTTCAAAAATCTAACTGTTGAGAACTCCATTTGAGACCAAGGATTTCATTGGTGACAACTGCTTTGCTGTGGGCTCAGGACTTCTTAGTTACAATAATTTCTCTTAAGTAATTTAAAACAATCTTTATTAGGATTTTTTTACCACAAGGTAACCGAATCTGCCATGGCATTTATTATGAGATTGAGTGAAAAACACATTCCCAAATATTAGGTACTTCAGAGAAAATTTTATATGAAGTCATGAGCAAAACGGTTGACTTTTATAATTTGTACGGTTGTCACCACTGAATTTCTTGAACTAGAATCCTATCTAGGACCAGAATTAGATAAAAATCCTTTTTTTATGGTAAAAATTACAAATTTCCTCACGGTTAAAAAAAAGGTTCAAAAACTAGGACAGTGTAATTAATTTGATTAAATAATAATAATAATAATAATAATAATAATAATGTTTATTTCATGTCATAATATTACAGATATTTTACACAAGTCAAAAAAAGAATTCAAAAGTACATGATAAAAAACATACTGAGATAAAATATAAATAAAAGTTTGTAGATTAAATAGGTAACATATTAAACAATATTATAAAATACTTAAAATTACTTAAAATTAAGAAAAAAAAACAGTTTACAATACTAAAAATCCATAAAGTTACTTCGGAAAATGTCCTCAGTATTATAAAATGCATTAGCACAAAGATAACTCTTAACAGATATTTTAAACGATTTAAAATCCAGTGCCCTTACGTAAAGAGGTAAAGCATTGAAAAATTTTATACAATAATAATTTGTGGAATTTTGTGATCTTTTGAGTCTTAAATTTTTTAGATAAAGATTAGACTTATTTCTAGTTTCATAATTATGATCGAGTGGATAATAGTTATTGATATTTCTCTTTATATAAATTAAACATTCGAGTATATACAAACTGGGAAAAGTTAACAAGTTTAATTGTATATAGGATCCTTTACAGTCATCACGATATCCTAAACCAGCTATAATCCTTATGGCTCGCCTTTGTAAACTAAAAATTCTTGTCCTAATGGTCGAGTGGCCCCATGAAAGGATACCATACCTTAATATTGATTCTATTAAAGAAAAATAGGCAATTTTAAGATATCTTAGCGATAGTTTATTTGATAAACTACGCAGCAAATATATATTGGAGTTGAGTTTAGCAGCAATCGCCTCTCCTTGACTAAACCAAAGAAGACGCGAGTCCAAATAAACTCCCAGAAACTTTGTACTGGAGGCTTCAGAGTTAAAGTCTCTCAACGAAAAAATAACATTTACCGTCTTTTCCTTATTTAAACTTAATCGGTTCGAGTTAAACCAGTTTAAAGCCTCCGACTGCGTGCTCAGACTCTTTGACATTGCTAGTTCGAGGGATTTGTCATGAACTGCGAATGATTTGTCATCAGCAAATAAAGTTATGTTATCTGCATTTAATAGGTTATTAGGCAGATCATTTATAAATATAAGGAAGAGTAAGGGTCCCAAAATTGAACCCTGCGGAACACCGTGATGCAGGGGCAAATTAGAAGAAAACTTATTTTTAAGAAGAACACATTGAGTTCTGTTTATCAAATAAGAATTGATAAGTTTTACACTTAAGGGGGAAAAATTATAGAAGTAAAGTTTTCGGACTAACAAATCATGGGACACGCAATCGAAGGCCTTGCTAAGGTCCAAAAACGTACCAACCATAAACTCTCCAAGTTCAAAGCAAGTATTTACTTTATCGACAAAGGATATTATTGCATCCGACGTAGATAGTCCTTTGCGAAAGCCAAACTGTTTTTTAGTTAGAAGATTATTCTCTACAAAATAGTTTGAAATCTGCTTGAAAATGAGTTTTTCGTAAATTTTTGAAATAATAGGTAATAAGGATATTGGACGATAATTGCCCAATTCGTCTTTATTGCCTTTCTTAAAGACCGGTATAAGTATAGCTTTTTTTAAAGATATTGGAAATATATATATATATATATAATGCATTAACCTCTGATTTTACTTACTAAACAACTTTGATAATTAAAATTCCAACTCAAAACCACAATTCACACATTGGCATTATTTTGTAAACATAACCTACAACTTTCATGTATTCTGAATTTTGACGTTTCTCATTAAATAAAGTCAGTGGCGTAGAATTATTTTACAAAAATTAACAAACGTTTTATTAATTTTATCTCAATGATATTAATGTAGGTATATAAATTAATAAGAGTAAACAAAAAAAAGATTTTAAGTTATTTATTCAATTAAATTAATTAAAACAATTGCACTATTATTTCTGTTTAGTTTTAGGAATATAAACTCCATGTCCAGTTTTTTTTAGATGGTCGAATAATTTATTTTTTGATGAAAAATTAGAGTGGCAAGTGACACAGCAATGATTTAAATCTACTTCGGATGCATTTTCCAAAACATCCTTTTTAGATTTTTTATCTTTGCGTTTTTTACTATTATTTATTTTTACTTCTTTTCTACTTGTTTTACTTTCATCTTCATCAACTTTGGTATTATCACTTTCTGCATTATTTTCATGATTTTTAGGTGTAGCCTTTTCCACATCTGGTTTTAATTTAACATTATTTTTCTTGTTCTTCTTTTTCTGTTTTTTGGTTGAAGCAAAATCAAATTCTTCCTCTGATAAACTGACTTTTAAATTAATTTCTTCTTTGTCAATATTATCACTGGCATTTAACACATTTCTTGATTTCTTATTTTTATTTTTTTGTTTAGTTTTAATTTCTGGCTCAGATTCTGAATGTTCCTCTGAATCTGATTGATTTGTTTCTTTTAATAGCTCATCCTCATCACTGTTAGTAATTTTATCTTCATCAATCCCATTTAAATCGTCTACTATTTCATGTTCATTTTCCAAAAACTCTTCTTCATCCAAAATGTCTTCCTCCTCTTCATCTAAAAACTCTTCTTCTTCCAGCATTTGTTGCTTTAGTTTTTCAACACTCTCCTTATGTTTTTTGCTTGATTCATGATTTTCAAAAGCCTTAGGGGTTTTGAACAACTTATTACATGCTGGACAATACAAATTACTAATATCTTCCTCATCCGTTTCACTGTCGCTGGATTCACCAAACTGTTGTGCCAAGTGTTTTTCTATTTCTTCCAGTCCCGATTTAACATTGTCAAATTTTGCCCATTCAGCTTGTGTGGCCGATTCATTTAATTTTTGTCTTTCCAGTTTTCTTTGTTGATTGATTTTTTCTTGCTTCTTTCTGTTTTCCAATGCCTTCTCTTCCATTAGCTTGTTATAAGCCTGAACTCGTTTATCTCTCTTTCTGACAAAAGCAACTAAACTTCTTATCTCATCGTTTCTTTCTTTTTTGGCCTTTTGCCTAACTTTCTTGTTCTCTTTTTCAATTAATTTCACAACTCTACGTTCCCTGGTTTCATTTATATTGTATGGGTCCAGCCATACATAGCTCTTTTTAGTAGCATAGCTCAACCAATAGGCATAAAAGGGCCCTACAGTTCCAGCATAGTCGCTCTGAGAATTTCCAAAACCTGGGATTTCACAGAACTCCTCTTTGTCCTCCATAAATTCCATATCTTCTTTCGCAATTTTCTCAAATACAGTCCTATACACAGTATAGAAACTCTTTTCAGAGTCGTCGTAGCCCTTAAAACAAGAAGTTGTGAAATATTGGAAAACATCCAGACAATTATCTTCAAATTCAGTATTGGACCCTCTTAAAATTTGTTCGCGATGATTGTCATACCATGCCCTCTCCTGCCTGTCGCTCAAAACTTCGTAAGCTTGCTGTACAATTTGAAATTGTTCTTTTGCCAAGTCTGAATTATCCAAATTTTTATCTGGATGCCATTTAAGGGCCAACTTTCGGTAAGCAGTTTTAATATCCCCGTCGTTTGCGTCTCTCGCGACGTCCAAAACCTCGTAGTAACACTTCATTGTAAATTATTAACGTTTTTTTACTATTTTACAACAGCATTAAATTTTAAGGTTAGAATTTTGCCTGACATTTCCGAATGTCAACTTGACAGCGGTTGGTCACACTTATAGCTAACTTCAGACAACAACAATCTAGAAGAGGAATGTGTCTAACTTCATTCAGGTTATTTGAACTACGATTTGAATTTCAAACTGTCAAATAACGCACAAAAAGTTATTCTTCGTCAGATTCAGTTATATCAAAAATAACGTTGTGATTTAAACAATTGTTATAGAATTCTACCCCATAATGGATGGAGAACCAGATTGGGACGATGTCACAACACTTTTAAAGGAATTTGAAGGTGTACATTACAAAAATTCAACTAATATTCAAAGTAAGCAGTTAAAACTTTAGGGACGATTATTGCTCGAAACAATGTAGAAGGAGTTATTGTTCTTTTAAAACCTAATTCTTTTTAGAAATTCTTAGGTATAAAACACAACAATGTAACATAGAAAACGAATTGGAATCTATTTATAATTTAACTGAATCTCATAGCCTAGCTTTAAGAATCAACACTACAGTAAAATGGGAAAAGAATGAAAAAAATCAAAGTTTACTGGATAATGTTATGGTGAAATGTTCAAATTCAAATATTGATAAAAATATTAATGAGTTAATCAATAAGCTTAAAGTTTTACCCAAAGGTATCAATGTTTCAAAGTGATTTTATTTTTTTCTAAATTAAATTTATAGAATGGACACTGGTTCAACTTACCAGTGAATTTGAAGCCGATGATAATTTAAACTTTAAATGTGATAAATATAACACCCCAGGAATTCATATATCTGTGTTTACTTGTGGCAAAAGGTACTCTACACCATTTATGGTCTCAGTTGATCATCCAAAGGATCCAGTTAACGGAAGCAAACTGGAATTGTTAAATGAAATTCACTGCTTTTTAAGGCAGAGAAAAGAACTGTTGAAAGAAAAGGCTTGTAAAAAAAATATTCATAGGTTTATAGCTCAACGTTCTGCTGCACAGGATAAACTACAGGTATTTTTGGGAAAAAAGATCATTCAAAATTTTAAAAATTTTTAGTTGGTCATTGTTCCCATGGTTAGGGGTCACATGACAGATTAAAAAATAGTAAAATATAGTCACGGCCAAATCTGTATGGGTGCACGTCATCAACGGCATATGACGTCAGCGTTAAGGTCTATTCATACGTGCCCAGACACAATCTAACGCTCGTGTATTGTTGACTGTTTATAGCGGTGGGGTCTGTTATTAAGATGGAATTATAACGTCCTTGTTATAATCTTCTGCACTAACTAATTAGGAGTTTGTTACAGGCAAATTTTTATTAAATGTGTTTAAAGAGAAAACAAACGGAGTTTATTATATTTTTATTACATATGCACATAACAAAAAATTCTAAATTATCAGAAACACAAAATATATAAATTACCAGTCGTCCTTGTCATCAGAGCAAACCAGGTCAGAATTGAAGTCTGATTATTTCCCCAATTTTATTATTAATCCTTAATAATTAAGGGCGCAATGTCTTCGAAATCTAATAACGGCTAGTTGCCAACAAGCCTTATATCATTGTTTGCACAATCCAGGGATAGAATCTTATAAACATAATGTATAATATTATTTATAATAATTTGCAACAAACGATGCTTCCGGACGAAATGTCACAATTACAAAAATACGTCAAATATAAAATGACAGCGACCCATCAATAATATTGAACGGTGCGCGCCAGCCTTAAGCTATTACCAACTGGCACACACAAAAATTACTAAGTGAATGGTTTTATTTTGATAATTTCGTGAAAAAAGTTTTAAAACAAGGAAATTGTTACAGTTCTTGATAAACAATACGCAAATGAATGATTTCTTTTTAATAACACATCAGAATTACGCCTTAAAAAAGCAAATTTAACGGCAGTAACTTTACAATTCAAAGTTGGTAATGCTGACGTCATTATATCTCATTGATGACGTGCACCCATATAGATTTGGCCGTGACTATATATGATGTTATTTCAGTTTAATATTTTAAGACAGAATGTAAAATAAATCTTTAAATATTTTTTAGAGTATTATTTTGGATACTCAGAATTTGTGGTTAAGAGAATGGAGGTGTTTACTTGTTGGAAATTTGGTAGATGAAAATGTTGAAAATAATGTTTTAGCTGAAATAGAAGGGTTTTTAAATAAAAAGTATGTAATTTTTATATAATGTTTGTTTTATCATTCCCATGCACAATAAATCATATGTAAATGTCTTTAATGTTTTAATTTTTTTAGCCCACCAGATGAAACCATTACAGAGAAAACAATGCAAATTTTATTATCAGCAGTTAAAAGTGCAGGTTACTTAAAAAATAACGAATTAAAAAGGATAATGCAGCATTTGTTTTCTAATGCAGATTTAATAAAAAAATCTGCACAGTTTATTAAAACTCTATCTTCAAAGTTTGACATAAAAAATCTCCAAAAAAATTCTGTTATTCTTATAGTGGATGATGTAAGTACAAATTTTATTTTTTTTTTGTGAAAAAAGTTTCTGGTAGAAAAATGAGAAGATGTAATCAATTTTGTCAATGGGACCTTTTCATGTGGAGTATAGTAGCTACCTAGCTAGAGATGTAACAAAAAAACCTTTTTAATGTATTTTTTAAATTTAATTTATTTTAAACTTTCTTTTATTAATTCAAAAAAATATTGAATAATAGCCCGCATTATCTCTTGTATAATAATATCCACTCCTATTGCATAATATTGTTTTTATTTTGAATAATGATAAACATAAATTCCCTGCCTAACAACGTGAATAATGAAATCATTATTCATGTTGTTAAGCATCAGTGATTGGCCCATTTCAATATTCACTGTGATTTGAACCAATCAGGTTTTAAATTGGGAGAAGGCGACTATAATAATATTTCAAATTGTTAAAAAGTGAGGTTAACCATTTGACAGATGTCAGATTTTATTTAAAAATTTTTGAAAATCATTTAATTATTTTATTATTGGAGTTTATAAATCATAGTATCAAGATTATGCGCATTATCTCTCCTATAATAATATACTATTATTCAACACCCATTTCATTTCTTAAATTTAACCAGTCAGCGAAATTTTACTTCTTCCACAGGCTGAAGTTGGCTTTAAGTTAAAATTGGAAAAGTGCGGTTAAAGTTGTTTGACAGCTGTCATATTTCAGATTGAATATGAAATAAAATCGGCTTTAAACTTCTTGTATACTGTTATTGCGAATTATTGTAGCAGTTTTTTTTCATGATATTTTCTTTCTAAAAAAGGAACCGTTTATTACTTACATCTCTAATAGTACCCATCACTAAAAATCTAATATACTATTATTCACCCATTTCATTTCTTAAATTTAACCAGTCAGTAAATTATTGTAGCGGTTTTGACAAAAAACAAAAAAAAAAATTTCGTGATAGGTATTTTCTTCCTAAAAAACCGTTTATTACATCATTACAAAAATTTCTTTAGTTATTAAAAAAAAATTGACATTTTTTTATTTCTAAACTTATCCCGTATCGAATTCAACGAAACTTTCAGAGATTTTTTGATACTGCAGGTTTCCAGACAATTCTTCAGCAATTTAGACATATTTGTTATGCGTCAAAATGTTTGGGAATTATTTTAGGCTTTAGATATAATTCCATGGGAACTGGTTGATACTTTAAGCAATGAACCAGTATCCAGACTACCTTCCTTACATTTCGTTTTTTCTTTATTTGACGAGCACAAAGACGACATCAAGGATGGTTTTAAAATAATAACAGAATACAAAAAAGGGTTGTACATTGTCAACCCAGATGAAGACCTTAAAAACATGGAAATAAGAATCATGAACTTTTTTACCTACTGGTGCCCGGAATGGACTGGAATTGCTGGGTACAAACCTTCTGATGAGGAATTCTATGAGCACCTGACCAGTTCAGATATATTTTCGTGAGAAAACTAATCAATAAAAGTTGTAATGTAATGTATTACAATTTTTTTTAGATACAATGGTCATGGTAGTGGAAGCCAACACATGACCACAGAAAGAATACAAAATGTTCATGTAAAGGCTATAGTTTTGTTATTTGGATGTTCCAGTACTAAAATTGAGAGATTGGGCTCACAATTAGGCTACCATGCAAAATATTACAACTATTTAATGGCTAGATGGTATGTTATTTACTTTTATATTTGTACTACTATTAGGTTTTTAAAGTGTCGGAAAAAAACCGGAAAAATTGGGGAAAAAACCTGTTTTTTCCGTTTTTTTCCCAGGCCTTTTTTGGGAAAAATTGATTTTTTTTAGAAATATACATTTGAAAAAAAGTAGCAATCAACAACTTAACATTATTAATAATAGTAATAAAAAATCCTTTATTACAAAAAAAAATTACAACTAAACATTAAATTAAATTTAAGAAAATAAACGTAAACGTGAAATACGTATACTTTCTGTTGGATTTTTTTGTTACAAAATAATGAATGATTTATAAAGTTAAATTACAAAATTATAATTTTATAAATCGAAGTGTTAAATAAAAGTTATGTTAATATAGCACCAAATATGTTTTTTTGCGGCCCGGTAGAATATTCTTACTGAATTAAAATTAAAAAAAGGAATAATTATTATAATCATAATATTATATGATTATAATCAGCATCGGAAATTCACGGATACTATCCGTAAAAATTTGGAAATTTAAAAAAATGCATTTTTTGTATTACCCTTTGAATAAAATTTAAAAAATTAGCAAATTTTTCTGAAAATTTCCCAATTTTTCCGTTTTTTTTTCGTAAAAAAACGGTTTTTTTCCGTAAAAAAACCCGTTTTTTTTCGCCGGCTCCATTTTTCCAGAAATTTTAAAACCCTAACTACTATACAGGGTGAGTCATTTCACTTGAAAATTTGAATTATCTCAGTTAGTATGCATTTTACGAAAAAATGTTTAAAATTAAATGATTCGAGGGGGGAAATCAATCAGTACTAAAATTGGTCCTCATACTCTCCTCCCTATAGGGGGAACAGGGGGTAACTTTAATATTTCCAATGGAACACCCTATTTTTTATTGCAGATTCGGATCATTCGACTAAAAATAGGTAGATTTTGTCTAAAACATTTTTTCATATTTGTAATATATAGCGCTGTAATGAAAAAAAAATCAATTTTGTTCGATTTTTCTTCTGTATACCATTCTGCAATAATTTTTCTATAAAAATATCACTTTTTTGGTAATAATTATCTTATTAAATTAAATCTGATTTTTTTAAGTACCTACGATTTTTTAACTAATATTCAAGTTTCCTTTGGTTTAAGTTTTATACATTATTTCATTCGGTGATCATTATCAATTGCGCACCATGGTCACTTTTTACCTGCCAGAATTAAATCCTTTAATTTAAAAGATTATTGTACTATTTTTAATAAAAATACCTCATTTAAGGTAAAAAAACATTATTTTGTCAATTAATTAATTTAATCCTAATTGAGGTATACAAAAATGGTATTTAGTTATAAATAATAATTATACATAGTTTAGCATTATTTAATCAATTAAGTTAGAAAATTAATTTGCAAACAAAAAGACCTCCTTTCGTTAAGCAGTTATTCATAAAGGATTTTTTAACAGTGGAAGAAAAAATAGAAATGATTTTGATTTATGGAGCAGCAGGCAGGAATCTTGATGATGCTGTTAATATCTACGCTCAGCGTTTTCCGGGAAAAATTCGATCACGTACTTCATTTCACCGCACAGTCGAGCTGTTTACTACAAACGGGAGTGTTCAACCGAAAAAAAGTTCGTTGAGCAAATATTTAATTTTGTTATTTAAAATTTAAAAAACAAATAAATAAATTAAAAAAATAAAACCAAGTATTTTATTCAAAAATTATTGGAGAATCGTATACAGAAGAAAAATCGAACGAAATTGATTTTTTTTTCATTACAGCGCCATCTATTAAAAATATGAAAAAATATTTTAGACTAAATCTACCTAAATATACTTTTAGCCGAATGATCCGAATCTGCAATAAAAAATAGGGTTTTCGTAAAATTAATACTAACTGAGATATTTCAAAATTTCATGTTAAATGACTCACCCTTTATTACAAGCAGGAAAAAATATTTTACATTTCTCAGAAAATTTAATTCTTGATAAAAAAAACAAAAAAGGCAAAACATCATTTTTACTGTCTATGGTTGTTTTGCAATTTTAATTTTTCTTAAAAAAAAATTTTTAATAAACATTACCTACATAATTTTAGTCCAAGTGTTGTTGGAATGCTATGGGAAGTAATGGATATAGACACAGATGTCATAACCACAGAATTTTTAAGCCAGTGGATACCGTCAGATGCCCCAATTCACTGGAAACATGTTAATAAAACCAAGTGGAAAAAAGCTGAGCAAGAAAGTAAATTCCTTTATTGATTTTTTATTACTAAACCATAAATAATAAACTTTTTTTTCAGTAAAATTTTCCCTAGATGAGACCCTTGTGACAGGATGTGTAAGTTTGGAACCTGAGCTATTAAGGGCTTTGTGTCTGGCAAAAAAAGAAGTGCAACAGCTTATTACTAAGGCAGCGTGTGTAGTTAGGGGTATACCTGTTAAAATTGAAGTAAAATAGTTTAAATTAATAAAGTGATACTTTGTAAAATATTCTTTTTTTTATATTGAAACCCTCTTCAAGCAAAAACACAAAACATACTTGTACTATTGAAAGTACAGCTCTCAGATGGCATGCATAACAATAAGCATTACACAAAGAACACCAAATAAGCAATGTCCATTTTTTTAATATTTGATCCTCCTTATTTAGTCTTCTTGAGCCAAACACTGGCGCGAGGATTTTGATCTTAGACGATAGACAACATTGTCTATGATATACGCGTCCAGAGGTTTATGGTCTGAGGTTCGAACATAAAGTAGTTCCATAATAGAAGAAACCCATATACATAGTTTGAATCATGAAGTAGTTCAGATGTACCGCAGGCGGCCTAACCTCAAATTTTAAAAATGTTTACAAATTAGCTCAAGTCACACAAATTACCATGTTACCATTAACAAGAACCCTCAGATCCCTAACAAAACAACGTACAGGCATCAATTATTTGAAAACATCGGCCCCACTGCAGGTATTTTGGGAAAGGACCGACAAAGGCGGCTACAGAGATGATAGGCAATACCCCCCTTTCAAAGACCGAATGAGAGAGGGCTTGAAGGAGCTAAAAAAGGAAATAGTTTTGTGGAAACAAGAAGTAAAGGACCACTTTGAGGGCGATCCGGTTCTGATATTCAGGCCTGGGGAAGTGGATGTTCAATGGAAATTCAATAAACCGGAATGTTTAGATAAATGGATTGTGACCACTGACAGTGATAATAATGAGGGTTATAGCACTGCCAATTTAGATTTAACACAGTACGGAAAAGGGGCCTTTACTGGACATTTATCCATGAGGGTGCCCAAGGATGGGAGGGTCAAAAGGGCTGGCTATTGCAATATGAGGACGATTAGGGCAAGGGTGAGCAAGTAGAATTAAAATTTTTAAGTTGTTATTAAATACTTGCTTTTTAGAAATCTTTTAAAAGGGAGAGTCATTTTAATTGGACCAGCTATAACATGTTGGTAATGAGGGTCAGGGGAGATGGACGTTCATACCTATTAAATATTAATACAAGGGGCTACTTTGACATTACCTGGAACGATATGTATCATTATGTGTTGTTTACAAGGGGAGGACCGTACTGGCAGTATACAAGGGTAATTATTTACCGCACTAGTGCGTAAAATAATTATTCACGCTATTTGTATTTCAGATACCATTTTCAAAGTTTTTCTTAGCCTCGAAAGGTAGAGTTCAAGATATGCAAACGTCCATGCCTCTAGATAAAATCACAAGTTTTGGTATAACAGCTGCCGAAAGATTTGAAGGAGATTTTGCGTTAGAAATTGATTACATTGGTTTAGAATATGACCCTAATCATGTGGAAGATTTTGCCTATGAAATGTATGAAATGCCCAAATACATTGTTGCCACTTAGTTATCGTTTAATAAATTAAATTGTTAAAATAAAATGCGCCTTTTTTAATTTATTTTTACTCCCACATTGACACTTGCGTTATAGTAACGGGCTGAAGTTGGCTTAATATAAAGTGAGGTTAAAACCGTTTGACAGATGTCAGATTGGGAAAAAGTGAGGTTAAAACTGTAACATGTCAATTTGACAAATATAATTGAATTATTAAAAACTACTTGGTTTTCATTGTAGATAAATTATTCAACTCGTTTTATAAACTTCCAATTTACTATTACGTAAGATGGTTATGTAATAGTATATTATGTATCAAGTTTTATAAATGCCATTTTAGTTACTAGTTTAATTAAGCACGAGCGAAGCTTGCGAGCGAGTGTTTAATAAAAACGAGTGTCTAGAAAAGTTTATAAACGAGTTGCATACTATACTTTATCTACGACGAACACAAAACAGAATTTAAAGCCAATTTTATTTGTTAAAATTTTGACATCTGTCAACTGTCACCCGAATTTAACCTCACTTTTTCCCAATTTATAATAAAGCTAACTTCAGCCCGTGACGTAAAATGTCGAAAAGCCACTGTTGTTAACTTCAGCCCGTCAATAAAACGCCATAAACTTACAGCTCGTCAATGTAGGAGTAGATAAAATTTATTTATCTCAATGTAGGAAGTAGGTAGGTCAAATAAATCAGTGGTAGTTCATTTGCACTAATAACATGCCGTTTTTTAGAATTTATTAACAATTATTGCAATGTTTATTATTGTTAATTAAACAACTTATGAAATGAAAAACTGTAAGTAGCAGTAATTAACTGGAATATCTATAAATTTAATTTTCCAATTTTAGGTTAAGTACAAAGGATTCATACATTTTATATTACTTCCAAACCAAAAATGAACAGCATTAAATTTTCTACTAGCCTTATCAGAACGCTGTACAATAACAACAAATATGCCTTACTTTGTTATGAAAGTCAAAAGTTAAGTGTACAGTGGCATTTCGAGCATACAAAGCGATCATTGCTTAAGAATTATCAAAAAAGATTCTGTTCGACCTCAAATAATGACAATGGAAGTTTTCCTGCCAGTAAAAAATTAGTTAAGGATGAATTAAAGGCCTATTTTGAACACAATAAAGAACGTTTAAAAGACACAAACATTAGGTTTAAGGAAAAAAGAGATGTTATCATACAGGATATCAAGGAGACTAGAGATAAAGTTAAATCTAAAGTAGAAGAAGTCATAGAAGTAATGAGAGTTGTATTTGTTTAAAAGGGTTTTAATTTATTTATTTCAGAGGGAAAATGTGTACACGATCCCAAATTTTTTGTGTGTTGCAAGAATTGCGATGTCTCCTTACCTAGGCTACCTCATAGTGCAGGGTGACTTTAACTATGCTTTGGGAGTCATGGGCTTAGCAGCTTTGACCGATTTGGTAAAATATTTTTTATATACAATGTATATCAATGGGGTAGTTAAATTTTTTTTGACCTATACTTTTTATGGTTTTATTCAAGGCGTTTTGTAATATTAAACATTTCTGTAAAATCAGAATTTCAATTGAGTTTACCGTTTTCGAGATATTTACAAAAAATATAAATTTTTTTGACGTCACAAACCTCGCCATGTGACCAACATTCTAAGATTTCTATTGGTTGAAAATTACCCTGTTGTCAAGTTGTCTTGTTAATGATTTCATTCGGTTATGTCAGAAAATACCCGAAGAGGTTATGTACAAATACTGTCAATGTCAGTTGAGTGAAAGATGGTCACCAAATTCATTAAGTACCTATCTTCCTTATTACGAGGTATCATATTACTGTTTGATATTTTAGAGTCCAAGATATATCTAAAAGAATATAAAGAACTAGGCATTATACTAATGAAATGCATTTACGACAAAATATGATTATAATTATAGGTACTTACTTTATTTGATTAAAAGCTCCAATGTTCAATGTAACATACCATTCCACAAGATTCCTCTGCTTTGGAGTCCGTTATTAATAAATCACTTATCTAATATCAATTACAAATAACATAACAATAACATTGATTTTCAATAATCTAAATTTAAAAAAAACATAACCCGAAAAAAAGAAACGCCAAAAAATCAATTCTTCTTCTTCTCAACTAAAATTATAGATCAAGTGGTTTTAAAACTAAAATATTATAACGTGGCGCCATCTATCGTAAGAATGTTAAACTAAACACACTGGCAACCATAGAAAAAGCTGGCAACGTTGTCAATAGCCTAGTGACGTAATTAGGAGATTTTTTTTGTAAATATCTCGAAAACGGTAAAGTCAATTGAAATTCCGATTTCACAGAAATGTTTAAAATTACAAAACGACTTGAATAAAACCATAAAAAAATTTAACTACCCCATTATCAAACAATAATTGTTGTAATTAGCTAGATGGGTGGATTGCCAGAACATGGACGAGCCAGTCATCAAAGATGGGCAGTTTTCTGGATCCCATGGCTGATAAAATATTAATCGGGACGCTTTTTTTAACCTTAACTTACGCCGATTTAATCCCAATAGCGCTGACTGGTTTAATCATACTTCGGGACGTTATGTTGGTAGCTGCAGGGTTTGTTATTCGGTACATGTCACTTCCACCACCGGTAAGTCTTCCATACGATTTTTTTCTTAATATGCATGATTTTTTTGTAGAGGACGTTAAGTCGGTACTTCGACGTTACTCATGCTACAGCCCAGTTGGCGCCCACTTTTATTAGTAAAGTTAATACTGCAGTTCAGTTGCTTTTAGTTGGGTCCACTTTGGCGGCACCCGTTTTTGATTATGTAGGGCATCCAGCCTTAGAGGGATTAGTGTAAGAAATTATTATATTTATCTCTACATTTAATACACTAGTAAGACCTTTTGACAGATGTCAGATTGGGAAAAAGTAAGGTTAAACCCGTATGACACCTGTCAGATTGCTAAAAAGTAAGGTTGAAACTGCCTGACAGTTGTCAGATAAAATGTCAAATAAAATTTTTAAATTAATATTATATTATACCATGTATAATACTTCTATGAGAATCTTTTTTATTTGAAGAGTTACAAGGTCAATTAAATTATAAAAAATGTTGGGAAATTACAAGGCTATTAAAAACTAAAAACCTTTCAAATCCAAAAATCCTTAGCTTTGTTATTCCTGGGATTTTTTAAACAAAGTAAATTTAACAAGTAAACATACACATTTTTGTTCATTTTCATAAAATTTCTGTTCTACTATATTTTTTTTTATAATGGCCACCATAACTTATGTAGTTTATTAAATTATTGGATGCTTTTGTTTTTTTTATCTAACCATGGATAATTCCAATATGGCGGCTTTAGGAAAAACAAAAGATGGTTTTGTTTTCTCAAAATCCAGTGACCGAAAAAATCATAAATCGGATTAAAATGTAGATAAATGTGTGTTTACATGTAAAAATTACTTTTTTCAAAATTCCCAGGTATAACCAGGTGATAACGATTTTTGGTTTTGACATTGTAGCTCTTCAAATAAAAAAGACCCATACATAGAAGGATACTTGGTATATTTAACAAATAATTTGTTTAAATCCATATATTTTCTAGTTAATTCTATTTAAGGCATTTTGATTTCTGGCAACCCTATACATAATATACACTGCCCGTCAAAGTTAACGCATAATAAGTAAAAAAATTGTAACTCTAAAACGCCTTTAACAATCTTTATAAAATTTTAGATAAAAATACTTAAACTTATATCTCAGTTTACGTGTTCAAGGGTTTTTAGAGAAAATATCCTTAAATCCATTTTATTTAATAATAAAAAAACTTAAAAAAAAAACTTTTATAGGGAATTTTTTTTAAGTAAAGAAAAAATATGCTGTTAAATACCGTATTTTTGTAAGTATACACTGAAAATGTTGTACTAATCAAACGAACAGTAACGAAAATACAGCGCTTTAAAGTCGTCAAACTTTTCAGCAAAATAATCAAAAAGGGGTCATTTTTACCGACTTTGAAACACTGTATCTTCGTTACTGTTCGTTTGATTTGTACAACATTTACAGGGTATACTAACAAAAATACGGCCTTTAACAGTATATTTTTATTTACTTAAATAAAGTTATTTTTCAAACGTTTTTTTATTATCATAAAAGGGCTTTAAAAATATTTTCTCAAAAAACCCTCAAACACGTAAACTGAGATATAAGTTGAAATATTTTTATACAAAATTTCATAGATTAGTAAAGGCGTTTTAGAGTTAATTTTTTTACTTATTATGCGTAAATTTTGACGCGCAGTGTACCATTAAATTCGTATCCAAAGCTTTTATATACAGGGTGGTCCAAAAGGAACCTTTAATATTAAAATTAATAAGAAACGTTAAAATAATTTTAATTTTCTGTTAATATTTTTTAATGTTATTGTTAATTTAGTTTATTTCAAAATAAACATTTTTTATTTTTGATATAAATTACCAAGAATGAATTCATTAATGAAAATTTTATTAAAAAAAAAAACTAGATGAAATATGAGAAAAATGATAAAATTTAATTGAATCAGTGAGAATAAGAACAAAAATTTAATTTTGACAAGTCATTTTCTAAAATCAATTTTAAAGTTCAAAATACATTTTTTTGAGAAGATATAAATCATTTTACAGAATATGAATATTATATTTTATAAAATAGTTAAAATATTCTTACAAAAATGCATTTAGAACTATAAAACTAATTCAGTTACCTACAATTTAACTTTGAAACGATAAATTTCATGATAAATTTTTTTTATTAATCAACTGCTTAGGTATTTTAAAAATGGCAAAAAACCTTGAGAAAAATCATAAAATTTGATTACAAATTTACTGTGAGACGAAAAAACCTTTTTTCATTAATCAACTGCTTATTTTGAAAATGTGAAAAAAACTTGAGAAAAATCATTTTTTTCATTAATGACTGCCTATTTTGAAATTTTAATACAAATTTGAGAAAACTGATATAATTTAATTACAACTTTTGTAAAACAAAAAATTTTACAAAAAAAAACCTTTTTTCATTAATCGACTACTTATTTTGAAAATTTGAGAAAAATAATAAACTTGACAGTTTTATTTTGACCTTGTTCGTGTACGCATCGTTAAAAAAATAAAACTAAATTTAGTCGTGAAACTTAAACTCAAATAGTGTAAGGTGTCACATAATGGAAGTGGATGATGAAAATGCAGAGGGAGAATTTACCATACCGGCCTATAATAAGAAAAAACGAAAAAAAAATAACGACTCAGATACCACTGAATACACAGAAAACGAGATCGCCGAAATTATAGGAGTAAACAAAAACAAAAAGTATACAAAAACAACAAGTGATAAAAACGCTCGTACAAAAAACCAAGCATACCACACACAATCAGATTCAAACACAAGTTATAAAGCTACTCATACACGTCAAACAGCAGAAACAAACAACAATCCTACAACAAGTAACTCATCACTTTCACCGAAAATGCAAGCTATATTTAGAAAAACCTATGAAAACGTTTTCTATATAACTGCTCCAGATGAACTAACAAGAATCCAACTGGCGGACAAATGGGCAACCTACTTTAAAAACTCAAAGGAAATAATCTTAAAAACACAAAAAGGATTTATTATCAAATCAAACAATAACAAACAAAACACCTTAGCTACCCTTAAAATATTGAAAGATTGTGGTTTTATTAACACATACGAATTATCCAATAATACCCCACAACAAACAACTTCAAAAAAAATACATAACCAATCCTTCTCGGCAGTGATATCGAATGTTGACATAGATATTGAAGAAAAAGAAATAAGTGTTGTTTTAAAAGATAACGGAATCGAACACAGGTATTGTAAAAGAATAATCTCTAAAAAAACAAACAAACCCTCCTTATACATAAGAATCATTACAGGAGAGATTAAAGCATATGAAAAGATAATTAACGAAGGGATTTACTACAAATTTCGTTACTATCCAGCATACCCAAGTCATCCTCCTGAACCGCTACCAATACCATGTGCAAAATGTTCCCAATTTTCCCATACAACTGAAAATTGTAACACAGAGGCAAAATGCTCGAAATGCGCCGGAAATCATAAAGATAGGGAATGCAAAACCAATTTACCCCCATCATGTACAGCTTGTAGGTCTACAGAGCATGTTGCTTGGTCAATTAAATGTCCAAAACGCCCCATGAAACCTATTGAAGGTATTCCAAACATTAAAATTCGTTCCTTAAACAAAACTACAAGTGAAATAGACAAGAAAATTACAAAAAATCATAAAATTCATTCGGCGGTGACAATTCATGATTATATTATCAATACGTACATAAAAAAAATAAATAAACCAACAAATACAGACAGGCAAGAACTAATTTCTAGATTACAAAAACGTTTTATAGACGGTTTTAATATAAACACTGTGCCAACATTTGTGGGAAATCGCCTGTACATTTTGATGTTCGATTTAGATGAAGAAAACAGTCACTCCCCAACAGAACCCAATGATGGAATCCAAATTCATGTCAACAACAATTAAATTTATTTATTCAAACATCAACAGCTACATTACAAAAAAACATTTAATTAACCACTATATTGAACAAAATAATATTCAATGCAGCATGTTTGTAGAGACAAAAACAAACGAAGATCGTTCCATGCAATATAGGGATTGGACAACCATATATAAACATGGCAACATACTCAACAATAATACAAGAGGGGGTGCTTTGGTTCAAGGTGATCGCAGGCTTAAAATAGGTAAATCAAATCCTCCACACTTTAACAACCCCTACAATGATGTGTTACATTTTACTATTCCTTACAAAACCGACAAAATACACTTTTTTTTGGTTTACATGCACCATAGTAATAGATTAATAGAGGAAAATTTATTTACGAAAGCATCACAGTACAAATATGCAATCATCATAGGAGATTTTAATGTTACAAATAAAAGAAAAAAACAAATACAAAACTTTTTAAACAATTCAGATTTCACCCAAATCCACACCCCTCCTACTTTTATAATGCCAAATAATAGTGACACTACTCCAGACATTTTGCTCTGTACAAAAAACATCATTAACAATATCACAGAAGTAGAACTAATACCTGATTTAGGATCCGATCATCTTGCCATTCAATTTAACTTTGATATAGAAAAAAATCCACAAACCATTCCAGAAAACATCAAATATAATTTTAAAAAAAGTAATATAGAAGCTATAAATAATGAAATCATCCAGACAATGAACCTACATGAGAATATTTCTCCTCAAACAATTGACTCCTTTCTAAAAAATATCACCAAAATTACTCTAAAACATACTCCTATTTTAAAAACAAGCTTCTTTGCACATACATTACCACCATTCATCATAAAACTAATTAAAATAAAGAAACAACTATATAGAGAGATAAAAATTAATTACGACCCTATACTTAAAAGAAAATACAACGAATTAAATAAGGATATACATACATTAATTCTACAATATAGGGCAGATAAATATCTAGAAGCATGCCAAAATATCAACGTAGCAAAGGGTCGGTCATACTGGGGTGAAATAAAGAAACTCTCTCGATATAAAAAATATAACCACATTCACTATATAAAAGAAGACAATAAAATCTTACAAACAGAGCAAGAAATTGCTGATGCCTTTGCAAGACAATTTGAAAAAAATTTTAAATTTACGGAAAATGTAAGTTTTGATGGAAATTATAAAAATAATACACATAACTGGGTAAGAGATAACTTTACTCAAAGAAACTTAAATGAAAATATAGAAAATGTAACTGAAGACGAATATTTCGAGAGTTTGAACGGGAAGAATACGGCACCAGGGCATGATCAAATTCCTAGAATGGTTTTAAAGCAATTTGACCAGGAAATCCATGACCAAATAATAAAAATTTATAACTTCTGCCTGCATAATAGTTATTTTCCGGAAGAATGGAAGAAAGGAAGAATAATTACCATTCCTAAAGCGAACTTGGATCACACTGTCCCAGGCAACTACCGGCCCATCACCTTATTGCCAGTTGTCGGAAAAACTTTTGAAAAAATTATTAAAAATAGATTAGAACAGGCCATTGGACATAAAATCCCAATATACCAATTTGGATTCAAGAGACAAACTTCCACTACTCACCCACTAATTGTTTTAACATCAAATGTACAACAGAAGAGTATAGAGGGAAATAAATCAACTGCGCTGTTTATGGATATTTGTAAAGCCTTCGATTCCGTATGGCACGATGGGTTGCTGAAAAAATTGGTGAAATTGGAAAGCCCGAATTATTTGGTATGGATAATAAAAGAATTTCTCACACAAAGGAAAATACAAGTAAAAATTGGCAATACACTATCCCCCACCTTTTCACCAGAACAAGGAGTGCCACAAGGCTCACCATTATCACCGTTCTTGTATAATTTATTTTGTTATGACATGTACAATTTGGACCACTTAAACATAAACAGACAGAGCTATATTCTCCAATATGCTGACGACACAGTTTTGATAACGCATGGAAAAACGACAACTGAAGCAACTGTGAAACTACAAGAACTAACCAATCAGGTATCGTCATGGATGTCTAAATGGAGAATCCTACCAAGTCCGTCAAAATCACGCCTACTACTGTTCCATCACAAAATAAAAGAAAATTCGCCCACAATAAATATTATGCAAAGTACAGTAGAACCTTCAACATCATGTCGTTACCTGGGAATTTTGATAGACTCCAAGTTAAACTTCAAACAACACACAAGCCACACCAAGACATGTATTATAAACAGGGCCAAGCACTTTAGAAGCTTAACTTATAAAGACCAGGGAATAAATATTGCTGTGGCAACCAACATTTATAAACTAATCTGTCGCCCAGTGCTGGAATATGGATCAGTTCTTTTTATAAATTGCAGAAAACCCACCCTAACAAACATAGAGATAGGTGAGCGCACAAGCATAAGGAAAATTACAAAAATCAGACATCCTCAAAATTCCTTATTTAACCCATCCAATGAAGCCCTTTACCATATCACTGGAATACAACCCATACAAGAAAGATTGGAATACCTAGCGAAAAAATTTGCCAACAAACCCGAAAACCTTAATGTGATGGAACCTTTGATTCTTAAAACACAACTCGAGACAACACCAAGGAGAAAATACCCAGAGAAATCGTTGTATGACTCACTCAGGGAATTGACAGAAGAATAATGAAAGATATTAACAATATATTTAATTATAACATTTTTTTTTTTTTTTTTTTTTTTTGTAATAAACTTGAATTACAATTTTACTGTTAAATGATACATTTTATGAAAAAACCTTTTTTTTATTAATCAACTGTTTATTTTGAAAATGGGAAAAAACTTGAGAAATTGATAAAATTTAATTACAAATTTTACGAAAAAACCTTTTTTCATTAATCAAATGCTTATTTTGAAAATGTGAAAAAAACTTGAGTAAAATCATAAAATTGAATTTAAATTTTAATGTTAAATGATAAATTTTATAAAAAGACTTTTTTTTATTAATTGACTGCCTATTTTGAAATTTTAATAAAAATTTGTGAAAAATTATATAATTTAATTACAACTTTACTGTAAAACGAAAAATTTTATGAAAAATCTTTTTTTTATTAATCAACTGCGTATTTTAAAAATGTGAAAAAAACTTGAGAAAAAGAGGAAAAATTATAGATTTATTTACAATTTTACTGTAAAACAATACATTTTATGAAAAGACTTTTTTTTGTTAATGACTGCCTATTTTTGAAAATGCGAAAAAAACTTTTTTTTTTAATATTACATAACCATTACTTTTGAAACTATATTTTTTACTTTTTTTAGGTATGTCACAGGTGCTACCACAATAGCTGCTGCCTTGAGTTACATTCTATCCAAAAATACATATAAATTCCTCAGAAACCAACAAATGCCAAAATAATATATACTGTTGGTTTATTTTGTTATAATATTGTAAATATTTGCGAATATAGGGTACCACTTTGTGTTAACTAATTATTTTTTTAAAACAAAACAATTTTTTACGAAAAACTATTTTATTAAGGTAAGAATTTTTTTTTAATTATGGCTGTGAAATATAATATAAAACAAACAAAACAACTAACAAATATCAACCCTGAGATTCTTGAAACATAATTAACACTTATAATCTTAAATGCTATAAAACACAACAGAATACTGCTTAGAAAAAGTACAAACATTAGAGTATTTTGGAAACTAACTTAACAAACATTAAAATAAACAAGTTAGGTAACAAAACCTATTTTACTCGGAATCACTTTCAATTTTACGTTTATTGGTGAGTTTAATTCCCTTCCCTTTTTTCTTTCCCTCCCCTGAGGGTTCCCCAAAATCATATTTCCTCTTCAACCGCTCTCGGATCAAAAGACCCTTAATAAGCCTCTTCCAATTTCCATAGACCCTTTTATCTATTTTCTCCCCCTCCTTCTTCTCAATCTCGATTTGTTCCTGTTAAAAAAACAGTAAAGAAAATACCAAACAAGCGCGAATACTTACTTCCTCCCAGGCGGCAATTAACGTGTCTTTAAACTCCTCGCAAACCACGAATCCATCATAAGTGGGGTGACTCCAACCTCCATGAAAATCAAACCCGACTATCGCCGCAGCGCAGTCTATATTCAATTTTCTGGCCACTTTATTCAAACCTGGCACTAAAATTATTTTAGATTAGCCAAAAAAGTCACTTTTTTTTTTAAATATGTTAGATGATATTTATTTAATGAAATTTTTTTGTGTGCAATATTTTTGTGACACTAATGCTGGATTTATGCAGCACAAATTAACATTAAGTTAACATTAAGATTAAGATTAACATTAAGAAGTTAAATGAACGTAATCCATTGGAAGCTTTTATGCAACACATTAACATTAACTTTAGCATTAAGTTAACATAATAATATTTATTATACATTTGAAAAGTAAAATAAAAAAAAATCAGTAATTCGATATTCATTCATTTCTCAGTAAAAAAAATGTAAAGTGAGTACATTACTCATTAACATAAAAAATTGAAATTGAACATTTCAAAATACTCATTAGAAATTAAAAATGAGTATTGTTAAAAAGAATACATTACTCAATGAAAAAAATGTAATAAGTAATTAACTTAATTTTCATTAAAAAAAGAAGTAAAGCATAATAAAAATTAAACGCATTACTCATTATTTTAATAATGTGTATTGAAACCTTAACTATGGTTTTGCGTAAAAATCGAACAAATTTTTGTTTGCAAGTGATGCCAGAATTAAATATTTTTTAACCTTGTTTCTACATCTAAATGGTGCATTTTTTTCAACAAAAAAAATTCATACATTGACCGCTGTGGTTTTCAGGCCTTAAATCACTCTTCTGTGTTAAAAATAGATAAATTTCTATATTTTGTAATAACATTTTTATTTAAAAACGTATCCATTTGAAATTAAGATAAAAAATGTAATGGCAATAAATTCACCTATTATTTTTTTTAGATTTTAAATTTTACCATTTTTAAGGGTTAAAAAGTCGAAGAAGCAATGCTGTTTTATAATTTTGAGTATATCACGTTAAAGTAATGATAATTAACTATTATTTGATATTGTTTCTACGAGAGACGTCATTTTTAAGTTAGGCCTTCAAAGGGCATTCTTTTATCAAGTTTTATAAGATAATGTATATATTACATATTATACATTATATATTACATATAATATATTATATATAACATACAATTCTTACATATTTATTTAAAACAATCGCCATAGATGGAGCGAAATTACTTTTATTTATAGATTTAAAAAAATTTCAAGTTTGCTAATTTTGATCATAGTAGGCATCATAGACTTTTCTCTATGGTAACCTACCATTGGAAGCATGAAAGATAATTTGACAGTTTATAAGTTAAATGATTCAATTTTCTTTTACAATTAAAAAGTGAAATTGCTTACCATACAAAAGTGTCATTTTACTGACGTTTAAAAAAATTAGTTATTGTTAAATTACTTACATTGCAAGTGGACGCATTTTTTCGGCAACATACAAAGCTTGAATAGGTCCACGTTGCCAAACGCATTCCTAGGAACGACCCCGTTTTGGGCTGTAGGGGGGTCGTAGTCTTCCACTTGCCAAGGCCCAAACACCTCTAACATTTGGTCGGTAATTTTTTTGTTCGACAACTAAAAGAATCCAGAAAAATCACAAGTAGTATCGGGTTTTTGCAACGCGCGCGCCATCTGGTGGACTTCAAAAGCATTGCGTGAATTTAAGAATTGTCAACAATACATTTAAAGCATACGAACTGTACATCATTTTTAAATAAATACACTCACAGGCAAAATAATCGATCCACACAATTTTCGATGAATTTCAATCGCAAATAACTTTTTTATTTGATTTTGGATTTAAACAAATATTAAAGAATATTGTACATACATTAATGGAGAATCGCTCACATTTTAAAAATTAATAAAAAATACACGTAAGTTTATAATATACAGGTTTAAACAAAAAGATGTTTTTTACCATAAGTTTAAGACACTCTGTAGAGTGACAAAACCGTATATTGTTCTAAATTAAGTTTTAATTATCAAGTCACATATATTTTTAACAGTTTTGTTTTTGGTTCACCTTGATATATTTATTTTTGTGGAAAATATGGATTTAAAAAAAAACATTACAATTTCCAATATTTTTTCTGTATGAAGAACTAAGGTTGCTATGGCCCATCCATAGCCTATGGAGGATGACAGTGATAGTTTTGTTGAATCATCCCATACTTGGACATGTCATATACAGCTTTCAAAAGTTATCAAATTGTTTTTTGTAAATTAATGTGTTAATTTTGAGGTGTCTCCTTACTTTTAAAATTGTCTCCGACTGATGTTGCCCTTGTACTTTACTTCTTGTGAGGTTTAAAACACTTGCCACGTAATACTGTGACCGTCCATCTTGGATTAAATTAATGGCTCTGGCAACATCAGTCGGAGACATATCCATTTTTTAAAGTAAGAAGACACCTCAAAATTTAAACATTAATTTTCAAAAAACAATTTGATAGCTTTTAAAAGCCGTGTATGACATGTCCAAGTATGGGATGATTCAACAAAACTGTCACTGTCATTCTCCATAGCATATGGATGGACCATAGCAACCTTAGTTCTTCATACAGGAAAAATATTGGAAATTGCAATGTTTTTTTTTTAAATCCATATTTTCCACAAAAATAAATATATCAGGGTGAACCAAAAACAAAACTGTTATATATATTATATGTGACTTGATAATTAAAACTTAATTTAGGACAATATACGGTTTTGCCACTCTACAGAGTGTCTTAAACTTGTGGTAAAAAACATATTTTTGTTTAAACCTGTGTATTATAAACGTACGTCTATTTTTTGTAATTTTTTAAAATGTAAGCGATTGTCCATTAATTTATCTACAATATCCTTTAATATTCGTTTAAATCCGACATCAAATAAAAAAGTTATTTGCGATTGAAATTCATCGAAAATTTGTGTGGATCGATTATTTTGCCTGTGAGTGTAGGTAGTTTTTTCACAAAAGAGAGGAAGCCAGAAGTCTTACTCGACCAATTTTGTTCAATTGCACAGCTAAATCGCGCACGTTATTTGTGTTTTACGTTGCAATGAAAAAATTAAAAACTTTTTTAGTACTCGATTTCGATTGATTATTCCTATCACTGATTAAGAAAAGAACGCTTAAATGCTTATAAAGTTACGTTAGTGTGTGAATTTTATCTAAGGGATTATGGTGAATTATTGTGTTTTTTGTTGTAAATAAAATTCAAGAACTAAATCGTTGCATTTTCATGTTTTGCCAAAGGATCCAATTTGGTAAGTACATTTGTTGGTGCAGAATTAACTAATGATAACTTACCCTAATATAATTTATATTTAAGTTTGGACATTTTTAAGAAATTAGTAAAAAATAATTTTTGCACAAACATTACCTTAAAATCAACCATTTTTATATTTGAGTTCTCTAAAAACGCCGACAACTGCATTTTAAACAACAAAATATACCTACGAATTCATGGCAACATAATATTATATATAATACATATTATTATTTTACCGTTGAGTGGAGACTTTCTTAATCAACGCTTTTAATAATGCTAAATGCGGTTTTAATTTAGACGATTTTTATTGTTAATCACTACTAAAATGTGTATTTATTGTATCTAATAGGTACAATTTATATTTACAGAGACTGGATGCAATTTATTTCTTCATTCGGATTAACTCTTAACAACACACAAATCGAGCCACGGGTTTTTTCCGATATTTTTTAACATTTTCCGGCTTTATTCTCAAAAACACTCGTTTGTAACATAAGCGTTTGACAGCTGATTATTAAAAGTTGTACTTTTGTTACGATGATAACAGCCGAGTGGTGGCGCTACTAGCGTATATTAATAATAATAATAGTATTTTATTTATACTTTGCCTAGATATAATAGGGTGTACACGTCATTAAAGTAATGTGCATGGTTCATAAATACTTAGATAAATACACATATATACACACATATATTTGTACTTAAACTATGGTTTTATTTATAATTTAAAAATAAATGTATAAAAACAAAAAAAAACAGAACACTAGCATACATTTTTAAAGCTATGGTATCTAACATTTCTGAAAATATTTCTGAGTTGTAGAAACAGTGATTTGTCAGGAAGTTTTTACATTCGTTTTTAAACTTATTCATTTATTTATTTCTTTAATATTTTCTGGTAAATTATTGTATATTTTGGCTGATGCGTATGAGACCGACCTCTCGAATTTTGTTGTTTTGTGTGCAGTGGACATTATTTTATTTGCATTTCTTGTTGAATACGAGTGAAATTTGTTATTTTTGTCAAAGTTTAAATTATTATTTTTAGGAAATAGTGAACTATTTATTATATTAGTATTTTGTATGTTTTGAATGTGATTTTGCATGATTCGGTGTTTTTTAGGTTAAAGATAAGTCGGATAATTTTCTTTTGAGAAATAAATACATGTTTTGCATATCCAGAGCTCCCCCATAGGCAGATACAATAATTTAAATGACTGTAAGCTAATGCATAATAAACATTTAAAAGGTATTCATGAGACAGTGAATTTTTCATATTTAACAATGCAAAAAAGGCTCTATTCAGTTTTTTGTTAATGTGATTTATTATTGCATAATATTCTAATGTATGTTTTACCTTGTCATATTTCGGCCTGGCCTTCACACTTCTATACGGCTTTTCATCCATCTTGACTGTTTTAGCTTCTTTCAGCCAGATGTCCCTGCTTTTCAGTACGTACACGCAGTTCCGGGGAAACACCGGTTCTTTCCTCACGTAGCCTAAAATCGGCGGTTCCGGCGGATAGATCGCTTCGAACTTTAGCAGATGCCTTTCCAACGCGTAAAGTGGATGATTTTTGTACCTAAAAATTACAACGCAAGAATATTTAATGGGGTGGAAAATATTTAATTTCTCACTCTCCGATGACGGTTGGTAGAGGTTTTTCTAGTTGTTGTCTTTCCATTTCGTCGTCCTCCTCTTTGTCTCTCACCGTTTTGGTGCCTTCAAAGGGTTTAAGACTGCTTTCCCACCACTTGGCATCGATTCTGAGCTTTCTTGTGACTGTGTTAAAGTTTTGGCAGTACCTTGCTGAAATGTCTCTGATGTTGTTATTATTATTCCAAGCTACCACATAGGATATTGGATGGCTGGCTCTCGACTAAAAAAATTGTTTTTCAACTTCTTAATATTGTAGAAAGAATTTGAACTATTTTTTCGTTGTTTTTTATTTAAAAGGCAAATCGTATTTTAGTTTATCAATGTTATAAAAAGTTTTCAAATGTTAAAATCCTATTTTAGAATGATAAAAACATAGAGAAAATTTAAAATCAAAAAATTAAAAAAAAAACGGTCCCATTTAGTCAGTTTTTGAAAAAGTTATGGGTATTTGGAAAACAAATTTGTTTGAAAAAATTTAACTTTTTTTGCTGTATCCATATTTTAGTAAGAATATAATTTTTTATTTTTTTAATTGTTTTTCATTTATTATTATTTTATACCCACACTTTGTTTCTACAATTATACAGTTGATAATTATTACAAAAAGCAAATGTAAAATGGGAACCTTTTTGTATTTTAATTTCTTTATATTTATTGGCAGCAAAATAGTTTTATTTTTATTTTAACACAAATATATCCACAACATGTTCACACAATTAAACTGTATTAAATTGTTTTATTTTTAATATGCAAATAAAAATGCTTTCTTTTAACCCTACATTAAATAGTGGAGAGAAGAAATTATTATTATGTGGGTTTTTTATAAATAGATTGAAAATGATTTGGTACTTCTATTTTTATTAAAAATTATACAGGGTGTTTCAAACAGGGACGTTTAATATGAAAATATAAATTTGTTTAATATTTTTCCATATAACAAAAATAGACTGAATTTAAAATTTTAAAAATAAATATAAATATTTATTTATTATAAAAGGTGTCCCTGAGATTCCTGTAAGAAATGATACCACATATTCCTGATTACGAAATTGGAAAATTTTCAGAAAAATTGACTTTTGCATTATTTTCATTTTATTTAAATTGCAAAAGTAAATTTTTCTGATAATATCCAAATTTTTACAGATGATATTCGTACAATGATACCGAGGAAAAAAGTCCAACGCTGATAATAATGATAATTATTTCTTTTATTTTAATTCAGTAAGAATATTCACCGGCGCAAAAAAACCGTTTTCGGTGCTGTATTAACATGCAAACTTTAGATTTATTTTATTTATTATAATTTAGCTTTATAAATCATTCATTATTTTGTAATTGGATATTTTAAATGGACTCATTTTTGCAAAAAATACCCAACCGACAGTATATTTAAAAAGTTACGTTATTTTCTTAAATCAATTTAATTTAGTTTTATTTATTTTTTTCTGTAATAAAAGATTTTTTTTATTAAAATAATGTTAAGTTGTTGATTGCTACTTTTTGAAATGTATTTAAAAAAAAGACAATTATATATATATATATATATATATAATATATAATGTAAAATTTATTATGATAGCGAATAATCATTTAAAAAGATAATACAAGACTAACAATTTTGGAGCCAAAAGTGATACAAAAAATTTTCGTGGCACAGATTTGTGAAACATTGAACGATCTACTAAAATTTTCTCAAACTTTATGGTCTGAGGTCAAAATTTTACACATTAAATGGAAAAAATCGAAATTTCAAAAAATCTATATTTTTCAACGCAAATAAAAACGTGATGGTTTTTCCGAAAAATAATGTTCTACATAGTTTGCAGGAGAAATGAAGGTTAAAAAATCATTTTTCCATGTTAAATCAATGGAAAATCTTAAAATTCGATGATGGAGTTCTTCAAGTTGATATTAAGGGCTCAAATTTTTACAGAATTTTTTTTATAGCATATATAACAAGAATTTCACGTGCAATCGGAAAAAAAAATTATCGACTTTTTTGGAACACCCTAGTGTTAGTACTTTTTCTTTAAAACATTGTATACTCACAAATATTTCTTTAACGCAGTGTATCTGTCCAAAAACGACGTCCACGCTGATCCATTTCTCCTCAGCCTCCAAAAACACCTCGCACCAAACATCGTTGCCCTTTTTCTTCGGCTTCTCGCCCTTATCCTGCGGCGAAGCCTTCCTGTTCACCGACACCCGCTGCTTGACCTTGACCTTCGGCGCGAACTCGTCGTCGCTGTCGTGGTGCTTCTTCTCGATCGGATCGGGCGCGTAATCCGAGTCGGAATCCGAGTCGAACTTTTTCTTCGGCTTTTTGACCATTTTGGATCTGTCGATCTGCTTTTGTTCGGATATCCTGCCCTTGATGAGGCTCACGATGTCGTCCCGCACGTCCATCTGCTTCCCGGGCGGGGAGTGGTACTTGCTGGCGTTTTCTGAAACGGGCGATTTTTTGCTCGATTTTCCCGGCGGTTTGTTTTTCAGTCGGGACAGATTTATTTTGGGGGAGTTTACGTTTTTGACGTTGAAAGGGGTTCGGGGGCTACTAAATTCCTCACCTGAAGAAAATTAAGCGTCTCAAAATTTAAGTTTTGATACCAACTTTTAAATGATTTTTTGGGTTTATAGTTCAAGTAACATAGCTGAAAGTATCTTGAAAAATAAGATACTTAAAAGTAAGATACTTTATCTTAGAAAATAATAATTTATTAATGCCACCTCGATATATTTGTTTTTGTGGAAAATATGGATTTAAAAAAAAAACATTGCAATTTCCAATATTTCCTGTATGAAGAACTAAGGTTGCTATGGTCCATCCATAGCCTATGGAGGAAGACAGTGATAGTTTTGTTGAATCATCCCATACTTACATGTCATATACAGCTTTCAAAAGGTATCAAATTGTTTTTTGTAAATTAAGGTGTTAATTTTGAGGTGTCTTCTTACTTTTAAAAATGTCTCCGACTGATGTTGCCTTTTGTACTTTACTTCTTGTGACGTTTAAAACACTTGCCACGTAATACTGTGACCGTCCATCCTGGATTAAATTAATGACTCTGGCAACATCAGTCGGAGACATATCCGTTTTTTAAAGTAAGAAGACACCTCAAAATTTAAACATTAATTTGCAAAAAACAATTTGATAGCTTTTAAAAGCCGTGTATGATATGTCCAAGTATGGGATGATTCAACAAAACTGTCACTGTCATTCTCCATAGCCTATGGATGGACCATAGCAACCTTAGTTCATCATACAGAAAAATATTGGAAATTGCAATGTTTTTTTTTAAATCCATATTTTTCATAAAAATAAATATATCGAGGTGAACCAAAAACAAAACTGTTAAGAATAGATGCGACTTAATAAATAAAATTTAAGTTAGAACAATATACGGTTTTGCCACTCTACAGAGTGTCTTAAACTTATGGTAAAAAACATCTTTTTGTTTAAACCTGTATATTATAAACGTACGTCTATTTTTTTAGTAATTTTTAAAATGTGAGCGATTCTCCATTAATTTATCTACAATATTATTTAATATTTGTTTAAATCCGAAAGTTATTTGCGAAAGAAATTCATCGAAAATTTGTGTGGATCGATTATTTTGCCTGTGAGTGTATAAATATATAAAAATAAAAGTAGACATAATAATTGTTATAAAATGATTAAGATAAAAAAGTATAAAAATATAAAACATCACACATTTAAATCACAAAATTGTTGGATAGAAACTCATCCAGAGAGTAAAATGCCTTGGAAATTAAATATTCTTTTACTATTTTAAATCTATTGTAATCTAAACTACTTTTTAGAGGAATACAATTAAAAAATTCTATTGTATCTTTAAATAAGTTACTTTGGAAAAGTATCTTGTATCTAAAAAAGTATCTAAGTTACTCAGTGAAGTAACTAAAATTCAAGTAACTAAGATACTTTATTAGAGAAAATTGGGGGAATTCCAAAATGATTCAAAGTAATTACCTAACCTACAACTTGTTGAATTTTTATAATTTTATAGTTTTTATTCATACTTAAAAGTAACTTAGTTACTTTAAAGTATCTTGTAACTAAAGAAACTTTTATCTCAAAGTATCTAGTTTTTTAGGATCTGCTTTATACAGGGTGAGTCATTTAAAACTTTGAAATATCTCAGTATGCATTTTACGAAAAAATGTTTAAAATAAAAATTAAATGAATCGAGGGGGGAAATCAATCAGTACTAAAACTCATACTCTCCTCCTTATAGGGGGAACAGAGGGTAACTTTAAAATTTCCAATGGAACACCCTATTTTTTTATTGCAGATTCGGATCATTCGACTAAAAATAGGTAGATTTTGTCTAAAACATTTTTTCATATTTGTAATAGATGGCGCTGTAATGAAAAAAATCAATTTTTCTTCTGTATACGATTCTGCAATAATTGTTCTATGATTATTTCCCTCATCATAATATGAACCAATCAAAAGCCTTGCATTTTCGAATAAATTTCGTTTAAATAAGCGATTAAATCACTAGAACTATTTAACAGCGATTAAATTTTAGCCTCCATATTGGATTTTTGTTTTTCGATTTTATGGTGTTATTTTAAGTTTTAACAAACATTTTTAAAAAAACAATAAAAAATAAGTTATCTAGTTTACGAAATATCAATTATTACTTATTAAATACCTTAAATTAATGGAATTTTCTTTAAAAAAATATTTATAAATTTTGACACATACGTCAGATTTTATGAATTGTCAAATAGTTTCCTTTAATTCGAGAAATAATCTAGACGTATGATTTATTATCTATGGACATATATCACTCAACCTATAAATTTAATCTGTCAAACTCTGCTCAGTAAGTTTTTTATTTGATTTTTCTTTTTGGAAAATAGTTTCATGCAAAATAATTAAAAAAAGAAAAACCAAACAAAAAACTACTGAGCCTAGTTTAACCGATTAAATTCATAGTTCTCGTGATATAATATATGAATTTATCACATTTTTGGTAATAATTATCTTATTAAATTAAATCTGATTTTTTAAGTACCCACGATTTTTTAACTAATATTTATGTTTTCTTTGGTTTAAGTGTCAATTGTGATAATTATCAATTGCGCACCACTTTTTACCTGCCAGCATTAAATCCTTTAATTTAAAGGATTATTGTAATATTAAAAATACCTTATTTAAGGTAAAAACCCATTATTTTGTCAATTAATTAATATAATTGAGGTATAAAAAATGATATTTAGTTATAAATAATAATTATTATTGAGGTATAAAGAAACTATTTATAGTTTAGCATTATTTAATCAATTTAGTTAGAAGATTAATTTACAAACAAAAAGACCTTCTTTCGTTAAGCAGTTATTCATAATAGATTTTTTAACAGTGGAAGAAAAAATAGAAATGATTTTGATTTATGGAGAAGCAGGCAGGAATCTTGATGATGCTGTTAATATCTACGCTCGTCGTTTTCCGCATAAAATTCGATCACGTACTTCATTTCACCGCACAGTCAAGCAGTTTACTGCAAACGAGAGAGAAATAATGAAATTAATGTATTAGCAGCAACCGCCGCTAATCCTCATGCAAGCACACGAGAATTATCTAGAGGTTTGGGAATATCCCAGAGCAGTGTTAGCAGAAAATTAAAACGAAATGCGAATTAATAAATGCATTGAAGTCGAAGGCCACCATTTTGAGCACCTACTATAATTAAAATTTAAAAATAAATATTTTTTTTTTCATTACAGAGCCATCTATTACAAATAAGTTTTAATACATAAATTTAAAGTTGCCTTGAAAAACTTTTTAAGAACATAAAATGAAAACTAAATGGTTTAAATATAATTTTAAAATTTAGACATATTTTATAAATCTTACCTGAATCATTTTCCACCAATTTCTTCAAAGAAACTTTCAATTTCTTACTACATTTATCCAACTTCGGACATAATTCCTCCTTAGCGCTATTCCTCAGTTTCTTTAGGTTAGGTTTGGAAGATTTTTTGGTTTTGACATCATCAGCGCCATCTACCTGAGGAATTGAATCAACAACACCGTCCAAGAGCAAGTTGGTAATGTATTCAACATCGCTTTCTTCAGTGGTTTCATCCTCATCTTCAGATGAGTCCATTGGAACGTCGCTTTCAAACGAATCATCAAAATTTCCGTCCAACTGTGGTATAAGTATGCGCTTCCAAGGCCACTTTATTTTGATGACTTGTTTCCTATTGTTTTTAGCTATAAATGTTTTCTTTAGTGGCACTAAAATAAAAATTATTGTTTCATCTCTCTCACTACCTATAGAAAATGCCTTACCTTTGGAACCATTCTCCAGTTTATTTTTTAAAACCTTCTTTTGTAAGTTCTTAAAGTTCATCCTTTCTAGCCTAATCACAAGCTTTCTTTTGTCATTTAATTTGTGCTTTTTGGCCTCATTTGCTTTCTTCATAGGCAAAATAAACGACTGATAAACTTTGGTTTTATCATTTACAGTTGGGCTTGAATTACAATAATCTCTAAACAATTTTATTGACAACTGTGGTCTTTTTTCTGTTTCATAATGTGGATGAATATTTTTAACTATTGGGCTTGATGTACAATTATCTTTGAATAATTTTATTGACAACTGTGGTCTTTTTTCCGAATTGTAGTCTTCTGAGCTGCCATCCAACTGAGGAATATTGTTTCTTCTGGTACTTCTTTGCGGTAATTTTACTTTTATGATTTCTCTTTTTTCCTTTGCAGGTTTTTTAGTTTCTTTTTCCATTTTATTTACTACAACTTCGCTTTTATCATATGTCATTTGTATTTTTATTAAAGGGGATTTGGCCTTTTCTTCATCTATTTTTGGACTCTTGACCCTGACTCTTTTAGGTAGTTCCAGGGAATCTTTATCTTCATTTATTCTGGGACTTTTACTCCTTGTTCTTTTTGGCACTTCCAGAGATTCTTTAGATGAGATTTCCTCTTTTTTTGCTTTTGTAGTTCTAGTAGTTTTCTTGGATTCTTCCGATTTTGTTTCTTCCTTTACTATAGGACTTTTGCTTCTTGTACTTTTTGGAACTTCTAGAGATTCTTTAGATGAAGTTTCTTCTTTTTTTGCTTTTGTAGTTCTGGTAGTTTTCTTGGGTTCTACTGATTTGGTTTCTTCCTTTACTATAGGACTTTTGCTTCTTGTATTTTTTAGAACTTCTAGAGATTCTTTAGATGAAGTTTCTTCTTTTTTTGCTTTTGTAGTTCTGGTAGTTTTCTTGGGTTCTACTGATTTTGTTTCTTCCTTTACTATAGGGCTTTTGCTTCTTGTATTTTTTGGAACTTCTAGAGATTCTTTAGATGAAGTTTCTTCTTTTTTTGCTTTTGTAGTTCTAGTAGTTTTCTTAGGTTCTTCTAATATTGTTTCTTCCTTTACATTGGGACTTTTGCTTCTTGTATTTTTTGGAACTTCTAGAGATTCTTTAGATGAAGTTTCTTCTTTTTTTGCTTTTGTAGTTCTAGTAGTTTTCTTGGGTTCTTCTGATTTTGTTTCTTCCTTTACATTGGGACTTTTGCTTCTTGTACTTTTTGGAACTTCTAGAGATTCTTTAGATGAAGTTTCTTCTTTTTTTGATTTCGTATTCCTGGTTGTTTTCTTGGGTTCCGACTTTTCTGAAACATCTTTTGTTTTGGAAGATTTTTTTGGTTCTTCTTTAAGTTTACCAGTTGTGGATGTCTTTGTTCCTTCACTTTTTTGTTTAGATTCTGTTTTGGGTTTGGGACTTTTGGACCTAGTTGCATTTGTTTTGGTCTTTTCTTCATTTAATTTAGTGTCCTTGGCAGGTTGTTTAGCTTTTGTGTGACCATTTTTTGACTTATTTAATTTGGAAATATTTATTTTGCTAGTATTCACAGTATTTGCTTTTGAGGCAGATGGTTTGCTTTGCTTATGTGAGGTTTTCTTGGTTTCTTCAGTTTTAGTGCTTAGGGAATGCAATTCACTTGCAGGTGGTCTTAATGGTTCTACCTGCAGTGATAAAACGAATCTACATTGAATGCCCAAAGCTCTCATGAGTGCAATAAAAATATAGCACAGCATATTTTTATTGTAAACTTCTTTCTTTAGAATCTGTTCTTGAAGTGCTTCATCTAATTGCATTTCATTTGTGTCTTTGTCATTTAGTTTCATGGTCTTTTTGTACCATTTCACTATTCGTTCTAGATATTCCAAATCAACTCTATCAGATGGATATGCTTTTTCAGAAGGTAGCAATTTTAATGCAGACTTGAGTATTTCCTCCTTATTAATAACCGAATTAACGAAATTTCCATGCCCCAACATGCACAATAAATGAACCTTATGCACATAAACCTGGTTTTCTTTCCTGATTCTATTCAATCTTCTTTTTAAAGCTGCTACCAAATCCACTCCCTTCTTCTTTTTAACAGCATCAGGCATATTTACAGTGATTTGGAGGCCACTGCTAGGAACAACACCTTTTTCTTCATTCTTATCTTCTTGTGTTGCTGTTTTAATTTCCTCCCAGCCCTCATCAGATTCATCTGATTCAAAATCACTCGAATGTAGATCTTCCATTCTTATGGAATCATTCTGAGCAACATTTTCTCCCCTTATTAGAAGATGGGAGATATCCACAGCATTTTCTTCGTTTTTCTTTTTATTTGCTTCATATTCTGCTATCTGTAGCTTAGCTTCTTCCAGTTGTTTATTATAATCGTCCATACGTTGAAAAGCTTCTTTTGCCACATTTTCGCTTGTTTGAGATATCACCTCCATTGCTTCTTCAGCTTTTTTGTCTTCCTTCATTTCAACATCCGAATCAGAATCAGAGTCACTCAACCTGGTAACCCCAGCAAAAATGTTCTTTTCCACCTTATCAAAAGGCACATTATCCTTTTTTTGGACATCAAAGAAAGAAGACATTAAATTTATTTTATCAACTGGTTGCAGGTAGTTTTCAATGTCACTGTCACTGGAAGATTCATCGGTGTCTTTCGGAACTCTATTTTTCTTTTGGGGAGTTTTTAACTTTTTTACTATGGGTTTATCATCCTCATCTTCAGAGCTGCTGCTCGTGACAGTTTGCTTCTTTGTTCTTCTTGTGGTACGCTTCATTTTGACTGTTTAAGATGATATATAAGTATATGTAATTGAGCAACAATTGTTATTAATTATTATCACAACAAAACTCAGAGTTATCTCTCAATAAACAAAAAAATTATCAATGAACATATTGCGTAAAAATGCGCAATTTCCCGCCAATAATTATTCATCAAAATATCAATTGTCCGTTAATTTACTACCGTAATTTCAAATAAATGATATTTTTGTGGCTATAATAAGTATAAAAATAAAGTGTATTCGTGTTAATTACCTTATCCTTGTAAAATATCGATCAAACTTCACATGCATTTGTTTTTATTTGACGTTAAAAATTATTGACACATGATCCCCGTGAAGTTGGCTACGAATGTCGGGCATAGAAAAACCGAATCCACATTAACAATAAACAGAAGATAAATAAAAGAATTGTGTTGTCAAATATTTTTGTTTCATTAAATTTAAGAGACGATTAGTCCCCGTGAAAAAGCCATTTTCTGATTTGTTTTGCTTTGATACGGTTGTTGGCCATGTTTGCCTTCTTGCATCTAATGTCACTTAAATGAAGTTTGTGCTTTCAAGTGATTTAAACATGTTTTAAATCGGATAAATGAAGTGTTAATTAGTTATCGTGGTATAATAATTGTTGAAACTGAAAAATGGCACATCATTATGTGGTTACGGCTCACAAGCCGACAGCAGTTACGGCTTGTGTAACCGGTATTAAGAAAAGTAATTTTAAAATTGACATTAGCGTTTTAACCCCTTAATTTTCAGGCAATTTTACTTCTCCCACTGATCTTAATTTGATTGTTGCGAAAAATACACGATTAGAAATATATTTAGTTACCCCAGAGGGGCTAAGGCCCATCAAAGAGGTTGGATTGTATGGCAAAGTTGCTGTTATGAAGCTTTTCAGGCCTCAAGTATGATAAATAAAGCATGTTTACAAAGCAATGTTTACTAATTTTCGGACTATTTTAGCATGAAAGAAAGGATTTATTGTTTATTGTGACCATGAGATACAATGCCATGATATTGGAATGCATAAATGATGGAGAAAACATTGAAATAATAACTAAAGCACATGGAAATGTGGCTGATAGAATAGGCAAACCATCAGACACTGGGATATTGGCCGTAATCGATCCAAAAGCAAGAGTTATTGGTCTCAGGCTCTATGATGGCCTTTTTAAAATAATTCCACTGGATAAAGATAACTCGGAACTTAAAGCATCAAATATTAAAATGGAAGAACTGCAGGTGCATGATATAGAGTTTCTTCACGGTTGTGCAAACCCCACGTTAATTTTAATTTATCAAGACGTTAATGGAAGACATGTTAAAACACACGAAATTTCTGTTCGGGAAAAGGAGTTTAAAGCATTGACGATTGTTAAAGTGCCCTGGAAGCAGGATAATGTGGAGACAGAGGCTTCCATAATCATCCCTGTACCTTCTCCCTTAGGGGGGGCTATTATTATTGGACAAGAAACTATTTTATATTATGATGGAATTACTTCAGTAGTGGTTGCACCTCCAGTTATTAAGGTAATATATATTTATAATTTAAACTTCAATATTTATTGGTTTGACACTTAACCTAAAATGTCAAATCATAACCTGAAATTAGCTGTCAGGAATTATCACAATATTGTGGCCAATATCTCAGAATCAGTTATTGGCTTTTGCATGCTTGCTCTGCAATTGTTTTTATAATCCCATAGACATCATCATCATCCAGTTTTTAATGTTGTGCAATTGTTACTTTTAATAATGTATGCTATATTCTTAATTAAATAATTGAATTAATTAATTAATATTATGCAATTGTTGTCATTGACATTTCATTTTTCCCCTATAAATTAATTTATTAACACAGTCTGTGTTTATTAATAACAGGATCTTTGATAAAATCAATAAACACTTTTCTTTCTCTATGACATTATTAAAGGCAGTTTATGTAAACCTTTTTTTTAACATGTCTTTTTAAGCAGGGTACAGACCAAGTTCGCGAGCTGTTCGCGAATAGTTCGCGAACACTTTTCCGAGCTTAGTGTGTACGCGAGTTCGCGAACAGTTCTAGAACAGCTCGGCTGTTCGTTCAAGTTCCGGGTCGAGTCGGTAACTTCAAAGGGTTTGTTCGCGAACACGTGGCGAGCTTAGTATGTGTGTGGACGTTCCAGAGTAGAACCTCTGTGGTTTGGCATTTATTTATTTAGTTTATGCTGGACAGTATAAGTTTTTAACAACGTATACATTATAATTTACCTTAATAAATAAAAAGCTATTTTAATCATGGACTGGTCAGAGGACGATATTGTTTGGTTAATCGAAGAATATCGCCTGGTCTTACGTTTCTGTTTTTTTGACTCAACATTTGATTTTACTAAAAAATAGGCCGCACAAGCAATTATTAGATCGCTTTCTTCATCGCTTTGCAGCGATGACATTATTTTTATTTAAATGTTTAAATTTGAATTTGGAAATTATGGAACCCTCGACGAACTCGGACGAACTTGCTCACCGAAACTGTTCACGTGCAAACTTTTCTAGTGTGGACGGCACGTTCGCGAGCTGCTCGGGTTCAATTTGGAAGCTGTTCACGAGCAGCTCACGAGCAGCTCGCGAACTCTTTGTTTTTGGTCTGTACCCAGCTTTAGAAAGCACAAATCGGTCCGTTTTTTTTAAATTTATTCTTTTTTAGAAACATTGTTTTTCATTAATAAGAGTAAACTTTAAGGCTTAAAGTTTAAGCAGACAAATTGTTTTTATTATTATTATTATTACTTACATATATATATATATATTGTAAAATATACCTATATATATAGACCATAGATGGTGATACTTGTTCCTTGTTCTTAAAAAAACGAAAAAAAACAAACGCTTTTTGAATTGTTATGATTTTGTTTGTATAATTTTAAAAAACTGTTTTGTTTTGTTTTTTTTAAGAACATGTTCTTTTAAAAAAGTTTTTTTAACATCACTAATTTAATGTAATAAGCGGTAATAAGAAGTGTCATACTTTTATAATATAATAAATAAACAACAATTTTATCACACTAAATATTTTTTAGTTTAGACCAGGGTTCTCATAAATTAATTCAAATTAATTAATTCAGTGTTTAATTTGTAAATTGAATCAAAACTTTTTTTAAGACATTAATTAATTCAATCTTTTACTTCTTGTTTGCAGTATAATGCAGTATTTTATATATAAAAAAATACAATTTTCTGACTGGTAGTTTTTAAGTTACCTATAAGGTTTTAAAAATTTTATTTTATTTTTGTAATTTTTTCTACTCACCTTTAAAACGCCCAATATAGTACATGTTTCCATGACACTAAATAACTTAAAAACACAAGCTGTGGCTTTATGGCGTTTTAGTAACCAGCTGAAGTTAGCAACAGGTTTTTAGACACAGGCTGAAACTTTAAGTTAGTTGACAGTTGTGAAATGTAATAAATATAATTGGTAAAATAAAGTGCTCTTCTTTGTGAAATAACACCAAATTTGAAAATTATTTTATTATCTCAATACAAAAATACAAAAGTAATAAATAGTTTTTTTGAATATTTGAAAAGATTATATTGAAGACTTTCTGTCAAAGTATCGCAAGCAACATAAATCAAATTTCGGGAATTGAAAACATTTTTTGTCCTAAAGATTTTTATTAAAAAATCAACAAGAAATGTTTTTTGGTTTGTACTGACCTTTTGATTTCGCCGTAGTAGTGCAGTAATCTAGATTTAACTGATAAAGGATTACAAATTTTGCTTGCATTGCCCATTACAGATTTTCTTTACTTTAACTGTGAAAAACTGCTTTTAAATCGTCCATTTCCAAGGGATATAATTAAATTTACACAGAAAAATTTCACATTTTAACGCCGGTAGATTCCCAATAAATACAACTGTCACTTTTTATACCTTTAACATTTCCCGTGTATGATATATTTAATATTTTGTGATAATATTTTAGTGATAAAAAAAAATCAAATAACTAAATATTTTTTTAACATAATTATTTGGTTTTTAATCTTTAATCAATAATTGTTCAGTTTAATTAAAATTAATAACGGGCAATGTTAATGGTGATAATTACGTCAAAAATGTTTATTGGGATGGTTACTTTATTTTCGTATAGATGTAGCTTTATAAAAATATTTAATTTAAATAATTTTTTAGATAATATTAAGTATTTGTCGTAGAAAAAGTATAGTTTGCAATTCGTGACTAAAATGGCGTTTATATAATTTGCGGGTTTGTCTAAATATTTTGTATTAAACAACTATAACTACTTTTTTAAAGCAATTTAAGTAATAATAAAATTTTATTGCAATTTTTGAAATAATTTAAAAATATATAAAATTTTATAGTATATTATGTATTAAGTTTGATAAACGCCATTTTATACACGAATTTAATTTAGGAACGAGCGAGCTTGCGAGCGAGTGCTTAAATTAATGAGTGTATAGAAAAGTTTAGAAGCGAGGTACATACTTTTTCTACGACAAATACTTGTTATTATCTTAAAATGATTTAAATCAAAAATTTGTATAGAGCGCCATCTATGAAACAATAGGGGAATCTGTGTGTCACCGTTAAATCGAAATGAATTTCTTGAAAATTGACAGTTTTTCACAGTGAGCACTTTACAGTGGATTCCGTGCCCGAATTTAAGTTATAGTTTACTGCCGGCGAAATTAAAAGGTCAGTACAATGTTCATATAAACTTTTCAAATATTGGCGTTGAGAAACTATTTAATACTTTTGCATTTTTGTATTGAGATAATAAAATAATTTTCACATTTAGTATTATTTTACAAGAAAGGCAATTTATTTTAACGATTGTATGACATTTTACAACTGTCAACTAACTTAAAACTAACTTCAGCCCGTGACTAAAAACCTGTTTGTAACTTCAGCCCGTGACTAAAGCGCCATAAAGCCATAACTTGTCAATGTGTATTTAAAAGGTCACTTAGTGTCATAAAAACATGTACGATAAAGAGCGTTTTAAAGGTGGGAGTAGAAAAAATTTCTTAAACCAATGAAAACCAACCAATATTTTTAAAAACCCTTACAAGCTATTGAATACAATATCATAAACTTCATTACCTGTATTATTTTTAGCAAAGCACAATTATATGTTATGCCAAAGTTGATCCAGGCGGTCTAAGATACCTATTGGGTGACATGGCAGGCCATCTATTTATGTTATTCTTAGAAACAGAACCTAGAGGTGAAGGAAGCGAAGTGGTCAAAGACATTAAGGTCGAAATGTTAGGTAAAAATATTTCCGCCGCACCCAAATCTATGGCACGCCGTTTTAACATTTATTAAATAATTTTTTAATTTAAAATTTTATTGGTTTAAAATTTTTCCAACTAAAAATTTTAGGTTTACATTTATAAATTTATAATATTTTCAACTATCATGTATTGAAAGACAAAATTTACTAACCAACAGTTCACTTCTTTATTAAACAATATTATTTTCTATCAAATTTTGCAAAAATTTCTAACTATCATTTTTTAATAAAATAATTTTCCAAATATAATTTATTTGGGTGGCATTTTGTTAACTTAAATAAATATTTTATAAAATTATCGAGATTAATTTGGTAAAGTTAAATTTTTTAGTATTAAAAAATAATATTAAGCCATTTAAAATAAAAACACATATAAAACATTTTCTACCAAACTAGTTTAAAAAGTTAAATTTTTGTAAACTCAAAACTATTGATAATCAAAAAATATTTTAAATATAAAATGCAACTGTAAAAGTTTAAGTTTAAAAATATTGATTTTTAATAAATAGAATTTTAATATTTTATTCTTCAAAATTATTGGTTTGAATTTGTAAAGAGTCATTTAAATGATAGTCGATAAATTTTCAATAAAAAAATTTGAACATTACATTTAAATGTTAGTTTAAAGTGGTAATTTTTGCATTAAAAATTTATCGACTATCATTTAAATGACTCTTTACAAATTTAAACCAATAACTTTTATTTTGGACAATTTTAAATTGATACATTTTTAAGACAAAATTTATAACTTTACATTTAAATGTAAGTCGATAATTTTTAAATTACAAAGTGTAAACGTAGCTTTAGTACAAGGCACAAGAGTCTGGGATTGGAGCCACGATGCAGCCAGTTTAATCCGCAGTGTTGCCAAATCGTGCTTGCTCCATAAATATTTGACACGTTTTAGAAATTATCGTAATGAAATGTTTCTTTATTACATAAATTTAATAATAGAACAACAACATTTTTAGTGCCTATTGTACTAAGTTAATTCGACAATTAAAAAACATCAACGGATCAAACTGGCTGCATCGTGGCTCCGATCCCAGACTCTTGTGCCTTCTACTAAAGCTACGTTTACACTTTGTAATTTAAAAATTATCGACTTACATTTAAATGTAAATTTTGTCTTAAAAATATATCACTTTAAAATTGTTAAAATTAAAAAAACTTGGTTTAAATTTGTAAAGAGTTATTTAAATGATAGTCGATAAATTTTTAATCAAAAAATTACTACTTTAAAATTTAAAACTTACATTTAATGTAATGTGAGAATTTTTGTGTTAAAAATTTATCAACTATCATTTAAATGACTCTTTAAAAAATTTATCAACTATCATTTAAATGACTCTTTAAAAATTTAAACCAATAATTTTGTGGAATAAAATATTACAACCAAAACTTTTAAAAGTCAATATTTTTAAACATAAATTTTTACTGTTGCATTTTATATTTAAAATATTTTTTGACTAACATTTGTTTTGAGTTAACTTTATAAATTTCTGTTAAAACATAATTTAAGTGCTAAACTTTAATCTTTAAACTTTTATCTAATAAATGCTAAAACGGCGTGCCATACAAATCGCGTTACCAAAAAAAAATATTTATTTAGGTGAAATCGTTACCCCCGAATGCATAACGTACCTGGACAACGGCGTTCTTTTCATCGGCTCTAGGATCGGCGATTCTCAGCTGATAAAATTGAACACCAAAGCCGACGAGTTCGGTTCCTACGTCACCGTGATGGAGTCTTTCACCAATCTGGCCCCGATTTTGGACATGTGCGTCGTGGATCTCGAAAGGCAAGGCCAAGGGCAGCTGGTCACTTGCTCTGGGGCCTTCAAAGAAGGCTCCCTGAGGATCATAAGGAACGGCATCGGCATTCAAGAGCATGCCTCGATAGATTTGCCCGGAATCAAGGGCATGTGGGCCCTGCAAGTCGCCTCAGGTAAATAGTTTTTTTTTATATAAGTGTCTACCAAAATATCGCAACCAAACCATACAAATTTAGAAAAATAGTGTTAAAAAATAAATAATAATAAATCTATTCAAAACAAAATTAACTAAAATAAGTTTAATAAGTGTAATTTAAACTGTAAAATATTAATTTAGTGCAAGTGAGGAGAAAAAAGGTTTTAGATACATTATTTTATATTTTATTATTGTTTTTCAACATCACATATATATTAGGGTGTGCCAAAAAACCTCGATATTTTTTTTTCTTGCTCTCAACCCAAAATATCGTAGAATATGTCCGAACAAATATTCTGTTAAAAGCGGAGCTCATAATTTCAATTTTAAGAGGTCCTCCATCGAATCTGAAGTTTTGCCGCTTAAATAACACAGAAAACTGACTTTTTTACCTTATTTATTCTTGCAACCTAGGAAGAAATTTTTTTTTCATAAAAATCATGACCAAATCTTACAAAGCATTAAATTTGGAAGAAAAAATTTCTATATAAGAATTTCTATTTTCATTATTTGATTTTTTACAGAGCTTTAAATTTAAAATTTTACGTTTTTTGCCTTTTTCAGCTAAACTATTTAAGTTAGACGAAAAAGTCAAATAGCAATTTTTTAGCTTGTCTGATGTACCACAAAAAAGTTTTAGGCGAATTTTTTGTATCGTCAATATTCTTAAAGTTACAGGCGTATAAAGTCATCATTTTTGTATTATTAACTTTAAATTTAAAGCTCTGTAAAAAATCAAATATTGAAAATAGAAATTCAGCTTAATAAGATTTTTTTGTCCAAATTTAATGCTTTGTAAGAATTAGTCATGGATTTTATGAAAAAAAAATTTCTTCCTAGGTTGCAAGAATAAATAAGGTAAAAAAGTCAGTTTTCTGTGTTATTTAAGCGGCAAAACTTCAGATTCGATGGAGGACCTCTTAAAATTGAAATTATGAGCTCCGCTTTTAACAGAATATTTGTTCGGACATATTCTACGATATTTTGGGTTGAGAGCAAGAAAAAAAAAATGCCAATTTCTTAAATAATTGAAATTTTTATTTCTTACAATTTTCGTGTATCAAAATCATACAAAGCATACTTTTTTGCATGCAAATTTTGAGTTTTAAAATTTTAATTTTTAAACAAAATCTAAGCACGGCACTGGATTCACCACCCCTCGAAACGACCCTTTACTAAATTTTATTGAAAAATTTTAAGTAGAAAAATGCAAAATAAAAACTACAAAAATTTATTTTGTCAAGTTATCCATGTAAAAACATTGAAATAAAATTAAACTAATTGTAACATGGTACTATTACTACAAGTTTAATTTTATTTCAATGTATTTTTCATAGATAACTTGACAGAAAAAAAATTTTTAGTTAAGTTCTTTTACTTAATTTTTTTTAATAAAATTTAGTATAGGGTCGTTTTGAGGGGTAGTGAATTCAGTGCCGTGCTTATATTTTGTTTAAAAAAATCGCTAATATGAATTCTTAAAAAATTACTCTTAAAAACTGACATAGTAGGCCTTGTATTTTGTAAAAATATGGCGTTTTTTGCTTTAAAAGTTTATCAAGATCTACACTTTAAAAAATCCGGTTAAAATCGCACAATAAATAGATTTTACAGGGGTGAGTCGCAAACAAATGGGTCACACTGTATATCATCATTTGACTTTGGCCTAGTTTAGTATGGTCGCGTTTTTTTTAATAAAATTAAAAGTGCTGAAATTTCTACTCAGATATACAAAAGTAATAATTTTACCTCACTTTTTTTATTCAAAAAAACTCGTCGAGCGATTTGGCTAAAATGTAACAGGGTTCGAAAAAATGATTTAAAAAAAAATCAAAAATCGATGATTTTAATTAAAAAAATCAACATTTTTTTAAAATTTTTATTACGATTTTTCAAAATTATAAGCTTTTTTTAATAAAGAGTACTATTTAAAAAAATACTAAAAATAACTTGACTATAATAATATTATATTGGCACTACTTAATACACAAATAAACCACCGTCCGCAACTGTCATATATTTTTTTGTATATTCCTTTATTATTTTATTTAACAAAGTAAGCAGTTTTTGTATGCATATGAATTTATTTAAATAGTGTCAGGATATTATTGTGCTTTAGTTTTAAGTGTTTTTTTTAGATTTTAGAAACTTTTTTTAAAACATTTAAATCATTGATTAAAATTTAAAAAATACTTGATTTAAATCGTGATTTAAATCAGGCGAACCCTGCAATGTAACTTATTTGTAAAAAAGAAATTATATTTATTTATATTTTTGTTAAAAAGAATTTTTTATTTTTTTATTATTTTTAAGTACAGTGTTGAGTTATTTCTATTTAATTTAACCTCCTAAAATCCTAAATTAAATTTGTAATTTAGTCGTGGGAGCCTTGCTCATTACAAATTAAAAATGAGTACCTAGTGTAAAAGAATACATTACTCATTGGAAAAAATGTAATGAGTATTTATTTTGATTACAAGTAATGCATAATGAAAATTAAACACTAGACTGGGCCAAAAAAATCAACTATTTTTTTTTAAGTACACATATCGAGTACATTATATTAATATTAAGAGGTCTATCATCGCAATTTTAAATTTTTTTTTCTCAGCAAGTTTTTGTCTCAGAACTCCCAAAGTAAAAAAAACACAAAATTTACTCAGAAATATTTTTTTAAGAAAATTAAATGCTCTATAAAAAAGGTTAAAATGAAATTTTCCGTCAGATGAACCGTTTCCTTAAAATCATGCCTTAAAAATTAGTATAGTTCAGAGCTGGGCGGTACTTAAGTACAAGTACTTGAAAAAGTACTTAGAGTACATTTTAGGGTACTTTGTACTTGATACTTAAGTACTTTGTATATGTACTTGGTACTTGTACTTGTAACATTCTGCTAAGAGTACTCAGTACTTGGGACTAAAATATAAGTACATTTTTACAAGTACTTTATACAAGTTGAGACCTGTCTGCGCCACAATTGTGAATAGTCCACGGCGCAATGCACTGACAGACGAAAACTTTGAGAAACTGGTAATCATGAAAGCAAACAAAGTCAACCAATAATTTGTTAGTTACTCTTACTCTTATTATTAAAAATAATAATAATTAATAAACGATATTGTTTATTTGTAATAAATATTTTATTAAATTGCCTACTTTTAATTCACTTTGCCTATATTTTTGAAATTTTGAAGTATTATACGCAGATAGCAAAATACATGCAGGGACTAGCGTGCGGATTGGTACATGCTCTGATCCCTACATAATATGTGTCAACACAAATGTTTGGATCAGAGCATGTACCAATCCGCACGCTTGCCTACACTGTATGCATTTTGCTATCTGGGTTGAGTGGTTATATTATATATTTATCTATTTTGCGTTTATAATGACTTCATTATAACACGCCATTTAAATGTTTTGTGTGCTTTAATGAGGTTCATTATAGTACGCAAAATTTTGATTTCGAAGCTTGGCATCCAGATAAATTGCCAGTGACAATGACAACCTCAATTTGTTCAAGCGAATTTGATTAAAATAAAAGAACAATAGAATTTGTATATTTCTAAGATGATTTATTTCACATAATTATAACTTAACTTACGTTTACGTTTCAAAACTTTGGTATTTCCAAAGCTTCACTATTACCAAGTCTTGGTACCAGCGAGTCTTGTCTTGTTGACATGTACTCTTAAAATACAATTATAAAGTACTGAGTACTGTACTTGCAGTACTGTACTTAAAGTACTTTGAAATTTGTATAGTACTTGGTACTTTGTACTTCTTCAGGAATTATACAAAGTACTTTGTACTCGGTACTTAAGTACATTTTACTTGTACTTGGCCCAGCTCTGGTATAGTTTTACATTTTGATCTTTTAACTTTGGAATTTTGTAATTCATGTAAAAATCAGTATCCAGAAAAAAACCGGTGAAATCAAATGCTTTACAAAAAAAGTCTCTCTGTATTTAGTCAAAAATGTTAGGAGACTTTTTTTGTAGAGCATTTGATTTCCCATAAGAATATCTATCGGTTTTGTTTCCGGGTACTGATTTTTACATGAATTACAAAAATCCAAGTAAAAAGATCAAATTGTAAAACTATACCAGTTTTTAAGGCATGATTGTAAGAAAACGCTTTATCTGACGGGAAATTCCAATCAAACCTTTTTTGTAGAACATTCAATTTTCTTCAAAAAACATTCTAAAGTCAAATTTGTTAAACTCAATGGTTTGGGAGTTCTGAGACAAAAACTCGCTCAGGAAAAAAAAATCTAAAATTGCGATGATAGACCTCTTAATATCAATATTATAAACAATATTTTCGATATACTTTACAAAAAAAAATAGTCGATTTTTTTGGCCCAGTCTATTAAACACATTACTCATTATTTTAATAATGTGTTATAAAACCTTAATGCATTAAAAAATAATGCATTTTTTGCAACTCTGGCCAAGCATGTTTTTCGCATTAACACATTTTTCGATGTTTGCAATGAAGGCGGCCGGCTGGACAACACCCTGGTGCTGGCTTTCGTCGGCCAGACCCGCGTGCTCAGCCTCAACGGCGAAGAGGTGGAAGAGACCGACATAGCCGGCTTCGCGGCCGACCTGCAGACGTTCTACTGCGGCAACGTGGCGCACGAGCAGATCGTGCAGGTCACCTCCGTCTCGGCCCGCTTGATCTCGTCGCAGAGCAGGACGCTGCTGGCCGAGTGGAAGCCGCCCACCGAGAAGACCATCAGCGTGGTGGCGTGCAACAGCTCGCAGATCGTCGTCTCGACCGGCTCGGCGCTCTACTACATCGAGATCCATCCCAACGAGTTGATATTGAAAGGGTGAGTTGAGCTTGACTTTCGCGTTTTTCGATAAAATGTTCCAATTTTCATGCTTCCGTTTTTTAATGACGTTTTACGGATTGATTTGGCGACAAATAGAAATCCTAGGATAGAAATTAAGGGCCGGTATATTCACTTCACTAAATTTACCTAATGCCTAATTGCCATAGTTACTATTATGTCAACAATTGTAACTTTAGTTATCTGTCCAATAAATTTAAATAAATCCTTTCTTCGATGATTATTTTCTAATGTTCTACATTTAAAAGATTTCATCTCATTGTGTGTGTTTAAAATTTACTCGAAATATAGTTTTTAATTTTCATGTTTGACGCAAGCATATGTTTTCCTTTAGGATAAACTACTCAGAATGGTTTACATCTAAATAAATTGGTGAAAGAAACTGATATTCTGGCAAGTGTCACAGAAATAATAAGTGTACGCACTCATATATTAATTAATTATTTCTTATTTACACCTATAAACCTAAAATAATTTACTCAACTTGTTTAACTTTGACAGGTACTACAAACTACAATAGAAATTTTACCTTGTTGAGAAAGCGTTGCCGAGTTGTAAATACTAGTAAATACTATAGTATTATATTGTGTGAAGATGGCGTCACGGATTGGACATTTTAAATTAAGGGACATCAACTAAAATGCTTGTCACCAAAATGTTTTAGGTTCTTTTTTTACCAATAATTAGTTAATAACTGTATATACTTCTACAAATTAAATTAAAAAATATTATAGTTATGACTGAAGAAAGAATATTTTTCCAGCAGTCAGTAAAGTTAATAAATCTTTGCTGGGGACAGTCACGGATTGGACATTTACTATATTTCAAGGTATTTTAATACATTATCAATACCTTATTTGGAGATTTTGTACTTAATTTAAGGAATCTGAGAATTGTTTTATCAGATCTATTCTTCAGATTTCATTTTAGTTATGAACATATTAAGTTCTAACCTCAGAACAGCAAGTGGCCAACTTTTTGAAATATACCCTTATTAAAAACGTATAAGTGACAAAAATTTGTTAAATATGTCAAAAAGTTTTAATCTACACTTTATAAAGGTCACCCCAGTTTCACGATCCTAGTTAAAATACCAAATTTTTGCGATGAACCACGAATTGACTAGAAAATGGCATTTTCATTAAAAAAATAATAATTCCGAAACTCGGGACTTTTGGTGAAAGTTGTTCGTATTATCAACTTTAAACGAAAAATATATAAAGTAAACAAAAAAATGTGGCAATGTCAAAATTTTGCCTTTTTTAGTAAAAACGGGATACAAAATTTATATTTTTTTTGTATGTGGGGTAAACCACATAGTTATTGGACACTTAAGGAATATTATTTATTTAAAATTTATATAGGACATTGTTTTAAATATTTTAGTTTTTTTCTTATAAATATATAAAAAGAAGAGTTTGTTTGTTTAAACTTTATTTACGTTTACTTAAAAATAGGAATATTTGAATTTTTAATAAAAAATATAGGACATTTTATATAGTAATTGGACACATGGACCATAGTTATTGGACATATAATGGCTTCTGAAATAGTTTGTTGCAAATATTATTGGTATCTCTAGTTTGTGAAGCATTTATAATGTTTAGGCCGAAACAGGATGATTTATATACATCTAATATTTTTTCAGGTGGTATGTTAAAAGTATTTTCTTCCGAATTTATTAATTTTGTTGCCATTAGTATTCTATGTTCTCTATCATGAACTGTATTTAAATCACTGTAATTCTGCAAGATCTCCTGTGACGAAGAAATCACTATATTACTTATTTTCTAAAAATGAATTAGTCAAAAATGTCATAGCGGAAAAGCAGCCACTAATAATTCTCGTCAACAGCAATTTGTATCCAGGACATTTAGCAGTCAATTCCTATGAAATATTATTCGCTGAATCCGAAAATGTCGTCAAAAGTTATAAAAGTAGAATAGTTTTTGACGGTCTTTTCGGATTCAGGTGACAATTCTTAGCTGGTAAATGTCCGGGATATAAATGTGTCCAATAATAGAAATTTAAATTTTTTACCAACCATTAATTGGACACTGGCCATTTTACTGTTTGTTTTCAGAATTAAAAGTAAAACGCATAAAAGTGACAATGTTTAAACCATGAGGAACACATTTATACCACACTCTGATCTGTACACTTTTTAGAAATATTTTTTATCTCCACGCGGTCTATAATTTAAACTTTATTGTTGTCAACATTCGATAAAGAAATACCTTGTTATGGCCTAGGCCGATAAAAATTTTTATGAGGCAAGTAATCAGTTCGATTTTTTCTCGCCAGGGGTATTGTTTTGACAAATTAATCCTTTTCTAAGAAATTAACGTACTAAACTGGTTTAATTTATTTATAATAAGCACTAATTTGTTTGTGTTACTGTTATAACATTATAATGTTTAATATTTTTCATTAAATTATTGTAAAATTAAATTTGAATAATAAAACAAAAAGTGAGGTTAGGACATTGCAATTTAAATTGACGTTTCACAGTTGTGTTTTCTTTTTCTACGATTTAAATTATCTTTAAATTTTAATTTGCTTTAAGTTTTCAGTAAAATTAAATGTTAAACACAGCGTAAACATTCCAAACTACCTATTTTTTTAATAAAAATGCAAACAAATTGAAATTAGATACCTATTTATTAAACAATTAATTGAATTCAATGTAATAGCAAGAGGGTAAGTAAACCATTTTCTTACAAAAATCCATTTCTACTTAAATCATGTAGTTAGGTATTGTCAAACTATTACTGCTTCTAAAAGGAATAATAATTATTGTACATTTAATGTAATCTTTAGCTAATAAATAAATGAGATTAAAAAAAGTGAGGTTAGGGCGCTTTCATGTTGAATTAAATTGACCTATATAAAGTGCTTTGAAGATAAAATGTTGTATGCCATTCGGCCAAGAAGTGTCTTTTTGTGCTTCGCTCAATTGTAGGCCTCCGCTACGCGTCGGCATTCAAACTTTGAGCTTAGCACAAAAAGCCTTACTTCTTAACCTAATGACATAAATAACTATTATTGTAATTTAAATACAGCCCTGCTCTCAACAAAAAACAAAAATCTTACCACCAATGTAAAGTAGTTCTATATTATTACCGACTGAAATAGTTATAATTGTATACAGTGTCATCTAATGATTTGTCTTTAAGGTAACTATTTATAGAACTCTTGCTTTTACAGTATTAATGTTAATTGTCCAATAACTATAAAGTGTCCGATAACTGTCTACTTTACCCTACAATTTAAAAAAAAAATTGTAACGATCGAAACATTTTTGGCCAATTTGTCGCATTTTCAAAAATGTCACTCGTAAAAAAACAAATTTAAGGAAAAATAAAAAATACCGGTCTCATCGATTTCGGTAGAGAAACTGTAAAAAAAAATTCGTTGAAAAATAACGACCCCTACCCCTTTTTGCCTGGTCGATTTGAGATGGAAGGGCACTAAGCAACCGGTTGGTAAATTTTTTAGTTCATAGTAACCTTAAAAAATGTTGATGGTTAAATACAAGTAATTGTTTAAAAAACCAGTTTAATAAAACGTTATTTTACTTGGATTTTGGTTAATTTACTTGGAATGCGAAGGTTCTAAAATCTTCTGTTTATCGTCTCTAGAAACACCACGTTGGACGTGGAAATAGCCTGCTTGGACGTGAGTCCGCTGGGCGAAGACGGCTCGCCGTCGGATCTAGTGGCCGTCGGCCTGTGGACCGACATCTCCGCGCGCATCCTGCGCCTGCCCGACCTGACGGAAGTGACGAAGGAGATGCTCGGCGGCGAGATAATCCCGCGCTCGGTCCTCATGACGTGCTTCGAGGGCCAGAACTACCTGCTCTGCGCCCTCGGCGACGGCTCCATGTTCTACTTCCTGCTGAACAAGGAGACGGGCGCGCTGACGGACAAGAAGAAGGTAGTAATGTAAAAAAAAACGTTTTTTTTCAAATTTGAAAAAAAACGTTTAAAAAAAACATGTTTTTTTTCAGAAAAAAAACAAAACATTGTTTTTTTTTCAAATTATAAAAAAAACTTGCACACCGTTTTTTTTTCAAATTATAAAAAACAGTTTTATAATAATTAAAAAAAGCGACGTTTTTTGTTTTATAAAAAATTTACAAAACAATGTATGACAAGTGTCGCCATCTGTTATTAACAGATCGCTTTATAGACCAGGGTCGATAATTTTTGAAACCAAAAAAAATAACAGTAGGATGAAACCCATTGGAAAAGGAGAAGAATATAATAAAAATGAAAGGAAAAATAAATTACGGGCGATCTGACTTCAGGAAGTGGGAGGGGGGGGTTTAAGGGTAAAAAATGGTTTATCTCGATTTCCGGCAAAACTACAAGTCCTATGGAAAAAAGTTAAATGGCAAAGTTGTAGGTAATAAAAAGATCTACAACTTTTGTAATTACAATTTTTTTACATAACCTCAAAATTTATGTGAAAAATTCAAAAAACCAATTTTTTGGTTTTTTATTTTTATCTTTTAAAAAAAAAAAATTTTTATACGAAATTTGGTGAAAACTTACCTTTTTATGTCCCAAATACACTGTAATTTATTTGATTTGAAATATTTATTATTTCGCCTTATTTTGACTTAATATCAAAAAAGCACCCAATTTTCAATCGAAAATTCTCGCGTCAAAATATCAGCTTTTTTCAAAAAGTCGGCGTGCTTTTTGTTTGTTGAAATCTCTACTTTCTGATGGTGTAAAAAAATATACATTACTATGGTAAATGTTCTCAGAAAATGCAAAAAATATTATAATGAATAACGAAAAAAACTCGAATTCGAAAATTTATTTGAATCATTATGTACATACAATTTCATCAAAAAAATGTGATTGTTGCAATTTTTTTTAGTTAAAAAGTTTATTTATTAAATTCTAATAACATTTATGTCAGAAAATCTCATAAAATATAAAAATACATGTAAATCATACTATTGAATTTAGATACTTCATTCTGATTACGTTATTCATTATAATATTTTTTGTATTTTCTGAGAACATTTACCATAGTAATGTATATTTTTTTTACACCAACAGAAAGTAGAGAGTTCATCGAACAAAAAGCACACCGACTTTTTGAAAAAAGCTGATATTTTGACGCGAGAATTTTCGATTTAAAATTAGGCTGCTTTTTTGATATTAAGTCAAAATAAGGCGAAATAATAAATATTTCAAATCAAATAAATTACAGTGTATTTGGGACATAAAAAGGTAAGTTTTCACCAAATTTCGTGGAAAAATTTTTTTTTTTTGAAAAAGATAAAAATAAAAAACCAAAAACTTGGTTTTTTGAATTTTTCACATAAATTTTGAGGTTATGTGAAAAAATTGTAAATACAAAAGTTGTAGATCTTTTTATTACCTACAACTTTGACATTTAACTTTTTTCCATAGGACTTGTAGTTTTGCCGGAAATCGAGATAAACCATTTTTTACCCTTAAAACCCCCCCCCTCCCACTTCCCGAACTCAGATCGCCCGTAATTTATTTTTCCTTTAATTTTTATTATATTCCCCTCCTTTTCCAATGGGTTTCATCCTACTGTTTTTTTTTTTTCTCTTTTTACCATTTTTAAAGGCTTCTGCACTGGTCTATTAATCATAGAAATGATTATATTCAATATCGATGCGCTAAAAATTAATATCGATGCACACCGTTTTTTTTTTTGTTTTTTCAAATTATAAAAAACAGTTTTATAATAATAATTATTAAAAAAGCGTTCGTTTTTTTTGTTTTATAAAAATTTTATAGATATAAACTATATATAATCTCTATTAAGGAAAAAACAATGTTTCTGAAAAAAAAACAACATTTTTGAAAAAAAACAAACCCCTTTGTTTTTTTTCTAAAAAAAACTTCTTTTTTTTAAAAACAAATTTTTTTTTTCTGCTCACATCACTAAAGGTCACGCTGGGCACGCAGCCGACGGTGCTGAGGACCTTCCGCTCTCTGAGCACCACGAACGTCTTCGCCTGCTCCGATAGGCCGACCGTCATCTACTCGTCCAATCACAAGCTCGTGTTCTCGAACGTGAACATGAAGGAGGTGAACCACATGTGCTCTTTGAACGCCGAGGCTTATCCGGACAGGTAAGCAGTTTTCTCGATTTTTCTTCTCGTGGGTCGGGTTGGTGACTGTATTTTTTTTTTCAGTTTGGCTCTGGCTACGGACAACTCGGTCACAATAGGCACCATAGATGAAATCCAGAAGTTGCACATCAGAACTGTACCTTTGCAAGAATCTCCCAAAAGAATCGCGTACCAGGAAACTTCACAGGTAAGTTGTTTTGGTTATTATAAAATTTGTTTCCATACATAATTCACGTAGAACCAGAGATCGGTAAAAAATATTTTTTTCTCTTATAACCAACTATTTAAAACATTAACATTTGTTCTTTTTGCAATTACTAATAACTTAAATAATTGGCATTAATTTATTTTAAATACTAAATTTTTAAATGGTTTAAAGTATTTTTTCTCTAATTACTAAATTTTCAAATTAGCAATCAGTTTGGATATAATTATTAAATAGTAATAATCATTCTCTAATTTATTACTAGACATCTAAGAAATTAGTTGGTACTCAACTAAAAAATAATATTTTTAGGGTAATTAGAAAATATTTGTATAAGGATTTTTTAAAAATATTCACCTAAATAAAAAAATAATTAGTAGCAGCTGATTCCATAATTATTAATTGTGGAGATGTAACATAAAAACATCGTTTTTTAAATTTTTGTTTCAAATGTTTTTTTTGAACATTTTGTTATTTTTAACTTTCTTTTATTAAACCAATAAAAAAACAAATTTAATTTGGCAGTTATAATAAAATAACTAAATACATTTTTTGCTGGAAATTTAGTTATATATATTATATTATACTTACTATTTTTAATTACAAAATATTCAAATATGTAGCATTTATTTTTTTGTGAATATTTACTAAATTTTTTAATGGTTCGAAATAATTTTTTAAAATAGTGTTTTAAGGATAAATAGATAAGTTTTTTTTTTAAATATCGACCTAAATATAAAAATAATTAGTTGCAGCTGATTCCGTAATTATTAATGGGGTGGTTAAATTTTTTCTGACCTATACTTTTTATGGTTTTATTCAAGGCGTTTTGTAATTTTAAACATTTCTGTGAAATCGGAATTTCAATTGAGATTACCGTTTTCGAGATATTTACAAAAAAAATCTCCTAATTACGTCACTTGGCTATTGACAACGTTGCCAGCTTTTTCTATGGTTGCCAGTGTGTTTAGTTTAAGATTCTTACGATAGATGGCGCCACGTTAAAATATTTTAGTTTTAAAACCACTTGATCTATAATTTTAGTTGAAAAGAAGAAGAAGAATTGATTTTTTGACGTTTCTTTTTTTCGGGTTATGTTTTTTTTTAAATTTAGATTATTGAAAATCAGTGTTATTGTTATGTTATTTGTAATTGATATTAGATAAGTGATTTATTAATAACGGACTCCAAAGCAGAGAGCTTTTAAACAAATAAAATCCCTATAATTATAATCATATTTTTTCGTAAATGCATTTCATTAGTATAATGCCTAGTTTTTTATATTCTTTTAGATATATCTTAAAATGTACTCTAGAGCATAGTATCTTTGAATAGTCCAAAAGTTTGTCATACATTTTTTTAATCTTACAAAAGGTTTTGATGCTCATCATCAGGGATGCAAGTTTTATAAAAACTATACACAAATATCATAAATACCATTGTTAACTTACATTTACTGTTATTTTTTGTAAATTTATTTCATTCATTTTCAGCTTTATTTTGCCACTTTTTTCTATGAAATAATAAATAATAAACTCTGCTTTAGACAGTTATTAGGTACCTATTTATTACATTTTATTAGGTTTCACACGGTGTTTCAATGTGTAAACCTATCAATAAAACCGAATGAAATCATTAACAAGACAACTTGACAACAGGGTAATTTTCAACCAATAGAAATCTTAGAATGTTGGTCACATGGCGAGGTCTGTGACGTCATAAAAATTTATATTTTTTGTAAATATCTCGAAAACGGTAAACTCAATTAAAATTCTGATTTCACAGAAATGTTTAATATTACAAAACGCCTTGAATAAAACCATAAAAAGTATAGGTCAGAAAAAATTTAACTACCCCATTGTTGACTACATTCGGATAAAAGTATTTTTTTTAAATATTTCTATTATTGTATTATGATATTTTTACAAGTTATATTCGTAATTTTCAAATCATAAAAATCTTGTTCTATAAAATTTTATACAATAATAAATTAAACAATTTTACTACTTATAAGTTGTTTTTCGGTAACTATTTTCAAAAAGAACGTACCTAATTTAAGAATTTTCTCACCTAAAACAAGAAAAAAGTTACCTATTTTTATAAAGATTGAAACCTAAAATCCCATCTCTCTTTATCGCCATCAAATACAGTATTTTAATTTCAACGCAAACTGTACAAACCTATAATTAAATGGGGTAGTTAAATTTTTTCTGACCTATACTTTTTATGGTTTTATTCAAGGCGTTTTGTAATATTAAACATTTCTGTGAAATCAGAATTTCAATTGAGTTTACCGTTTTCGAGATATTTATAAATTTTTATGACGTCACAAACCTCGCCATGTGACCAACATTCTAAGATTTCTATTGGTTGAAAATTACCCTGTTGTCAAGTTGTCTTGTTAATGATTTCATTCGGTTATGTCAGAAAATACCCGAAGAGGTTATGTACAAATACTGTCACTGTCAGTTGAGTGAAAGATGGTCACCAAATTCATTAAGTACCTATCTTCCTTATTACGAGGTATCATATTACTGTTTGATATTTTAGAGTCCAAGATATATCTAAAAGAATATAAAGAACTAGGCATTATACTAATGAAATGCATTTACGACAAAATATGATTATAATTATAGGTACTTATTTTATTTGTTTAAAAGCTCCAATGTTCAATGTAACCAACCATTCCACAAGATTCCTCTGCTTTGGAGTCCGTTATTAATAAATCACTTATCTAATATCAATTACAAATAACATAACAATAACATTGATTTTCAATAATCTAAATGAAAAAAAAACATAACCCGAAAAAAAGAAACGTCAAAAAATCAATTCTTCTTCTTCTTCTCAATTAAAATTATAGATCAAGTGGTTTTAAAACTAAAATATTATAACGTGGCGCAATCTATCGTAAGAATCTTAAACTAAACACACTGGCAACCATAGTAAAAGCTGGCAACGTTGTCAATAGCCTAGTAACGTAATTAGGAGATTTTTTTTTGTAAATATCTCGAAAACGGTAAACTCAATAGAAATTCCGATTTCACAGAAATGTTTAAAATTACAAAACGCCTTGATTAAAACCATAAAAAGTATAGGTCAGAAAAAATTTAACTACCCTATTGAAACACAAACTGTTATAAATGAATTATTTTTTCCGCGGCAGACGTTCGGCGTGATAGCGTCGCGCGTCGACATCCAAGACTCGACCGGGCTGAACCCGGCGCGCCAGAGCGCCTCCACCACCACGCAGTCGGTCACGGTGTCGAGCAGCGTCGGCTCGCTGGCCGTCGGCAAGTCGTCGGGCAGCGGCGGCGCGGGCGGGGCGGGCGCCATGGGCGGCGGCAGCCTGGCGCCCGACTACGGGCAAGAGGTGGAGGTGCACAGCCTGCTGATCATCGATCAGCACACGTTCGAGGTGCTGCACGCGCACCAGCTGATGCAGCAGGAGTACGCCATGTCGCTGATATCGTGCCAGCTGGGCACCGATTCCAACACCTACTTTATTGTCGGTAAGTCAACATTTCTTTTATTAATCCAATGATGGTATAGTTTTGGCCTTTTGGCCACTTTTTCGCAATGAAAACAAATTTAATTTAGAGGTAAAATATAATATAATATAATCTTGTAGAAAAAAAAATATTACATTTTTTGCAGAATCTGATATAAAATCATCAAAATTAATTTTAGCCAAATGTCAAGATTAATGTTTTTCCACTCATTTTATTTGTTATGTCCCATTTGTACAATGTTTAAAGATTAAATATTCGATATTTTTTCATGACAATTGAGGGGCTTGGAAGTAAAACGGTTCAAGTGCACTTTTTTAAATAAATGGTCTAAGTGCAGAATATCACACCTAAAGAATATTCTAACTTAGTAGTAAAATTATATAAGTACATTTTACATTCCCTGGTGCCATTTCTTATCGTCTTTAAAAACCTGTCAAAATATTTTAAAATATTTTTTTGGTAAAACGATTTAAGTGCACCTTTTACTGCTAAACATAGGCTATTATCCAGTGGCGGCTGGTGGATTTTGGCACACCCATATCTCAGTTATTAGACATGGGACCCACATCAAATTTATATGATTTTATTATGACATTATATAGACAAGTTCTGCGCAAGCAGAATTTAAATTAAAGTTTGCGAAAAAAAGTTAGTTTTTAAGTGCAACCCCCAGCCTCCTGCCCCTCCAAATTAAGATAATTTAAATTAAAGTGGTACAATATTTAATTCACTGAAGTTTATCGACAAATTTCAAATTTTATTAAAAAAATTCAAGTATTGCAGATTTTATACCATTTCAAATTTTTTTAAATTTAGGAAAAGAAATAATAAAAATTATAAATGGTATAAAACCTGTAATTCTTGAATTTTTTTAATAAAATTTGAAATTTGTCGATAAACTTTAGTGAATTAAATATTGTACCACTTTAATTTGAATTATCTTAATTTGGAGGGGCAGGAGGCTAGGGGTTGCACTTAAAAACTAACTTTTTTTCGCAAACTTTAATTTAAATTCTGCTTGCGCAGGACTTGTCTATATAATGTCATTATAAACTCATATAAATTTGATGTGGGTCCCATGTCTAATAACTGAGATATGGGTGTGCCCAAAATCCACCAGCCGCCACTGCTATTATCTATGCTGCTAAAGCCTTGACAAGTATTTCAAAACAGACCATAGCATTGAGCCAAAAAAATCCAATTTAGATCAACCCCAACCAAGACCAGCTAATTCAGATGAAGAAAACGTTGTATTAGATTCTGATTATGAATAATACTTTTTGTTATAAAATTTTATAACAAAAAGTATTATTCATAATCAGAATCTAATACAACGTTTTCTTCATCTGAATTAGCTGGTCTTGGTTGGGGTTGATCTAAATAGGATTTTTTTGGCTCAATATTTTAAAATTTGGGTAAGTTAACTTACCCAAATTTTAAAAAATAAAGTTTTGTTCTAGTACAGTAATTGCATTTAAATCATTTTACCACTAAATTTTGTCTTACATGCATGACGATTCAAGTACATTTTTGTAAAAAAAATAACAAAAAAGCGAAATTAAAAAATTCCTTTTTTTATAATCCTTTTTTGTCTTTAAACAAAACTAAAATATTCACACAGTTTTTTAAACTTTTTTCTAGAATTTTAAAATTCAAGTTAACTTTAAAGCCATTTATCTCAGAACTATTAAAAATGCACTTAAACACTTTTACTTCTAGGCCCCTCAATTAAAAATATCGTTTTGACATTTTTTATTCAACTAAAAATATCGAATAAGATTTTTAATTCCGATTTTAAAAAATGCCTTGAATGCAATGCTATTTTATTTCTTATAGTACTATGAACTAAAATAAAAAATTCCTTAGAATAATTGTTAAATTATTAAATATATTTTTAATTTTAACCTAAGTTAAAAATAAATATATTAAAAGAATAAATTTTACTTCAATGGCAAATTTAAAATCTTATTTTATGTTTTTAATTAAATAAAAAATGTCAAAACGATATTTTTAATTGTCAGAAATTTCTAAAGAATATATTCTTATATATATATATTTATATATTATTAATAATGCTATATTATTTCCTATATACGAGCCCTAACCACATAATGTTCGGACACTTCATAATTTATACAGAAATTTTTTTCGTGAATACTATCTCAAAATTATTAGAAGTTATGAAAAATTCAGCTTATTTTGGCATATACCCCTCGAAGCGATTTTTATTTTTAAAAAGTTTACCTTTTATTTTTAGCTTTTAAAAAAAGGCTAACTTTTTAACTTTTTTTTGCATGACTAAAAAAAGTTATAAATGGGCCCATTAAAAAGAACATAAAATATTATACAAACCCTGAAAATTTGGTAAAAATTGTATAAATAATAAGAAAGTTATAGCTATATATATATCTGCAAAATCTCCCGTATCCTAAGAAAATTGCAAAAACTCTTTAAAAATAGCATTTTTAAATTACTTATACTTTTTTATAACTTATTTATTTTTTACCAAATTTTCAGGGTTTGTATAATATTTTATGCTCTTTTTAATGGGTCCATTTATAACTTTTTTTACTCATACAAAAAAAAGTTAAAAAGTTAGCCTTTTTTTAAAAGCTAAAAATAAAAGGTAAACTTTTTAAAAATAAAAATCGCTTCGAGGGGTATATGCCAAAATAAGCTGAATTTTTCATAACTTCTAATAATTTTGAGATAGTATTCACGAAAAAAATTTCTGTATAAATTATGAAGTGTCCGAACATTATGTGGTTAGGGCTCGTATGTATAAAATAAAAAATTCATGACAATTAAAAATATCGTTTTGACATTTTTTATTCAACTAAAAATATCGAATGAGATTTTTAATTTCGAATTTTAAAAATGCCTTGAATTGAAAATATCGTTTAGTATTTTTAATTTGTACTTAAAATAATGTCATTTTATTTCCTATAGTACTATTAACTAAAATAAAAAATTCCTTAAACTTTTAAATATACTTTTAATTTTAACTAAGTTAAAATTAATTAAATTATATTTAAAAAAAAAACTGTTTCTCATAATTTTTTCAAAAAAAAACAAGAAACACTAAATTTAACGTTTTTTATATTTTTTGATTTTAAATGTAGGTACTCTTCAGAAAACGAGAAAATTATTGCAGGAAATTAATTAATATTTTTAATTTAATTATTTTTAAATCTAACTTGAAATAAAGTCATCCTTCTTTTCCAACTTGGAAATTAAACAAAATAAAAATATTACTATAACATTTCAGCTTAAACTTAAAATATATTTCCTCAAAATGATTTTTAATTCAACAAATTTCAAACTTAAGTACAAATAAAAGTTGTAAATGCTTTTTTCCCACTTCAAAATTAAGTGAATTAAAAATATTGCTTGAGATTTTTAATTTAATTACAAATAATTGATATTTTTAATTTATTTGTTCATGAATTTTAGTTTAGAAAGTTTAAAAATAAATTGGATTGATGTCAAATTATTATTTAAAATTGAATAAAAAATATTAAACGATATTTTTGATTCACCAAGTGGAAAAAAAATTTTTAATTTTTATTTTATGACAATTAAAAATATCGTTTTGACATTTTTTATTCAATTAAAAATATCGAAATTATGAATTTTAAATATGCCTTTGGATTGACAATAACGTTTAATATTTTTAATTTTAACTTTTTTAATGATGCTCTATTATTTCCCATAGTACTATTAACTAAAATAAAATATTCCTGAAAATTAAATTATTCAATTAAAAATACATATCAAAATGTTATATGATAGTTTACACTTAATTTATAATCTAACTCGATTAATAATGAGCAGGATTAAGTACAAAATATTTAATTTATTTAAATGCTAAAAAATTGTTTATTGTGAGTAGAAAATAAAATATAAATAAAGAACCCATTTTTATAAAAAAATAAACGATTGGGAAAAAATTTAAAAAACAAATTTTCAATGAAAACAAAATAAAAATAAACGTCGGCCCAATATGGATTTATTATAATATAAATATAAATCGAAGATCTTTTAAGAAAAAAATTAAAAATGGCGAACTTAAAAAAAAACTGAAACATTTCATAGACTTTGACATTTGACAAATTTGTTTTTTGAAGTACCAACTAAATGTAGGCTACATTTAAGAACAAAACTTTTTTTTACAAGAGTTATGGGTGCTTAAAAAAAGCATTTTTTCTGAAAATTTTTGTGATAATGCGTATTTTTGTTAAATATTGATGTATTTTTTGCTTAATTTTCAATAAAAATGCATGACATTGTAATTATTATTTATATTAGGTACTGCAGTGGTAAACCCAGAAGAACCGGAACCGAAGCAAGGAAGATTGCTGGTGTTCCACTGGAACGACAACAAGTTGTGCCAAGTGTCCGAGAAAGAAATCAAGGGGGCGTGCTATTCTCTGGCGGAGTTTAACGGCAAGCTGCTGGCCAGCATAAACAGCACGGCCAGACTTTTCGAATGGACCACGGAAAAGGAGCTGCGATTGGAATGTTCGCACTTCAACAACATCATCTCGCTGTTCTTGAAGACCAAAGGGGACTTCATTCTGATCGGGGATCTGATGAGGAGCATGACGTTACTACAGGCAAGTATTTTTTACATTGTGATACATGTTTCACGGTGCTGTTCTGAGAGGTGATTTTTGGACTTTCTGTGAAACATAATTTTTTTTTATATTCTTGTTAATTAGGTCATAATTAAAATTTTAAGAGCAAAATAAAAAAAAATTTGACGGTTAATTTTGTTTTAATTGGATGTTTATTAAAAATATGTATGCACACTTTCAATTCTCCAATTAAAACTTGCGATTTTATTTAAATATTATCATAACTTTTTAAATCAGATTAAAGATTAGTTAATTTCCTAAAAAAAGGTCTATACATTTTTTATATCTTTTACTGTTTTGTTGTAATACACGTTTAAAGTTTTAATTTAAGGTTAAATGTATAGTATACATTTATTAAACAATAATTCTAAGGGTGCCACATTTTATTTAGGGCCGATTTATTCATTTTTGATTTATTTGACGAATAATTTCTTTGGATACTAGATATTGCCAAGACATGAAAGTTATCGGCCCGATAAACTTTACTAAAGATTAATAAACCGGTCCTTAGTTAAATTTCATGAATTTCTTCGTAACTTTTACTACAATTTTTCATTTTTGTTTATAAAAAACACTTTAAAAAACTAAACAAAAAATATAGAATACGTATACTGAAAATGACAATTCAAACGTCAAATAAATTTTTAATAGATCTAAGTTTCATGGCAACCTTTAAGGATATATTAATTAAGGGAACATAAATGTATACGTCAAAGGTTAGATTAAAAGTTTGAACGTTTATTGCAACAAAACACTAAAATATATAAAAAAAATTGTAAAAACCTTTTTTTTAGTTATGCAAATATTAAATATTTAAATTAAATCGCTAGTTTTAATTGGATAATTGAAAGAGTGCATAATATTTTTAATAAACAGCCAATTAAAACAATTCAAACCGTCAATTTTTTTTATTTTCCTCTTAAAATTTTAGTTATGACCAGAGCTGGGCCAAGTACAAGTAAAATGTACTTAAGTACCGAGTACAAAGTACTTTGTATAATTCCTGAAGAAGTACAAAGTACCAAGTACTATACAAATTTCAAAGTACTTTAAGTACAGTACTGCAAGTATACAAGTAAATACCAAAGTTTTGAAACGTAAACGTAAGTTAAGTTATAATTATGTGAAATAAATCATCTTAGAAATATACAAATTATATTGTTCTTTTATTTTAATCAAATTCGCTTGAACAAATTGAGGTTGTCATTGTCACTGACAATTTATCTGGATGCCAAGCTTCGAAATCAAAATTTTGCGTACTATAATGAACCTCATTAAAGCACACAAAACATTTAAATGGCGTGTTATAATGAAGTCATTATAAACGCAAAATAGATAAATATATAATATAACCACTCAACCCAGATAGCAAAATGCATGCAGTGTAGGCAAGCGTGCGGATTGGTACATGCTCTGATCCAAACATTTGTGTTGACACATATTATGTAGGGATCAGAGCATGTACCAATCCGCACGCTAGTCCCTGCATGTATTTTGCTATCTGCGTATAATTAAGTACTTCAAAATTTCAAAAATATAGGCAAATTGAATTAAAAGTAGGCAATTTAATGAAATATTTATTACAAATAAACAATATGGTTTATTAATTATTATTATTTTTAATAATAAGAGTAAGAGTAACTAACAAATTATTGGTTGACTTTGTTTGCTTTCATGATTACCAGTTTCTCAAAGTTTTCGTCTGTCAGTGCATTGCGCCGTGGACTATTCACAATTGTGGCGCAGACAGGTCTCAACTTGTATAAAGTACTTGTAAAAATGTACTTATATTTTAGTCCCAAGTACTGAGTACTCTTAGCAGAATGTTACAAGTACAAGTACCAAGTACATATACAAAGAAGTACTTAAGTATCAAGTACAAAGTACCCTAAAATGTACTCTAAGTACTTTTTCAAGTACTTGTACTTAAGTACCGCCCAGCTCTGGTTATGACCTAATTAACAAGAATATAAAAAAAATTAGGTTTCACAGAAAGTCCAAAAATCACCTCTCAGAACAGCACCGTGGTTTGCGTACTTTTGGTTTTTTGGCACGCCGTTTTAGCATTTAATGATGTTTTAACAGAAATTTACAAAGTTAATTTTTTTTTAAACTCAAAACTTTAGGCTAATAAATATTGATTTTTAAAAATTTTAGTTCAAATATTTAATTCTACAAAATTTTTGGTTTAAATTTGTAAAGAGTCATTTAATGTGATTTGTAAAAAGTCATTTAATGAAAGTCGATAAATTTTTAATACAAAAATTCTCACATTACATTTATTGATTTATTAACTGAAAAACAATTCATAATCAAAAAATATTTTAATTATAAAATACAAAAATTGTCACATTACATTCATTGATTTATTAATTGAAAAACTATTGATAATTAAAAAATATTTTAAATATAAAATAAACTGTAAAACTTAAAGCTTAAAAATATTGATTTTTAAAAATTTTAGTTAAAATATTTTATTCTACAAAATTTTTGGTTTAAATTTGTAAAGAGTCATTTAAATGATAGTCGACAAAAATTTTAATACAGAAATTCTCACATTACATTTATTGATTTATCAATTGAAAAACAATTGATAATCAAAAAAATATTTTAAATATTAAATACAACTGTAAAACTTTAAGCTTATAAATATTGAATTTTCAAAATTTTGGTTCAAATATTTTATTCTACAAAATTTTCGGTTTAAATTTGTAGAGTCATTTAATACACTTTTAATACAAAAATTCTCACATTACATTTATTGATTTATTAATTAAAAAACAATTGATAATCAAAACATATTTTAAATATAAAATACAACTGTAAATCTTTGAAATTAAAAATATTGATTTAAAAAAAAAAAATGTTTAAATATTTTGTTCTACAAAATTTTTGGTTTAAATTTGTAGTCATTTAAATGAGAGTCGATAAATTTTTATTACAAAAATTCTCACATTACATTTATTGAAAAACAATTGACAATCAAAAAATATTTTAAATATAAAATACAAAAATTGTCACATTACATTAATTGATTTTTTAATTAAAAAACAATTGATAATCAAAAAATATTTTAAATATAAAATACAACTGTAAAAATATTAATTTAAAAAAAAATTAGTTCAAATATTTTATTCTACAAAATTTTAGGTTTAAATTTGTAAAGAGTCATTTAAATGACAGTCGATCAATTTTTAATAAAAAAATTGTCGCATTACATTCATTAATTTATTAATTGAAAAACAATTGATAATCAAAAAATAATAAAATGAAAAACTTTAATCTTAAATATATTGATTTTTCAAAATTTTGGTTTAAATACTTTATTTTAGAAAATTTTCTGTTTAAATTTGTAAAGAGTAAGTTTTTAAATTTTAAAGTTGTAATTTTTGGATTAAAAATTTCTCAACCATCATTTAAATGACTCTTTACAAATTCAAACCAAAACTTTTATTTTTACAGTTTTTAATTAATACATTTTTAACACAAAATTTATAAAAATCATTTTTTTAAATTTTCGATTTTTCCAAAAGTTACACTCACCAAACTTTTGAGCCACCCTATGTGTTTTTATTTTAAATGTCGACACTATTTTAAATACTAAAAAAATTAACTTTAGCAATTAAATATAAATAATTTTATAAAAAATTTATTTAGGATTTACAAAATTCTGCCCAAATAATTTATTCTTAAGAAATTATTTTTATTAAAAATTGATAGAAATTTTTGCATAAATTGATTGGAAATAATATTGTTTTATACAGAAGTGAATATTGGTTTATTAATTGAAAAACAATTGATAATCAAAAAATATTTTAAATATAAAATACAACTGTAAAACTTTAATCTTAAAAATATTGATTTTTCAAAATTTTAGTTCACATATTTTCGGTTTAAATTTGTAAAGAGTCATTTAAATGTTGATCGATAAATTTTTAGTACAAAAATTTTCACATTACATTTAAATGTAAGTTTTTAAATTTTAAAGTGGTAATTTTTGGATTAAAAATATCTCAACTATCATTTAAATAACTATTTACAAATTCACACCTAAACTTTTATTTTTACAATTTTTAATGAATACATAAATAATATGCATATTTAACACAAAATTTATAAAAATCATTTTTTTAAATTTTCGATTTTTCCAAAAGTTACACTCAATATTCCAAACTTTTGAGCCACCCTGTATGTGTTTTTAGTGTTTTAACTTTATCAATGAAATATAAATAATTTGATAAAAAATTTATTTAGGATTTACACAATTCTGAAGTAAACTCTGTTTGTTAGTAACATTTGTCTTTCAATACGTTATAGTTGAAAATATTTTAAATCTACAGGGTGTTATGTAATTAATGTTATATATTAAAATACTGAATACCTTTTGACATAAGGAATAAAGGAAAAATATTAAAAAAAACATTTTTCCAAAGATAAAGAAAAAATATGCATTAGAAGTTTTTTATATTTTTTGTGATACGCCACTGGTTACACACTTGTTTATCTCTGCACACCTGTATTTTGTGAGTACATAGATACCACAGACCTACAAACAAGTTTGTTTGTAGGTCTGTGATAGATACCAACCAACAAAATAGCTATGCGTTGCCAGATGTAAAAAATTGTTACTAAAAATTTTTCTTGCAAAAAATAAATAAAAACCCAATAAATACAAAAGTTTTATGCCCTTAAATCCATAACCACAAAATTAATTTTTTCATCAGTTTTTTTCTCTGTTTACTCAGATGAAATTGGGACCAGTTCACAGGTTAAACTTTAAACATTTAATTTGTGTAAATAAATCCAAAAGCACTTCCCTTAGTTAAGATATTTACAATTTGAAAACATAACCTAAAATTTAAAAGAAATGCACTAGATTATGTCAAAAAAGTTGGCAGATTTTGTTTGAATTTACCTTCAGTACAAAAATGAAATAACCAACAATTAATAAAAACGCCAAATTGACAATTTGCATTGTTAATTTTTTCATTTTTGTAATAAAGCTAAATTTAAACAATGTTTGTCAACTTTTTTGAGAGATTTTGGAAACACTGTGGTTACCAACCATAACATAATAAATCCACCAGATTAACCTAAAGTTCCTAGTCGATCAGTGGCGTACTTTTTGGTAGGATAAAGGTTATTATAAATTATTTTTAGACTTTGGAATTTAGAAAAAAAAAAGTTTCAGGTGCTTCTTTATGGACCCTAAGGAACAACATTTTAATATATAACATTTATTACATAACACGCTGTATAAAAGCAAACCTAAAATTTTTAGTTAGACAAAATGAACCAATAAAATTTTAAATTAAAAAAATATTTAATAAATGTTATTTAAAAACTCAATTTTTAAATAGAACTAAAAATAATGAAGGTACAGTTGTATTCAATAAAAAAGCGTACAAGAATTAGAATGAGAGAAAACTGTCAAAATAATATTATTGCTTAAAACCGGCTTATCACTGACATAAGTCATTAAAATAATTATTATAGGTTATAAAGAGCATTGACGTCGTAGGTTAATTAAATAATAGTACAAAAATTATTACCTTTTAATAATGAAAAAACAAACATTAAAAAAAATTAATATTTAGTCATGCATCCCTGTTTTTCTATTACTTGAGCCAATCTATTTGGGATGAACTGAATTAAATTTAATACAATATTTGGATTAATATCTTCCCAGCAGTATAGTGGGTATAGTATAGTTGTATAGTTTCCCATAAATCCTCAGATATCTCAAAAAAGCAGCATCCTGTTCAGGGGTGGACATTTTGGGACGACCTGAACCAACTTTTTGGTTTAGTAAATCTTCCTGTTCCCAGCGTTGCTTAATTTTTAATATAGATTTTTTATTTCTATTATACCACAGTACGAATTGACCATTCTTCTTCGATTCTTGATACTATTTGAGCCTTTTTAACTGACGAGGCATTTTTAATTTCTAGTCAGTTATAGTGACTTAAGTCAGTGGAAAGCCGGTTTTACGCAATAATGTTGACAGTTTTCTCTCATTCTAATTCTTGTACGCTTTTTTAATGAATACAACTGTAAGTCATTTTTATTGGTGCGTATTTTAGTACAAGACCATGGAGGGCAGCTTCGAGGAGATAGCGCGGGACTACAACCCGAACTGGATGACGGCCGTGGAAATCCTGGACGACGACGTTTTCCTCGGCGCGGAAAATTGCTACAACCTGTTCGTGTGCCAGAAAGACAGCGCCGCCGCCACCGACGAGGAAAGGTCCCAGATGCAGGAGGTGGGACAGTTCCACGTCGGGGACATGGTCAACGTTTTCAGGCACGGCTCGCTCGTCATGCAGAATTTGGGGGAGACCTCCACTCCCACCAGGGGGTGCGTCCTGTTCGGAACTGTTGGAGGCGCCATCGGTAAGGAACTTTGCAATTTTCACGGTTTTTTCTTCAGTTTTTACGTCCCGGGAAATGGCGCACGATATTTTTACTCGCTTAGAAAATTCGTAACTTTTTGGCACATCATTAATAGTCTACTTTAAAAATCTAACAAATGCGTGATTTAAAGATAAAAAAAGTTCTTTAAAATATAAACGATAGAAACTTGACTTTTTGTAAAAAAACGCTCGAGAAAATATAATGCTCTTTATGGATTATAAGTCATTTATATGAAAAAAATGCAAATTTGGAGGAAAAAAACTTTTTTTGCCAGGCCTTGGAAAAATAACTTTTTTGGGAAAAATTATTTTTTTTTTTGGAAATTATACACATTAAAAAAAAGTAGAAATCAAGAACTGATAATTTTATAAATCGTGTCAAATAAAACGAAAGTTATATTAATACACCACCGAATATGTTTTTTTTGCGACCCGGTAGAATATTCTTGCTGAATTAAAATTAAAGGAATAGGTAATTATTATAATCATAATATGATTATATTCAGCGTCGGAAATTCACTTTTTTATTACCCATTGAATTAAAAATACCGTTATAACATTTTTGATTCAATTAAAAATATTGAAAGGGATTTTTAATTCCAAATTTTAAATATGCATTTGAATTGAAAATAACGTTTAATATTTTTAATTTTAACTTTTTTTATGATGCTATATCATTTCCCATAAAAAATTCCTGATAATTAAAAATATTGAATGAGATTTTTAATTCCAAATTTTAAATTTTCCTTTGAATTGGAAATATCGTTTAATATTTTAAATTTTAACTTGAATGATTTTATATTATTTCCCATAGTACTATCAACTAAAATAAAAATTCCTGACAATTAAAAATATCGTTTTGACGTTTTTGATTCAACTAAAAATATTGAATGAGATTTTTAATTCCAAATTTTAAATATGCCTTTGAATTGGAAATAACATTTAATATTTTTAATTTTAACTTTTTTTATGATTCTCTATTATTTCCCATAGTACTATTAACTAAAATAAAAAAATCCTGACTATTAAAAATATGGTTTTGACATTTTTTATTCAGTTAAAAGGACATTTACATTAAATGTAAATGTATTTTTAATTGAATAAAATATGTCAAAACCATATTTACTTAACCATTGTTTCTTAAATCAATGAATAATGATAAGGATTACACAGAAATATTAATATTAATTAATTTATTGTAAGTAGCAAATAAAATATAAATAAAGAACATATTTTTATAAGAAAATAAACGAATGGGAAAAAATTAAAGAAATAAATTTTCAATAAAAAAAAAATAGAAAGAAAAGTCTGTCAACTCTAGATTCGCCAAATAAATCGAAGATTTTTCATAAAAAAAATTAAAAATGGCGGAAATGTATGGTTTTTTCTCAAAAAACTGAATTTTTTTTATAAAATTTGACATTTTACAAATCTTTATATTTTTTTTCTTCTAAAAAGTACATTTAAGAACAAAAAATTAAAAAATCATCCCATTTGGTCAATTTTTACAAAAATTATGGGTATTTAAAAAGAAGCATTTTTTTTAAATTCGTATTTTTTGCTTAATTTTCAAGAAAAATGTATTTTCCAAACTTGCATTGTAATTATTATTATTAGGAACTGCAGTGGTAAACCTAACAACCTAACAAATAAAAGGAGTGAAAAAATCATTATTAATATCATTATTAATATAAATATCACTTCATTTAATTAAGTTAATTATAATCTTGACTTTTTTGTTAAAAATATTAATTTTAGAGATTCGACTTATATAACTTTTTATGTGGAACACTGAATTTTCTACATTTTTGTTTTCTTTTAAAGTTAACACATTTTCGTCAAAATTATAAATTATATTTTAATGCTAAATTAAATGAATTAATATTTCATCCCATTTTGATTTAAGACATTTTTAAGACATCTGGTCTAAAATATCTATAGGACATCTTCTTCAATATCTTTCAGAGATTTATCAATCCAAATTTTTAAAAAACAAAACATGAAAAAAAATTAAAAAAAGTTTTTGGTGTTTTATTTCAAATGATGTATTTAAATTTATTCACAATTTTTAATTGTTTTTGTTACCTAACAAATGAAAGGAGTGAAAAAATCATTATTAATATAAATATTACTTAATTAAATTCTTGACTTCTTTGTTTTGTGTATCTCTTAATATAATAATTTTAGAAACTCTGCTTATATTACATTTTATGTGGAAAAGTGAATTTCCTACAAAAAATATTTTTTTCTTTTAAAGTTTTTGCTAAAGTTTTAAATTATATTTTACTACTAAATTAAATTAGAAGTTTGAAAAAAAAACATAAAATTTGAAGAAAAAAAATTAAAAATGTTTTTAAATTAATATTTTCATCCCATTCTGATTCAAGACATTTTTAAGACATCTCTGGTCTAAAAACTCTTTGGGGCATCTTTTTCAAGATCTTTCAAATTTTTAAAATATAGATGGCTTTGTTAACCACAATGTGACATTTTAGGTCTAGTTACCCAAATTCCACAAACCTTCTACGACTTTTTGTTGGAATTGCAAAATAAGCTGTCGACAGTCATAAAATCGGTCGGTAAAATAGAACACAACTTCTGGAGGGCTTTCCATACAGACATAAAGACTGAACCCAGTGAAGGTTTCATTGATGGTGATCTGATCGAAAGTTTTCTGGACCTATCCCAAGAAAAAATGAAAGAAGTTGCCGATAGTTGTCAGGTAAAAAATGAAATTTGAAAATAAGTATTTGTAGTATAAATTAAATTTACTTTTTTTTAGTTAACTGTCGAACATCTGGTGAAAATGATAGAAGATCTAACCAGAATACATTAGGTTAGTGACGATCTTGTGGTTTGTTTACTGCTTAATATTTGAGAATATTGATTTAAAAATTAATTACTAATTCATCAATGATGGACATATGATTTTACCTGTAAGGTTACTGTATATTAGTAGAAGTATAAATAAAAATTTCCTATTAAGTAAAAATGTTTATTTTCTTAAAAAATTACTCCATCTTAACATTTCATTTTCTGTGTTTTGTGAAAACATGTTTACACATAAAAAGGTATCTGGTAAAGTAAATAATAAATTATCCTGCTAGAGGTATGTATTATATTTATTTATATAGATTATTTTTAAAATAAACTTTATTTTTTATCAAGACGTGTACTGAATTTTTTTGTATTTCTAGCGTGCAAAAATAGATCTTCAGCTATGGTATTCCACTGTTTTAGTATATCTTATATGAGAATACCATACCACATCCAATTTTTGTACTCCAAAACAAGAAAATTCAGTAAACAAAAAGTATCGCACGGCTTTTATAAATATAAAAGCGACATTTTGTCAACATTTACAAAATTTTTAAAATAAATATGCAATGAACTGTAAATATTTTGAAAATATTTCCAGATATTTTTGTGATGTTGAGGAAACATTAATAAAATATAAGGTAATAATGTATCTAAAACATTTAAGAAAATGTTTTAAAAATGTTGTGAATAAATATTGTATGAATATAAAAAGTGGTACATATAAATGTTGTAAAATAATTTTAGAGGCATTTCAATGATAATGACTAATATTTCTAAAATATTTAGGTTGTTTAGCAAAAATATTCATTCAATAATTTAAATATATTTTTGTGTTATGTGGGTAAGGTTATGGTATATTAGTGGAAGTATAAATAAAAATTTCATATTGAGTAAAAAATATTTATTTTCTTAAAAAAAATTACAAGACTTAACTTTCCATTATTTGTGTTCTGAAAACATGTTCATATCCAGTTTTAATCAAAAACTGGAAATTCTTGTTGTCTTGTAGCTCCTTTAAGTCATCGATTAGATTTTCCAGCGGCGGTAAAATATTATTAGGATCCACGCCTAAAACCAAAGAAAGATCCACAATTTTGAAAAACAGCGTGTTTTGCAGGATATCCAAGGGCGCGTCCAGGTTCTGGCAGTCCCACGAGTCCCTCCTAATCGCGTTCCTCCAAATTTTCAAGCGCATCTCCTCCCTGACCTCGTCGTCTTCGACGTAACCCAGAAGGTCCAGAGCCTTTTTGAACTCCAACTCCCCGGCATCTGAGTACTCCGAGCAGATGTACAAGTTGATCATGTCTTTGGCGGGGATGACCCTCGGCCTCGAGGTGTCGTAGCCGTACTCCTGCAAGACGTAGTCGGGAATCTCCTCCTGGAACGCTATCAGATCCAGGCCGCCGTTTATTTTGTCCACAAATCAGCCACTTCGGCCATTTTTACTTTGTTGAGTGTTTCAAGTGCGACGCTAAGTTAAAATATTAAATTATCCAGATAATCCTTCCTGCTAGAGGTATGTATTATATTTATTTTTTTTGTTTAGATTATTATTGCTATTTATGAATGACAGTGTGGGCACCCTATTGAAGACGATTATTCTATCGGTAAATTTCTTATTAACAAAAAACAAACATAAACCTAATAAAATCGCTTAGAAAACCAAAAATGTTGTTTTTTAATATTTAAAAACTAAAAAAGTAATTTTCCTGAGCGGAATTAAACCGAAGACTTTAATTTAAATTAAATTCTTTTTAGCCCCCGTCCGGAAAAATACAAAAACCGAAACTGCGAGAGAAAATGACATTTTACCGGAGTTACAACAATGGCTGGCTCAAGCTAAATTTAGAAAAAGGAAGTAAATAAGAGAGACCAGAAAGAAAAATATTCTTTTATTTCTGTAACTTTTTTAAAGAATATTTGTTTTACATATTTGACTTTTATTTATATCGATTATTTTTAAAATAAACTATATTTTTTATCAAGACGTGTACTGAATTTTTTTGTATTTTTAGCGTGCAAAAAATAGATCTCCAGCTATAGTAGTCCACTGTTTTAGTATATCTAATTTGAGAATACCATACCACATATACTTTTTGTACTCCAAAACAAGAAAATTCAGTACACAAAAAGTATCACATAAATATAAAAGCAACATTTTTAAAATAAATATGCAATGAACTGTAAATATTTTGAAAATATTTCCAGATATTTTGTGATTTTCGAAAATGTTTTAAAAATGTTGAAATAAATATTGTATGAATATAAAAAGTGGTACATATTAATGTGGTAAAATCATTTTAGAGGCATTTAAATGATAATGACTTATATTTCTAAAATATTTAGGTTATTTAGCAAAAATATTCATTCAATAATTTAAATATATTTTTGTGTTATGTGGGTAAGGTTACGGTATATTAGTAGAAGTATAAATAAAAATTTCATATTGAGAAAAAAATATTTATTTTCTTAAAAAATTACACATCTCCTTAACATTCCATTATTTGTGTTCTGAAAACATGTTCATAGCCAGTTTTAATCAAAAACTGGAAATTTTTGTTGTCTTGTAGCTCCTTTAAGTCATCGATTAGATTTTCCAGCGGCGGTAAAATATTATTAGGATCCACGCCTAAAACCAAAGAAAGATCCACAATTTTGAAAAACAGCGTGTTTTGCAGGATATCCAAGGGCGCGTCCAGGTTCTGGCAGTCCCACGAGTCCCTCCTAATCGCGTTCCTCCAAATTTTCAAGCGCATCTCCTCCCTGACCTCGTCGTCTTCGACGTACCCCAGAAGGTCCAGAGCCTTTTTGAACTCCAACTCCCCGGCATCGGAGTGCTCCGAGCAGATGTACAAGTTGATCATGTCTTTGGCGGGGATGACCCTCGGCCTCGAGGTGTCGTAGCCGTACTCCTGCAAGACGTAGTCGGGAATCTCCTCCTGGAACGCTATCAGATCCAGGCCGCCGTTTATTTTGTCCACGTAATCGTCGGCGTCGATCGTGTTCGGCCCTGCAATTAGGGATGGGACAGTTGAAATTTTCAAATAAGTGAAATTTTTGAAAATTTCAAATGAAATTTTCAATCCGAAAATTTCAACATTGCCTGTGAAAGTTTCGGAAATTTCATTGAAAGTTTCGCAATTTACTGAAAATTTCGCATAAATTTCACATGCGGCCTCCCCTGGGATCTTTAATAATAATTTACAACAGGTTCCGAATCGACCAATAGGAACGAGTTATCAAGCGTCTGGGCGTTTTTGTTTAGTTCGGCTTGGATTTGAATACACTATAAGTAATTATTGTTACTTATATGCATAAATTAATTTAGTTGCCAATTTAATTTGTAAATTAAATCAGACTTTGAAATTTTTTTAAAAGTCATGACTTTTACTTTTGCTATAATTGCATCGGAAAACGGATAAAAAATGCCTTTGGCTCATAAAATTTTGATGTTTCTTCAGTTTTCGTAAAATTTCAGTAAAATATTTAAAAATAATAAATATTTATAAATATAAAACAATGAAAGTGGCACAGTCTCATTAGCTTACCAAAAAGTGCTATATCTCTTTTATTTTTAGTAATTTTAAAAATATTTTAAAAGGTAATCTCAAGAAATTTGTGGTAAACATAGGTATTTACTATTTATATTATTGGTGGTCAGGGGTCCACAGAGGGGTAGGAGGTAAGAGAGGCAATTTACCATGGTCCCCGAGTGGGCTTATTTCAATATTAATATATTACACTTAAAGTGATTGAAATTTGTTGAAAGTTTCAATAAATTTCATAAATTTCATAAAATTTCAGAAATTTAGGAAATTTTAATAAATTTCATAAATGTCATGAAAATTTCAAGTGAAACGGAAAATTATAGAAGTGTATAGGATGACTCCGCGTTTGAATATCAAATCTTAAAGTTTTATCATAACTGTATTGAATCGTGCTTTGTTTTTATATTTTTCGGCTCTATACCTATGCACGACTATTTTTAAAGTCAAACTCAATGGTGTCTTACAAGATACATTATTTTGATTTTCTATATTCAACAGAGAGGTAGAAACTCGACCCTGTCGAATGGTGCAGTCATTTATGTCTCTAGAAATTATTAAAAAAGGGTTCAGTCCAATGGTGCAGCAACTTCGGATTCCTATTCTCCTCAGAGACATAGAAACTCAAGCTTTTCGAATTTTACTGGCAATGATTTTCGTTAATGTCCCCGAGAATTATACAAAAACAGCGCAATGCAATATCGCAACGGTTTCGACTTCTCTTTACTCTACCAAGTTATAGAAACTGGAGTCTCTCTAATACTGTTCTAGTCAATATTTCTGAGAGCATAAAAAGAGGGTGTAATATTGCAAGAAGTTTTGATCTTTTGATGTATGCAAGTAGTTTGAATTTTCTCCTTTCTGCATATGATTTTGTTGAAAATTGTTCCTTTCTTTGGTTCCTTTGTCTGATTTTTATTTACCGTAACAACTCAGGTATGTAAAGCACAGATGATATGATGTTAAGTATATTTATGTATTATATAAAGTACCTATATTTATATTAAAAATTTCAGAGGTTATGTTGAAAAAATGATCGATATGCTAAGTATTAAACTTTAATAATTTAGTAATGAGGTCTGTTGGTAGACCCTGCACTATCTCCACTGGTATATGTTAGTTTTGTAATATTTAAATTTGGTTGATGAAAAAGTACACACCAGTGCAGGTTATTGTAGCATTTACGAACAAATGAATTAATGGCCCATTGGCAATTATTCCTTTAGGAAAAATATTCAACACAGCTTAATTAATTAATAAAATGAAAAAAATCACAATCATGTCGTAAATAGTTTTTTTTAAGCATAAAATAATTTTTATATTAATACTAGTTCAAAAGTGAAATTACGACCTCTATACTGTGGAGAGTATTGAAACGCTCGACTGGCGAATACAACTCTATACCGTAGGGAGATTTAGAAAACGATATTCAAACGTGGCGTCATCCTATACACCTCTATAATTTTCCGTTTGCTGTGTACCTGCAATCTTCGCCAACTTGCTCAAACTCAGCATCGTCTTTTGCCGCGTCACGGACTCAGTTTCTTCCGCTGCGAGTTGCTGCAGCGTGTTAGCGGCCAAAACGAACTTTCTGTCGAAGATTTGCTGCATCCACGACAACGACGGGTGGTCGGAGAGAAAGTTGGTCAACTTTTGCGAGCTCTTGCCTCTGCCCACTTTGCGGTACCTGTCGATCAGTTTGCCCTGCTTGTTCTCCTTCAAGAACCAGTTGTACACGTACTCGGAGAACCCGTCGTTGTTGAAACGGTCCATGTACTCGTCCAGACGGTTTTGGTTGTTCGTGTACTCGCAAATGACTACCAGCGTTTCAAAATCCAGGTATTTCTCCGCCAGTTGTGCAGCCTTTTCCCACTCTTTCTCTTGCACTAAAATTAAACATTTAGAATTAAAAATTAACCATAAACCAATAAAAATATTAATTTTGATAAAAGGCTGTGGTGATAAGGTCTTGCAATGGCCCTTTTCAGGCTAATGGCAATTTCAGTATCAAGTTAATGATACTATAAAAAACCAAGTGCTAAATGTTTTCTGAATATAAAACTATATATAAGGCTTCAATACAAAATAATGAGTAATGTGTTTTTAATGAAAATTAAGTTAATTATTCATTACATTTTTTCCAATTAGTAATGTATTATTTTTTACATTAGGTACTGTAATTAGTACACTCACGGGCAAAATAATCGATCCACATAAATTTTCGATGAATTTCAATCGCAAATAACTTTTTTATTTGATTTCGGATTTAAAAAAATATTAAAGAATATTGTAGATACATTAATGAAGAATCGCTCACATTTTAAAAATTACTAAAAAATACACTTAAGTTTATAATATACAGGTTTAAACAAAAAGATGTTTTTTACCATAAGACACTCTGTAGAGTGGCAAAACTGTATATTGTTCTAAATTAAGTTTTAATTATCAAGTCACATCTATTTTGAACGGTTTGTTTTTGGTTCACCTTGTTATATTTATTTTTGTGGAAAATATGGATTTTTAAAAAAAAACATTGCAATTTCCAATATTTTTCCTGTATGAAGAACTAAGGTTGCTATGGTCCATCCATAGCCTATGGAGGATGACAGTGACAGTTTTGTTGAATCATCCCATACTTGGACATGTCATATACAGCTTTCAAAAGCTATCAATTTGTTTTTTGTAAGTTATTGTGTTAATTTTGAGGTGTCTTCTTACTTTTAAAATAGTCTCCGACTGATGTTGCCCTTTGTACTTTACTTCTTGTGACGTTTAAAACACCTGCCACGTAATACTGTGACCGTCCATCCTGGATTAAATTAATGGCTCTGGCAACATCAGTCGTAGACATATCCATTTTTTAAAGTAAGACACCTCAAAATTTAAACATTAATTTGCAAAAAACAATTTGATAGCTTTTGAAAGCCGTGTATGACATGTCCAAGTATGGGATGGTTCAACAAAACTGTCACTGTCATTCTCCATAGCCTATGGATGGACCATAGCAACCTTAGTTCTTCATACAGAAAAATATTGGAAATTGCAATGTTTTTTTAAAAATCCATATTTTCCACAAAAATAAATATATCGAGGTGAACCAAAAACAAAACTGTTAAGAATAGATGTGACTTGATAAATAAAACTTAATTTAGAACAATATACGGTTTTGCCACTCTACAGAGTGTCTTAAACTTATGGTAAAAAAAATTTTTTTGTTTAAACCTGTATATTATAAACGTAAGTCTATTTTTTAGTAATTTTTTTAAATGTGAGCGATTGTCCATTAATTTATCTACAATATTCTTTAATATTCGTTTAAATCCGACATCAAATAAAAAAGTTATTTGCGATTGAAATTCATCGAAAATTTGTATGGATCGATTTTTTTGCCTGTGAGTGTATTTTGAAATTTTAATTAGGGGAGGATGATAGTGACAGTTTTGTTGAATCTTCCCATACTTGGACATGTCATACACGGCTTTCAAAAGCTATCAAATTGTTTTTTGCAAATTAATGTTTAAATTTTGAGGTGTCTTCTTACTTTATAAAATGGATATGTCTCCGACTAATGTTGCCAGAGCTATTAATTTAATCCAGGATGGACGGTCACAGTATTACGTGGCAAGTGTTTTAAACGTCACAAAAAGTAAAGTACAAGGCAACATCAGTCGGAGACATTTTTAAAAGTAAGAAGACACCTCAAAATTAACACATTAATTTACAAAAAACAATTTGATAACTTTTGAAAGCTGTATATGACATGTCCAAGTATGAGATGATTAAACAAAACTGTCACTGTCATCCTCCATAGGCTATGGATGGAATATTGCAACCTTAGTTCTTTATACAGGAAAAATATTAGAAATTGCAATGTTTTTTTTTTAAAAATCCATATCTTCCACAAAAATAAATATATCCAGGTGAACCAAAAACAAAACTGTTAAGAATAGATGTGACTTGATAATTAAAACTTAATTTAGAACAATATACGGTTTTGCCACTCTACAGAGTGTCTTAAACTTATGGTAAAAAACATATTTTTGTTTTAACCTGTATATTATAAACGTACGTCTATTTTTTAGTATTTTTTTAAAATGTGAGCGATTGTCCATTAATTTATCTACAATATTCTTTAATATTCGTTTAAATCCGACATCAAATAAAAAAGTTATTTGCGATTGAAATTCATCGAAAATTTGTGTGGATCGATTATTTTGCCTGTGAGTGTATATTTCAAGGTAATTTTAATACATTTTCAATACCTTATTGGGATTTTGTACATAATTTAAAGAGCCTAAGGATTGTTTTATCAGATCTATTCGTCACATTTCATTTTAATTACGAAAATATCAAGTTCTTACCTCAGGACAGTGGCCAACTTTTTGAAATATACGTAATTACGACATTACGACAGCCTTTTATCAAAATTAATATTTTTATTAAAACATTCCTGTAAAGGCCCAGTAGGTACAAGGAAAGCTTTGGTAAAAAATGCTATTATTAAGCCATGGAACTTACACAACGGTTTTATCAACTTATGGCGGTCTCCGCAGTACTGCTTGTATAGAGCGCCCTCTCTGGGCCCATTCATAACGCTTTCGATGTGAGACTTTCTACCGTCCAAAATTATATCAGTCAAGGCCACAAAATGATCCAAGAGGGCGTTTCTTAGTTGACCAGGGCCTGCCAACTTAACGCCATAACTGTACGTTAACGAGTGCTGCAATTGATTTGGTTAATTAAAAAGTTAATTAACTAATAAAAAAATATTACTTGTAGCAGCAAGTCGTCCATAAGGCCGTTTGGACCACTGGCTGCAGTCCACGGTAGATAATCGGTGTTTAAGTGTTTTGTGTTTTCATTGGGCGAAAAAGATTCCGAATTTTGATGCCTATATTGGATTACCTCATTGAGTGTCGACTAAAAAGCAAATGCAAAATAAATAACACAGCCATTTTGCCCACCATGTCTCACTATGATTTTCTTGTGTAGTTTGGCTCACTGAACGCGAAAATCACACTTAAATTTTTTTTCATGGAAGCGTTTTTGAGATATTAATTTGTTTTTTTTTTAATTTTCTGAGGTGTTTTGACGTTTTTGAGTATACTTCGAGTTCTAATTGATCGATTTGACCAAACAAGCCCTTAAATCAAAGGTAATTAATTGAGCCCTCTACAACTTTCTCTTGTATAGTTTTGGTATCGGCTCAGTAGTTCGATACTGGCGATTTTATGAAGTTGAAAAAGTTCTTTTTTTTTACAAAAATCGAGGTCGAAAATTTACATATCTTTCTGCGAAAGATAGAAATCGAAAAGATAATTCCATTTTGATTTATTTTACGTATAGATTATACTTAAAGGAAAAAAATAAGCTGTTGTTTATAAAAATCAGTTTTTCAAGAATTTTTACGTTTTTTCTTCATTTTATTGAATTTATAAAATGTAACAAACATTGATTTTTATTTTAAACATTAAATATTGAAATTAAATTATATATTGAATATTAAACAAATTGTTTTATTTTGTTTTAATAAGCATAAGTTTAAAAAAATTCTGGCCCCTTCTTTGTTTTTTGTTGCTTTCGTATTCCGTTTCTCGTATGAGGGACCAAAAGTAATCACCCATCATGGCTGCATCCCAGAAGCCGTGATACCGCCGCTCCATAGCCTTCATTTGCTGGTGAAAACGTTCTCCGTGCTCATCACTTACGTCGCCCAGATTGTGCGGGTTATTTACGCACTCGAACTCTCTACTTCTTTTACTCATTTTACACTTTTTATTAACTAAATAAAACCATGATAAAAATACCTTGTTGATATATCAAAAAATATCAGTAAAATGTCACTATGCCAACACGAGAAACAAAAGAATTGACGTTTGCTGAGTCAAGTCAAATTTAAATTTTTAATAATGTTTTCTGTGAAAAAAGTACGTTAAAAACTCAAAAAATTCCAATCATGCACTTTATTTAGGTTTTCATTAAAGAATAAACATATTAGAAAACAAAAGAAAAAATTACAATAAAAATCGTCAAAAAGCTGAATTTTGGTCTTCCACTAAAAAATTCACAACTTCGCCATTTTTTCATGTATTTTTATCAGCATTAGCTTGTTTTTTTGTAAAATGTCAGCTTCACGAAAAAAAATTCAAACTGGATTCATCTGTTTCATTTAAACCTTTCCCAGGACGAGTTATTAAAATCGCTAGCGTCAAAATACTTATCCGATATCAAAAGTAGGCTTGTTTGACCAAATCGATCAATTAGGTTTCAAGCTATACTCAAAAACGTCAAAAAACCTCCGAAAATTGAGTGTGATTTTCGTGTTTAGTGGGTCAAAATTATAATGGGATATGGTGCGCAGAATTTTTTTTCGATTTTGTAAACTAATGTTATTTATAGGTAAAACCTACTAAAATAATATCGTTGGTGTCGTTGATGTGTTGGACAACCTGTTGAGGACTCATATCAGAATGAGCTACATCCTCGGAATTGGCGGTTAGTTCCTTAATGCATCTGTGCACTTTGCTCACTTCCCTAAAAAATATATCCTGGTTGGTAAGGCCATTTCCCGGTTGGAAATCGTAGCCTTGGATGGCCTTTTCCACGGCACTGTCGAGAATAAGGCTGTTCGGAAGCATTTTTAATACGATTGCGGCGGTGATCTTCTCCGAAAGTTCGCCTAAAATAACCAGTTTTACATTACATAACCAGCGCAACGATTTTAAGTTTGCATGATATTTTTATGAGCTTAATAATTATTGCGCATGCGTAGAATGTGTGCGCACGTTATAATTGAGGTTATTATGGATCATGTAAAACGTTTTTTCAGATTTTCATCGTTTTATTTCAAAACCGCTACATTAATTCACAATAATAGTATATTGTGTATCAAGTTTAATAAACGCCATTTTAGACACGAATTTAATGTAGCTTAATTAAATGAGTATCTAGAAAAGTTTACTTATCATTAATAATAATAAATTATTGTATAAGTAGATCTATATAACAATAGAGTAACCAACTTTAAAGTATTTTTACGGTTAACCAAAACGGTTTTATAACGGTATAGATACGAAAAATTACCAAATTTGGGGAATGGTTTATTTCGTTATTTTACCTACATAATAACTTTTTTAATCTACTAGGAGAATAACGTAATAAAAGTAATATAAATACCACAAATTTACGTAAAAATAACGCTATAATTACTAACTGTTTACTCTCTCTTTTTAAAACATTGACATTCGTCATTTCTTTGTTCTATTAATTTATATTTTACAAGATGGTACTTACAAAGTAATAAAGGCCACCCTAGAGTAAAATTAAAAAATATAACTTAAATTGTCAAAACTAATAATACTTTGCATTAAAACTCAAACGCACAATGTTTTATTGATAAAAATAGGCACGATACATCTTAAAAATTATATGCCCTATAAATGTTTTACGGTTTTAAGTAAAATATTGCTTGGGTAAAAATTCAACAAAACTTAAAACTTACAAAATTTAATAAAATCCTTTAAAAATTATTTAGTTTTAATCATTTTATAATAACAAAAATTTTCCTTTTTATATTTTAGAAAAATATTTATGAAATAAATTATATTTTTCACTTTAAGCTTATTTTTCCTTGTTTAGTCCATATTAATAGTATTTATTACCACTAATAACCCTAAAAAATACCAGGCGAATAGGAATTATTTACGGTTATAAAGTGGTCTTAATATCGTAAAATTATGACTTGCGAGTAACATTTACCATTAAGTAAAAATTCTGACATTAAAATTACCGAAAAATTTTCCTTTGGGTGAAATACACTTTTAAGTAATTGAATTGCCGGAATGCACAACCGACGCAGCGCGGGGCCAGTAGGCCACTGCATGGAGACGGTTCAATTTCAACAAAATTCTTTAAATTAAACTCGCGATAACTCCTTAACTAAACGTGCGATTTTTATGAAATTTGGACAGAATACTTAAATTGGTACAGCGATGCTATTAAAATAAAAAATACAAAATTTCAACCACAATTAATTAATAAATGCATAAATATTATTTAAGTCATAACTATGCTTAAACTAGTAGATTTTTATAAATTATATTTATATGTTTTTTTTCTTGGTAAAATAAAGAAGTTTTTCTCCAAATTTGACAATTATTGATTAATTATTATAGCCGTAATACAAATAAATAAAAGAGCCCGCGGCGGCGCGCGTAAAGACAACACGAGAATCGAAACTAAACTCGATTTATCACGTAAAAAACTTAATTGCAACAAATCATTTATTATAAGTAATTATTAATTAATGTGTTTACATTGTACAGTGTACACTGTACAATATAAAACAGGAATTTTATTTTGAAATAAAATGATTACCTTATGATTTAACTTTTTAGCAACATTTGCTTTCCACAAACTATTATTCTTCGATCTTTTTCTTCAGATTTGTTGGCTTTTGCATGAAGTCTGTCACATTTTGACCACAATTAATATTCTTATGGCTTTATGTAGGTAGTTACAACAAGCACATAATAATGGTAATCTGCCGTGGTTAATAAAAACGCCGTAACCAACAATTTAACGATTTTCGGTTTACGGCATTTCCTTATAAATAGAACGATGCATTCTGCATCTATTCCTGGAATCAGTTTTTTAACTGATTAAAACTTAAATTGTTATCATTAAAAATGTCGATGGCATAGAGTAAAACAGAAAATGCTGATTTTCTAAAAATGTAATTTCTGTAGATACGGCGTATTAAATGCTCTATAAGGCATATATACATACGTCTAGAATTTTAAATAGAATATAAAATTTTGACGTTTGTGACATTTTTTAATACAATGTATATGTATATGTATATGTCATATTAAATATTTACTTCTAGCTACCTACGGTAAAGCAATAAAATTTAATTAAAATGTCAAAAATTTAATCCACGATCAGTGCTTAATTGACTTGCAATGAATAACTTTTTTTAAATAAATGTAAGTAATTTTTTTAGATAAATAACATACATACATACATTACGAAGGCGTAGAAGGAACAATTACACTAAATTCATTTTTATGAATTAAATCCGCCATATTTAATTCTGCGTTAGCTAACACAGAATTAAATCCGCCATATTTAATTCTGCGTTAGCTAACACAGAATTAAATCCCCCATATTTAATTCTGGGTTAGCTAACACGGAATTAATTGCATTTAATTCTGTGTTAGCTAACGCAGAATTAAATATGTCGGATTTAATTCTGTGTTAGCTAACGCAGAATTAAATATGGCGGATTTAATTCTGTGTTAATTAACGCAGAATTAAATATGGCGGATTTAGTTAGCTAACGCAGAATTAAATAATAAAAATGAATTTAGTGTAATTGTCCCTTCTACGCCTTCGTACATACATACCTAATTTATTAAGCTTTTTATAAATCGAATTTAGTTTCGTTTTTTTAGTTTGTTGTCTTTACGCCGCCGCCGCGCGCCGCGGGCTCTTTTATTTATTTGTATTACGGCTATAATAATTAATCAATAATTGTCAAATTTGGAGAAAAACTTCTTTATTTTACCAAGAAAAAAACCATATAAATATAATTTATAAAAATCTACTAGTTTAAGCATAGTTATGACTTAAATAATATTTATGCATTTATTAATTAATTGTGGTTGACATTTTGTATTTTGTATTTTAATAGCATCGCTGCACCAATATGAGTATTCTGTCCAAATTTCATAAAAATCGCACGTTTAGTTAAGGAGTTATCGCGAGTTTAATTTAAAGAATTTTGTTGAAATTGAACGGTCTCCGTGCGGTAGCCTACTGGCCCCGCGCTGCGTCGGTTGTGCATTCCGGTAATTCAATTTCTTTCGTAAAAATTACGTCCCTCATAATACTTTAAAGTGTTAAAACTTACGGGTTATTAAAATAGGTAAAAATAACATAAATAAAACTTATTAAATAACTTTAAAAAAAGTTTTACTTCAAAGTAAATTTTTAAGGTCAATTTAACAACATATTTACTTAAATTAAGTAATATTGCCTCAAAGCTCTACGCTTTTACTTAAAATGCTGCTTGGGTTGGTCAGTAATACCACAAATCGTATATAAATATGATTTATTGGGCAGCACGTAAAAAAGCGTGAAAAATTAAACAGAATTATTTTACTAGTAAAAATCAAAACTGGAAAGTAATAATTCATATTTATAATTTTTTATATGAGCTTTCAACTTTTAAATAGGTATTTGTATTAAATACAAATTTATATTTAAGTTGTGTTGAATTAAAATCTTGCTGTTAACTTTAGAATTTTCTACAAAAACTTCTTTCTAAAGTCAAGTTTTTGCTAAACTTTTAAATTATATTTTACTGCCACATTGAATTTGTTTTCTTTGCAAAAAATGGGCGAAAAGGTTAAAAAATTTAAAATGTAAAAAACAGTAAAAAAAACCAAATGTTTTTTTCACGTTACATCTCTACTCAAATGAGCAAAATGCATGGCGTGAGGTAAACCACTAAACAACAGTAAATTGTGTTGTAAAAAATGTCCGACCGAAACACTATAATCCAAAAACAAAAAAATTAAAACCTGAAAAGAAACATTTATTTAAACACGCAGCCGAAACACTATAATAAAGTGATGTAAATTGAACTAAAACTAATATTGAAAAAATACACCTACCTATAACTTGTACAGTAGCCATCACTACATCTCTTATGGTGCATGCAGACAGCTTGTTCCACAGCCCGGTCTCCTTCAAAAACCTCAAAAACAGCGAGTACGCTTTTTGCTTATCTTCGAGCTGGTGCAAAACTTGCATCGAATACGAACTACCGATGCCTAAGGGGGCGTCCTTCATCCATCTTGGATCGCTGGCGGGCATGTCGTCCAATAATTCTTGGCAGGTCCTGATCACAGTTTTGTCCAGAGGACTGTCGATCCCGGGAAGGGAGGTGATTTCGGAAGAGAAAAGGTCGTTGAGGATTTCTTGATATTGGGGCTGAAAATCTTGAGGTTACCCAAAGAAGAAGATTGGTGGAAAAACGTGCACCGCTTCCCCAAAAAATGCGTGACGTTGTTTATGGATGGCCCCTAAAGGACAAAAGTTAATTCTTATTGTTTATAACAATAAAAATTAATTTATGTCCTTTATTGTGTCAAAGTTAAAAGTTTGTTTTCAATTTTATTAAATAACTTTGGAAAAATCAAACGTTTTTGCACAAAATTTGATTTTTGGGGGTTTTTCAGGAAGGGAAAACTAAATTTCTTAAAAAAATTAATGTAGGTTTAAGCGCCTTAGTGTATTCACGTTTTTAATAAGGTTCTGATTCAATAAATACATTAAGAGACATTTTAAAATTTTATGTTTTTAAATATTAAAAAAAAAACAGAATGTTTGTTTTTGATCAGCATAAATAGCGATAGCTACCAACTTGCAAAAACAAAATTTACTTTGTCATTTTATTACATTTGATTTAAAAAACAACCAATTTTCTAACTGATTTTATATTTATTTTTTATTTTAATACAAAACGCACTAGGTATACACATATATATTTTAACACAGAAACGTTAATTAAAAAACGTAAAAAATAGGATTTAAACGCGACATTGCGAGTTGTTGATATTTGATTTCTATGGTAACGCTTTTCGCTTTTGACAGTTGCAGTGACATTTCTATACGCAGTGTTATTTAAAATCTTAAAATGAGTTGTGAAAGCTAATAATTCTGAAAAACGAATGAAGTTCACTACAAAGAAAAAATTAATAAAAAAGGTATGGGAACCAGAACTAAAGCAACAGAAAACAAAGATAAAAAAACTATAAAAGGTAGAATTGTCTAATTATTAAAAAAAATAGCGTATAATAAATAACAATACAATTGTGTTTTTTTTTAATAATTTATAACACGAAATTATGGTAGTCATCAATTAAATCAAACCAAATATCCCTAGATAATCCAGTGTTGCCGGATCTTTCAGACGAAAATGACAGATTGATCATTTTGGTTGGGCAGACTACATTATCGTTTATTATTGCAAAACTGTGCGGTGAAATTTAACAAAAATTTATATGGCACTAATATGCATTAATTAATGTCCCCCAATGGTGTTACCCCGTGATATTTAATAAAACTAAATGAGTTTGACCTACACTTTTATTGTGTTTTGATCTTTCATAATTAAGTAGATTTAACCGCAATTAATTATTTTTTACAATGTTTTATCCTCCGTGACTGTTACTCTTTCTAGGTTAACCTATATGTTTTCAAATATCTGAGGTAGTAAAAGCATACTAAAAATATCAGTTCACTAAGTAAATTAAACACATCCAAAGCAATCGAATTAAATATAAAATATTATTAAAAATTTAAAGGAATAATTTTTATAACCATTAAAGTAGGTGTTACAAAAATTGATTCTATCCTCCGTGAATCTGTTTTTGCTTTAAATTTTATGCAACGGATGGCGCTTTAATTATTTTAAATAAGCAAAAACCTCTGTTAACGACATTATCGATGCATGTGATTCCTGAAGGTCAGTCAGAATTTATATGCAGATGAAAGTGTTGCAGTTTTATAATTCAAAAGTTTAAGTTCATTAATTTGATATTTAAAAACCTATCCACCGTGAAGTGTAATATTTCAGTATGATTTTTTTTATAAATATTTTATTTATGTACAATTGTATTTTTAAAAAATATTAAGGTGTCAAAAGATACAATAACTTATTTCAAATGTGCAAAGGGATGTTTAAAAAAAACATACAAAATCCTAACCTCCGTGAAGCTCTAATATTCAAAATGTATGATTTCTTAAATTTCTTGCATTAGTGCAGAACCACTTATGTTATGTTATTACTAGATCTGGTGGCTTCCCAAAAACCCCAATCCGGACTAACAGTGAAACAACCAAAATTAAAAAATCATTTTCACTTGGGGGACATCTCAATATATTCATCCATATGCACTTATACCTGTAAAATTGGCATATAATTTTTTCTTAACATTCACAACACGGTTTAGCAATAATAAACGATAACATTCCGTGTAGTCTTAGCAACGGTCAAACTTTTTAAATCTTTGTAAATGTCTTTTAAGTACCCTAATCTATACAACCTAGAATTTTTTCAATATTTTTAATCAAATAAAATCAAAAACGAACTTTCAACACCATGTATCTTGGATGTCAAATAATAAAAAACAAACCTAAGAGAGAAAAATATGATATCAACACATGTCTCACCTGTTTCTGGACGTGACAGATAAAGGCAGCTTTCAATTGGCCCTGCGTGTCAAGAGAGGTGGGCGCAAATTCTTCCGGGTCCATATTATAAACCGATAAGTTGTTTGTGACGGCTATGGACTCGTTAAATGAACCTTCTAAAGGGGTATTGCAAGCGGTTACGCTCAAGTTAAGAAGGTCCCCAGCGAAATCATTGCCCGACACAGACACCAAGCCGTTGTTACGCGAGAAAAATACTGGAGTGTTCACGCAAATTGACCCACCTAAAATTTTTTGCACAAATAAGTTTTCGCATAAAATATTTCAATACTGAGAAGTTGCCTGTTTACTTAATCTACTCAAGCAGAGCTAGGAGCATCTTGAAAAAAAAGATACTTGAAAGTAACTGAGATACTTAAAGTATCTAAGATACTTTATCTTAGATACTTTTTATATTGGACAGAAAGTATCTTTAACTAAGTTACTTTGGAAAAATATCTTGTAACTTGTATCTTAAAAAGTATCCAAGTTACTCGGTAAAGTAACTAAGATACATTCAAGTAACTTAGTTACTCAAAAGTATCTTAGTTACTTTCGGATAGTATCTTAGATACTTTTTAGAGTATCTTGTACCTAACTCAAAGTTCTAGTTACCAGGGGTAACTAAGTTATTTTGTTTATAGTATCTTAGAAAAGTAACTAGTTACTTTTCAGAAGTAACTTTCCCAGCTCTGTACTCAAGTCAAGAAAAACTTTTTACTAACATGAAGAAACGTCGCACTCGCTTACAATGGGGTAGTTAAATTTTTTCTAACCTATACTTTTTATGGTTTTATTCAAGGCGTTTTGTAATTTTAAACATTTCTGTGAAATCGGAATTTCAATTGAGTTTACCGTTTCCAGGATATTTACAAAAAAAATCTCCTAATTACGTCACTAGGCTATTGACAACGTTGCCAGCTTTTTCTATGGTTGCCAGTGTGTTTAGTTTAACATTCTTACGATAGATGGCGCCACGTTATAAAATTTTAGTTTTAAAACCACTTGATCTATAATTTTAGTTGAGAAGAAGAAGAATTGATTTTCTGACGTTTCTTTTTTTCGGGTTATGTTTTTTTAAATTTAGATTATTGAAAATCAATGTTATTGTTATGTTATTTGTAATTGATATTAGATAAGTGATTTATTAATAACGGACTCCAAAGCAGAGGAATCTTGTGGAATGGTTGGTTACATTGAACATTGGAGCTTTTAAACAAATAATGTAAGTAGGTAAGTACCTACCTATAATTATTATCATATTTTGTCGTAAATGCATTTCATTAGTATAATGCCTAGTTCTTTATATTCTTTTAGATATATCTTGGACTCTAAAATATCAAACAGTAATATGATACCTCGTAATAAGGAAGATAGGTACTTAATGAATTTGTTGACCATCTTTCACCCAACTGGCAGTGACAGTATTTGTACATAACCTCTTTTGGTATTTTCTGACATAACCGAATGAAATCATTTAACAAGACAACTTGACAACAGGGTAATTTTCAACCAATAGAAATCTTAGAATGTTGGTCACATGGCGAGGTTTGTGACGTCATAAAAATTTATATTTTTTGTAAATATCTCGAAAACGGTAAACTCAATTGAAATTCTGATTTCACAGAAATGTTTAATATTACAAAACGTCTTGAATAAAACCATAAAAAGCATAGGTCAGAAAAAATTTAACTATCCCATTGTGTAACATTTCATTACATTCGTAAGAAATGTCTCGCATTGCGCATTACCAACTTACCGAGCAAAAAGTCTTGCGGCGCGTTAAACTCCAGCACGTCTGGGTCCTCTTGCGGTTTTATGACGGTGATGGACCTTTGATTGTACAGGTACGCATGCGTGCCGCACAACAAAAATCTGTAGGATAAAACTTCGGCGGGATTGTTTTCGTTGTATAGGCCGGACATTTTTAGTATCATAAAGTCTTTAACTTGGTTCGGCGGTTGATTACTTCTCGTGGAAACTGATATCATGGCATAATGAACCTAATTGAAAATATGTATGATGTATAGTTGCAATAAAATTAACATTTTTTGGACAAAAATAAAAAAAAATAGAATCCATCGAAATATGCCCGTTTTGGAATTACTTAGTAACAAAACTTTTACGAAGAAAATAACGTATTTTTGAAAGAAATCCATGGATAAGTATCAAAGCATAATTTTTATTTTGATTATTATGGTTTTTCCAAGGATATATTGGAATTTGTTTTTTTTTTAATTATTTGGAGTTATTTTCTACATCAAAATATTGACTAACTGAAGTAATAATTTTTGGAATTTTGACGATATTTTTTTTAATTTTTCGTTAATTTTTTTTGTATGTAAAAAATATTTTATAAAAATACAAACAGTAATGTTTTTTGTGAAATTAACGTTTCTTTATTATATATTTCTTATAATAAATAACAAAGAATCTCAAAAATTCAAATAAAGTGAAAAATGCAAATTTCTAGCCTTGCGTTTCTTATTTCGAATTTGATATTTTTTTCTAAAAGCTGAGAATGGTAAAAAATTATAAACAATAATGGTATTTTAAATCAAATATTAATTTAATTAGAGGAAGAATATTAATGAATGAATTCAAATAGTTTATCATTAATATTTTGTATTTAAAATATCATTGTTTTTATAATTTTTGACCTTAATTTGTAAACACTCTGTATAACAAAACAATGCACACAACTAAGTCTGTTCTATCTGGTTTCGCGCATACTAAAAATCACGAAGTTAGGCAACCCCCTGCACACTAAAAATTATCGTTTTAGGTGTTTTTGGGAATGTCAAATTCAGAAACGATATCTATTTTGAATTTTTTTTAAATGCCCAATAACTTTTGACGTTTTTGGAGACCTTATATTAATCATAGAAGGCCATGGAAATGACATATGACATTTTTTAATTTAAAAGATAAAGCTTTTCAAACTAAAAATATTTTTTTAAATCGGTTTATTTTTAAATAAATACCGAATTGTCGCCAATCAAAACGAAACACTGTATATTATGTAATAACGTTTTTTTTTGTTATAATTTTGAATGGCCATGGGCTAATATTAAAAAGTTTGTTTTATTTATTTTATTTATTTCTTTTTAAAAATAATCCACACACATATTTTGTTTTTGTAATGTAAACATTGAATGAGAATGTGGCAAACTGCAGTGAAAAAGAAAATAGTGCATTCTTATTTTTGTCCGAAAACACGACTTTTGGCCATAATTGTCGGAGATCTTGACACCTTTTACAACCATATTGGCCGTTTCTAACTTAAGATAATTTAATTAGTTTAGTGGCGGCGATTTTATAAGAGTTTATATGATTGAAATTTGTTAATACAAGTTAAAAATTAAATTATTTTTAAAACTATTAAAAATATCATTTTAAAATTTTAATACTAGTTTCATATATTAATAATCTTGATGGTGTACAAATTTTAATTTAATTGAATCAGTAGCGGCGATTTTATAAGGGTTAAAATTATTATTATATAAAGTTTTGTTAAAGTAAGTTAAAAATTAAATTATTTTAAAAACTGTTTAAAATATCATAAAATTTTAATATAATAATAAGAAAAAGACTTTTCTGTACCTACTTAAAATTAAAAATTGATAATTTTTCAGCACTTAACATAATTTTTAATATATAATTTGTTTTTTTATATTTTATTTTAAATTTTACATAGACAAATGACTTGGCTTTGATTTAAAAAAAATATATTAAAAAATCTCTCTAAATTGGCAATCTTGGTTCACTTTAATGTTGTAAAACTTTTCTATTGGTGAATATTTTTATATACCTATAAAACTTGAAATTTTAATGTTTTTTCCAATTTAGATTTTCTCAATTGTAAAAATACCTAATTTGTGTTTTTGGTCGTCCTCGGGCGATTCTAGTCCACTGTGAGGCGTGGCCAATCCCTAAATTACCAATCAAATGGAAGTACCTCCCACAGCCACCTTTTTTTTCCCCAACCACTTTATAGAGCACTTACTTGTGGCGACATCTGCATGTTGACGGCGGCGGCCAGGATGATCATGTTGTCGCCGTCCGATTGGATGTCGAGGAGCCACGTGTCGATCTCGGCGTGGTCGCCCACGCAGCTGTCCCAAACGGCGTGGTGGAAATTGTCGCGCACCAGTCGGTTCAGCTCGGCGACGAACACGAGCTGTTCCGGCTCGCCGAGCGACAGCACCCATTTCTGTAGCGAGTGACCGGCCAGGACGTACACCGTCCACGTGTTGTCGTTGTTCGACAGGCTCAGAACTCTCACGAGTCTCTGAAATCGTTGTTATACGTTTTGTTTTCTTATTGTATGAGACCACAATGTACTATGCTCCACACCTCAAAGTCCCACCACGTGACCACGTACGGAACGCAGTCTTTTGAAAATTTGGCATTTAAGGCTTTTCAGGTTATGTATCTGTCAAAGTATAGTCAACGAAAGAAATAATATTATGTTTAGGCGTTAAAAATTTATAAATCTTTATAACATTACAATAACAATGGATGGTTTAAGAATTTAAGAATATAAAAACTGCATTTAATGAAATTCTAAAGTGTATGGTGCCAAATAAGTAATATTTTTGTGCATTTGGTCCAAATATCTGGTTTTCTCCATAAAATAATTTTAACTAAACAGCATTTATTAAAAAAAATCTAGCTTCTGGCGGGGAAAACTATTTTATGGAGAAATGTAGACCCAATGCACAAAAATATCACTTATATTGCACCTTACACTTTGGAATTTCATTAAATGCAGTATTTATATTCCTAAATTCTTAAACCAACCATTGTTATTGTGATACTATAAAGATTTATTAACTTTTAACGCTTAAACTAAGAAGATTATATTCTTATAATCTTCTTAGCTTAAACATACGCGGTAACACTATAAATATTATTTCTTTCATTGACTATACTTTAACAGATACATAACCTAAAAAGTCTTACATGCCAAATTTTCAAAAGACTGCGTTCCGTACGTGGTCACGTGGTGGGACTTTGAGGTGTGGAGCATAGTACCATGCCCCAACATTCACTTTTAGATAAGGAATGCAGTCAAATATTTGAGGTTATGAACAATTCACTCAATATCGTTTCGCGCATACAAAAAATCACGAAGTGCATCTTTACTGTACAAAAACTTGCCCGCTGAGAAGTTTAGACTACGCTTGCCAGAGGCGCTAATGTCGCTAAAGTTGTTTTTGTCATAAAAAGAGAATGTCAAAACTAACTTAAATTTGTGAAGTCTTTATTATAATAGCCACAGACCTTTTGTAGGTCTGTGATAATAGCCTTTTAAATTTGTATTGTGTATTATTTATTATGGTTTATTAATAAGAATTCTTGTTGGGTAAAAAAGTGCAAAAGCAGGGGATATAGTGTAAAAATGCGTCGATTTCATAAAAACGATACGGTATATCCAGCGTGTTGCCCAAATAACAAAAAATATGTTAATTCTCTCACCAAGTTTTGAATTTTTTTTGTTCTTATATTTATAAATTTATTTTACTTTATATGTAGAATAATAAGATTAGGAATGGAATAGTTAGATAAGTTTATTTAATGTAGACTGATTTGGGTTTTAAATATTTTCGTATATTTATATTTTTATTTTAACAAATAAATTTTATAATTACAAAAATATAGTTTTATTATTCCTCTTTTTACTTTCACTAAAAAAATATTAAAATTATTTATCTAGTGGAAGTAAAAAAAGGATCAGTACCAGGGTGGAAGAAGTTAGGCAACCCACTGCACAGACTCTAACAGCGGGGCCATTCCACGCTTAACGGATAGGACAGTTGCCGTGTTTTTATTTACAAAATAATATTGTTCTATTATATTACCAATGTCAAATTTTTATAAATAGTTCTAAACTAAAGCTGTTTAACAAGGTTTTTATTTGGCAAAATTAGGTATCGTGATTGACTGTTTAATTCCTTAAAAATTAATAATTTAAAGCGTAACGGACGGGACTTTGTAATAGTATTATATATATTATTATTTCACCTTAGAGTCCCATCCTCTAGCCACCCCTTTTCTGCTGTCCTTGACTTTTGAGACACCCTGTATATAATTTTTTGTGTTATAAATAAAGACCTTTACACTAAAGTTTTAAAATGTCGGAGAAATTGGTAAAAAAACCTCTTTTTCCGTTTTTTTCCCAGGTCTTGGAAAAATTGCCTTTTTTTTGAGAAATATACACAGTAGAAAAAAAGTGGCAATCAACAACTTAACATTATTTTAATAAAAAGAAATATCCTTGCAGAAAAAATAAAGATTGAATTAAATTAAATTGATTAAATTAAAATAAACGTAAACGTTAAATATACTTTCGGTTGGGTCTTTTTTGCAAAAGGAGTCCATTGAAAATATCCAATTACAAAATAATGAATAAAGTTAAATTACAAAATTATAATTTTATAAAGTTATGTTAATATAGCACTGAATGTGTTCTTTGCGACCCGGTAGAATATTTTACTGAATTAAAATAAAAGAAATCCTTATTTTAATCATAATATTCAGCGTCGAAAATTCACTCGATATCAGTGTACGTAAATTTGTAGAAAAATTGAGTTTTGCATTTTTTCGTATTACAATTTAAATAAAATGAAAAAAATGCAAGTCAATTTTTCTGAAAATTTCCCAATTTTTTTCTGCAGGCTCAATTTATCCCGAAATTTTAAAACCCTACATTACACACACAAAAATTCATATTATGTATTTGTATTTTTTCGGAAATAAGAACCAAAGATTATAAAAGAAAGATTATAAAGACGAAATTAGCGTTAAACTGACAGAACACCTCAATTATTTGACGGCATTCCTTATTTAAATGTCAAATTGTTTTTTTCTACATTTTGTATAATATAATATTATATATTAAATATTATGTCTAAAATATGATACCTTAGACGTATGTATTTTTGTAGAAAAATTACCGCACTACAAAAAAGGTCCTTTTTTTCACTATTTTAAAAACAAATTTCTAATTTTATAACCAAAATAGATTTACAGCAATTTGCAGTCTATTCTTGTATTAATTATATAATACAAAAAATATTTTTTTAAAATTAGGTTTGATGGTTAATTTATTTGTCTACAAAAACATACTCTTTAGTTATCACATAAATATTATAATTTCAGTTATAAAAATTGAAACCACAATATTTATGAGATAATTAATAATGACCTTTTTTGTAGAGAATTAATTTTTTTTTTACTTTCATTTACAAGTGGTTATGGTTTACATAAACCCTTAGAAGAAAAAACAAAAAAACTAAGCATAAACCTAAGACATTATTGGTACCTACTACATAACCTACAAATATCCTACTTACAGTTTCTGCTGATTGTTCAGTGGAGATGGGGCCGAAAATCAAAGAGGACATTCTTTTACTGATCCCCCCGAGCCATCCACTTGGAGTCCTAAGAGGCTTACAGTTTAAAGTGTGTCGACCTCCCGCGGAAATCGGTTGAACTAGAACAATGGTACAGGTGGTGGTTGCTAGGATACAACCTAACCCCTCGACATCCGTCAAACTGTCGCATTCTTGGCCTTGCAAGTCGACACACTGTTCCACGGTAACCCCCTCGTGGGCTATGGCAGGCCAATACCTAACCATACCTGTAACCCAGTTATTTACTGACGAAAATCTGGAACTTACTTAAATATTTACCCTCCGGTGAGACTGCAAGGCAAGAAGGTATATTTGAGCCATTTTGCAAGAAAACTGACACAAGTTCCGCCCTATGAGCCAAATCGCTTTGGGGTAACTGCAGCTCAAAGCACTGATTTGCCAGACCATGTTTTCTTTGTGGGGTGCCTGGCTGAGCGGGGCTCTGGCGGTACTGCCAAATTAAAAGTCTCCTGCCACAGACCACCCACACGTAACCGCATTCTGATATTCTTGCGGTCACAACAGTGTTTCCTAAAATACAGAGTAAGAATGGCTTTGCATTTTATACTGATAACTTACTATCAGCGAAAGTTAAGGCTTCAGTTATTAAAACCGGTAATGTTTGACCAAACCTCTCAACAAAGTTATAAGAAGATCTAAGAATCACTTGTACTGACTGAGTGGATTTTCCAGAAGCACTAAATCTCCTAAAACATTAAAATATAAGTTAAATAGATGAATATAGAACAAGAAATCTTAACTTACGAAGATTTTCTAAAAGCAGGTGGGACAATTCTTTTGGAAGAAATATTTTGCCTTGATCTTGGTGAAAATGGGCTTTTTGGAGAAAAGGGGCTGTGAAAACCTCTATCCATATTTGACACACTTTTTACTACTAATCTTTAAGTTATAAACAACCACAAGGAATTTAAAAACAAACAAAAAACCAATCACTTGTGGCTCCAAAATAAGTTAGGTTATACACCAATTTTTTCAAACATTAGCAAAACAATGCAGATTTATTCAATTTTGACCCATATATTTTTACCTTTGCTTATAAAAATACTAACAAATACACCAAACTTTTCTATAGAGCACTTTTTTGTATTTTTTAAATTAATTTACCGGCTATCTGCTTAATTTTTAAATAAGTTGGCTGAACTGATTCGTAGTTCAAACCCTACAAAATAGTTCAAATGTTGCATTCGTTATACGTTTACGAGGGTTGTTCAATAATTATTATTATTTTAATTATAAAATAATGTATATATTAATAAACAGGGTGTTATGTAATTAATTTAATATATTAAAATGGGTAGTTTTTAGGGTCCATAAAGAAGCACCTGAAACTTTTTTTTCTAAATTCTAAAGACTTAAAATAATTTATATTTACCTTTATCCTACCAAAAAGTACCACACTGATCGACTAGGAACTTTAGGCTAATCTGGTTGCCTAATTTAATTTATTATGTTATGGTTGGTAACAACCAGCGTTTCCTGATTCTGTCAAAAAAAGTTGCCAGATTTTGTTTAAATTTAGCTAAATTACAAAATCAACAATGCTAATTTTTAATTTGGCGTTTTTATTAATTGTTGATTATGTCATTTTTGTAATGAAGGTAAATTCAAACAAAATCTGGCAACTTTTATGACAGAACCAAGTGCATTTCTTTAAAATTTTAGGTTATGTGCTCAAATTGAAAATATCTTTTGGATTTATTTACACAAATTAAATATTTAAAGTTTAAGTTGTGATTGTGTCCTAATTTTATCTGAGAAAGAAAAAAAAACGATGAAAAAATTAATTTTATGGAGTTTTTAAAATAGGTACTAAATTTTTTAATCATTGCTTAAGCTAATAGCTGGATGAGTAAATAAATACAGAAGGGTATTAGAGCTTTAAGGGCATAAAACTTTTGTATTTATTGAGTTTTTATTTATTTTTTGTAAGAAACACAGAATTCAAGTCTGTAGAGATAAACCAAGTGTGTGACCAGTGGCGTATCACAAAAAATATAAAAAAATTCTAATGCATATTTTTTGTTTATCTTTGGGAAAATATATTTTTAAATATTTTTCCGGTACACCTTATATCAAAAGGTATTTAGTATTTTAATATATTACATTAATTACATAACACCCTGTATAGGAATTATAATAAAAATTGGATAAAAAAAATAAAAATACATTTAAAAAAGTAAAGTTTAATAAAAATAAAATACATACATAAACAATTTTAAGTAATTAATGCCTTGTGTACTTAATAATAACACCTATATTAATATTTACAAAATATTAATTAGCCTTGTAAATAATATCCTCATTATGATAAAACAATGAAAATGGAAATTTTAGATTCTGTGAGTGATAGGAGATAAAATTGTTGGTTTAGGTGTATAACCATACAAAAATATGGAAAATATAACGAAAGCAGCCCCCAATACAAATTGCATAGTCAGAGTAAAACTAAAAATATAAATTGATGCGACACAAGAGATAATAATCGCCAATGAAGTGGCGAAACCCTTTAAAATATTGTCGGCATATTTCACGACGACGGCAACAATAAGACCGCCGCAAGCTTGCAAAAGGATCAAGTAGTTAACAAACTTGTCATATCCAAAGAAAAATCCTTGGTTCCTGATAACATCGCCGTCAGACACAAAACAAGTAACCAACCCGAATGGTATCGAGCAGAGAGACAGCTGCACATTTCTCATCCAAACGGAAACATCGCTGCCTTTTAAAATCTTCTCGAAATAAATCCCCGCAAACCCTGACAAAACGCAGGCTGATAGCGCAGCTAGAAAGCCTATGATTCTGTGTTGCTCAGGTCCACTAACAACAACTTCTTTCGAATCGGCAAGTTGCACCAAAACTATGCCGATTATTAGGGTAACCAGTGAAATCCACTGGGTTTTTATGAGCTCTTTTTTCAGGATAAAAACTGCAAACAGGGCTGTTGTCAATATTTTCAGCTGATATGTTACCTGAAACGTTTTTAATTAATTTACAAGTTGCAAGAAAAGTTGTATTCTTACTTGATAAGTGGCTGCATCTAAATGAGAGGCAGAAACGTATAGCAAATTGTTTTGTACAACATAAACCAATGAGGGGACACAAACTTTTAATGTGTCGAGTTTATTTCTTACTATTGATCTATCTAAACTTTCAAAAAGTCCTAATACTCCTCCAGATTCAACATATACTATGGCAATGCAGGTGACCAATTTTATTACTTCGGACATTAGAACAGCTAAAACCCGCAATAAAATTAAAATAATGCTTAATTAAAATCACGTTTTATCTACATTTACGTAATATTTGCTTTATTATTATTATGTATGCTTATTAAATCTTTCTCTTAAAAGTAAGGTTTTTTTGTATTTGCTGATCAAAATAGTTTGTCTGGTGTAAATTAAATTTTATTCAGGCCACAGTCAAGGGCGTATTTTTTCCTTGCTTGTCCCCCCCCTTAACAAAATCCTGGCCACGCCCTTGGCCACAGTTGTAATATTTTTGAAACAAAAAATAGCTTATCATCAATAAATTTTCAACTAGAAAAATAAATATTTTATTCAAAATATACGTTTTTCAAAAAAGGTTTGTGTTTGAGTTTGACAGTTACAACTAGGGCAGCCAAAACAAAAACTACAAAGATTGGTATTGAATAATTACGTAGATAAGGTTTTTTAAGTATTTAAATAAAAAATGGAAAAATAATTTAAAATTGCTAAGCATTTAAACGTATGAAAGGTATCGCAAAAAGCGCCCTCTACAACCTACATTAGTTTTTTTTTAATTAAAATTATTTGGCCTAAAAAAAACAAAAAATCAAGTTATTTAATAAAATCGAAAACGAGCTTTAAACACCCTGTAAATTGGGTATTATCAATTTTTGTTACCTTGTATATAATTTTTTAAGTTGGTAAAAAAAATATTAACTTTTCACCCTTCTAAATTGATAAGCAAAGGTAATGAAGCAAAATCCTTTACAGGTTTAATAGTTAACTTATAGAACAGTACTATAGTAACTATAATTTAGTAAAATTTGAAGATTGAAAAAGTAGTCATTTTTTTGGTGGTACACTTGGAAATTTTGCCCCATGTCTAAAATGCAAATTCCTAGTTAACAATAATAAAATTTAAAAAACTATTAACTTGTTAACTGTCACTGTGACAGTTGCAAAAAATGTTAAGACCTTTGTCAATTTTTATTTTTCCAAAAGTTATGCAAAATTTCAGCTTAATCAGTGGATTAAAATTTTTAACTTAAAAATAATACAAATACAAATATACAAACAGGCTAGAATAAACACTTGTTAAAATGGATAATAATTTGTTTGGTATGTATCAGCGGTTTTTTACTTTTTCACCTCAAAATACATCTAAATTAAAAATCATGAATGAAATTACCTGTCGATGAAAGAAACATATCTCCATCTCTCGTTCTAGCATACCTCATGCTCAAACCAAGAACTGCATTTTGCAATGTAAGTGTTACAAGGCTCACATATTTCAGTGTTTGTGCTTTGGCATCTGCAAAATCATCAATTATATAAAATACAAAATTTTCTCTAACATATTTCTCACCTTTCTGCTTCATATTGACTTATATAATAAATTAAAGTATTGTTTTATTTATCCTTTATCACAGCTTAACTATTGTTCTACACGTACTTTATTCATTTCTACAACTTTACGGAATTCAGGATGACACGTCCCAAAGTGCTAAGGTAGGTACTAATTTGAAGGTTAACTTTCTAAAACAAATTTTGCCTCAGATAATTAAAACTAAATAATTAATTAAGTCTTATATCACAGTACATAACTTATATATGTTTTCTCTTACTTTAATTAACTAAATATGGAATATATTATTATTTAAATACATTAATAAACACAGGGTTGTCACATATAAAAAATATATATTATAATTGATTGATTTTTGTTATTTTGCCTCATGTAAAGTACATAAAACTATATTATTTTAAATACATAATACCGTTTTTTAGCTATGCGATAAAAATATTGGGTTTAGAAGGTATTTTCATAACGTTTATTTGAAATCTGGCAACATGAATCATTTCCAGGTAAACAAACCTTAAAAGTGACAGTTAATCTAACCTACAAAAATTTCACGTAGATATTCGTTTTAGGTTTAATTTTTAAAATGCCTAGGAGATCCAGGTAAGTTTAAATATTAAAACCATGTAAAAGTGGTATTTATCTGTATATTTTTTTAGATCTCGATCACGGGATCGCTATAGCAAAAGCTCCAGTTCCCAAAAAAGTAAATACAGAAATGATTCGAGAAGCCCTGAACGCACTGCATACAAATATAAACCAAGTTCTAGTGGTAAATATAAAAAAAGTGATGAATCAAGCAAATATTCAGATTCGTCAAGGAGAAAAGATGAATCAAGCAAATATTCAGATTCGTCAAGAAGAAAAGATGAAAAGAGGTCTCGAAGCAGATCAAGAAATAGACACAAAAAGTCTAAAAACCGACGCGATTCTCATAGCAGCAGCAGCTCGGATTCATCCAACAGCAGTAGCAGCAGTAGTTCAGATAACAGTTTAAAATTATTGGAGAAATTAAAAGAAGAACGTCTAAAGCAAGTGGACGCCAAAAAGAAGCAAAAAGAGTTGCTTAAAGCCACAGAAACAGCAGGGGAAAAAAGATTGAGACGGTTGTTAAAAAAGCAAGCGAAAGAAAGAAGCAGGAAGGAGAAAATGGGCTGGGACAATGAATATTTGCACTACACCAACAGTGATAACCCCTTTGGAGATGGCAATCTACTCTCTACTTTTGTGTGGAACAAAAAATTGTCCAAAGAAGGCCTCACAGGGGTCAGTCATGAAGAGTTAGAGGTAAGAAATAGGTTCAAACAGGAAGAAAACAAAAGGGAGCTGGAGAAGGTTAAGAAGAGGAGGTTGGAGAGGGAATTGGAAAGGCAAAAAAGGGAGGAGGAAATGGGAATGTTGCAGAGGAGCAAAGAGGCAGCACAATTTGAAGAGTGGGAGAGGCAAGAGGATAACTTTCACTTGGAACAAGCCAGACTAAGATCACATATAAGAATACAAGATGGCAGAGGTAATTATATAAGCAGTTTATGAATTAAAACCTACCAAATTATCTTTTTAATCGAATAAGAAATATTAAGTTAAATATTAACACTTTAAAAAATAAATTGCACTAAAAAATAATACATTATTTAGAGTTATACATGTTAAGGAAGTTCTTTTTTTTAAATATGTTTATGGGTGAATAAATTGAGATGTCCCCCAAGTGAAAATGATTATTTTTTATTTTTGGTTGTTTCACTGTTAGTCTAGAATGGGGTTTTTGGGAAGCCACCAGGTCTAGTAATAACATAACATAAGTGGTTCTGCACTAATGCAAGAATTTTAAGAAATCATACATTTTGAATATTAGACCTTCACGGAGGTTAGGTTTTTTAAACATCCCTTTGTATATTTGAAATAAGTTATTTTATCTTTTGACACCTTAATATTTTTTAAAAATACAATTGTATGTACATACAAAAAATATTTATAAAAAAAATCTACTTACTGAGATATTAAACTTCACGGTGGATAGGTTTTTAAATAGCAAATTAATGAACTTAAACTTTTAAATTATAAAACAGCAACACTCTTATCTGCATATAAATTCTAACTGACCTTCAGGAATCACATGCATCTATAATGTCGTAAACAGAGGTTTTTGCTTATTTAAAATGATTAAAGCGCCATCTGTTGCATAAATTTTAAAGAAAAAACAGATTCACGGAGGATAGAATCAATTTTTGTACCTAAATTATTTAAAAACATATAGGTTAACCTAGAAAGAGTAACAGTCACGGAGGATAGGTTTTAGACGTTTAAAACATTGTAAAAAATAATTAATTGCCGTAAAAATCTGGAACCTGAGCTGTAATAAAAGATCAAAACACAATAAAAGTGTAATTTAAACTCATTTGGTTTTAATAAATATCACGGGGTAACACCGTGAGATTCACCCAAATAAGAAATTGCAACTTAAAAAATAAAATAATTAAATAATAATAATAATAATAGTTTAAAAATCTTGTCTCACAATAATTCCAATATAAATTTCAAAGTAAAAAAAATAAAGAACCTCATACAAAATAAAAATAATATGTAAAATGTTTATAAATATTCTTTGGGTAAAATATTTAAATGTGTATCAAATTAAAATGTATTATAAAAATTAATTATTATTATGGCTAGACATAACTTTAAATAACACTGTAGGTATCTTTTCAATTTTTGAAATATCACAGCTAAACGCTCGGACACATAAACATAATTTTTGGTCGTAGATTCCAAATCCGTGCTCGGTTTAGCTGTATCAGGTCTTTTTTAATTTCGAAGTGATGTGTGGGTCCAGCCAAATTGAATTTTTTAAAAATTTTATACAGGGTGTTTAAATTTATACAGGGTGTTTCCAATATCTTTGAATTTTAACCTGATACAGCTAAACCAAGCACGGATTTGTAATCTACAACCAAAAATTAAGTTTACGTGTCCGAGCGTTTAGCTGTGATATTTTCACCTCCCTACAGTGTAATTATTAATAGGCCTAGATTTAATAATAATTCGCTATTTTTCCCATCTACACTCAAAGGCAAAATAATCGATCCACACAAATTTTCGATGAATTTCAATCGCAAATAACTTTTTTATTTGATTTCGGATTTAAACAAATATTAAAGAATATTGTAAATACATTAATGGAGAATCGCTCACATTTTAAAAGTTACTAAAAAATATTCGTACGTTTATAATATACAGGTTTAAACAAAAATATGTTTTCTACCATAAGTTTAAGACACTCTGTAGAGTGGCAAAACCGTATATTGTTCTAAATTAAGTTTTAATTATCAAGTCACATCTATTTTTAACGGTTTTGTTTTTGGTCCACCTTGATATATTTATTTTTGTGGAAAATATGGATTTTTTTTAAAAAACATTGCCATTTTCAATATTTTTCCTGTATGAAGAATTAAGGTTGCTATGGTCCATCCATAGGCTATGAAGAATGACAGTGACGGTTTTGTTGAATCATCCCATACTTGGACATGTCATACACGGCTATCAAATTGTATTTTGTAAATTAATGTGTTAATTTTGAGGTGTCTTCTTACTTTAAAAAATGGATATGTCTCCGACTGATGTTGCCAGAGCCATTCATTTAATCCAGGATGGACGGTCACAGTATTACGTGGCAAGTGTTTTAAACGTCACAAGAAGTAAAGTACAAAGGGCAACATCAGTCGGAGACATTTTTAAAAGTAAGAAGACACCTCAAAATTAACACATTAATTTGCAAAAAACAATTTGATAGCTTTTGACAGCCGTGTATGGCATGTCCAAATATGGGATGATTCAACAAAACTGTCACTGTCATTCTCCATAGCATATGGATGGACCATAGCAACCTTAGTTCTTCATACAGAAAAATATTGGAAATTGCAATGTTTTTTAAAAAATCCATATTTTCCACAAAAATAAATATATCGAGGTGAACCAAAAACAAAACTGTTAAGAATAGATGTGACTTGATAAATAAAACTTAATTTAGAACAATATACGGTTTTGCCACTCTACAGAGTGTCTTAAACTTATGGTAAAAAATATCTTTTTGTTTAAACCTGTATATTATAAACGTACGTCTATTTTTTAGTAATTTTTTAAAATGTGAGCGATTGTCCATTAATTTGTCTACAATATTCTTTAATATTCGTTTAAATCCGACATCAAATAAAAAAGTTATTTGCGATTGAAATTCATGTTGTATATATATTTTTTATATTATAGCCAAACCCATAGACCTTCTCGCCAAATACATAAGCGCCGAGGAGGAGGTGGACGCGGTGGAAATGCACGAGCCGTACACCTACCTCAACGGACTGCACATCAAGGACCTGGAGGACCTCGTCGAGGACATCAAGGTGTACAAGGAACTCGAACGGGGCAAAAACTTGGATTACTGGCACGACATCACCGTGATCGTCGAGGACGAGCTGCAAAAGCTGCGCAAGATCGAAAAGCAGGACGATTTCGAGTCGGGCGCCAATCGAAGGGAAGGCATCCATCAGTCGGTGGCCACCGACGTCACTGCCGTGTTCAAGGGAAAAACCACCGCTCAGTTGGCAGCCCTGCAGAAGTCCATCGAGACCAAACTGAGCGGCAAAGCCGATGGCATCGATATCGGATATTGGGAGTCCCTTTTGTCCCAGTTAAAAGGTATTTATTTATTTATTATTATTTAACTATTATTTATTATTATTATTTATTATTTAACTATAGTTATATATTATTTATTATTTAACTATAGTTATAAAGATACTATTTTTAAACCTACTGGGTTTTAAATTTGGAGAAGGCGACCATATAACATTTAAAATTGGTAAAAAGTGAGGTTAACCATTTATATATAAATGGTTAACCTATAGAGATGCGACTTGAAAAAAAAACGGTCCTTTTTTTGTTTTTTTTTCAAAAGGTTTTTTCATATTTAAGGTTTTTTTCCAAGATTAGTTCCATTTGCCTAATTTTTTATGTTTCCAGTCCAGTTCGTGGACTAAAATTAGCCACTAAATGACATTTAGTAAATGTAAATACAGTCTCGCGCTTTACACGCGCCAGCACCACCGAATTGACCAATAAGGGCCGCGCTTGTTTTCATTTGGTCCTAGAAAAAGTAACTACCTATAATATTTTTGATTCAGCGCTTGGTTTTTAAAAATGCTACCAAATTCATGTAGAGTATGGAAATTTTCTTTTTCAAAAAACGAGCAAATTCTTTTAGAACATTTATTCATTGGCGGTTAAGTCAGAACATTCCGTGGACCAAAAAAGAAAGCCAAAAAAATTTCGTTAGGAATAAGCGTTACACGTTTTTCATCTAAAAATCTCAAAACTAGAAACTTCAAGCTTCAATTGCTATCCGAAAAATCGCAACAAATTTTATTGTTTAATTTTTTTCTATTAGTGTAAAAGTTTTACATTCCTATTGGTTTCTTATGTGGAAACTGCCAAATAATAAGAAATCAGATTTTTTAGTCTCAGTCAAAATTTTCAATAATGAAAATAGTAATATATAATTTATTCTACATTTCACTCAAAATTTCATTTTGAAAAATTACTCCATTTTTTAAGATTGATGTTATTTATTGACAGCTGTCTAGAATATGCTTTTTTTGCAGCGGATTTGAAAAAAACCCGGGTTTTTTCTAGTTTTTTTTTCATGTTTTTTTCACATCTCTAACCATTTGACAGATGTCACATTTTTTTAAATCGTTTACTTAATTATCTACTTGTTTCACCCAAGCAGCATTTTAAGTAAAAGCATAAAGCTTTGAGGCAATATTACTTAATTTAAGTAAATATTTTCTTAAATTAACCTTAAAAATTTACTTTGAAGTTATTTAAGTTAATAAGTTTTATTTACGTTATTTTTACCTATTTTAATAACCCTTACGTTTCAACACTTTAAAGTATTATGAGGGACGTAATTTTTACGAAAGAAAATTACTTATAAGTGTATTTCACCTAAAGGAAAGTTTAACGGTAATTTTAACGTCAGAATTTTTACTTAATGGTAAATGTTACTCATAAGTCATAATTTTACGACTTTATAAAAGTAAATAATTCCTATTCGCCTGGTATTTTTTAGTGTAATTAGTGGTAATAAATACTATTAATATTGACCCAAAAGGAAAAATAAGCAATTAAAGTAAAAAATAAAACTTTAATTTTTTTAAGATGGCATTCATTACTTACCTATCTAAACATTTATGTAATATTTTTTCATAAATATTTTTCTAAAATATAATAAGGAAAATTTTAGTTATTAAAAAATGATTAAAAATAAATGATTTTTAAAATTTGTAGGTTTTAAGTTTTATTGAATTTTTACCCAAGCAATAATTTTTCTTAAAACCGTAAAATATTTAGAGGGCATATAATTTTTAAGATGTATCATGCCTATTTTTATCAATAAAATAATGTGCGTTTGAGTTTTAATGCAAAATATTATTAGTTTTTACAATTTAAGTTATATTTTTAATTTTACTCTAGGGTGGCCTTTAATACTTTGCAAGTACCATTTTGTAAAATATAAATTAAAAGAACGAAGAAATTACGAATGTCAATGTTTTAGAAAGATAGAGCAAACTGTTAGTAATTATAGCGTTATTTAACCAAATATATAGTTGTAAAATATAACTAAATGTTTAGTTGGCTCTATTAAAACAACAGATCTTTAGACACTAAATCTTTTTTCTGTGTATTAAAGTTTTAAAAAAACCCTTGTCATATTAAGAGCTTGGTATCCTAATCACTAGACCATATGGGATATACTTTATATTAAACAAACGCTTACATTTATCAAAAATAAACCGAAAGATTTCAAAATCCTAACTATTAAGCCTGATTTATAGATTGCCTTACTTCCTTCCTACCTTCATCCCGTAAAAGATTAACAATACCCTAGTAGTAGTGCTGTTTATAGATTCCTGTACGGTAATCTATAAACAGCACTACGGTTTTCGTATTGTTCAACTTTTACGGGAGGAAGGAAGGAAGAAGGGAAGGCTTTACGCAAATTACAACATTTTGAAAAAAAAATGTTTTCAAAACTTAAACTTTCACCCAAGATATCTTTTGAATGGATATGTTAACGAAAAAAACCTAAATGCCTTTTTTGTAGAGCATTTAATTCCCCATTAAAATATGTATTGGGGTTAGCTTTATATTTATTTGTTAGTGTAATACAAAAGGTTTTCTTTGGACTAATGTAAAATTGCAATGAGGATCTTACTCTTAATAGTAAGAACTGACCCTAATAACTACATATTAGAACTCTTGGAGTACACAAAATTATACATTACAATTATCTATTGGTTAAATGGCATTTACATTGATGTATAATTAAGTACAACAAAATCCAAACATAACAAACATTTTAGCACACATGGCAAGAGCAAGACTAAGAGACCGACATCAAGACAGTTTACGGAGAAAATTGCAGGTCCTGAAAGCAGAACAAGCAGTTGTGGTGCCAAGTGCACAGAGCGAAACACAGGACAGCGACAAGCAATCTCCTGACGTCCAACCGGGACCTTCAAATGAAGAAGATCCGGGTACGGAAAACGAGGAAGAGTAAGTTATTCACATTCCACGGATATTGGTTTGATTGTCGTTGCATTCTAGAAACCACGAAGAGGTCGAAAACGATATGCTCAACGAATGCTTTGGGGCCTATCAGGCGGGTTGCTACAGTCCCAAGTTGTTGAGGGCTGACGATTTGGAGCCCGGAACTATTGTAGTTTCGGAAGAGGATGACAATAAGCGGCTCGATTTTGTCAGGGTGCAAATTGTTGGCAGTAGCAGGAAAGTTGATGTAAGTATTACCCAAGCAACAATTGAGGCCTGTCAGAGCAAAGTCAACAATCTCCCGTCAGACTAAAACTGAGTAAATTGAGATAATTGATTTTGGTATTTTAAATTCTAGATTTGTAATTTTTTTTATTTATTATATTGAAATATTGTTGTTGTTAGTCTAGTAGCAAACTACAAGGTCTCCAGGATGCATAGTATAGGTGAAATCTATAATTATAAATTGGAGATTGCTGACTTTGATATGAATTGCTGGAGATTGCTCATTTTGTTGTAAACGTTTAAGGAGATTTAGAAAAATAAACAAAAAAATAATTGTATTTTTTCCTTTAATGGTTAAAAAATTTAACTATACAATCAATGTGGGAAAATTCTGAACTGGACCACATAAATCTGGAGATTCTTATAAATCTGGGACCAGGTTTACCTCGTGCAAAAAAGTTTTTATAGTACAACAACTCATCATCTTCTTCCCACTTTGCCCCGTAATTTTTTACTTGCAATGTTTCGACATTATCAGCCTTTTCTTGCTTTACCTTTACGTCTTATTATGGTATAATAGCACAAAATAAACAAGGTAACTTTTTTTATAATTCTTAAAACAATAAAACGTATATATACCTATTTTAAATATATTTTTAAGTGCAATTTACTGCAATAGAACTTAACAGTATGTACCAGTAAAAAAACACAAAATTAAATCTCTAAAATACGTTATAACATCAAATCTTAGGATATCAGGTGACACAAATTACTAATTTCTAATGGTGGAATTGAAGATTGTATACTTTGCTGCAAATCTATCAGTGGAGATTGTCAACTTTGCACTAAATGTGATTTTTAAAATAGGATTTTAGGCAGAATTTAGCTCCTTTTGCAGCACATAAACTTTATCATCTTATAGATAATTAGTTGAAGTACAGTCTCCGCCAAAAATCTAATTTTTGACCAAAAGTGGAGATTGTCGGTTTTGCTATGACAGGCGTCAATTTAAGTATTTGTTATGTATATGGGACTATTGAAGAAACTTTAAAGTGTTTTGCGACAGTCGCCGGTCTCTTTATATTACTCTTTCATTACTGTTACAACTAAAGTGGGGAACAATTATTGAGTTCCAAAAAGGTAACAAATATGTCACTAGCTATAAACCCTGCTACTATTTGGAACGTAGCTGCTGCGTTACTAGAACGTTTCAATATCGTTGCTAGAGCGTTATAAATACTTTTATTTATTTTTTTTACTTCTATATTAAGTAACTGTCTTTGTCAAACTTATATTAGATTATACTATCCCTCCTTTTTTAAATGGAACCACTACAGACTTTTCAATGTCGTCGTTTATTAAATATGTACTGGTAGTTTCCCTGATAGCAAAATTTGATTCTAAGAATCTTCTAAGAAGATATGACCCGGAATAATGGAATATTCTTAGAACCTTCCCTTATTGCTAAGAATTTTCTTAGGGACTTTTAAAACATTCAATAGATACCCTTTTAATGATGCAATTAGATTCTTAGAAGCTTCTTAAAACCTTCCTAAAAAGCAATCTAAGAACATTTTAAGAATACGTTTTTGGAATGTTCTTAGAAGGTTTTTTATGGAGCTTCTAGGAGGCTTTTGAGAATATTTCCAAATATGTCAGATACCCATGATCTAATATGTTGGATTCTACTTTCGTAAAATTCTTCAGGAGGCGACAAATAGGCCTCATTGTCCTAATATGACAAAGAAATGTATTTGTCGTCCCCTTAAAAAATTTTGCGACATATTAATATATATTTTTTTAAAAATATTAAATAAACAATTTGTCCTCTAAACCATAAGTTGTATGACATTATTTCATAAAAAGTAAAATTGGAAAATTTTGTGGGATAAGTCAGATTAGATTGAAGTTAATGATAGTTAGGATTATTATAGGTACATAAAAATGTTAATTCAGAAATAAAAAATCGGTGTACAAATTAATAAATATTTATTTTTAACATAAAATAAAATATTAAAAAACAAAATATTTCCTTATAAAATAATTCATCATAAAAGAAAAAACCAAATAGTTCTTCATAAAAAAAACATTTTTCATTGTATTTAAGTTGGATAGAAGATTTTATGTAAAAGCCAGATAATTTAGATACCTATAGTAAAGGTATTTTTGTTATGGAATATTGTTTTAATTTGACAAATAACTATAAAAAATATTTTGGGTTGTGTTTTTTACTTAGTATTTAATACGAAGTACCTATAGGTAGATTATGGTATATTTTACTATTATATAGGTACCTAACTGAACTGAATATGCTTAACAGAATGTTCCAGGAATATTCCTAAATGAACTTTCTATAGCAATTACTTTTTCAACATTCTAAGCATATGTTTAGAGTGGATTCATTTTTACCACTAAACTTTGCAACTTTTAAGAACCTGCCTATAGGCCAGTGATAATATTCTTAGGATTATGCTATATTTCTTTTAAGCATGTTCTTTAGAAGAAATATAGCATGATCCTAAGAATATTCTCACTGGAATGTTTAAAAAACATTCTTAGAACATGACTAGATGAAATATAGCATGATCCTAAAAATATTCCCACTGGAAGGTTTAAAAAACATTCTTAGAATAAACTGTGCTATGAGGGTTATAACTTCCAGAATAATGTTTAATTAGGCAGGTAAATTTATAAACCCTTTAAATTTTACTGTTGAACTTATGAATTTAGTTTTTGTAAAATAAATGCGCTTCGTCAATATTTAAGTATAAACAAATTATTTATTTAATAATGTTTATAAATAAAAAAATCTTAATATTTATATTAATTTTTTTATTATTATTAATACCGTCTATTACCAACAAAATTACTATTTATTAAAAAGTAAAAGTAATTTATTATTTACATTACCACGTGGTACTGTACAGTAAAAGATGGCTGATAAGGAGCATTTTCCTTTGAAGTAGTTTTCGCTACTTTAAAGTTTTTTTCACCTTAATTTACTTTACAGTAGTTTTGGTTAGTACCATAAACGTTCCAAATACTAAAATAATAACTTTTAAGTTATTAACTTTGTAGTTTTTGTTGTTCCAGTTTCAAGATTTTAACTTGCAAAGGGACTACAAAGTAAAAATAATTATAATGTAATATTTAGGTATAAACCAAAAGTAACTGCTACAAATTAAATTTACTTGAAAGTTTTTTTACTTATAACACCTTTTTTAAAGTTGCAAAGTCTTCTTGGGGGCAACCAAGTTATACTTAAATGTTTATTTCTTTATAGTAACCATTTAAGGAAAGAATGAAGTTTCTGTTACAAAATATTGGTATTTAAAAGTTGGAATTACTTTTAAGTAAAAATTAAAGTAGCTGTTTAGTATACTTAACTAATTTAAAGTTATCACCACTTTGGTAATGGTTTTTGGAACCAAAAATGCTGGTTGGGATACTTTGATATACCTATTTAATATTTTTTTAGAATGTGTTGACAAAAGAAGAAATTCTGATGAACAGTGAAGCCAGGAAAGGTATGGGTGAAGATGAAGCACAGTTTTCCGTCGAAACTGCTTTGGACAACCAGGTTTACTTGTGGTCGGATAAATACAGACCCAGGAAGCCTAGGTACTTCAATAGGGTTCACACTGGGTTTGAATGGAATAAATACAATCAAACTCATTATGATATGGATAATCCACCTCCAAAAATTGTTCAGGGTTATAAATTTAATATATTTTACCCAGATTTGATTGACAAAAATGGAACTCCAGAGTATTACTTGGTAATATATTAATTATAGATATAATTATCAATACAAATATTTTATTTGTTTAATTTTTTAGACCCCTTGTCCAGAAAACAGAGAATTCGCAATTTTAAGATTTCACGCTGGTCCTCCTTATGAAGATATTGCTTTTAAGATTGTAAATAGAGAATGGGAGTATTCTTATAAAAGAGGATTCCGATGCCAATTCCACAACAATATTTTTCAACTATGGTTTCATTTTAAACGTTACCGCTACAGAAGATAGCCTTTTTATTTATTTAAAATGCATAAATACATTATTTTATATTTTATCTTTGTTTTATTTTTTGGTTAAGGTTCTTACCATTAGGGTGTCCATTGATCCTTAATTAAGGTGTTTAAAAAATCACATAATGTTTTGGTTTTTTGCTGCAACATGAAAATTCCTGAAATTATGACAAAATACAAATTTTGTAGTATCTCCATCTCCAAGAAAATAATAGAAAATAATAATAATAATAATAAGTCACATTTTTTTATATGCCACAGTGTATTTTGTATTTCACGACCTTGCTCATTAGATTTCTATAAAAAATAAACTATTATAATCAATTTTTACGCTATCAACATGATACCTACTATTGGGTTTTTTGAGTTTGGAAACGATCTTTTGAAATAATCTGTGGAAAATAACAGTATTATTTTCCATAGATTCCTTCAAAAATTTGTTTCTAAACTCAAGCAACAAGAGGATCATGTTAATGGCTTAAAAATTATTATTACAATATGTTTTTATGGGCATCTCAAAAATAATAGTAGGTATGTATCAAGTTTGATAAACGCCATTTTATGCTTAAATTAATGAGTGAATAGAAAAGTTTATAAACGAGGTGCATACTATACTTTTTCTACGACCAATACTTATTATTATTTTAAAATGATTTAAATCATATTAAATCAATTTGTGTAAAGCGCCATCTATGAAACAATAGGGGAGTCTGTGTGACACAGTCAAATGTCAAATTTTTATATTTTATAAACACATAAAGGTCATAAATCTAAATGTATTTCTTGAGAATTGACAGTTTTTCACAGTGAAAGTAAAGAAAATGTTTTATGAGCACTTTACAGTGGAGTCCGTGCCCGAATTTAAGTTATAGTTTACTGCCGGCGAAATTAAAAGGTCAGTACAATGTTCATATAAACTTTTCAAATATTGGCGTTGAGAAACTATTTAATACTTTTGTATTTTTGTATTGAGATAATAAAATAATTTTCACATTTAGTATTATTTTATTATTATTATTTAGTATTATTTTACAAGAAAGGCACTTTATTTTAACGATTGTATGACATTTGACAACTGTCAACTAACTTAAAACTAACTTCAGCCAGTGACTAAAAACCTGTTGCTAACTTCAGCCCGTGACTAAAGCGCCATAAAGCCACAACTTGTCAATGTGTATTTAAAAGGCCACTTAGTGTCATGGAAACATGTACGATAAAGGGCGTTTTAAAGGTGGGAGTAGAAAAAACAATTTTTTAGCACTTTTTAAAATTGTCATTTCAAATTTCGTGCTGCCAACTTAAGAAACACAAAAATTTCACAGTTTTAAACCTTAATTTTGCCTTTATATCAACAAATTAACAATTTATATTGTTATTTTTTTACTTTTGATGTTGTTTTCAGTTTTAAGTAATACCTCTATTTGTAATAAGGTATTATTAACATACAACAGTTTATTTTTACTACATTGCCACCTCTGAATTTTCTGTCACAGCCTACTGCTTAATATTAAGTTTAATAACAAAATCATAAACAACAGATCTTATTTATAATTAAATTACGCCATTTTTTTTATTTCCTTTTGTCCACTTTTAACGTCCACTCTCTTTCTAAGGTTTCGGCCGAAACTACAAGAAAATCCCAATACAATATTCGGTTACGGTTTTCAGGGTGTAAAATCAAATAGATTGCATACGTAATTTTATAAAAAAATAACTTGTTTAAATAAATAATCCGTTAATAATAAAATTTAAAATATCAAGCATGCTCAAATAAGTCGTGCACGGCAACGTCGCATTTGGTGATATTTAGGTTGGTACCACAAACAAATCTAGTGAGAAACGAAAAGCCGTTGCCTGTCGTTGTTTGAAAAGTCACACTTATTCGAGTTGGGAAGTATTATATATTTGAGAAGTTAAGCAGTTTCCATGAATCGTGAACAAATGCAGCGTAGCATCTTTTATTCGGATAAATATTACGATGATGAATACGAATACAGGTAATTATCTAACTAACTAACTTTATAACGTACTGAAACGTTTTTGCTCATATGTGTAATGGTTGTTTTTGGTGTTTTTTAGGCATGTAATGTTACCTAAAGAAATGGTGAAGATGGTTCCTAAAACCCATCTAATGTCAGAGGATGAATGGAGGGGGATCGGGGTGCAACAAAGTAAAGGCTGGATTCATTACATGACTCACTCCCCAGGTAAAATATTAACATTTTCTTTAGCTCTGTTTAAAAAATTGTATTCATGACAATATGCTTTCTTGTATGCATCACAACCTAAGATCGTAAAACTTTTTTTTCAGAACCACATATTTTATTGTTCAAAAGGCCAATAACAACCCCTCCTGGCAAAAATGAAATGTAGAAATATTAGTTTATTTCAAAAGCGTTGTACATTTGTTAATACATTTTAGATTTAGAGAATCAGTTCAATAACATCTGCAGATTTTAATGAAACAATGTAAATTTTATGTAGGATTTTATTGGAATGTTTGTCCACTTATCCATAAGTTTAATTTTAAGCCTTTCTGATATGGAGAAAAAACACCCAGGTGTATATTTTAAAGTTTTTAAATACTTGTCTGTATAAGTTTTTATATTTTTATAAATAAAAATTGCTATTACAACCAAATGTTTCTATTAAAACCATTGACATTTTATGGAAAATTTCCATTTAATGAATCTAAAATATTTTTGTAACCCCATCCATATATTCTTATTAAACTGCAGTCATGCATGCTTGTCAGAAAAAAATTATAAATTTTTTTTATACATAAAGATTGGATAAGAAAACAAAAAATAAATATTATTTATGCACGATGACATTATAATATGACAATTATAACAAAAATTCTTTGACGTAAACGTCTTTTTATAGCCCGCGGGCGTTATTATGGCCCAGCGGGCTATAATGAAACGTCAAAAATTAAAAACAACAATGTTACACCATTTGATATATTCGAAGTAAGTTTTTTCGTATAAAGATTTTGATTATTCCGGCAGCAGGCCGCAATTTTTCGCCTTTTCAGCTGCTTCCTCAATTTCATTCATCTTTAAACTTTAAAACTGACTGATGTCAGTTGACATTATAATATGACAATTATTACAAAAATTCTTTGACGTAAACGTCTTTAAAAAACAATAATATATTAAAAATAATAATATATTAATCGTGCATAAAGTTTTGTATGCATTGCTGGCATAACTGGTTTTTATGGTCCTACGACGCTTTTCTAGCCCTCGCGCTAACGCGCTCGGGCTCGAAATAGCGCCTCGGACCATAAAAACCTTATTATGCCCTTAATACATAAATAACTATTAAAGCCATTTTTATTTGTTTGACATCTGTCAAATGTCAACGGATTGACATCTGTCAAATGTCAACGGATTGACATCTGTCAAATATCAACGGATTGAAATCTGTCAAATGTCAACGGATTTAACCTCACTTTTCCCCAATTTATAATAAAGCCAACTTCAGCCTGTGACTAAAATGCCCAAAATCCACTATCCCTGACTAAAACGGCATAAAGTCACAGCTCATCAATGTAGGTGTAGATAAAAAAAAATAAAACTCGTTATATTTTTAACATTTTTATTGAAACTAAGTTTAGGTAGGTAGGTATACATAAAATATAAAAAAAATGAAAAAGAAATGACAACAATGAATATTAACACCTTTATATATTATATCAAAATTAATGGTGATATAAAATTGTACACAGCAAAATAATCTTTACATTATTTTGCAATAGGTGTTAATAAATTAAATACTAGACAAAGCAAATATACAAACATTGTACCTCCATTCAAAATTAGAAAACCTATACAACAAACAGCAATGCGAAAAAAATCTCATAAGATATCACACATTATGTTCTTGTAACCTAAGAAATTGTTATTTAGCACCTGGCAAATAACTAAGATCATTTTTACATCAACAACATATATACATATAAAATTATTAAATATTTCTATAGGGTGTTATAGAATAGTTTTAATTCTTTAAATATGCCTAATAATATTTACACCAAAATTTAAATTGACTTGCAGTTCTATGAACAACATTTTATATCATATTTAAAATTAGAAGTCCATGATTTACGTGTTCTTGTTGAATATGTACCTATTTACAAAAATTATTATATTTAATTAGCTTTAAACAATTTATTTGTCAATGGCATAAATAGCATTTTTTGGAAACATCCATAATTAAGTCTTCATGATTTTTAAATACTTTCATAATATTGCAATCATACAAAAATATTTTTTTTAGTACCCCAGATTCAAGAACCTAAAGTAATAAAACAACCAAATAAAAATAGTACAAAGGTATAAAGCAAAGTTTATAAGAAACTTTATTATTTAAAACTTTAATATTTAAATACTGAAATATTTGAGATTATAAGGGGAAACAGGAAATTTAAGTAAAATACTTTTTAAAAATTAAAAGGCAAGTGGTCCATTTTACCTATTACGTGATTATTATTTTTTATTGAGATGTTAAAGGTGACATGCCAACTTGTCTAGGATCACCAGCGGCTGTCTCCAAATTTTTCAAGAGCTGTGATAACCAATGCTTAGTCGACTTGTCTTCTTGCAAACAAACACTGAAAGTATTGTCCCGCAACTGGTCTGGTAAACATTGCCTTAAAGCCTCTCTAGCCCTTGAATTGTCCGATAAACGTAAATAACACCGTACCACATGCTTAAGTAATCTGGCTGATGGTTCTTTAGCAAGGGAAATAACCATTTTGCCCAGAATCATGGCCACATGGCTGAAACGATCGTAAGTCTGACAAATATAAGACAAACCACTATCATCTAGCAATATCTTCTGTAAAATAAATGTTGCAACAGTTTTGCTTAACTCCGAGCCAGACTCCATAATTCTCAGGCATAGTGGAATTATTTCCGTGGTCAACAAAAAGTTTATCACTTCTTGTTCATCAGTTTTTACCAAAGCACCAATTACTCCCAAACTAGTTAACCTCAAATACTCAAAGGGTCTAGTTTTTGAAACTGTGTGAAGAAAAGGATACAAAAATAAAGGTACGTGAGCCAATAAGAACTGAGATCTTGTTTCTGGGTGAGAGGCAACACACTGCAAAAGTGCCAAGGCATTACATACTCTGTTTGATTGGTGGGCTGTCAACGTAGCAGGGTTAATTGCTGGGTAGATGTTGATTATTTCTTGAAGTAGAGCCGCCGTAGTCCCAAAGCTATTCCACAGCATGGGTGCCAAATCCGGGACAGTTTCTCGTTTCTTACTTAGCTCCAACAAAGCATTCTCCCTGGTCTCCGGGTTACTCAGTTCCAATATCCATTGATACACCTTGTCTCTCTCAACCGCTGGATTTGCTGGACTAGGTTGAGCACTCATCCTGCAAAAAAAATTATTATTTACTTGCTATTTATAACTTGACATCTCGTATGTTACCTTATTTCTAATTTTATTTATTCACAGTAAGTTTATCACAGTTTTGGGCTCGAACTTCGCCTCCATGAGCCGAAAATTTGATATTTTTACTGCTTTTTTAGTTTTTCCGAGGAAAAATTGCAATATTTTCGGCGTTTGACAAGTATGTTGTCTAGGTTGGTAATGCAGAGATCATTGCTGTCGATAATGCAGGAAGCTACTTGATCGGCTGATAAATAACGGCTTGATTTTTCAAATTATAAAGAGAATATAGTAATTCCTATTATTATCGCCTCCATAAGTCGAAAATTTGATATTTTTACTGGTGTTTGTTTTTTCGAGGAAAAACTGCAATATTTTCCGTGTTTGAAAAGATATCTTGTCCAGGTTGGTAATGCAGAGATCATTGCTGTCGATAATGTAGAAAGCTACTTGGTCGGCTGCTAAATAACGGTTTTATTTTTCAAATTATAAAGAGAAACTAAGTAATTCCTATTATTATAATAATTAGACAAGGAGTATGTCTATGAAATATATATAATTTATTATCGTTTGTTATAATTTTATTTTTGTACGGTTATTTATGAAAATTATAATTATTTTGTTTCTAGGTTATAATACATTTAGGTTGAATCTTAATTTAAAAAATTTCTTTTAAAATTACGCTCACAAGAAATTATCCTTGTTTATTATTGATTTATGGGAAATAAAAACACAATGCTAAGAATTTCAAAAAAATTTTATTTCATGAAACTGAAATATACTTATTTACATAATTGTAATGAAATTCACTTTTATTATAAAACTAGTTAGTGAAATTAAAAGATGGTTCGGCCTAAACAAACGTTTTTTTGTACCTCAAATGAATACTTAGCTAATTTGGAAATAAATAAGACTTAAAATTTTACAATTTAAATATAAAATGGAATGAAAAAGTTCATGGCTTCATTTATTCGTCATCTTCTTCTTCCTCTTCGTTGCTGCTTTTGTCTCCATTCTCTTCAGCTGAGTCTTCTTTAGGTTCTTCCTTTTCTTTTTTGGATCTGCCTCTACGTCCAGCTGCAGATAAAAAAAATATTATTATGAGTTTCATTAAAAAATTAAAATAATTACCTGTGCCATTTGCTTTTGGCTTTTCGGCGGCCTTTTTTTTCGTTCCAGCTCCCTTTGGCCTTCCACGTCCCCTTTTTACCGGGACTTCTTCTTCTTCAGCTTCATTTTTGGCGTCCTTCTTTGGGCGTTTTGTGGTTTCTTTGCGCCCTCTGCTTTTGGTTTGGACTTCTTCGTCAGACATGATGTTTGTTTTGTTTTTATATTATTATTTCTGTAATAAAAATAAATAAACTGTAATAATGCTTCCTAAAATACCGGCGAGGCATAAGGACGCTTACTTCAAGCCAAACAACAATTTAAAAATGGCGAAAATAAATGCACAAGTCAAAGTTTATCCAGAAATTAATATATAAATATAAAATAATTTACTTAATGATAAATATTTCCACGTTAAAATTAAAATATAAAAGCACGAAATTTAAAATACACAAGCACAAAATCAAATCTCGGAAAACAAAGAAATGTCGCTTGGCTTCGTTGCGCGGCAAAATTTTAGCCGGCTTGGGTAAGCTAAAAATGTAGAATTTGCACGTAAATCGATCGCATCTTATAAATATCACAAATAAACAGATAAAACAAACTTGTACACGTTAAAAACAAGAATAAAACAACATATTTATGAGAAAAACGAGTTAGTTTGGGTTGATTGTACTAATAGCGGCCATCGTTGCTATAACGCTTACTTTACAGGAATTACAAGAGAAACAATTTTAGGCACTACATAAATAAAATAACAACAATAATCAACGATACACAACGAAAAAGTGGCGGTTTAATATAAAATATAAGGCTTAAAGTACTAAATTAAGAAATTGACTCACCCAAACGAAGAACAATCTTGTTATGCCGATACACAGAACACGATAGCGTCCGCTTCGTTTTGCACAACTGACGCTCCCTCAAACCGACCAATCAAACGCCAGAACGCACAAGCTTAACGTTGCGTCTTTGTCTAACAAGCCACCCCACTTTCCGACTTCTTAATTTGAATTTTTCACGACGGTTAGGGGTTAAATGAAATTTAAATTTAAATTTAAATTCAGGTAGGAAGTTTGGATAACCTTAAAGCGTTCGTATTTTTTTGCTGCCGTTGTTTATTGTAGAGGTGTACAAGAATTTATTTGCGATTTACAAGATGGCTTTGATTTCCACTTATCGAACGCCTGCGGACGGTGTCATTCAGTATGGCATGCAGTTTTTTAAGGGTTGTTGTCGAAACAGTGTACGGCCATTCCAAGCCCATGGACAGGACACATCAGAAACATGTCTAAATATATTCTTGTTACTTCCTTAAGTTTACTTATTTTTTCTACGAGTATTTATGAGAAGTATTACCCAAATTTGGCTAATACTTCTCATAAATACTGGTAGAAAAAATAAGTAAACTTAAGGAAGTAACAAGAATATATTTAGACATGTTTCTGATGTGTCCTGTCCATGGGCTTGGAATGGCCGTGTACCTACATTGTCTGTAAATAAGTTTTTTCTAGTAGGTATACGATAGTATGTATATTAGACAATTTTTTTTTTGGAAAGTACCTATATCGAAAATATTGTTTGGGGTGACAAAAAAAAATTATAGTTAAAGTTTGAGTCCATAATATTAATATTAAGAGGTCTATCATCGCAATTTTAGATATTTTTTCCTGAGCGAGTTTTTGTCTCAGAACTCCCAAATCATTGAGTTTAACAAAATTGACTTAAGAATATTTTTTGAAGAAAATTGAATGCTCTACAAAAAAGGTTTAATTGGAATTTCCCGTCATATTAACCGTTTTCTTACAATCATGCCTTAAAAATTGGTATAGTTTTACAATTTGATCTTTTAACTTTGGAATTTTGTAATTGAAGTAAAAATCAGTACCCTGAAAAAAAAACGATAAATATTCTTATGGGAAATCAAATGCTCTACAAAAAAAGTCTTTTATCATTTTTGGCTAAATTCACTCCATCAAGGTTAAATTTGAAGTCAAAACGAAATTTTAACCTTGAATAACTTTTGATTGAGTGAATTTAGCCAAAAATGTTAAGGGGCTTTTTTTGTAAAGCATTTGATTTCCCATAAGAATATTTATCGGTTTTTTATGGGTACTGATTTTTACATGAATTACAAAATTCCAATTTAAAAGATCAAAATGTAAAACTATACCAATTTTTAAGGCATGATTTTAAGGAAACCGTTCATCTGACGGAAAATTTCACTTTAACCTTTTTTGTAGAGCATTCAATTTTCTTCAAAAAATATTTTTAAGTCAATTTTGTTAAACTCAATGATTTGGGAGTTCTGAGACAAAAACTCGCTCATGAAAAAAAAATCTAAAATTGCGATGATAGACCTCTTAATATTATTATTATGGACTCAAACTTTTATCATAATTTTTTTTTGTCGCCTCGATATACTTTTAAAAAAAAATAGTTGATTTTTTTGGCCCAGTCTAATGTATATTCCAATTAACACTAATGGTCTCATTGCGATCTTTAACGTCGCTTTAAAACTACAATAAAACTTTGAATAAAGCAAATAATCTTCATAAAGCAGCTTCTAGCCGAAAAGGGTCTTCAAGGTTAATTTTTAAAACTATATTAAAACCATTTGATTTTAATTTCATATCCTTAAAAAGTTCTTCAAGGTAACTTAGCCAAATTTGGCTAATACTTCTCATAAATACTCGTAGAAAAAATAAGTAAACTTAAGGAAGTAACAAGAATATATTTAGACATGTTTCTGATGTGTCCTGTCCATGGGCTTGGAATGGCCCTAAAGTAAATTAAGGTGGACAAAAATTTTAAAGTAGCGAAAACTACTTCAAAGGAAAATGCTCCTTATCAGCCATTTTTTACTGTACAGTAGTGGTAATGTTATATAATAAATTATTTTAATTGTTTGTAAATGGTTGTTTACTTTTTAATAAATAGTAATTTTGTTGGTAATAGACGGCATTATAATTAAATAAAAAATTAATATTAAATATTTTATTATGTATAAACATTATCAAATAAATAATTTGTTTATACTTAAATATTGATGAAGCGCATTTATTTTACAAAAACTAAATTCATAAGTTCAACAGTAAAATTTAAAGGGTTAATAAATTTACCTGCCTATTTAAACCTTATAATGTTATTCTGGAAGTTATAAACTACCAGTACATATTTAATAAACGACGACATTGAAAAGCCAAGTCCGTAGTGGTTCCATTTAAAAAAGGAGGGATAGTATATAATATAAGTTTGACAAAGACAGTTAATATATAAGTAAAAACAAATAAATAAATGAATAAAAGTAATTATAACGCTCTAAAAACGAAAAAAAAAATCTTTACATTTTTTTGGGTTATTTACGAAATAAAAAAATATGACTCATCTTTCGAAAAATTAAAATATTACTATAATTAATTTCTCAGTAATTAATCATCGTAGAACCTTCAAAATTGAGATTTGGGGTTATCCTAGCCTATAAATATTACACACAAAAAATTTTAAACTTTTTACCATCACAGCGCGTCACACATTTTATTTATTTATAAAATTTGGTGAATATGTCATGTATTAATTAATACAATTACATCATTTTTTATAGAATTTCTTGGTTAACCGATACAAATTATCATTAGGAAGCAAGTATGAGTAAATAAAGTACGTACGGTGTGGTTTTATTTTCAAAAATAACAAAAATAAATGAAGCACCTACCTACAAAATGTTATGTACCCGGGCCATTAAAAAGGCGTTGCCCCCAGGACAAAATCCATTATGCATGACACCGTCCAACGAGTTTTCCAAGTAAACAATGGGCTCGAGCCCGCCAAAAATTAATTGCAACCATATGAAATTCGTCGAACTGGTATCTTTGGTTAAATTTATTTATTGGTTACAAACATCTACCTACTTGGAAAATTGTATGTAAAAAACCAATGGTTTTGTCATTTTGTAAATCTATGTACTGTGTAAACTTTGCCTACATACAAAAATTGTTTAAATAACTACGTCGAACTGTATTTAAATTTTGTTTGAACAAAAACTATTTTAAAAGAAATAACGAAAGTCATCCATTGTAAAATACCTACGTTATTTTTATTTTTGAATTAACCAAACAAGTGATTATTACCAAAAAAACGCGCCAAAATGGAAATTGGTTTATAGGTATCATAGTAGGTAGAAATCTAAAAGGGAAGTAAAGAAAAGAAAAGAAGGGAACCTTAAATACCCATCTGCAATTTTTTGTGTAATATGTAGGTAATAATTTTGACAAAAAAAACCCTTGAACGGGATTACAAATAACTTTTTTTACCCTATAAGCAATACCTTTTAATAAAGGCTTCATAAAATTTTGAAAACAATCGCAGGGGTCACACCCCAAAAAAATTATTTGTTGAATGACCTCTATACATTGTATACTAGGGTGGAGTGAATTTCTTTTTATTTATTAATTGATTTTTCCTATATTATTAATTGTTGACTAAAGGCGTAAAATGAATAAATATCGAAAAAATATTCAAATTTTTTAATATCTTGAGGTGGCGCATCAGTCTCGAAGTTTTGAAAATTCTAAAAAAATATTACTTCAATCAAAGTAATTAAAATAGCATTATTTATAAATAAAAGGTTTATTTTAGTAAAATTAACGTGAAACGTAAACATATTTAATAGTAAATCAAATGCTTTAAGTAACTTCAGGAGTGTTTATTGGTAGAAATGAGATCTTCTTTTTCGCGAAAATACTGACATTTGGTATCAAAATTTGGTAATTATTTTCTGAGTTTAGTTCTTGTTCTCAGAGATAAAGAAGGTTCTGATGAAACCATGTCTTGCTTCTGATCCCCAAACCGAGACTGAAGATTCAGTATACTGGTTATAACCAGTTTTACACAGCGTTCCACTGCTTGGGTGTGACACGGAAATTTTTGGAAGTATAGGAAATGGTCACCCGAAGAAATCATATCGGTAATTTCTGTCATCGTATTTCATAGTCATAGGTGGTTCAGTCACCTTTTCTGTCGCCCAGTGATTAACTCGTACAAACGTAATGCTTCAATATTTAGTTGTGGAAGCTTTAATTCCCGTAATCTCGAACATTTTGATTCTTTTCTCGCCTTTAATATTTTCGGCAATGCTAGTTCTCTGATCGATAGATATATTGTAGGTAACATAGCAAGTAATAGGTTTTCGGGATAAATATTTCGCTGAATATTCTTTATAACTATAGTTATAAGGCCTTCAAGTTGTTCTGGAGATTGAATGCTCTTTTAGTCATATTAAATATGTGAATAGGACCATGTTTGCACGTAGGCTTGGTGTTGATGTAAAACCACGTTGGGCCATACACTTTCATGATAAAAGTAGCCAATTCTTTTAGGTTTTCCAAAGGATTTGCTGTCCCCACATATAAACGAATAATCCTATTAGCCCACATCAGCCTTAGGGAATGTGCTAGCTTTCCTGGATCTTTGTTAGCTATAGCTAATATTTATTCCGAAAACCTATTACTTGCTATGTTACATACAATATATCTATCGATCAGAGAACTAGCATTGCCGAAAATATTAAAGGCGAGAAAAGAATCAAAATGTTCGAGATTACGGGAAATAAAGCTTCCACAACTAAATACTGAAGCATTACATTTTTACGAGTTATTTCACTGGGCGACAGAAAAGGTGACTGAACCACCTATGACTATGAAATACGATGACAGAAATTACCGATATGATTTATTCGGGTGACCATTTCCTATACTTCCAAAAATTATTTCCGTGTCACACCCAAGCAGTGGAACGCTGTGTAAAACTGGTTATAACCAGTATACTGAATCTTCAGTCTCGGTTTGGGGATCAGAAGCAAGAGATGGTTTCATCAGAACAAGAACTAAAGTCAGAAAATAATAACCAAATTTTGATACCAAATGTCAGTATTTTCGCGAAAAAGAAGATCTCATTTCTACCAATAAACACTCCTGAAGTTACTTAAAGCATTTGATTTACTATTAAATATGTTTACGTTTCACGTTAATTTTACTAAAATAAACTTTTTATTTATAAATATTGCTATTTTAATTACTTTGATTGAAGTAATATTTTTTTAGAATTTTCAAAACTTCGAGACTGATGCGCCACCTAAAGATATTAAAAAATTTGAATATTTTTTCGATATTTATTCATTTTACGCCTTTAGTCAACAATTAATAATATAGGAAAAATCAATTAATAAATAAAAAAAAATTCACTCCACCCTATTGTATACACAAAAATATTTAACTTGAAACTTGAAACTGAAATATCGCAGTTAGTATGCATTTTACGAAAAAATGTTTAAAATAAAAATTAAATGATTCGAGGGGGAAAATCAACCAGTACTAAAATTGGTCCTCACCCAGTGAACCAAACCGTGACTTATGACCTAAAATTTACGTAACACGTAGATCATATCTAGGTAATTCAATTTTTACGTCATAGTGACATAATACTGACCCAAAACGTGACTTTTATATGATGTAATTAAATGACTTACATATTACGTACATCTTATGTAATATTAAAGTCATATCGTGACGTAATATTAAAGTCACTTTTCTTACGTAAGACTGACATAAGAAATCTGTCATAATATTACATAACTTTTAGGTCACTGTCTTACGTAAGACTGACGTAATAAATCTGTCATAATATTACCTAAGTTTAAGGTCACTTTCTTACGTAAGGCTGACGTAAGAAATACGTCATACTAGAGATGCGACTTGAAAAAAAACGGTCCGTTTTTTTTGTTTTTTTTCAGGTTTTTTTTCATTGTTTTTTTTCAAATGGTTTTTTTTCACATTTTAGGTTTTTTTCAAGATTAGTCCCATTTGCCTAATTTTTAAGGTTTCATGGACTAAAATTAGCCACTAAATGACAATTAGTAAATGTAAATACAGTCTCGCGGTATGCACGCGCCACCACCACCGAATTGACCAATAAGGGCCGTGCTTGTTTTGATTTGGTCCTTAAAAAGTAACTACATATAATATTTTTGATTCAGCGCTTGATTTTTCAAAAAGCTACCAAAAGCACTTTTTTCATGATTTTTCAAATTCATGTAGAGTATGGGCCAGAAAGCCAAAAAAAAAAATCGATTTTTTTTATTACTGTATTTTTTAGGATTGAGGGTTGCAAATTTTTCATCTAACAATCTCAAAACTAGAAACTTCAAGCTTTAAATTGCTTCTTTTAACGGCTCCAATACGACCATTTTTAACAAAGATACAGCTATCCGAAGAATCGCAAAACAATTTTATCCTTTAATTTTTTGTATTGGTGTAGAAGTTTTACATTGCTACTGGTTTCTAAGGTGGAAACTACCAAATAATAAGAAATCAGATTTTTTAGTCTCGGTCAAAATTTTCAATAATGAAAAATGTAATATATTCTACAGTTTACTTTATTATTAATATACATTTTATTAAAAATTTCATTTTGAAAAAAAACAAAAAAAACCGTTTTTTTTTCTAGGTTTTTTTTCATGTTTTTTTTCACATCTGAAAAAAAACCGTTTTTTTTACATCTCTACGTCATACTATTACATACGTTTTAGGTCACTTTCTTACGTAAGAAATCTGTCATACATATTATTTAGACGAACTAGATGCAAAAGTAATTTCAAAGTATGAAATTCACTGTATTTTAATGTTTGAATTAAACTAATTTCAATGAATGGACTTTTATTTTTAATGAGTGAAATAGGCAAACATAATTTTTATTTTTTATTGATTGAAATGGTTAATTCCAATCATTGAGTAAAATAACGTAAGTAAATTCTATTAATTGAAATTGACGCCGATTATTTTAAACAATAAAATCAGTGGATACTTTTCCTTACCAATCAGTTTAATTCAAACATTAAAATACAGCAAATTTCATATTTTGAAATTACTTTTGCATCTAGCATGATGAAAGAACTAACGCGAAGTTCCTTGATTTTTTTGGCTACTTAGTACTTGGTCGATTAAATGAAAATATGGTTTAAAATCAATAAAAAAATAATGTATCTTAATTTAATATGTAATAAACATCATATAGATTTTTATGATTCCGGTTCCTACTGCTTTATGTGAAAAATCATGTAGGTACCTACTCATAATCATGGTTGCAAGTACTTGCAAGTACCTACTTATTTTTTAAATTGTAAAAAATTATCAACAAAAGATTTACGTGTTATTACGTGTTAACGTGTTATTTTTGTATTGTATGTTACTGTTATTATTTTTTGAAAATTTTTGAAAATGGCGCTTTTGGTGAAAGTAGAATTTTTTTGTTCCACCCTGTACAATCGAAAAAATAAGTAGTTACGCTTTAAAAGACCTGAAATGATATTTCACTCACTTCAAATTTTTTTAAATGTGACCTTGGCAGTACGACGTCATTTGTTTTTTTTTAATCCATGCATGTCAAAAAATGTTACCTATTAAAATACTAAAATTTTAAATTTTTAAAATAAAAATAATTTTTAAATGTTGAATATTGTCCCTAGCTATAGCTATAGCTACTCATAAAAAGCGATTTTTGTTTGTTCTTACTTCTGACATACCCTGTAAAGAATCTGAAAAATTAGTAGTTGGTTTAAAATCCATTGTGAGTTGGTTTTGATCAGCTTCATAAATTAGATAAAGTATCAGCTTGCAATAAATACCTTTTCGGTAATGATTCCATTTCCCATTGAAAAAAATGTGACCTTTTTACAGTACGACGCCATTTTAGAAATTTCAAAAAGTAGTACCCAGAGTACCCTTGTCTCTGGTAGTACCTATATATTTAATGCCTTGTTTAACATACTAAAATTTCAATTTCCAAATACAGAGGTTCAAAAAATAAAACTAAAAAAAAATAATACAACCAAATTTAAAGAATTTAATATTATAATATAATATGGTATAATTATATTATATTAAATATAATACCTATAATAATAGATATGTATTTGCACAATATTGTGGGTATTAGTATATTTTTTAAATTCAAAAAATGATAAATAAAAGAAATGAAATTGAAAAACGAAATTATTTAAGTACACTGAGAATATTTAGTATTAAGAAACCAAGAGATTTTTAATAATATATGTAAACTATTAAAGAATTCTTCATTGATAAACAAATTTTATAATAATATTATAATTTGGTCCGGTTATTGTGTTTCAGACAAATAAGGGTAAAGTTGTCAAATAACATTGATATATTAATTGTTAACAGTTGCAATATGCAGTAATGGTTGCCTATAATAAGTAGGCATCTACTATAATAAAGTTGAAATCTACTTATCATGGGCAACCCCCATTGCATAATACATCTCGCTTATGTGGCACTAATCGTTAAGTATATAAGTTGACACTGGCTGCATTGCAATTAGAGATTTAGGATCCGAACGAACCTCGGCAAATACACGAATTAGGAATTGTGGACCACGATAAAATTTAGATTTTTTACTGGAATTTTTTCTTGGAGTCAGGATTGTTTTGTCATGGAATACCCGTGGTCCTCTGCTAAGCAGAGTCTGCTTAAACAGTGATGAAAAATAAGGAAGGGGGCTTCGTCATTCTGAGGTCATATTTATGTCACATTTATTACGTAAATATTATGTAATGGTATGATGTCAGTGTTACATCAATATGTTTACGTCATATTTATGTCATATTTATTACGTCAGAGTCTGACGTAAGGAAGTGTGAAATAATGACTCTTGTATGACTCAAGTGTGACCTATATCTTACGTAAGCGTGACTTGACATGACGTCATATTTACGTCATATTTACGTAATTGTGTTTACTGGGCATACTCTTCTCCTAATAGGGGGGAACAGGGGGTAACCTTAAAATTTCCAATGGAACACCCTATTCTTTATTGCAGATTCGGATTATTCGACTAAAAATAGGTAGATTTTGTCTAAAACATTTTTTCATATTTGGAATAGATGGCGCTGTAATAAAAAAATCAATTTTGTTTGATTTTTCTTCTTATACGAGTCTGCAATAATTTTTCTATAAAAACATCACGTTTTTTGGCAATAATAATTAATTTTAACTAATATTTAAGTTTCCTTTGGTTTAAGTTTTATACATTATTTCATTCGATGATAATTATCAATTGCGCACCATGGTCACTTTTTACCTGCCAGCATTAAATCTTTTAATTTAAAGGATTATTGTACTATTTTAAATAAAAATACCTCATTTAAGGTTATAAAAACATTATTTTGTCAATTAATTAATTTAATCCTAATTGAGGTATAAAAAATTATATTTATAATAATTATTATTGAGGTATAAAGAAACTATTTATACATTATTTAATCATTTAGTTCGAAGATTAATTTTCAAACAAATATACCTTCTTTCGTTAAGCAGTTATTCATAATGGATTTTTTAACAGTGGAAGAAAAAATAGAAATGATTTTGATTTATGGAGAAGCAGGCAGGAATCCTGATGATGCTGTTAATATCTACGCTCAGCGTTTTCCGAAAAAAAAATCGATCACGTACTTCATTTCACCGTACAGTCAAGCAGTTTACTACAAACGGGAGTGTTTAACCGAAAAAAAGAGTTCGTCGAGCAACAGTCACAGGTGGAAACATTAGATAAGAAATTTGTTGGGGAAAAAAGGCACATTTTTTAACGAATTTGTTTCACACTTTTGCCTGTCAATGTATAATAATATATAAATATAATATAATAAACTTTTTATGATATAAATTAAATTGTTTAACCAAAAAATGAGTAATGACTAAATGACTAATTTAAATCGTACTTGCTTAAGATAAGCCAGTTTCTGTATTATTTTGTTATTATAAATACATCACCGGAAATTTGGATTCACTCAGTAGATAGACACACTTCATGACACTAGCACTATGTTTAGGAGCATCTTGTTTCTTGGTTTCCTTATTTTCGCGATATTTTGTGATGAGAACTTTAATTTGGACAATGTTTTAAAAATACCCAGTGATGAGGGAAGTTATTTTGGATACTCTTTATTTCTGCAAAATATGGGATATAAAAACAGGTATACAAGTTAAATATGTATTTTAGGGAGCCTTGTATTTTTTAGCTTTAAAGTAATAAAAAACAAATATTGTGTTAGGTACTTAAAATCCCAATTTTTTCAAAAACTTCTTTTATAATGCAAATAGTTTGGATTTAATGATCTCTCTCCATTAAGATTTTTTTTACCTATGGGTATATTTTTTTTAGATTTTACTTATTTATTTATTTAAGTGTATATTTTACCGTATAATTTTGTAACAAAATAGTTATAAAATTATATAAACGAGGTGTGTTCAGAAAATAACGGGAATTGTTAAATTTCGCGGGTTCGGAGGGTCCGGTTGTCATAAAATTGTCTTTATTATGTTGGTTTATATGCCCCCGAAGTATGATACAAACGTTTGTATCATACTTCGGGGGCATATAAACCAACATAATAAAGACAATTTTATGACAACCGGACCCTCCGAACCCGCGAAATTTAACAATTCCCGTTATTTTCTGAACACACCTTTAGGTAAGTACTTTAGGCTAAAGCTAAAGTCTTTAGCTGTTTTTATTGTTTACTTTGTCTGTGGCAGCCGCTAAGGTTAGACGTGTTTTATGAGCTCGGCGATTTTTCGTTCGTTAAAAGAAATGGATCAAAGAATTTGTATCCAATTTTGCTAAAAAAATGAAATAAATTCTGTGAAATGTTAACAAAGGCCTATAGTGAGTCTGCTATAAGTAAAACAAGGGTTTACAAGTGGTATAAGAGTTTCCAAGATGGCCGTAAAGACGTTGAAGATGACGAACGCCCCGAACGCACAAGCGCATTAACAACCGATAAAAACATGGAAAAAGTGGAAGAAATGGTTATAAACCATCAGAGAAGTCGCTGATGATGTTGGTATATCGATTGGCTCATCCCATGAAATTTTTTCAAATGTTTTGGGTATGAAACGCGTTTCAGCAAAATTTGTTCTAAAATTGTTAAATTTTGAACAACATTTTTGGCCAAAAACAATACTCTAATGATGCCCCAGCCTTCATATTCGCCAGACATGCCTCTGTATGACTTTTTCCTATTCCCAAAAATAAAGAGAACCTTAAAGGGCCGTCGTTTTGCAAGCATAGATGACATTAAAAGCGCATCGCTGAAAGAACTAAAGGCTATCCCAAAGATCGAGTTTTAGAAGTGTTTCGAGTATTGGAAGAAGAGCTGCCACATGTGCATAATATCCAATGGGGACTATTTTGAAGGCGACAACATTAATGTAGACGAATAAATAAATATTTTTTTTCAAAAAACGAAAATTCCCGATATTTTCTGAACAAACTTCGTAGATATAGGTATTAAAAATAAATAATAAACTATTGGTAAATCCAAAATTATATGACAATGTTTTATGATTTTAAGTAAATATTACAGTATCTATTTATCTTACTTAAATATTGATACCGACAAAATTTTTATGTTTAATCACAATATACAGTTTTTAGGTATTATTAAATTTAAAAGTTCGTGATTTAAAAAAAATATTTTTTATCTTAATAAAATTTATTTTGTAAATGCTTTTAATTGATAAATTAACCAATTAAATGTTCGAATTATTTTATAAATTAATTAGTAATCCCTTGTTTTGCATCTTTAAAGGTAAAAACTATTAGGTAAAACATTATTCGCTCATTTATAAGGTACTAATATTTTACATATATGTAGCGAAAGCAAATTTAACTTGGACCAGAGCTGCAACAAGTCAGTTTTAAAAAGACTTAAATCTTAAGTCTTAAGTCAATTCTAAAATCAAAATGATTTAAATCTTAAGTCAATTCTAAGATAAAGTTCAAATGATTTAAGTATTAACTCTTTGAATTAAATCATTTTCGCAAATTCTTAAATCAATATAAAGTGATTTAAGTTTTTCAATTAAAATATAGTTAATTATACATAATAAGTCTTATTTAACAAAAATTAAAAAATAATATTTTTTTGCAATATACTTATTTATACGTAATAATCCTTATATAATACAGTAAAAAAGAAAAAAATTGTTATTTATTTCGAATAAAAAAGTTTGTGAATTCCTTCTGCAAAACAATGATAATCTAAAAACGCATTTAAAAAATAAAAACCTTTAAAATTTTTGAATAAAATATAGTTAATTATACGTAATAACTCCTATTTACTTAACACATTAAAAAAAGAAAAACTTAATATTTATTTGTAATAAAAAAGTTATTGATTGTTTTCCGCAAAACGCTGCTTTTTTTCCATAGTACGGCCCTGGTATAAGGAAAAGCTTACTGAACAATTTGGCGTAAAACCGCAAAGATAAAAAATATCGTTGTTAAATGTTTTTTAATTATCAATTTCTCCTTAAAAAAATTACTATAAAAAAAAGAAAAATTAAATTGTAATTAAATGTGGTATTTTTGTTTTAGACTAATTGTTGGAGCCCCTTTGAGTAATAAATTTGTATTTGAATGCGATCCATTGGGACTAAATGCGAAATGCTCTAAAGAAGAATTATTAGATGGTTAGTAAGTTTATTTTTTTAATTCAAAATATACCTTGTTTATTACGTTCGCTTGGAATTGGTACTTTACATTAGCTATAGCTATAGTCTTTGACTGACCCTTTTTTATTTATTTTTTGAATGGTCCATCATTTGAATTTCTTCAGTTTGGAGTTTTGATTCCTCTTCGAATTTTCCACAATAATGATGATGATGATGTGCTGAATAAATTCAATTTAACTAACCTAATGTTATTATTAATATTATTTTTAGATTCGGTCATAAAATTTAACAAAGCGGCAAACACCACTAATTTCTTTGGTTCTGTTATTGATGGTGAAGTCCATGGTAGTACAGTGGTGGTAAGTAGAAATGTAACGTTTTTTGTTTTGTTTTTTGTACCCTTTTTTTCAATTGTTTTTTTTACATTTTATGTTTTTTCCAGACTTTCTGTTGTTAATCCAATGAATCAAAGTTTTGGCCTTTCGACCATTTTTTTTCTTTTCAAATTGCATACAATTTTTTAAAATTTATTTATTTTTACTCATATAACAAATACGAGACAACAAAAATACACAATTGATTTAATAAAAAATTCGTAAGAACTTGCTTAGAACACCTATGACACCCTGTATATTATTACTAATATATCCTAATATTTGTAGACCTGCGCTCCAAGACACGTGGCCAGCAGTTTTCATACTAGAGGAATTTGTGTTGTTTACAATACTATTGGAGGAAAACAATATTTGACATTCGAAGATGATCGTATGCATATAATTTTTTTTTACGTTTTTTATATTATTTAGGTGCTATATTTTAGGGGCCATTTTATCGCAGCATGGCAAATCCTACTATGCTGGAGCTTTTTCTCAAGCAGGGTTTTCATTAAACTATATGAAGGTGAGACCGTTTTTTTGGAAATTTTAGAAAACTAGAAAATTAAAAGTGCAATTTTAGGGCGAAGATTTATTAGTAGGGATGCCAGGTTTTGACAATAATTTGGGTAATTTGCATTTTCTATTATAAATTTTAAATCTAATATAATTTTTTAGGTAAAATTCGCATTCTCAATTTAAATACCTTTTCAACATACGAAAGGAAAAATCATTTATCACCATTAGAAAATTCAGATTTTTATTTGGGTAATTTGGTGCACAATATTTTTTGTTTCATATTTTCAAGTTTTATTTATTTCAAGGCTATTCCATATCTTCCGGTTATTTTGCAAATGGTGAACGATGGTATATAGCCGGTCAACCAAGGGGGAATTTTTTGAACGGACAAGTAGGTTATTTTCTTATACTGGGTGTTATGTAATTAATGTTATATATTAAAATACTGAATACCTTTTGACATAAGGTGTAATGGAAAAATATTTTAAAAGATATTTTCCCAAAGATAAAGAAAATATATGCATTAGAAGTTTTTTATATTTTTTGTGATACGCCACTGGTTACACACTTGTGTTCTGTGAGTACATAGATACAAACCAACAAAGTAGCTGCGCGTTGCCAGTTGTAAAAAATTGTTACTAAAAATTTTTCTTGCATAAAATAAATAAAAACTCAATAAAAAGTTTTATGCCCATTACCATTCTGTATTAATTTACTCATCCAGCTATTAACTTAAGCAATGATAAGAAAAACTCCATAAAATTATTTTTTTCATCGGTTGTTTTCTTTCTGTTTACTCAGATGAAATTAGGACAAGTTCACAGGTTAATCGTTAAACATTCAATTTGTGTAAATAATTTCAAACGCCCAAAAGCACTTAGTTAAGATATTTACAATTTGAGCACATAACCTACAATGACAGAATGTGTTACCAACCAACATAATAAATTAAACCAGATTAACTTAAAGTAAAGTAAATCATTACGAATTATGAATAAAGTTTAAGTCTGGTGTGTCTAATTTAAATATATTTTTTATAAGTATGTTTTTAAATCACAATGTTAAAACGATTTTTAAAAAATTTTTACAAGGTCTAATTAGTGATCTAGCGATTTCAGGTTTTTATTTTTTTTCAAGTTTTTTCAGGTTTTTATTCTTTTATAAATATTTTGAAAGTTTGAAAATTTGTATTTTATTAGTAATAATAATAAGTAATTAGTGCGAAAAATTTTATGCTATGGCGGGTCGGGCGCTCACAAATATTCAATTAACAAATATGGTTTTGTGTTACGGGGAAGCGATGCAAAATGCTTGTCAAGCAAGAATTTTGTAGGTAGGTATATTCAAAATTATCACAACGCCAATCAGGGACGTGAATTTGAAGAACAAATCTTGGACGAAGTGGAAGCAAATCCGAGAATTAGTACAAGACGATTAACTGCCCAACTTGAACAAATGTCCAACTTTGTTACGTGGCGCACGATTCACGAAAATAGTTTGTACCCCTATCACCTACAAAAAGTTCAAGCTCTTCAGGATGGAGATTATGCACTGCGGTTGGAATTTTGCCATTGGTATATACAGAAAAATCAAGAAGATGCTGAGTGTTTTGTATACCGATGAGGCCACATTTACGAGAGACGGGATTTGGGCAGCAACTCAGGAACTTAATTGTAAATAGTCCAGACATTTTTACGCAGGTGCGCGAAAGCATGCTTCGCAGAGTTTAAGCTTGCATTCTAAATAATGAAATCATTTTGAGCATCTCAAATAAGGTAATACATTTTTAATTTTACATTTGGCAACACTGCATTAAAAAGTAATAGGTAAGGTTAATCCGCGGTTCCTAGTCGATCAGTGGCGTACTTTTTGGTAGGATAAAGGTTATTATAAATTATTTTTAGTCTTTGGAATTTAGAAAAAAAAAGTTTCAGGTGCTTCTTTATGGACCCTAAGGAACTACCCATTTTAATATATAACATTAATTACATAACACCCTGTATGTAGGTATACATATATATTTTTGTAACTTTTTTAGGTCGTAATATTCAGAGATAACATTATAAACTATCTAAAAAGCGACGAGTTTGGATCATATTTTGGAGCTTCTTTGTTGGTAGACGATGTTACAAATGATCAACTAGATGATCTTTTTGTTGGAGCGCCATCAAGTTCCATGGAAAATAACTATGACCAGGGACATGTTTCTTTCTACAAGTTTGATTTGGTTAATAATGTACGTGTACATATCATTCACAGTTAAAAATGCAAAACAATAGAAAAACAGTTCTTAATATTAATAGTTATTTATGGTACTAGTGTGTTATGTTGAAAATAAGTCAAGCGAGAAAGATTTAATAAAATTCTCAAGAGACTTAGGAAACATAACACACGAGTGCCATACAATGTTTTATCCAACAAGTGGAAGAAATGTTTTTTTTATGAGATAATAATTAATAAGCTTTGTAATCAAATCAAAGCTGCTTGCGTCTCAGTACCCTATAAATGTCAGAATAACTTGACAGTGACTTTTTTACATTTTGGTCAAAGTAGGTTGTTTGTTTGGTTGCCACGGGCATGACACATTGTTAGCAAATGTTTAAATCACGGTCTTATATAAGACCGTGGTTTAAATAAATTTTGACACTTGTCAGTTTTCCCTGCAGAAAAGGGAAGCTTTTTTGAAGAAAACAACGTACAGAAAATGAGGAAACCGATGAAAATTACGTTCCTGAGGATATCCTTACGGAAGCGGAAGAAGCAGCGATGCAGATTTTGCCAGAAAAGTCCCGAGATGCTTACGACAAGGAGTTCAAAATGTTTGAGTCTTGGATGAATTCACGGAAGATAAAAGGTATCGATGAAAATGTTCTATTGGCTTATTTTTTTCATTTGCAAAAAAAATAGCCCCATCGTCGCTATGGACCAAATACTAAATGCTTTGCTCGACTATTCACCTTTCTAAAAAAATCTACATTTCAAAATATGGCAAACTAACGAGCTTTTTGAAAAGCAAATCACAGGGATATAAACCAAAGAAGTCCAAGACGTTAGAACGACCTGAAATAGAGAAGTTTTTGAACGAAGCTCCCGACGACGAGTACCTGTTGATGAAAGTGGCTTTTATAATGGGGATTAGCGGTGCTTGTAGATGCGATGTATTGGTCAATTTGAAAATAGAAATTATTCAGACAAAGGGAAATATTTTCACGTAGTTTTGCCAGACACTAAAACCAAGAAATTGAAGAGTTTCACCATACTTGAAGAAGGATATCCAGTCAACCCGATCAATTTGTGTAAAAAATGCATGTCTTTGAGACCAAAGAATACTAGTTCTAGCCGCTTTTTTGTTTTTTACAAAAATGGGAGGTGTACCAGCCAGTGTGTGGGAATAAATGCGTTGGCGAAGATACCTTCAACAAATGCAATTTTTTTGAAATTGGGGGAACCAGCGCTTTACACCGGTCACTGCCTGAGAAGGTCTTCGGCGACTCTTTTGGCCAATGCATGGGCTAACATGACTACTTTGAAGCGTCACGGAGGATGGAAGTCCTCGACGGTAGCAGAAGGATACCTAGAAGAATCGGTGCATAACAAAATATAAATTGCAGAAAAAATACAAGGTTCCAATGCGTCGGCGTCTTCCAGCACTATCAGCAGCTGTACCGATATGGGAGCGTCTGGTTCCAATGAACCAACGAATTTTGCAATGACTTCAAATTCGAATAAACCGTTAGCGTTTTCCTTTAATTTCAATATCAATGTGAATTCTGCTTGTAATAGTAATAAATAAATAGAATACTGTTGGATAAATACATTTTTGGTTTTAGTTTTTTTACGCGCCAATTAAACTTTACGGTGATGGGAAGTCTGGATCCAAATTTGGCACGACCATGGCCAAGCTAGGTGATATAGATTTGGATGGTTATAATGGTAAAACATTGGAGTAAAAAATTTTTCTTATAACTTTGCTATAAATCAAATTTTAGATATTGCTATTGCTGCACCTTTTGAAGATAATAGCGGTGCTGTTTATATTTTTAAAGGGTCGAAAGAAGGACCTAAGAAAAGCCAAAAATTGACACCCAAACTATTTAAGGCTTTCAACACCAGAGGATTCGGCTTAGGGTTGTCAAATGGACTTGATATTGATAACAATGGACATAATGGTAAAACAAATATTTTACCTAAAGCATTAGTAAATACAATAATTTTCTTTTAGATTTTGCTATTGGTGCCTTTAAGTCCGGCGAAGTTTTTGTAATAAGAAGTAAATCTGCAATAGACTTAAAAGCAAGTCTAGATGTCGATATTACAACAATACATGAGCAAACCAAAAGTCTTACAGCTACATATTGTTTTATGTATTCCCAAAGAACAGCAAGGGCTCCTGTAAAAAATATATCTTTGGTTGCCACTTTATCAGTTGACTATAGAGCTGGAACAAATACATCTTTTCAAAGATATATTTTAATACCGACTCAAAATGATACAAAATGCTTTAAGACCCTTCTTAACATAAATTTAGTAAGATAACATTTTTTTATTTTAATTTAATGTAATAAAATATATAATAATTATTGTTTTAGCGATATAATACAGATTTGAGTCCTTTTAAACTATCTCTTAAGGCTGATGTAAAAACTCCAAATCTTATAATATCAAAGAATTATGAAATTTTGGAAAAATTCATTCCATTATCAGATAATTGTGGCGATGATAATGTTTGCAAATCTCTTTTATCCATTGACGTAGAATCGAATTTGTAAGAATTGAATATATGTTAATAAATTATTTATATTAAATAATCCCTGTTTTTAGGCAAGAAATTATTTTAGGTAAAGACAACATTTTGGAGACAAATATTCTTGTGAAAAGTTCCAAGGAGCCGGCTTTAAAATGTGAAATAATTATTGAAAAGAGTCAATCAATCGAATTAAGAAATGTTAAGGAGTGCAGTCAAACCCATAAAGACATTGTTTGTCCTGTTTCCAATGCCTTTGTAGGCGAAAAAAAAGTATATTAGTCCAATTTATCGGGTGATCCACAACTCCCATGACATATTTTTAGGGCATAGAGAAAACCCTTTGTTGGGTTTTTTTGCAATAGTACACATTAAAAAAAAATCAACTCTAAGTAACACTAATTAGAGTTCACACAGGTCCACACTAAATAGTGTTGTTTTATAACACTACAATTAGAGTTAATTTGCAGTGTAATTTTCCCCAAGTAAGCAAGTATGATTTAACACTATAGCACTGAGGATAAAGTAATTTTACACTGTATTAAAAAGCGTTAATTTACCTAAAATCGTCTACTTCTACACTTCCTGGGTAAAATCCCACTTTTGTTCAGTGTAAATTAACACTACTTTGGAAAAGTTCTAATTTTAGAACTTTTACTCTTTTAGTGCAAACTTCTAGTGTAAATTAACACTATTATTTGAGTAAAACCTGTTGGTGGTCGTGAATAAAACGAAAAGGTAAATAAAGAGAAACATTTATTTGGAACAAAAGTCTATGACAATTATCAAAATCGGTGCCTTTTAAAATATAATTTTATATTTGAGTCGTATGGCTGGCTTAAGCAAAATGGTTCCTTAAAACGTACAAGTTTTAGATCAATGCAATGTTTTACTGGCTGTCAACTTGTAAGCAATGAATTATCTTGAGAATTCATCAGTAATCCATTTTTCTGTTATAAAAAATGGGTGATCCCATTGGTAGAGAGGCGTCAGGCGGCTGTATGTGTACAAATTTTCCATAATATTAATAAAAATGTAGGTATATGTAAATATAACAACCATTACGCTTGAAAATAAAAAGTAAATCAAGTGTGTATGTATTTATATTATTTATGTTACAAGTACCCGACCTACTGCCGTAAATTATTGATATATAATATAGGTCGGGTATGGACATCCTTTTAACATATTGGTATTTATTGAATATTAAGGCTTAAAGGCCAAGAAAGTATAATACTTACCAAAAAATAAGAATGTCCCCTTATGTAATACATAATATGTATTCACCATAATTAAAATCTAACTGAACAAAAATGCCACACTTCCACAACGCGGTATCTCCGGATATGCACTGCGTAGGTAGATAGGTACCAACCAAACATTTTCAAACGCATTTCGATTATTACCAGTTTTTTCAGTCTATTTTGCCACTATTGGTGTAATTTAACTTTAATTGTGATACAATGTGCACTAATAGTGTAAAGAAAAAATAGCTCTTAGTAACATCAAAACAGACAAAGAAATTGGCATGCACTGTAGTGTATATTTTATCACTATTTAACACACTAAGGGGTAATAAACAATCGCATTAAGTTTTTCTACCCTTTTGATTTATTTTAATAATAAATAGTGTGAATGTACCAATGAATAATGTTCAAATTCAAAATTTTTTACTGTGTATCAGCAATTATTTCCAGTTCTTATATATGCCCTAAATATATGACAAGGTAGTAACCACCCTACATTGTTTATATATTAATTTATATTTTTAGTTGACAGTGCGGTTTGATTTAAAAAATATCCAACCATCCTTAAAATATATCAACATCAATTTTAAAGTTAGAACTTTATCAGGTGCTCTACCAGATAGTCTTCTAAAATATCCCCTTAACATTCCAATAAAGCTCGTAAACAGTCCTTACCTTCAAGGGTAACATTTGTTTATTTTGCAATATGCATTAATAATGTCCGTCCTTTTAGAAAATCTGATCCTGAAGACATCGAGCTTGGTGAAGAGATCAATTCAATTTCATTTACTCAAGTTTACACTGTGGTAAATTCTGGACCAAGTCCCATGAAAGTCGACGTCAAAATTTTTTCCCCCGTTATTGAAAACATCATCTCAATAACTCGCACTCGAGTAACATTGCACGACTTATTTTGACTCGTCAACATTAAATTAAACCTTTTTAGATAGCTACCAAAGATGAAGCCACCGAGTGTATTATCGGTCGAAAAGACATCGCGGCAAATTTAAAAATGGAGGATAAAAGTCTCGCAACTTTCAAGGTGCCTGAAAACAAATCAATCAGTTTAAATTGTTTTGAAGGAACATGTACTGAAATTACTTGCAATCAAGGGTATTTGTTTGTTTCAGAGTTAACTGAGATTAGTATAAGCTACGAAGTAGATGTCAAGGCATTAGGTAAAGTTGCATTGTATTGCAAAATAATTTTTCATTTTGACGATTGTATTTTTAGAGTCCAAATTCAAGACAGAGTTTCTAACTAAAGAAGTTATTATGTTTTTGTCGACTGCCAAAATACAAAAGTAAGTCAAATTGCCTATTTGAAAACTGAAAACAACAATCTGGTAAGTAAGATACAAAATGTAGCTCTTGGTTGGAACAGGACGTTGATGGAATACAATGAGTATTATCAACCGGATGTTTTGCCAACAACACGGAAGAACAACTTTTAACAGCTTTACAGTAGCCAACTTTGTTTTTCTATAAAAATTTCCACTTTTTTAAAACTTTTATCCACTGCTCTAAAAAACTCTTCTTGTCTGCGATTATCAAGCCAAAACCGTTTTAAGAAAGAAATAATTGCAACAAAATGGTTTACACTCATGCAAATTGGAAAGCAAATTAGTTATAGTAAAGACGTATGCTGCTCTACTACACTGTTTAAAATATCTGTGGTGTAAAAAGTAATCTTAAAATGGTGTCAAAATCCAACACCAAGTGGTGTTAATATAATGAATTATGGTTGAAAATGTTATATACATCAAACACCAAAACGGTGTTTATCTAAAAATATTTGAGAAGTGCACCTACACAGAAAAAAATAGTTCATTTAACTATATTAATTTAGTTGACCCATAAGTATTTATTTAGATCAACCGTGGGAAGGTTAATATAAACAAATATTAGTTTGACGGTACTAAACCAGATAGTTATTTTATTTTTTTTTGAATTGGTTGAATTAACCCAGAAAACTTTAGTAAAACCAACCCGCTGTATGGTTCAGTTTACTAAATATGTTGTTTGTAAAATAAGAGTTACTTCAACCTAAAGCACTCTGTTAAAACGATTAAAACAATTTTCCGTGCATTCCTGGTTGCGTAGTGTGTACCGATCGCGGCAAAGGCGGTGTGGATCACGTGATGTTCTTAAATCTCGCCTCTGTTGACTTACATGAAGAGTATATAAGCTCAGGTAGTCCTTTGCTTTGGTGTGACACTACAAGTTGTTCGATACTAAAGAGACCTTACATAGGTGGAAACAGCTGTCAATACTTGAAGTATTCTAAGTTGCTGGAACGCACTAAAAACATTATCTCTAGCGAGTTGAAGGTTCAATTTTCTGGAATAATACCACTGGTAATATACTTGTAATGCGTCAAGGAACTTACTTTTTCCTTTTTTTTTCTTTTTTTCTGTGTAGTATGATTTAATTTGACCAAGGAGTTAAATTTACAACAGGTAAAATTTATTTTAATACTGTGAAAGTTAAATTTACACCATTTTAGTATTTGAATTTACACTGGACCAACGAACCATATTTAACACCATTTTGGTTTGTATCAATATAGACCATCGATATAGATATAGTCATGAAATTTTGAACAGTTTTGGGTCCTAAAACTGATTTTACTAAAAAAATCAAAACATTTCATATCTCAAAATGAATTGATTTCTTTTTTTTTAGCATTACAAGCCATTCCGCTACTTTAATATATGGGAAAACAAACAAATCCTTACCAATTTGGATATACATTGTTGCTGTGTTGGTTGGGATAATATTACTAACTGTTTTAATTTTTGTTTTATATAAGGTAATTTTATTTTTTAATAAATTTTGAAGTAGGTAAATAAAAATATAATATTTTAGTGTAAATTTTTCAATAGAAGATACCAAGAAAAATTAAAAGAAGAAAAACTTTTGGAAGATGAAAACCCTGCTAATAGCAATGTTGTGATGTCAGATTTAGAAGATAATTAAGATTTATTTTTAATAAAACTTAAGTTTAATACATTTTTTTATTTAAAATAGTTACAACACTTTAAAAAAATTGGTAGTAATACTGCAATACATACGTAATATTTATTAATAAGCAAAGGGGTTTTCAATAAAAGTCTTATTGAGCAAGTTCTACAAAGTTAAAAGTAAAAAATCAATCAATCATACCAGTAAGCATTAACGATTAATTAAAATGTTGTGTGATCTGCTCTTTTAAAGTTTTTGTCTATTTGTATAAAATAAGTCACGCGAGGCCGTCAGGCCGAGTGGTATAAATTCTCAAGTGACTTAGGAAACATAACACACGAGTGGTATACAATGTTTTATCCAACAAGTTAAAGAAATCGTTTTATATGAGATAATAATTAATAAGCTTTGTGATCAAATCAAAGCTACTTGCGTCTCAGTACCCTATAAATGTCGGAAAGACTTGACATTGACTTTTTTACATTTTGGTCAAAGTAGGTTGTTTGTTTGGTTGCCACGGGCATGATACATTGTTAGCAAATGTTTAAATAAATTTTGATACTTGTCAGTTTTCCCTGCAGAAAAACGTATAGAAAATGGAGGAAACCGATGAAAATTACATTCCTGAGGATATCCTTACGGAAGCGGAAGAAGCAGCGATGCAGATTTTGCCAGAAAAGTCCCGAGATGCTTACGACAAGGAGATCAAAATGTTTGAGTCTTGGATGAATTCACGGAAGATAAAAGGTATCGATGAAAATGTTCTATTGGCTTATTTTTTACATTTGCAAAAAAAATTAGCCCCATCGTCGCTATGGACCAAATACCGACATTTCAAAACATGGCAAACTAACGAGCTTTTTGAAAAGTAAATCACAGGGATGCAAACCAAAGAAGTCCAAGACATCAGAACGACCTGAAATAGAGAAGTTTTTGAACGAAGCTCCCGACGACGAGTACCTGTTGATGAAAGTGGCTTTGATAATGGGGATTAGCGTGCTTGTAGATGCGATGAATTGGTCAATTTGAAAATAGAAAATATTCATGACAAAGGGAAATATTTTCACGTAGTTTTGCCAGACACTAAAACCAAGAAATTGAGAAGTTTCACCATACTTGAAGAAGGATTTCCAGTTTTTTACAAAAATGGGAGGGGAACCAGCCAGTGTGTGGGAAGATACCTTCAAGAATTGCAATGTTGAAACTGAAAGGGACCAGCGCTCTACACCGGTCACTGCCTGAGAAGGTCTTCGGCGACTCTTTTGGCCAATGCAGGGGCTAACATGACTACTTTGAAGCGTCGCGGAGGATGGAAGTCCTCGACGGTAGCAGAAGGATACCAGAAGAATCGGTGCATAACAAAATACAAATTGCAGAAAAAATGCAAGGTTCTAATGCGTCGGCGTCTTCCAGCACTATCAGCAGCTGTACCGATGTGAATTCTGCTTGTAATAGTAATAAATATAATTTATAGAGTTCTATTGAAAACCCATTTACTTGGAATTAAAATCTTTGTGTTCTTAAAATTATTTTATTAGATTGGCAAACTTGTATTGGAATTGATATTGGACAAGCTGGCTGTGTTAATCGTACTCTTGCTCTTCCTCAGTTTCATTTTCTCCTTGATCTGTTGGTACCTGTTGGACTCTTTGTGAACGGGAGCACATTCTGAAGGGGCGCAAAAACTTTTCGTTTTCTCGATCTGCACTATCGAGTACAAATCGTATCCGTTGGGGTTGTTTATGACGGGGCTGGTGAGGATGGCGCTTGGAGCCCTGCAAAGCGTGGAGTCCGATTGGTTGTCTTCAGGGGTGTCCAGGTAAAATTTGGGCATCGATTGTTGCCGGATGATGGGCACTTCCTTGGGGATCGCGTCGATTTTCAGGTAGAGGCTCTTGGACATCCTCCTTTCGCGCAGGGATTTCTTGCGGGTCGGTTGCTCCAAGCCGTTGGGGTCGAGCAAGGAGGGTTTTTGGTTGACCTCCGGGGTGCTCACTGCTTTCGACGGTTCCAGGGGAATTGCGGGCTCCTTTGGACAAAAAAACTTTTTATTTTGTTAGAAATGATTACACTGTTTAAAATATCTGTGGTGTAAAGAGTAATCTTAAAATGGTGTCAAAATGCAACACCAAGTGGTGTTAATATAAACACCATACAGAAAATTGCAAAAAAATAAAAAAGAGGATCAGCTAGGATTTTGAAAAATATGGTTTTGGAGTGAGGAATAGATGCATATTCCAAAAATACAATCCGTTTTGGTTGACATTTTTATGTGACCTGAGACTTGTTCAGGCACACCGTGGGTTGAAAATGTTATAAACACCAAAACGGTGTTTATCTAAAAATATTTGAGAAGTGCACCTACACAGAAAAAAAGGAATAGTTCATTTAACTATATTAATTTAGTTGACCCATAAGTATTTATTTAAATCAACTGTGGGAAGGTTAATATAAACAAAGATTAGTTTGACGGTACTAAACCAGATAGTTATTTCATTTTTTTTAAATTGATTAAATTAACCCAGAAAACTTTAGTGAAACCAACCCGCTGTATGGTTCACTTTACTAAATATGTTGTTTGTAAAATAAGAGTTACTTCAACCTAAAGCACTCTGTTAAAACGATTAAAACAATTTGCCGTGCATTCCCGGTTGCATAGTGTGTACCGATCGCGACAAAGGCGGTGTGGATCACGTGATGTTCTTAAATCTCGCCTCTGTTGATTTACATGAAGAGTATATAAGCTCAGGTAGTCCTTTGCTTTGGTGTGACACTACAAGTTGTTCGATACTAAAGAGAGCTTAAATAGGTGGAAACACCTGTCAATACTTGAAGTATTTTAAGTTGAAGGAACGCTCTCTAGGGAGTTGAAGGTTCAATTTTCTGGAATTATACCATTGGGAATATATATATATAATGCGTCCTGTTTCCTTTTTTTTCTGTGTAGTGTGATTTAATTTGACCAAAAACATAATATTTAACACTGAATAGGAGTTCAATTTACACCAGGTAAAATTTATTTTAATACTGTGTGAAAGTTAAATTTACACTATTTTAGTATTTGAATTTACACTGGACCAACGAACCATATTTAACACCATTTTGGTTTGTATCGATATAGACCATGTATGGTGTTAATTTGGTGTTAAAATTGGCATGAAATTTTGAACAGTGTAGGAATAACTTGAAGTTTTCTTAAAAATAAAATGTCTTAAATACATTTACCAAATACTAATATAATAAGCTATAAGCTATTACCACTATTTCCACTTTCTTTTCATCTTCTGAAGATTCGGAGGTTTCGTTACTTTTATCAACAAAAATCGCGGGTACACTTTTCGACAAACTCCTGATGAGCGATTTGGAGCTGGTGGAGTGCCATTTCAGTCTTTTTGGTTGGACTACTATTGGTTGGTCCTTCTTGGGCGGTAAAGGATCTATAGTTACTATTGCTCTACCTAAAAGATATATAAATTTGAAGAATTATTACAAATTTTTAACAGATTTTAAAAATAAAGGTCATTTTTTACACAAGTTTATTATTTTAACCTAAACAGATTTTTAATTCTCTATTTTGTTATATATATATATATAAATAATTCTTTTTCTTCAAATATTTTTACATAATACAAAAATTATACTTAAAGAAAATACCAATTTTATTTTTTTAAGTAAAAAAAATATTTCTGGTTTTAATTTTTGATTTTTTTTTAAATAAAATAACAGATTTGTATTTATCTTGTATTAAATATATGTTGGAAACAAATCTTGATCTTTTAGTTTGACGATTATACATTGCTTTCGAATCTATAGTGGTATTACAACCTAAAAACATACATGGTGTTTCACATTTGTGGTCCATTGGAAGTTTCTGGAGATTTGAAATTTAAAAGGGTTTATAATCCATTAAGTCTATTTTTTTAAATATTTTGAAGAAAATGAAACTTCCGGTTTGACCGGAAGTGACATCAACCTTGGTTATTTTAAATGCAACACCCGGTATGTTAAGAAATTGACATGGAATCTTTTAAACAATGTTTTAAGATTCCAAAAATTCCACCCCCATTTCTGCAAACCTAATAGCAAGAAAGTAATAGGCTAATTTTAATTGACGCACTTTTGTCATATTTTAACATAAAAAATTAATTACTCCAAAACTATTTACTCTAGGTATAGGATATGGTACAGTAATTTTACTCAAAATTTTATGTAGAATTTAAAAATGTAAAAATATATGGGGTGTTCCATTTAAAATAACAAAGTTGATGTCACTTCCGGTCAAGCCGGAAGTGGCATTTTGTTTAAAATATTTTAGAAAAATAGGCTTAAACGCTTTAAAAATTTTAAATCGATATCTTTTGCCGTTCCTCAGAAACTCTCAATGGACCACGAAGGTGAAACGCCCGTATTTCGTAAATGTGCAACAACCTGTATATAATTAAAATAATTTTAAAATAAATAAATAATCTTAATGGTTGTCCATTTATTCAGTGAATAAATTTTTCATAAAAATATACTGTCTAGTTGTTATCGAAGCTGTTATATTATGTGCCGAATACCGTGGATAACATTTTATTGGATCGCACAAAAAAAAATGACGTGATCTGAAAAAACGCAGAGACACGGGTATCATTTTTTAAGTCTATTTTCAAAATCTATAGAAATTTTTCAGGGGAACTTTTCAAGTTACCTAGTGTAGGTTTTATGTTGTGTACTACAGACACAATTTTTTGTATTAAAAAAATAAGTCCCAAGTTTGTCAATAATGATAATGATAATGATAATATCGGTTAACATGATTAAATATATAAAAGTAAATAAATACAATATTCAATGCAAATAGTAAATACATCAATATGGTTTTTACAATAAATTAGTCGCGACGTCTTAGTTAGGTTTCTATTCTTTGGGAGTTTGTCCTAAAGTCTTTACCCTTGGTGTTTTATTTTCATTTCCACATATTTTTGTCTCTTTCTAGGTCTATTTGTTCTCGTTATCTTGTATATATATACATATATTTTTTTTTTGCTGAAATCATAATTTCATAATCTATTTGAATCGATTCGAAAATTTCCAAACTAAATTTTTTAATGAGTTCCAGAAGGGTTGCTGAATGTAGAAAGCTGATGTTTTTTTCTATATTATGGTGAATATATTTAGATGTCCCCTAGTAATAACATAACATAAGTGGTTCTGCACTAATGCAAGAATTTTAAGAAATCATACATTTTGAATATTAGAGCTTCACGGAAGATAGCTTCGCGGAGGTTAGGATTTCGTATGTTTTTTTAAACATCCCTTTGTATATTTAAAATAAGTTATTGTATCTTTTGACACCTTAATATTTAAAAAAAATACAATTGTACATACATAAAATATTTATAAAAAAATCTACTTATTGAGATATTACACTTCCCGGTGGATAGGTTTTTAAATAGCAAATTAATGAACTTAAACTTTTGAATTATAAAACAGCAACACTCTCATCTGCATATAAATTCTAACTGACCTTCAGGAATCACATGCATCTATAATGTCGTAAACAGAGGTTTTGCTTATTTAAAATGATTAAAGCGCCATCCGTTGCATAAAATTTAAAGCAAAAACAGATTCACGGAGGATAGAATCAATTTTTGTAACACCTACATAAATGGTTATAAAAAATATTTCTTTCAATTTTTAATAATATTTTATATTTGATTCGATTGCTTTGGATGTGTTTAATTTACATAGTGAACTGATATTTTTAGTATGCTTTTACTACCTCAGATATTTGAAAACATATAGGATAACCTAGAAAGAGTAACACTCAGGTTTTAGACTTTTAAAACATTGTAAAAAATATTATTATTTTTAAGTTGTAAGGGTATACTGTGCGAACATCATGTATAAAAAAATAAAATAAAATTGTGCTTACCGGCTATCACAGAAACACTATCATAAAATGCCCTATTATCGAACATATTATTATTTTTTTCTTCTTTTCTTACTGGATCTTCGTACAAAGCTATGCTTTCGTCGAAGCAAAAACGTTTTTCCACCATATGCCAGTAACATGTTTCCAAACAACTAAAAAAAAAACAAATCATAATTAATCATCAAAAAATACTAAAAATTTTCTTACAAAAACATATTTTTACGCAGCATTGTTTTTATTTTTTTCTGATAACCTGAACGAATTAAATGGCCAAGTAATTACCTGGTTCTCAAAAACAATAATTAAGTTTAATTATGTTTTGCTTTGGTATTTGATAGCTGACTTCCGTTAAACGAAGGATAAATACAAAAATAAGACGACATTCCATGTTTTTAAAAGGTTAGGAATTAATATTCCTAAAAACGATTTTAACGAATTTATTAAAAACTTCAAACAAGAATGATGTATTTTTATAACCTTTATAATTATTTATGTATGACAAGAATATATACAGGGTGTTATGTAATTAATGTGTGATTCTATAAAAGTTGGACAACTTTATGTCATCAGTCAATAGAGTAGGTATTTTAATATTTTTTGTAAATATTTTAGTATATTCAAAAGATACAGGTTTTTTAACTTGTCCACCTAATTTTAATGTATTTTTTTAAAAGGACGTTTGTAGAAAAACATAATAAATAAAAACATCTGTACCTTGGCGTGTCACAACTCCTGAATAAAATATTTGAGTGATTTATTTTAAAATATATTCAATTTACCTTAAATTTTTCAATTTATCTTCATATTTTATCATAGTTTCGAATAATAGCAATTTTTAAAAAATTGATAATCTTTGTACTCACTTTTACCCGTCAGTTCTGTGTCCAATGTTAAAATTCAATACTGTGGTGAGTAGTTATTTTCTTACGTATATATATTTCATTGAAATTTATATAAGGCTATATGTGATTTGTTGATAAGTAGCATCCACTAATAAAAAATATGGGTAAAATACTTAATTCCGAATTATAATCTCAAATTTGTATCCCATTCATCAGTACCGTGTCGTCAGTTCCATGTTCGATGTTTCGGTTATCTTTTTTTCGCAAACTTGGTATTGGTATACCCAAAATCCACCAGCCGCCACTGATGTGTGGTATTACTTATTTGATTTTAAGATATTTAGTGTATAATATACTCAAAGTTGCAATAAATCTTATATTTTCCAATAAATTATGTATTTAATTAGTACCCTGGTATACTCGTCACTTCCCTTGCATTTAAATTTAGAAAACACAGATATTTCAGAAACTGTTTGAAAAAGTGACTGGCCCGGTCTGGAACAGTATATTTATTATATTATCTGTGTTCTCATAACAAAATACTGATTAATTTTCTCCGAAAACTATATAAACAAAATGAGGTCTAAAGTTGCCCAACTTTTGTGGAATTACCCATATATTAAATTGATTTTTTTCTAAATTCTAAAGATTAAAAATAATTTATTATAACCTTTATCCAACCGAAAAGTACGCCACTGATCGACTAGGAACTTAATTTAATTTATTATTTTATGGTTGGTAACAACCAGTTTTTCCAGATTCTGTCAAAAAAGTTGTAACCAGTGGCGTATCATAAAAAATATAAAAAACTTCTAATTCATATTTTTTCTTTGGGAAAATATTTTTTAAATATTTTTTCGTTACACCTTATTTCAAAAGGTATTCTGTATTTTAATATATTACATTAATTATATAACATCCTGTATGCTCATGTGTTTTAATTTATAATAATATTTTTTATCTCGTCCTACATTTGACAGATGTCAAATGTTTAACAAATAAAATTGGCTTTAAATTCTTCTTTGTGTTCGTCGTAGATAAAGTATAGTATACAACTCGTTTTATAAACTTATTTAGACACTCGTTTTTATTAAACACTTGCTCGCAAGCACTAAACTTGATACATAATATATTTCTAGCTCGTGTAATATTAAAATGAAATAGATCAAAAAATTAAAACCTCATTTTTACCATTAAATATATTTTTTATTAAGTAGTATTAGCATAATGGTTTCCTGTATACCCTGAGGCGGTTATTTATAATTACAAAAATATTTTCTGTATAACTGATACAGTTTAGTTGCCCTTGTTATATTTTAAAATCAGAATTGATGTCGACCTCTTTAAATCCAGCATGCCATGTACCACAATATTTTTAAAAACAGTTGCAAGGTAATGCACTAACCTTACCTTACTTATTAAAAATTATAATTATTACAATTTATTTATTCCACGCTATACCAGTTATTTGTTATTCATTAATATTTATGATTCATTTGAAAAAGTTGTAGGAAAATTTAATTAATTTTCTAGTAATGTATTTATTAATAAATCTTATAAATGGTGTGTAAAATTATTCTACTTAATAAATATGAATGGATATTTTTGAAATTTGATGTTTTTTTATCGCGGAGACACATTTACAATACATTTAAAGCATACGAAAAAAACTCGAATTCGAAAATTTATTTTAATCATTATGTACAATTTCATCAAAAAAATGTGATTGTTGCAATTTTTTTTAGTTAAAAAGTTTATTTATTAAATTCTAATAACATTTGTGTCAGAAAATCTCATAAAATATAAAAATACATGTAAATCATACTATTGAATTTAGATACTTCATTCTGATTACGTTATTCATTATAATATTTTTTGTATTTTCTGAGAACATTTACCATAGTAATGTATATTTTTTTACACCATCAGAAAGTAGAGAGTTCATCGAACAAAAAGCACACCGACTTTTTGAAAAAAGCTGATATTTTGACGCGAGAATTTTCGATTGAAAATTAGGGTGCTTTTTTGATATTAAGTCAAAATAAGGCGAAATAATAAATATTTCAAATCAAATAAATAACAGTGTATTTGGGACATAAAAAGGTAAGTTTTCACCAAATTTCGTGGAAATTTTTTTTTTTTAAAAAGATAATAAAAAACCAAAAACTTGGTTTTTTGAATTTTTCACATAAATTTTGAGGTTATGTGAAAAAATTGTAAATACAAAAGTTGTAGATCTTTTTATTGCCTACAACTTTGACATTTAACTTTTTTCCATAGGACTTGTAGTTTTGCCGGAAATCGAGATAAACCATTTTTTACCCTTAGTATACATTTTACAAAAAAATGTTTAAGATAAAAATTAAATGATTCGAGGGGGGAAATCAATCAGTACTAAAATTGGTCCTCATACTCTCCTCCTTATAGGGGGGACAGGGGGTAACTTTAAAATTTCCAATGGAACACCCTATTTTTATTGCAGATTCGGATCATTCGACTAAAAATAGGTAGATTTTGTCTAAAACTTTTTTCATATTTGTAATAGATGGCGCTGTAATGAAAAAAAATCAATTTTGTTCGATTTTTCTTCTTTTACGATTCTTCAATACATTTTTTTTTATAAAAATATCACTTTTTTGGTAATAATTATCTTATTAAATTAAATCTGATTTTTGTAACTAATATTTAAGTTTCCTTTGGTTTAAGTTTAAAAATACCATCCAAACCAGTTTTTTTTTCTTTTTTTTACTATCCAAACCAGTTTTTTTTCTTTAAGACAAACAGCCAAATAATAGTCTTGTCAACATTGAGGAGACCACAAAGACAAATTTAATGGTTATGCCTTTTTCATAAGCAGTGGTTCATGGCTGCCGTGCCCACCTTTCATTGACTTTAATCGTTGTAACTACAAATATTTAATTTAATTCAGAGAAAAATCTCACACCATAACGAATAACACGATAATGAGAAGGTTATTGCTCATTGCATTCATTTCTGAACATCTGAAAATTTTTTGTAAATAGTTAAATAAATAAAGGGTGTTATGTAATTAATGTTATATATTAAAATGGGTTGTTCCTTATGGTCCATAAAGAAGCACCTGAAACTTTTTTTTTTCTAAATTCCAAAGTCTAAAAATAATTTATAATAACCTTTATCCTACCAAAAAGTACGCCACTGATCGACTAGGAACTTTAGGTTAATCTGGTGGATTTATTATGTTATGGTTGGTAACCACTGTTTCCAAAATCTCTCAAAAAAGTTGACAAACATTGTTTAAATTTAGCTTAATTACAAAAATGACAAAATTAACAATGCAAATTGTCAATTTGGCGTTTTTATTAATTGTTGGTTATTTCATTTTTGTACTGAAGGTAAATTCAAACAAAATCTGCCAACTTTTATGACAGAATCTAGTGCATTTCTTTTAAATTTTAGGTTATGTTTTCAAATTGTAAATATCTTAACTAAGGGAAGTGCTTTTGGATTTATTTACACAAATTAAATGTTTAAAGTTTAACCTGTGAACTGGTCCCAATTTCATCTGAGTAAACAGAGAAAAAAACTGATGAAAAAATTAATTTTGTGGTTATGGATTTCAAATTTCAAAGGTACTAAATTTTCTAATCATTGCTTAAGCTAATAGCTGGATCAGTAAATAAATACAGAAGGGTATTAGAGCTTTAAGGGCATAAAACTTTTGTATTGATTGAGTTGTTATTTTTTGCAAGAAAAATTTTTAGTAACAATTTTTTACATCTGGTAACGCATAGCTACTTTGTTGGTTGGTATCCATGTACTCACAAAATACAGGTGTGCAGAGATAAACAAGTGTGTAACCAGTGGCGTATCACAAAAAATATAAAAAACTTCTAATGCATATTTTTTCTTTATCTTTGGAAAAATGTTTTTTTAAATATTTTTCCTTTATTCCTTATGTCAAAAGGTATTCAGTATTTTAATATATAACATTAATTACATAACACCCTGTATTTTCCTTTCAACTTCAAAAATCGTACGGTTTTTTGGGAAATTTCTACTCAATAATTATTATAGTTGACAAAACTAGTTTTTGACAAATAATTTAATTTGTTTGTTAAAAAAACAAATGTTCCGCATACATAAAAATATACATGTATAATTCGGATCAAATAAAAATTGGTCGACAATTTTATCATTAATCACTAAGTAAGTATACTCTTAAAATAAACAATAATTTTCAAATTTAGTTTTATTTCACAAAAAGGGCACTTTATTTTAACGATTGTATGACATTTGGCAACTGTCAACTAACTTATAGCTAACTTCGGGCAGTTACAATAATGGCGAATTCGCCGGGATTAATGACTATCTCGTTGTTGCATAAATATTTCAAGTAAATAATTCAATATAATACCCAAATATGCTTGGATAATTAAATAATCTATAACATAATATTTTTCGAAAGTCTTCAAAAACCCATATTAGGACGAGTTTCTCATTCCACATCAAATATAGATAAATACTTTGGAAAAAATAAAAATTCTTTGTTTAAATTTACTTCGAGGATTAACTAGATAAATTTACGTCTCACTTTTATTTTGTATAAAATTTATTGAAGTCATAAATTAAAAAGATTACAGTTTTCATAAAAATGTAGCATATGTCATAAACACATTGAAGTGAGGTTTACATTTTTAAGCCATTAAAATATTTATGTACAATTTCGCAATTTTTTACGTGAAATTATTCTTCAATGGGTATTTTTTTTATTTAAAGAGCTACAAAGTCGGTTAAATTAAAAAAAAAGTTGCATTATTACAAGCCTTGTAAAAGGAATTTTATAAATTGGGAAAAAACAGCGTTTCTCGAAATATTTGGAAAAAACTGAAAACCTGTCAAAACCAAAAAATCGTTGTAGCTAAAGTTAGCTTTAAGTTAAAATTGAAAAAAAGTGAGGTTAAAAATGCTTGACAGCTGTCAGATGTCAGATAAAATATACTATTATTCAACCAATTTCATTTTTTAACTTCAACTTAAGTTTGATTTAAAATTGGAAAAAAGTAAAGTTAAAACTGCTTGACAGCATTTAAAACATTTATTCGTCATATTAATTAATATTTATATTACAACATTTATATAAATTAATTATTCAGAAAAAAGGCTTTAAAAATCCCTCATATTTAGAGTCCGGTATCCTAACCACTAGACCATACGGGATTTGCTTTATATTAAACAAAACTTATTAATCTTTATAACGCTTACCTTTATCAAAAAAAAAAAACTATAGAAAACTTCCACAACTTCCAAAGATTCAGATTTTTAAATTAGTTGTTAACCGAAGCCCTGACCACTTAAAAAAAAAAACAGAAAAAATCCTAAAAAAGTGTGAAAAATCATAATTTTTTTCAAACAAGGTTTTTTCTTACTTTTTTACTCTTCCGAAGGATTCTGATTTTTAAATTAATTTTATCCATTTTGTGTTCATAATAATTCTTTATTATAACACCGAATTCGGTGCTGTAATGAGATACTTTATCCCACCCAAAATTTTGATTTTATAGGTTGGCTATACTTTAAACAGCATAATATTTTGCATATTGGTAATAATATTTTTATGATTTTTCTAGTACTTACGAGACTTTTCTGGCAATAAATTTTTTTCAACAGAAAAGAAAATTATTTTTTTCTTCTTTAACATTAACAGCCGCTTATTGTAAATAAGTAAATTAAGGACGGCATGGCGAATCGATTTTGACATTAACTGTCAAACCAATGACTGTGATACCAACTATCTAAAGTAAAATTCGACCAAATTAAATTTAAGGTATAAAATTAATTTTTTTTATAGAATTTTTGACTTTTGTGATTTTTAAATTAATTTTTAACCTGAGCCCCGACCACTTTTAAAAAAACAGAAAAAATCCTAATTTTTCAACAAAAATATTTGTAGCACTCATTTCAAGTTATTTTTTTTTTCAAAATTTTTTAATTTTTGACCTGAGATATCTTTTGAATGGATATGTTTGCGAAAAAAACATAAGAAATCTTTTTTGTAGAGCATTTAATGTCCCATCAAAATTTTTATTGGGGTTAGCTTTATATTCATTTGTTAGTAAGATATATTTTTTTTCATAGACTAATGTAGATAGGTCCTTTTGAGATTCCGAAAAACAATTTTTTATATTAAAAGTAAAAAAGTAGTTTTTTTAAATCACCCTAAAATATACAAGTATTTAATAAACAGAAATGTTTTGTAATTTTATAGCATTTTATATACAAAACATTATTTTTTTATGTTAATTTGTTGTTTGTTTTAAGTAATATTAAGTATGTAGATATTGTAAAATATTATGCATTGCTCAACAAATAAAAACAAGATTTTTGACATTATTTAAAAAATCCTCACAACACAAGATTTCTAAAATTTCATACCCACACCTACACACAGATTTTACATCACAACACAAACAAGCCGAATAAAAATTTAAACAAACAATGCATACAGATTAAACCGTATTAAATATTGTACTTACTCTTGACAACATCTGCACATTATTGTTAATGGAATCAAATAATGAATCCGCACATGACTCGTTTTTAATGGTTCATTATCGTCGAGATATTTTAATTGTCACGTCAGATAAAGTTGATAGCATTCCTTGCACCTAGAACAATTAAATTTTGTTTTATTTTAGAAACTACGCAGCCAAAATCCTAAAGCAAGTCATTCATGTTTTTTTTATACATACACCTTTATTTAAAACATGTTTCCATGATACTAAGTGACCTTTTAAACACATTGACAAGTTGTGGCTTTATGGCGTTTTAGTCAAGGGCTGAAGTTAGCTTTAAGTTAGTTGACAGTTGTCAAATGTCAAACAATAGTTAAAATACGTAGAAAAACGACAAATACTAATTATACTTTAAATTCTGTTAAATACGGCATATATACCTTTACAAATTTGCTTCTTATGGATAACACTTTTTACTCAAGTTAATCATTGACAACGCTGTGACATAGAAGGACTTGGCTAACCCCAAACATATTTTTTAATACGTTTGCATAAAGAAATAATAAATTTGGTTTCACTGTAGGGTACATACGATTTTACACTAAATAATAATAATTTTTTAAATATCTTATCTAGCATTGTTTTCAATTTTTATCATTGTGAATCATGACCCATTTTAGATACGTAGGTATATCTACGTTATAATTTGTAGTAAGTTCCATCTTATTACCCTGATAGCACAGTTTATTCTAAGAATGTTTTTTAAACCTTCCAGTGGGAATATTCTTAGGATCATGCTATATTTCTTCCAGTCATGTTCTAAGAATGTTTTTTAAACCTTCCAGTGAGAATATTCTTGAATCATGCTATATTTCTTCTAGTCATGTTCTAAGAAATTTTTTTATACCTTCCAGTGAGAATATTCTTAGGATCATGCTATATTAAATATAGCATGATCCTAAGAATATTCTCACTGGCCTATAGGCAGGTTCTTAGAAGGTGCAAAGTTTAGAGGTAAAAATTAATCCACTCTAAACATATGCTTAGAATGTTGAGAAAGTAATTGCTATAGAAAGTTCATTAAGGAATATTCCTGGAACATTCTGTTAAGCATATTCAGTTCAGTTAGGTACCTATATAATAGTAAAATATACCATAATCTACGTATAAAGGTACCTTACTTAGTATTAAATACTAAGTAAAAAACACAACCCAAAATATTTTTTTATAGTTATTTGTCAAATTAAAACAATATTCGATAACAAAAATACTTTTACTATAGGTATCTAAATTATTCGGCTTTTACATAAAATCTTCTATCCAACTTAAATACAATGAAAAATGAAGAACTATTTGGTTTTTTCTTTTATGAAGAATTATTTTATAAGGAAATATTTTGTTTTTTTATATTTTATTTTATGTTAAAAATAAATATTTATTAATTTGTATACCGATTTTTTATATCTGAATTAACATTTTTATGTATAATATTCCTAACTATCTTCAACTTCAATCTAATATGACTTATCCCACAAAATTTTCCAATTTTACTTTTTATAAAATAATGTCATACAACTTATGGTTTAAAGGTCAAATTGTTTATTTAATATTTTTAAATAAATAGGTCGCAAATTTTTTTAAGGGGACAACAAATACATTTCACTATCATTTTATGACAGTAGACCGTAGTAGACAGTAGATCTGACAGTAGAAACTTTACCCGATTAGTATGAATTATTTTTACATCCTAGGAGGTTTTTTGATTGGAATAAACTATGAGTGATGCGTAAGAAATTTAAATTCTTATTTTATAAATCAAACTTTAAATGTTTATAATTATCTTGTTTTTAGCAATTTAATAACAAAAATGCAGTAACAAATTAAAACTTTGTTTGTTATAAAATTTGATATGGGATAGTCGTTAAGCTATATTTAAGTTTTTATTATTTGGTTTAAAACTATAAAACTAAATTTTCTTAGAACAAAAACCAAAAATTTGCTTCATGATAATATTGAAAAATGATTTTCCTAACCATGGTCATTAATCTAAAATAAGTATTGAAGTCATTTAAAAAAAACTTTTTAAACAACAGAAAATAAAACTAAATCTCATGTAGTTTGTTTTATTTTTAATTATTTTTAAGCTATAAATAAACCTTACCAATAAAATTTATTTTTGTTTTCATTCATGGAGTTATTGGCATTAGTCAATAAAATATTTTGTACGGAATACAAATTTTATTTTTTAATTCTCCTTACCTATATAGTGTAGATACAATTATCTTTTTTTATTAACGACTATAATAGTATATTATGTATCAAGTTTGCAAGCGCGTGTTTAATAAAAACCAGTGTCTACTAGGAATATAAACGAGTTGCATACTATACTTTATCTACGACGAACACAAAACAGAATTTAATACCAATATTATTTATTTGTTAAAATTTGACATCTGTCAACTGTTATATTTAACTTCAATTTTTCCCAATTTATAAAAAATCCAACTTGCCATTGCCATTGTTTATAACTTCAGCCCGTTACTAAAACTCCATAAAGTCACATGTATGACTCGATAAAAAAATTATTTGAGTTTTAAATTATATGTAGTAACATATTTTAGTTAATATGCGATAATTAAAGCGTGGTAACAAATGTATTAAACTATGTAAATAGAAATATATATATTGAAAATTTGATATTTGTGGTTAAAATAGTGGAATCAAGTTAACAATGTAATATTGATATAAGTTTTTCAAAGTAAAATTTAAAAAATCGTTAAAATTTAAAAACAAAAAACTGCAAATGAAATAATAAATATAATTATAATTATAATAAATATAATTATATTATAATTAATTTATTTAATATTGTAATATGTCATTATTTTATTAATTATTAACTAATGTAATTTCCTGAAAAAGTTTTTACGTAAATAAAGTCTATAAAATATAGCCTTAATAGACTTGATTAAAAAAAAATAAAAACAAAAATACTGCAGTAAAAATTATAATTACTTCGTCACTGTGCTTTATTTCAAAAGTATTATGGTAGCACCACGGTCAACGAGAGTTCTCAAGGCTACCTGGCACTAATGAGGGCCAAAAGTGTGATTGGCATTTTCGCATTGGTGGACACTACTCCTCTAGTTAAAAAACCATGTTGCCATTTAATAATAATACTGGTTTTTGATAATTTTTTGCAAAATATTTTAAATAATAATTAATAATAAATAATTTTTTTCTCTAAAAATATATTATTCTTTAATTATGTTTACCGAGGGGTAAACCACTTTAAAATCTTAGAGACAACCGTTCAATGTTAGTGGGCGTTGTGTTGAGATTTTTTTCCTTATCAGTCGTTATCAATAAGGAAAACTTAATCGGTGCTTAATCAGTGCTTAGCGACGCGTTGTACATGACTACTAATTTTAAAAAATCAGTGGTTTACCCCTCGATGTTTACTTATACAACAAAAATATTTAAAACTAGACGCCTTTTAGCGCAAATGCATTAAGAAAGTGTTTATAAGTACAGTAAGGCTCGTACAAAATACAAGATTTAAATATTCCTTACGTGTATGTCCTTCATTATCAGATGTATAATTAGCTTTGGTTTTAAAATAATTGCAATTATGTCTGCATAATTTAAAGAAGCATTAGTGCATTTAATGTACCTTCCTTTTCCTAGAATTACTGTTGTTGAGTTTTAAGTTTTTTTAAATAAAAACAAAGTTATGATGATTTAAAGTAACAATAGAATATATTATATATATATATATATATATATATATATATAGAATATATTATATTCTATATATAGTATTTTATGTATCAAGCCTGATAAACCATTTTAGTAATAAATTTAGAAAAGATGATAAACTACATAGTTGCATACTATACTTTTTCTAATACAAATACTTATTATTATCTAAAAATAATTTAAATTAAATATTTGTTTAATGCGACATCTATAGGAAAATACAGTTACCATCCCAATAAAATATTTGGCGTATTTTTCACCATTAACATTGCCCGTTATTATTTTAATTAAACTTTAAAATATTAAAATAACTTCAAATTATAATTATGTTAAAAATAGTATATTATTTATCAAGTTTGATAAACGCCATTTTATACTTAATTATAATTAATGAGTGAATAGAAAAGTTTATAAACGAGGTGCCTACTATAGTAGTATATATACTTTTTCTACGACAAATACTTATTATCTTAAAATGATTTAAATCAAAACTTTGTATAGAGCGCCATCTATGAAATAATAGGGTAATCTGTGTGTCACCGTCAAATGTCAAATTTATATATTTTATAAACACAATTATAAAGGTTATAAATCGAAATGTATTTCTTGAAAATTGACAGTTTTTCACAGTGAAAGTAAAGAAAATGTTTTATGAGCACTTTACAGTGGAGTCCGTGCCCGAATTTTAGTTATGGTTTACTGCCGGCGAAATTAAAAGGTCTGTACAATCTTCATATAAATATGACATTTGACAACTGTCAACTAACTTAAAACTAACTTCAGTCCGTGACTAAAAACCTGTTGCTAACTTCAGCCCGTGACTAAAGTGCCATAAAGCCATAACTTGTCAATGTGTATTTAAAGGTCACTTAGTGTCATGAAAATATGTACCATAATGGGCGTTTTAAATGGAAGTAGAAAAAAGTAATTAATATTAGTTTAATGAAACATTATTGTAAAAATATCAACTTTCAATTTATTTATTTTTAATGCATATATAATTCCTTTCTTTATTAATAGGTACCTGAAAATGGGAATTTGCTTAATTTAGGAAAATTTATTATTGGATTACGTACCAAGATTTAAGTGATCTTTTAAATACAAGCTGTGTCTTTAGCAACAGTGGCTTTTGGGTTTTTAAGTCACGGGCTGAAGTTAGATTTAAGTCAAATGTTACAGAAACGTCAAAGTAAAGTTTCTTGACGCCAATATTTGAAAAGTTTATACTGACCTTGTAACTTCGTCGGCAGTAAACTAGTATTTGCCGATTAAGCATTATTCAAGTAACAAACTTTTACAGTAAAATTTGACTTATTTTATCCCCCAAGTGAAAATGATAATTTTTTATTTTTGGTTCTTTCATTGTTAGTCTAGAATGGGGTTTTTGGGAAGCCACCAGGTCTAGTAATAACATAACATAAGTGGTTCTGCACTAATGCAAGAATTTTAAGAAATCATACATTTTGAATATTAGAGCTTCACGGAAGATAGCTTCACGGAGGTTAGGATTTCGTATGTTTTTTTAACATCCCTTTGTATATTTGAAATAAGTTATTGTATCTTTTGACACCTTAATGTTTTTTAAAAATACAATTGTACATACACAAAATATTTATAAAAAAATCTACTTTCTGAGATATTACACTTCACGGTGGATAGGTTTTTAAATAGCAAATTAATAAACTTAAACTTTTGAATTATAAAACAGCAACACTCTCATCTGCATATAAAATCACATGCATCTATAATGTCGTAAACAGAGGTTTTTGCTTATTTAAAATAATTAAAGCGCCATCCGTTGAATAAAATTTAAAGCAAAAACAGATTCACGGAGGATAGAATCACCTACATAAATAATTATAAAAATTATTTCTTTTAATTTTTAATAATATTTTATATTTGATTCGATTGCTTTGGATGTGTTTAATTTACTTAGTGAACTGATATTTTTAGTATGCTTTTGCTACCTCAGATATTTGAAAACATATAGGTTAACCTAGAAAGAGTAACAGTCACGGAGGATAGGTTTTAGACTTTTAAAACATTGTAAAAAATAATTAATTGCGGTTAAAAATCTGGAACCTGCGCTGTATATCTACTTAATTATGAAAGATCAAAACACAATAAAAGTGTAGGTCAAACTTATTTAGTTTTATTAAATATCCATTTTTCGTGAGATTCACCCAAATATACTTCGTCATCAATATAAAGAGATAAAATAATGACAATAAGATTTCCTTATGGTATAATTTTGCATATTTAAATATTTAAGTATTTATTTAATAATAATTTTAATATTTTCATGGGAAATAAATATAATAATAACGTTATGTAACAAATTTACATAAATATTTACTGATTTTAATGGTATAAAGTTCATTATCGATTTTTAAACTTTTTTTGGAAATTTTTAAATACCTACTTTTAAATTTTACGAAAATACAATAAGTGATAAAAATGTTAACACATTGTAAATTTATGTCTGTTTTATTATTATTCAAGGATTTTTTTAGTCTATACACATCAAAACTGATAATTTACCACATATTGCATTATGCATACAATAATTTTAATTATTGTATTAATCATTGCAATAATTAATAAAAAATGTGGATTAACATTTATTTTATTATTCACCGATATTTAAAATTTACACCAAAGCCAACATTTTTATATCATTTTAATAACTTAATTTAAATTAATATTTTTCGTATAGTTTAATATTATAAATACAGCTGTGATTTTTGACATAAATTAGTAGTAAATGATTTTTGACATAAATTAGTAGGAAATAAAGGACACTTTAACAATACGAAAAAAAATATGTTTTTACTTACATTTAACCATAAAAATCCAAAATCCTTCAACAAACACCACTATAAAACTTAAGGCGAGTAAATCAAGTGACCGGCGAGGTATCACAGCCAACTTCGAGCACATGCACGACCGCTCGTTAACGAACTATGGTCGGAAATTCGCAGTAGGCTGGCAGCAGCTACGAAATTAACAAAAGAAGGTAGGAACAGGTAACTAGAATAAAAAAGAGGACTGACGGCTGGGACCAGAGTGACGAGAGGTTAGCGTCTCCGTTTATTTTCGACATTGAACTTATTTTCCCTTCACCGACTGCCGCTTCAAATTCGTTACATTTTAATGGCCATGGCCAGCAGTATGCCAAAGAATTTTAACGGTCTTTAGTTCACTACCTGGTGGACAAATTACAGGTAGTTGTAATTTTATTGATAAAAATTATTTTATCAAGAAATTTTATATTGTTTTTCACACATTTTTATATTATTTATCACACATTGTATATACTTTTTTTGACACATCATTATAAAGGAAATTCAAATTAGGTTCTATTAAAGTTAAAATAATTAAAATCTGATCACGGATTTACACTTGTTTTCCAACTTTGGAGACAAAAAAGGTGTCATATAAAAAAAACAAAGCAAAAAATCAAGTGGCGTTGAATCTGGAGTTATTGCCGGCCATTCTTGAGCACCCCTTCTACACATCCATTTTTCGGGAAACCTTTGGTCCAAGCATTCTCTGACTGGTAAAGAATAGTGAGAAAGTATTAAGTGGGTCTTTTTAAGAAAATGGGGGTTTTGGAAAGCCCCCAGGTCTAGTAATAACATAACATAAGTGGTTCTGCACTAATGCAAGAATTTAAAAAAAATCATTTATTTTGAATATTAGAGCTTCACGGAGGTTAGGATTTCGTATGTTTTTTTAAAATATCCCTTTGTATATTTGAAATAAGTTATTGTATCTTTTGAAACCTTAATATTTTTTAAAAATACAATTGTACATACATAAAATATTTATAAAAAAATCTACTTACTGAGATATTACACTTCACGGTGGATAGGTTTTTAAATAGCAAATTAATGAACTTAAACTTTTGAATTATAAAACAGCAACACTCTCATCTGCATATAAATTCTAACTGACCTTCAGGAATCACATGCATCTATAATGTCGTAACCAGAGGTTTTTGCTTATTTAAAATGATTAAAGCGCCATCCGTTGCATAAAATTTAAAGCAAAAACAGATTCACGGAGGATAGAATCAATTTTTGTAACACCTACATACCTAAATGGTTATAAAAATTATTTCTTTTAATTTTTAATAATATTTTATATTTGAATCGATTGCTTTGGATGTGTTTAATTTACTTAGTGAACTGATATTTTTAGTATGCTTTGATACTCAGATATTAGAAACCATATAGGTTAACAGTCACGGAGGATAGGTTTTAGACTTTTAAAACATTGTAAAAAATAATTAATTGCGGTTAAAAATCTGAAACCTGGGCTGTAATATCTACTTAATAATGAAAGATCAAAACACAATAAAAGTGTAGGTCAAACTCATTTAGTTTTATTAAATATCAGGGGGTAACACCAACGGGTGACATTTGTTGAGATTCTGATAGTTAGGTAGTTTGATATATCAATACAAACATTTTAACTGAAACGTGTAACAACTCTGTTAAAGGTAAATTAAAACATGGCAAATAAAACACTGTGTTTAACACTGGATTTGTACTCGATATCTAAATCGACCTATTTTTCCTCAAGATCATATTTACTATAACTCAAAATTTATTAATATATAGTATTAAATTAAATTCCTGTATATGTATATTAGGGTGCTTTATTTTTATTTTTCATTTTCGAGTAGAACGGCAATTTAAAGAACATACTCAACTTACAGCCATTTTTGAAGATAATTTCATCCTGTATAAAGATTTTAGAACCAAAATTCGAAAAAAATATTCTTACTGTACTGTTTAATGGTTTTTAAAGGGAAATATTTATAAATTGAATAGAACGGCTTAAAATAAAGATTAAGAGCTTTGTTATGGCTCAAATTTTTTGTTTTCTGACTGGTTACAAGATTTTCAGGTGGGACTCTTATATAATTTACACAGCCTTGAGAAGGAATGTACATTAGTAATAATTTACGTATAATTTTATTGTACCTAATCCGTGGATAAAACCTCGTCTTGGCTAATTTATTTTCTCCAAAGGTAAAATCATTTTACTATGGAATTTCGAATATATTAACATTAATTAAATTGATTGTTATAACAATATATACAAGTATGCAGAGGCGGCGAATTGAAAAAAAAATAAACAACAATTTTACAATTAAACATATTAGTAAAACCTCCAGTAGCACAAAATATTGTTCCTATATGGGGCCCGTCTATGCCCAATATTTTATCTGGGGCCAATATTGGATTTATTTAGCCGATGTTAGCCATATATTGGCATAAAATGATGATTTAATATATCTTGCCAATGCATTGCAATGTTTATCCAAGGTTGGTCCTATAATGGCATATTATTTTACGCCAATATATCATTAACTATAGTCAACGTTGCTTTCGGATTTGTAAAAGTGATATGTAACAACACACGTTTATTTCCAGGATATGTATGAGTGAAAATAATAAAGGCCATTCTTGCATATTACCGTTAGAATAACAAGGGTAATATGTGATTTCTTGTCTTATTAGCAATAAAATTCGTTATTACCTTAATAAAGCTCAAAATGATCATTTTAGCACACGATACAAACAATTTTAGCATTTTATCGTAATTAAGAATAACATAGACGGTACACGACTTGTCCTATTGGTAGATTTTTTCAAAAAATTTGGAGGGCACATTTTATATCAATCTTTGAATTTTGACCTGATACAGCTAAACCAAGCACGGATTTGTAATCTACGACCAAAAATTAAGTTTACGTGTCCGAGCGTTTAGCTGTGATATTTTCACCTCCCTACAGTGTAATCTGTGTATACAAAAGAAAAGTACCTATAAAAACTACTGAGTTAATCATGTATGTATAAAATTATACATGTTTACAAATTAAGAATACGAAACAAATGTATTACAGGTTTACTATATTAACTTACAAAGGTTCGTGACTAGTTTTAATAACATCTTGAATAGAAATGCTAAGTATAGGGAATAATTTATAAACAAGCTGTTGTTTTCTTTAATTAAATGCGAAATTTTATCCAGAGTTTGGAAGTGGAATATTACTTATTTAAAAACATAAAATTATAACATTATTATATATATAGTTTTTGTAATATTATTACTTATTAGATGCAAAATATTTAATACTAATGAATCAGGATGTATAAAAATTTTATTGTAAGTATATTTTGTATTTCTTAAAAAAAAACTTATAATAATAACTTTGACACTCGAAACTTAATTGCTTGTATTTATTATGCTATTGTGGATATATTGGATTCTGTAATTGCACTATTTTGAGATGATGGTGTGGTATTGTTTGGATATGGTGTGGTGGTATGTGTAGGCACCAAAGTGTTACTTGTATTGATTGTGTTGGCCCTCATGTCCCTTATAATATCTTCATATTTTGGTGGCAAATCCAACTCTAAAAAATAAATTGTTGTTAACTAGATAGAATCTACAATAAATAAAAATATTATTAATTGTGTGAGCGGAAGATTTATTATTACTTCTAGATATCTGTCTGTTTCCGGATACCCTTGATCATAGCAAATGACAACCGAAGAGCCTAAAGAGTCTTCAGTGAAGACACTGAGCTATATATAGCTATAGCTAGAATAAGAACAGTACAAGTCCTAGACTTGTACTGTTCTTATTTCCAATAAATGTTGTTGTTGATTATGGACATTATACCTACCTAGTATACCTACTAAAAGTTTAAGGTGGTCATGCTCATGAAAGCTGTCAGTTGGTATTTTATGCTGCTTAGTGTAAAATACAACAATGTTATCATCTGATAGTAGCGAAAATGACATAAGACGTAGGAAAAATCCAGAACGATGAAAAATTAATAATAGAAAGTTTGCAAGTCAGCGTGGTGAGTTTAATTTCGCGGATTCGGAGGGTCCGGTTGTCATAAAATTTTCTTTATTATGTTGGTATACATGCCCCCGAAGTATGATAAAAACTTTAGCTGTTTTCATTGTTTACTTTGTCTGTGGCAGCCGCTAAGGTTAGACGTGTTTTATGAGCTCGGCGATTTTTCTTTCGTTAAAAGAAATGGATTAAAGAATTTGTATCCAATTTTGCCTAAAAAATAAAATAAATTCTGTGAAATGTTAACAAAGGCCTATAGTGAGTCTGCTATAAGTAAAACAAGAGTTTACAAGTGGTATAAGAGTTTCCAAGATGGCCGTGAAGACGTTGAAGATGACGAACGCCCCGAACGCACAAGCACATTAACAACCGATAAAAACATGGAAAAAGTGGAACAAATGGTTATAACCCAGAAGTCGCTGATGATGTTGGCATATAGATTGGCTCATCCCATGAAATTTTTTCGAATATTTTGGGTATGAAACGCGTGGCAGCAAAATTTGTTCTAAAATTGTTAAATTTTAAACAAAATTTTTGGTCAAAAACAATACTGTAATGATGCCCCAGCCTCCATATTCGCCAGACATGCCTCTGTCTGACTTTCCTATTCCCAAAAATAAAGAGAACCTTAAAGGGCCGTCGTTTTGCAAGCATAGACGACATTAAAAGCGCATCGCTGAAAGAACTAAAGGCTATCCCAAAGATCGAGTTTTAGAAGTGTTTCGAGTATTGGAAGAAGATCTGGCACATGTGCATAATATCCAATGGGGACTATTTTGAAGGCGACAACATTGATGTAGACGAATAAATAAATATTTGTTTCAAAAAACGAAAATTCCCGATATTTTCTGAACACACCTCGTATTTGATATAATATTTAGGTAAAAGCCAAAAGTCAAATGTGTTACTTGGGTAGATAGGTACTTGTTTTTTTTAACAAATTAAAATTTTTTATTCTTGCGTTTAGACTCTAAACTTTATATTAATAAAACTTGGGAAAATAAATGATTTGATAATGGAATAAATATTTGTTCTATTTCCTCATGCAAGTATGCAAATATTTTTTGGATTTCTCAACAAGTATTTATTTTGTTAATTCTTATTATAACGCTTTTACTTACGAGAGTATGGTGGAGGCGCGTTTGGATATATACCATTCTCTCCCAGAAATGATGGATTATGCCAATCAACCATTGAAGAAATCGTTGACCTTTGATCTCTTCTGGACCTTGCTGCATAAAAATTAACTAAAATGTAATTTAACCTTACTTATATAGAAAAAAAATTAAGTTGGAATCCCTACTGAAATCATGCGTGCATAAATATTTTCATCTATTAAATTCATCCCTATTAAATTTTAAGGTACTAATGTATACCACATAGTTATTGGACTCTTAAGGATAGTTTGTTTGTTTAAACTATATTTGCGTTAACTTAAAAATAAGAATATTTAAATTTTTAATAATAGTTTTATAAAAACATGCAAAAAAGTATAGTAATTGGACATTTTATATAATAATTGGACAAATGGATAATAGTTATTGGACATAACTACTAATTCCTTGGTCTGACTTCTGAAATAGTTTGTTGCAAATATCATTAAGTGTGGTATCTCTAGTTTGTGAAGCATTTATAATGTTTAGGCCGGAACAGGATGATTTATATATATCTAATATTTTTACGGGTGGTATGTTAAAAGTATTTTCCGAATTTATTAATTTTGTTGCCATTACTTTTATGTTTATTTAAATCACTGTTATTCTGCAAGATGTCTTGTGACGAAGAAATCACTATATTACTTACTCTCTAAAAATGAATTAGTCAAATATGTCATAGCGAAAAAGCAGCCACTAATAATTCTCGTCAACAGCAATTTGTATCCAGGACATTTAGCAGTCAATTCCTATGAAATATTATTCGCTGAATTAGAAAATGTCGTCAAAAGTTATAAAAGTAGAACAGTTTTTGAAATATAATCAATTTTACCTATAATATGATATTGATAATATTGACTATATCTCAAAAACTGCTTAACTTTTATAGTTTTTGATTGTCTTTTCGGATTCAGGATACAATTTTAGAATTAGCTGGTAAATGTCCGGGATACAAATAGAGTATGATATTGGACATATGTCCAATAATAGAAATTTACATTTTTTACCAACCAGTAATTGGACAATGGCCATTTTACTGTTTGTTTAGAGAATTAAAATTAAAACGCATTAAAGTGACAATGTTTAAACAATGAGGAACACATTTATACCACACACTGATCTGTACACTTTTTAGAAATATTTTTTATGGTAATTTAAACACAGCCTTGCTCTTAACAAAAAAATAAAAAGCTTACCAGCAAAGTAACGTGCAAACTTTTTTGTCCTATATTGGACTCAAAATAAAGTAGTTCTATATTATTACCGACTAGATAGTTATAATTGTATACAGCGTCATCTAATGATTTGACTTTAAGGTAACTATTTATAGAACTCTTGTTTTTACAGTATTAATGTCAATTGTCCAATAACTATAAAGTGTCCGATAACTGTCTACTTTACCCTACAAACGTGGATTCTTAGAATGCAGGGAAAAAAAAGAAAAAAACTATTTTCCTGTGTTGGGAAGAGGAATGTTGTGATACATCTTTTGAAAGGGCATTATTTTTTTTTAAATGGCGCCTCGGTTTTTAAATTTGTGCCGCTGGTTGACGAAAAATTTAATAGTTATTTATGTATTAAGGGCATAATAAGGTTTTTATGGTCCGAGGCGCTATTTCGAGCCCGAGCGCGTTAGCGCGAGGGCCAGAAAAGTGCCGTAGGACCATAAAAACCAGTTATGCCAGCAATGCATACAAAACTTTATGCACGATTAATATACCTATTAATATTTTTAATATATTAATGTTTTTAAAGACGTTTACGTCAAAGAATTTTTGTTATAATTGTCATATTATAATGTCAACTGACCTCAGTCAGTTTTAAAGTTTAAAGATGAATGAAATTGAGGAAGCAGCTGAAAAGGCGAAAAATTGCGGCCTGCTGCCGGAAAAATCAAAATCTTTATACGAAAAAACTTACTTCGAATATATCAAATGGTGTAACATTGTTGTTTTTAATGTTTTTAATTTTTGACGTTTCATTATAGCCCGCTGGGTCATAATAACGCCTGCGGGCTATAAAAAGACGTTTACGTCAATGAATTTTTGTTATAATTGTCATATTATAATGTCATCGTGCATAAATAAATTTTATTGATTAGTATAGCGCCATTTTAAAGAAAATTTAATGTATTTTTAATAATAGTTATTTATGTCATTAGGTTAAGAAGTAAGGCTTTTTATGCTAAGCTCAAGGTTTGAAGGCCGACGCGTAGCGGAGGCCTACAATTGAGCGAATCACAAAAAGGCACTTCTTGGCCGAATGGCATACATCATTTTATCTTCAAAGCACTTTATATAGGTCAATTTAATTCAACATCAAAGCGGCCTAACCTCACTTTTTTAGAATCTCATTTATTTCTTAGCCAAAGATTACATTAAATGTACAATAATTATTATTGCCTTTAGAAGCAGTAATAGTTTGACAATACCTAGCAACATGATTTAAGTAGGATTTTTGCTATTACATTGAATTCAATTAATTGTTTAATAAATAGGTAGGTATCTAATTTCAATTTGTTTTAATTTTTATTTAAAAACTAGGTAGTTTGGGATGTTTAAGCTATGTTTAACATTTAATTTCACTGAAAACTTAAAGCAAATTAAAACTTAAAGATAATTTAAATCGTAGAAAAAGAATCGTGCGTTTTCTTGGTTGCCTAACCTCACTTTTTGTTTTATTATTCATATTTAATTTTACAATAATTTAATGAAAAATATTAAACATTAACAGTAAAACAAACAAATTAGTGCTTATTATAAATAAATTAAACCAGTTTAGTACGTTAATTTCTTAGAAAAGGATTAATTTGTCAAAACAATACCCCTTGCGAGAAAAAATCGAACTAATTACTTGCCTCATAAAATTTTTTATCGGCCTAGGCCATAACAAGGTATTTCTTTATCGAATGTTGACAACAATAAAGTTTAAATTATAGACCCCGTGGAGATAAAAGATTTTTTTATTTTCACATACAAAGCCTTAAACCTTGTTTTACTCTTTTCGATGGGCCACCCTGTATATATATATATATATATATATATATATATATAGGAGGTAAATCATTGAACAATGATTTTTAATTTTTAAACTAAAATCTTATCAAAACAATGTTATTTCTATTGATAAGCTTATAAGGAATTTAAAAAACAAAATAATTATTTAAACATGAATAATTATAATAGCTATTATAATACCTAATTAACTAAATATACAGGGTGTCCCAGAACATGTGGGCAATCTTCCGGATTTAAAAATAATATGTTCCTATAATTTTTTTCCTACGGCCCCCTGAAAATCGTTTGTTTTTAAATAACTTTTGAAGTACTAGGTGGAATTTAATATTTTTTAATATGCTGGTTACAAGAAAAGTTTTCTTAAAATGGGCACTTTTAATCACATTCGGCCTATTTAGTTTGCCAGGGACAGACTAACTCTAACAGCCGGTATAAAACTAAAGTTAATTATAAATAATTATAATTGTTATGTTAATTGGATTTCAAAATGTATGGCAATTTTGAATATTTAATTAAACTTAAATTTTTTAATGAATTAATGTAATCTAGGTACATAAAGCTTAGTGTACATATACAACAAAAACATAATAAAACAAAAATATTTACCTATTATTTGACTTTCTTCCTCATACGTTTGTCTGATTTTCTTTAGCAATCCACAAAAAGACAAAAAAAATATTATGATAAATAAGAACAACATAAATAGTTCCAAAGACATTATTCAAATGTTTGGTATTTTAAAAATTATCACAGGTTAAGTTTAGCACAGCTTCATACTTAACAAAACATTTCACGCCATTATCGTAGATAATAAATTAATTTTGTTCAATTTGTTGATTAGATTACGATTTGACGTATTACCTACCACTGGTAAATTAAAAATATTCTTCCACAATTATGTGAATTTTATCTAAAATATAAAAACATTTGCTTTAGGAAATACATTTAATAATAATACCCTGGTCAGTTTTATTGTGGTTTATAAGTAATGTTTGATAAAATTATTTTAAATATTATCTTACTTCCTGGGGAAACTCCAAATTTAAAATATATTTTTAGGTACCGCCTAATATTTTAAACAAGAAATTATATTATAAACATGGCAACGTGGCATTTTTGTAAAACTATAATGAATTATGTTTAATCCTGCGGACTACGACAAAATCTCGCAATACCGCAAATAAATTTGAAGAAAATTTGGCATTGCCAAAACAAACAAAAAATATACTCAGGTTTTACTTTTGCTTTTGTCAGAAATCATAGAATTAGTTTTTATTAAGCAACAAGTCGTATATACTTAATATTGAGTTACAATTAAGGTTAGGTTTTCAAAATACCGGTAAATAGGTAGTTTTTTCACAAAAGAAAGGAAGGCAGACTTAAGTCTTACTCGACAAATTTTGTTCAATTGCACAGCTAAATCGCGCACGTTGTTTGTGTTTTACGTTGCAAGAAAAAAAAATAAAAAACTTTTTTAGTACTCGATTTCGATTGATTATTCCTTATATCATTGATTAAGAAACTCAACGCTTAAATGCTTATATAGTTACGTTAGTGTGTGTATTTTATCTAAGGGATCATGGTGAATTATTGTGTTTTTAATTGTAAATAAAATTCAAGAACTAAATCGTTGCATTTTCATTTTTTGCCAAAGGATCCAATTTGGTAAGTACGTTTGTTGGTGCAGAATTAACTAATGATAACTTTACCTAATGTAATTTCTATTTAGGTTTGGACATTTTTAAGAAATTAGTAAAAAATAATTTTTGCACAAACATAACCTTAAAATCAACCATTTTCATATTTGAGTTCTATAAAAAACGCCGACAACTGTGTTTTAAACAACAAAATATACCTACGAGTTCATGGCAACATAATATTATATATAATAAATAATATAATGGTATTTTACCGTTTAGTGGAGAAAGAATTCTTAATTAACACTTTTAATAATGCTAAATGCTGTTTAAATTTAGACGACTTATTTGTTTGACGATTTTTACTAAATTGAAATGTTTACACTTTTCACGTTAATCATTATTAAAATGTGTATTTATGGTAATGTATGAAATTTATTTCTTCATTCGGATTAACACTGTTTATTAGAAAACCGATAAAAACTCAACTCAGGATTTCCTCTCGAAATACACCCAACAACACAACAAATCGAGCCACGGTTTTTTTCCGATATTTTTTTAACATTTTCCGGCTTTATTCTCAAAAACACTAGTTTGTAACATAAGTGTTTGACAGCTGATTATCAAAAGTTGTACTTTTGATGTTAATCCGATATTTTATTTGTTTCATTTGTATATATTTATACTTCCATATAAATATATTTTTTAAGAATATTTTGTACGAAATACTTTAAGAAATGTTTATTTCCAGCATTTCCAGTCCACTTAATATTTTATGAATTTGTGAACCAGCGTAATTAAAAAATAAAATCTAAACAATTAAAATTATGCTATTGAAATTTAATAGGGAATGTTTTGTTTAGTTTCTACCTATTGAAAAATTGTGTTGGTCTTCCAGTCGATCAACAAAATATTAATATTATTTTTCCCTTGGCGTTTCTGTACACGTAGCCTTAATTTGGTATCGCCAATAGTATTCATAAAAAATCGAACTTACCTTATTAATTACATCTTTTAAAAAGTTGAAATATAAAATGTAACTTAACCCATACTTTTCGTTGCAATGGTTGTAAATGCACCGATAAAAATGTAAAGTAAGTAGCATACGAAAGATAAGAAAGGTATTGCATTGTTTAATTCGTTATTTGTATAATGATACTTAAAGACGCGGTTTATGCTAACAAACTAAAAGCAATTTTTTATTATAATTAGGTTCCAACCTAACTACGTATTTTAAATATGTCTTTACTTACAAATACTCCTTTTTTAATAATTATTATACATATATACAGACCATGTTATGATTTCCACGTTTTGTAGTCATATATGAACAAAAATAGTTGACAATGACATCAGTATACTGATGTCATTGTCAACTATTTTTGTTTTTATCGTTTCTATCGGAAAACGAGTTTAATAAAAAATTTTGTACAAAAAAGAAGCCATGCATGCTTAGTATTAACTTATATGGGTGATTCTACAAAAGTTAGGCAACTTTTGACCTTATTTTGTTTATATAGTTTACGGAGAAAATTAAACAGTATTTTGTTATGAGAACATAATAATATAATAAATATACTGTTTCAGACCGGGCCAGTCACTTTTTCAAACAGTTTCTGAAATATCTGTGTTTTCTAAATTTGAATGCAAGGGAAGTGACGAGTATACTAGTATACTAGTATACTAGTATACTAGGGTACTAATTAAATACATAATTTATTGGAAAATATAAGATTTATTGCAACTTTGAGCATATTATACATTAAATATCTTAAAATCAAATAATACCACACATCAGTGGCGGCTGGTGGATTTTGAGTATACCGATATCTCAATTATTAGATATGGGACCCACACCAAATTTATATGAGTTTATAAACATTAAATAAACAAGTTCTGCGCAAGCATGCTTTCTGCAGAAATTAAATTAAAGTTTGCGAAAAAAATATAACCGAAACATTTACAAGTATTTTACTGATATTTTTTATTAGTGGATGCTACTTATCAAATCACATATAGCCTTATATAAATTACATATAGCCTTATATAAATTACAATGAAATATACGTAAGAAAATAACTACTCACCACAGTACTGAAATTTTGACTGAAACTATACGTGCATTTACCACAACTTCGCCGCTTGCATTGTTTTCAAGATGACTGTCGTGCAAAGGGCGGGCTCTGTAGGTAATTTTTTACCAACACTTGAGTTAAAACGAGGACTTGACGTTTAAACTTCAATATTTCGCAGGAATTCCGAATTTTAACATTGTACACAGAACTGACGGGTAAAAGTGAGTACAAAGATTATCAATTTTTTAAAAATTGCTATTATTCGAATCTATGATAAAATATGAAAAATACATTATTTAATATTTTATAGTATGTAGTGAAATTGAAAAATTTGAGATAAATTGAATATATTTTAAAATAAAATCACTCAAATATTTGATTCAGGCAGGGCCGTGCCGTGATATGATGCGAGGATGCGGCCGCATCAGGCGGCACCGTAAAGGGGCGGCATTAGCAGCAACATAAAAAAAATATATAGGTACAATTTAGATTTTTCAATACTTAAAAATCTTTATACGACACTTTTTTAGATTACTCTGTATAATTCCGGTATTAACGTAGGCATTTAGTAAGATTGACTCGCAAAAAGGCGCCTCCCCCGCATATCAAATAACAAGTGCAAGTTTATGTGGAGTAATTCTTTGGTATTATATACAACCTGGGTTTTTAATTATTTTAACAAAGAAATATATTTTGCCGAAAGTTTTGTAAAGGTAAAATGCAATTTTGTAAGGATTTTGTTAATTTCAAAGGTTACAGATTATTTTGTTAATGTTTAACAAATTATTCCGTTGAAAAAGTACACTTGATTTCAGGCAGCCAATCAAAACATTTCCAAGCACAACACACTTATCAACAAGTTGTGTCAGCTTCAAGTTGAAGCCTTCAACGGTTGTTTATAATATTTATTTCCACCTTCATAGTAAATGACATTTTATAGGTTAATTTTGTTGTTTTTGTATCCATGTAAATGATACATTATGGAAACAGACCTGTAATATTTTATGGGCTTGTATAAAGGACCTGTAAAGTTTTACAGGCTTGTAGAAAAGCAATTTATGTAATGAAATGTCACATTTGACATAGGTATTAATTAATATTTTAAATTTGAAAATCGTTATCAAAAGGTGAAAATAAAAGTTTGTACGTGTCACGCTTTGCAATTAATCTTTACTAGACTCACTGGATTATGGTGTTCGCTCCTGCGTCGCTCACCCCACAAACTTCCAGCTCGCCCGTAAAGATTCATTTACAAAGCTTGACACGTAAATAACTATTAACGGTGACAGGAGTGTTTGTAATGTCATTATTGGTTTTCAAATTAAAATTAGGCGATATAGTGAAGTTAAAGTAAATCAGTAAGTGTTTTAAAAGTACTGATAGATATATTTTACCAAATTTCTATATAATCTGATGATTTCAGAATGGTATGTTATTTCATTTTGTGCACATACATGTATGTTATTTTTGTGTTCATTTATGTAGGTATGTGTTAATTATGTTTTATTTAGAAAATTGTTTAATAAAGCAACATTTCTTATAACAAATTCTGTTTTTTAAAGTTCCCAATTTACAACAAATACTTTTGATACTGGGTCTTCATAAGAGTTTGTAAAAAATACAAGAATTATGGTTGAAGTTGACATGGAATTTTGTTATTAAATCTACAAAATACAGTTGGTTGTAAACTTAACAAAAAGTTATGTGGACCTGGATTAACATAAAATCTGGTTATTATTTGGGTAAAATTAACAAATATTTTTTTACTGTGTATAAATGCAAAGAGAAGAACTATAGTTGTTATACATTACGTAGGTATACGTAATGTATCCCGGATGTATCCCGGATGCTGAAATATTCTATGAAATCTTTAGACGGTTTAAATTACTTGTGCCAAAATAACTTAATTACTTTGTATCCGAACGCTTTTATAGTTTTGCGAATTTTATTAACACTCCCTGTATCTGTAGCTAGTGAGGAAATAAGTTTTTCAAAATTAAAACTGATAAAAAACTACTCAGGAAATTCAATAAGCCAAACAAAACTTAGACATCTATCATTATTATCTATTGAATTTACATTAGCTGCCACTCTAGATTACACATCTTTAATTAACGAATTTGCTAAAATAAAAATTAGAAGAATAAAATAATATTAAAGTTCTGTTATATTTATGTTTTTTTAAAATTAAAAATATTTTCATTTTGTGCAGTTTTCTTGGGAATCTTTAATTAATTTAAAGAAAAAACATTTAAGTGGCGGCATTTCTATAACTTGCATCATACTGAAAAAATCTACCGCACGGCCCTGAATCATTCAGGAGTTGGGACACGCCAAGGTACTGATGTTTTGAATATTTATTATATAATAAACATATGTTTTTCTACAAACGTGCTTTTGAAAAATACATTTAAATTGGGTGGACAATAGAGATGCCACGAATATTCGGCAACTATTCGGTATTCGGCTATTCGGCCACTTTTTTCGCTATTCGGTATTCGGCCGAATATTGCAAACTATTCGGCCGAATACCGAATAGCAAATCATGAAAAAAAGAACTCAAAATATTACTCACAAACATGTTTAATTAACCAATAAATTAATATGATGAATGAAAACAATTTTTTCAGCATTTGTTGTTGACAGACGATTGCGTTTTTCCTCATAAATTATACCTGCTTCCGAAAACAGCCGCTCACTATATACACTGGTACCGGGAGATGATAAATAAATATTAGCAAATTGAGAAAGGGTTGTATATTTTTTTGCGTTTGCTGACCACCACTTTTAAGGGTCTGCTGTTCGATTTAAGCGAACAGATGACATGTAGAAATTAAGTTCATTTGCAACCGAACTTTTCTGTTCTACGCCCTCATCTGAATGTACATTTTCTGCAGCGACTTCCTCCTACGTACTACCGCAGCTTACTTCTCAGCTCCAAAAGTCGGAGCGGCGCCTTTGATATGGCGAGATTGAATGGTGCGGTCTTTCTTTGACACGGGGTAAAAGCCGGGGCTGCGGTTCGGCCGAACTGAACGACTTGAACCCGCGAAAAGTTCTAAGTGTTGCCGAATATTCGGCTGCCGAATATTCGGCGCTTCGGCCAAGAGTCTCGCCGAATATTCGGTATTCGGTATTCGGCCAAATAACTATTCGTGGCATCTCTAGTGGACAAGTTAAAAAAAACCTGTTTTTTTTGTAATATACTAAAATATTTACAAAAAATATTAAAATACCTACACTTTTGATTGATGACATCAAGTTGTCCAACTTTTGTAGAATCACCCATATATATTATATTAATAAATTTACCTTAAAACTTAATGTACAGGTACATTTTTAATAATAATAATGCTTTATTGAACTAAAACCAAGTTCAAAGGCTATTGACCGTAGTCCTTCAGCACATTTTTATTTATAACATATTTTGAAATACTTACACAATTATTTCCATTTTATAATTTTACATTTCCCAAGTACCACGAATACCTACTCTTATTACGGTCTCCAAGGTCGGTTTAAAATTAAACAATAAAACATTGAATAAAACCATATGATCTTCAAGATAGCTTTAGGACCATCATGAAGCAGCTTCTAGCCAAAAAGGGCCCATCCTAGAGGGTTTTAAATTTATGTATTCAAACTTGTACTCTTTAAAACGTACAAATTATGATTTTGGATTTAAAGTGGAATTTTATTCAGCATATAAGATAGAAAAGTGATCCTAATGGGTTTAAATGAGTATAATATTAATATAATATTATAAAACTGCATTAAAACTATGTGTTTCAAAATGGATTGTTTTCAAACCAACTTGCAATTTAATCATTTTAAAAAGCAAATTAGTTTTAAAATAGCCAATGTCGAGAGGATTATAAAACCAGTATAACCAATAGGGCATTAATTAATAGCAAATAGTTTTTTTATTTTAATTTAAAGGGAACATAATAAATAATTAAATATTTAAGAGTACATATTATGTACTCTTAAATATTTAATTATTTGCATAAGAATAAGGGTTTTATTGAACATATTAAAGAACTTTTAAACTCTATATAAATCAAAAGTATCAATTTTTACTTGGGATCATATGATCTTTTATTAAATTAATTATTTTAAAAATAATATTTAATTAAAAAAATTAAAAAAAAATTAGAGAACATATTAAAAGATAAAATAAAATACACTTTATTCGCAAAATATTAAATGTATTTTTAAAATACTATAATAGATCATGATCATGCAGAAAATTTAAAAACGCCCATCATGTATGATAAGCGAACGAAAAAATTAAAATATTTTAATTTTGTTTTTTAAAATCATTTAAAATCCTGGGATTATTATGCAACCAAGAATACGATAGCTTAATACTTTAAACTATAATAGATCATGGTCATATGATGATAATCTATTATTATTGAGTACTCAATGCTATTATACAGTATATGTATAAAGCGCCTATGATGCTTATCAAGCAATCGAAAAAATTAAAACGGCTTAATTTAAAATACTGACATTGTTATGCAACCCAGAATACGTTACCATTATTCCAAGCAAGAATGTTTTAAGTAGGTATTTACTAAAACGATTTTTTCTTCAGGCGCTTTATAATTAAACATTATTATTGTAAAAACTACATTGTTAGTCTCACTATGATTTTATTGTGTAGTTTAGCTCACTAAACGCGAAAATCACACATAAAATGTTGTCCATTGTCCATGGAAGCGTTTTCGAGATATGAATTTTCAATTTTCTGAGATGTTTTGACGTTTTAGAGTTTACTTCGAGTTCTAATTTATCGATTTGACCAAACAAGCACTTAAATCAAAGGTAATTGAGCCCTCTACAACTTTCTTTTGTATAGTTTTGGTATCGGCTCAGTACTAGCGATTTTATGAAGTTGAAGTTTTTTTTTACAAAAATCGAGGTCGACAATTTACATATCTTTCTGGGAAAGATAGAAATCGATAACATACGTCCAGTCTGATTTATTTTAGGCATAGATTATACTTAAAGGAAAAAAATAAGCTGCTGTTGATAAAAATCCATGGATAAATGGCGAAGTTATGAATTTTTTAGTGGAAGAGCAACATTCAGTTTTTCGAGAATTTTTACGTTTTTCTTCATTTTATTGAATTATATAACATTTAATATTGAACATTAATTTTTATTTTAAACATTAAATATTGAAATTAAATTATATATTGAATATTAAACAATAAATATTGAACATTGAAGATATTGAAAGTTTTATTTTGTTTTAATAGGCATAGGTTTAAAAAAAAATCTGGCTTCTTTTTTGTTTTTTGTTGCTTTCGTATTCCTTTTCTTGTATGAGGGACTAAATGTAATCACCCATCATGGCTGCATCCCAGAAGCCGTGATACCGCCGCTCCATAGCCTTCATTTGCTGGTGAAAACGTTCTCCGTGCTCATCACTTACGTCACCAAGATTATCCGGGTTATTTACGCACTCAAACTCTCTACTTATTTTACTCATTTTACACTTTTTATTAACTAAATAAAACCATTATAAAAATACTTTGTTGAAATATCAAAAAATACCAGTAAAATGTCACTATGCCAACACGAGAAACAAAAGAATTCACGTTTGCGGAGTCAGGTCAAATTTAAATTTTGAATACTGTTTTCGGTGAAAAAAGTTCCTAAAAAAATTCCAATCATGCCCTTTACTTAGGTTTCCATTAAAGAATAAACATATTACAAAATAAAAGAACAAAATAAAATAAAAATCGTCAAAAACCTGAATTTTGGTCATACACTAAAAAATTCATAACTTCGCCATTTTCCCATGTATTTTTATAAACATTAGCTTGTCTTTTTTGTAAAAATGTCAGCTTCACGAAAAAAAATTCAAACTGGAGTTATCTGTTTGATTAAACCCTTCCCATCATAATATGTAAATTTTCGACCTCAATTTTTGCCATAAAAACGAATTTTTAAGTTACTAAAATCGCTAGCGTCAAAATACTTATCCGATATCAAAAGTATATAAAAGAAAGTTTTAGAGGGCTCAAATATCTTCAATTTAAGGGCTAGTTTGAATAAATCGATCAATTAGATTTCAAGCTATACTCAAAAACGTCAAAAAACCTCCGAAAATTGAAAAAAAACCAATTGAAAATTCATATTTTAAAAACGCTTCCATAAAAAAAAATTTAGTGTGCTTTTCGTGTTTACTGGGGCAAAATACATGAAAAAATTATAATGGGATATGGTGGGCAGAATTTTTTTTCGATTTTGTAAACTGGTGTTATCTATGATATTAATAGTAATAGTAAATAAATAATAAATTAATAGTTTTTTTTTCAACAGAAATTTGTTTCCGAACCCACAAAATGTGATTGCAACTTCTGATAATTATGTATGAAAAATAAGACGAATAAAAGTTTAATCAAATTTAATATAAAATACAACGAGAGTAGTCTACTGAGATTATATAAAACAAATTGACATCATAAAATAAACAAACTTATCTATGTACACTATGATCGCAAGTTTTATAAAAACATGATGTTAAAAATATGACAATCAAAAGCAATAAAACAAATTTAATTAACTGGTCTTAAGTTTAGACTAGAGATACACCGCGAGACATAAAATACAATGGGGTCGAAAAATTAAGCATTTAGTCGTAATATCACAGTTTTTTAGGCATGTCCCATTTTGACCAATCCATCTACTGCCTGAAGAAGTTGTTTATCACAATTTACAATAATACTGAGCATCAATACATTCAGCTGATTGCGATAGTCACAGTTGGCGAAACTGGTGACGTTACATGCACTGACGGCCTGTCATATATACCCGTATATACGGGTGGTAGCACTGGCGGTGGTGGGAGGTGACTTGCCAATTTTATAGCCTCTTCATACGAAGGAGGTTCTGGAAAAAATAATAGTTTTAAAATGCTGTCTTATCAATTATTGACTAAAGCATATTATACGAGGTGTGTTCAGAAAATAGCGGGAATTGTTAAATTACGCGGGTTCGGAGGGTCCGGTTGTCATAAAAATTTCTTTATTATGTTGGTATACATGCCCCCGAAGTATGATAAAAACTTTAGCTGTTTTCATTGTTTACTTTGTCTGTGGCAGCCGCTAAGGTTAGACGTGTTTTATGAGCTCGGCGATTTTCGTTCGTTCAAAAGAAATGGATCAAAGAATTTGTTTTCAATTATGCTTAAAAAATGATATATATTCTGTGAAATGTTAACAAAGGCCTATAGTGAGTCTGCTATAAGTAAAACAAGAGTTTACAAGTGGTAGAAGAGTTTCCAAGATGGCCGTGAAGACGTTGAAGATGACGAACGCCCCGAACGCACAAGCACATTAACAACCGATAAAAACATGGAAAAAGTGGAAGAAATGGTTATAAACCATCAGAGAAGTCGCTGATGATGTTGGTACATCGATTGGCTCATCCCATGGCATTTTTTCGAATGTTTTGGGTATGAAACGCGTGGCAGAAAAATTTGTTCTAAAATTGTTAAATTTTGAACAAAGTTTTTGGCCAAAAACAATTTTGTAATAATGCCCCAGCCTCCATATTCGCCAGACATGCCTCTGTCTGACTTTTTCCTATTCCCAAAAATAAAGAGAAACTTAAACTGCCGTAGATGACATTAAAAGCGCATCGTTGAAAGAACTAAAGGCTATCCCAAAGATCGAGTTTTAGAAGTGTTTCGAGTATTGGAAGAAGAGCTGGCACATGTGCATAATATCCATTTTGAAGGCGACAACATTAATGTTGACGAATAAATAAATATTTGTTTCAAAAAACGAAAATTCCCGATATTTTCTGAACACACCTCGTATGCTTAAAACAGAACATTTGAAATGTTCCGTGTTGGATAAATTCCAAAACGAAAAGGAAATGACAAACAAAAAACATTTATCTACGGGTAAAAGAATAAAGTATAATATATTAAAAAATAATCAATGTTAAATAAAAAAAAATGATATTAAAATTCTGAAATCTGAACATTCAGTAAAATTTGTTTAATTTATTTTGTTGCATAGGTAATATTATTTTTATTTACAGTTTTATGGAAAAATATTTATAATTATTCTATTTATCGCAATGTTACAATGCATTTACGTATTTTCTTTAATCAACCGATAAATAAAAGATAATAACTTTACATAAATATTTAAAAGAAAATGTAGGCCGGATCTACAAAATTTCCAAGAGAGGGAAAGTTTTAGTTTGAGTAAAATTAGGAAAATGAAAAATTAAAGTAAAAATCATTTATTTCGCAAGTAACAATTGTAAGATATTTATAATTTATTTAGTGTTTAAGTGCTTTAATATGTTTGATAAAACAATATTAGTTTTAAAGTTACCTTAAGATAACCCAAGCAGCATTTTAAATTTAACTTAAAAATTTACTTTGAAGTAAAACTTATTATTTATGATATTTTTACCTTTTTTAAGAACCCTTAAGTTTCAACACTTTAAAGTTTTATGTGGGACGTAATTTTTACGAAAGAAAATTACTTATGTGTATTTCACCTAAAGAAAAATGTATCGGTAATTTTAACTTAATGGTAAATATTACTCAAGTCATAATTTTACGATATTAAGACCACTTTATAACAGTAATTAATTCCTATTCGCCTGGTATTTTTTAGGGTTATTAGTGGTAATAAATAAATAATACTATTAATATTGAAAAAACTAGAAAAAATAAGCTTAAAGTGAAAAATTTCGCCATAATAAATTTTAAGAAGGCATCCATTACTTATCTAAACATTTATATTATTTAGGTTTTAAGTGTTGTTAAATTTTTACCCAAGTAATAATTTTTCTTAAAACCGTAAAATATTTAGAGGGCATATAATTTTTAAGATGTATCGTGCCTATTTTTATCAATAAAATAATGAGCGTTTGAGTTTTAATGCTAAATATTATTAGTTTTGACAATTTAAGTTATATTTTTTTAATTTTACTCTAGGTTGGCCTTTATTACTTTGTAAGTACCATTTTGTAAAATATAAATTAAAAGAACAAAGAAATTACTAATGTGAATGTTTTAGAAAGAGAGAGCAAACAGTTAGTAATTATAGCGTAATTTTTACGTAAATTTGTGGTATTTATATTGTTTTTGTTACGATATTCTCTTAGTAGATCAAAACGGTTATTATGTAGGTAAAATAACGAAATAAACCATTCCCCAAATTTGGTAATTTTTCGTATCTATACCGTTATAAAATCGTTTTGGTTAAATACTTTAAAGTTGACTTAGTAGTAAATTTGTAGTTATTTAAACTTAAATGCTGATTGGGAAACTAAAAGTTAAAAAAAAACACTTATTAGTATGCAAATAATGTAATCTAAAATTTAAATTAAAATAAAAAACTATTTGCTCTAATGCCCTATTGATCTTATACTGGTTTTATAATACTAAGTCAATTTGGTTCAAAGAAATGCCTGTTCGATTTTTGACCACTCTATTAAAACTAATTCTACCCCCTCCACATACGGATAAAGCCATCTTCTCAATAAGCTAATTCGTGTATCTACTTTATACGTGAAAAAAATTGAGAACACATATTTAAAATGGAAATTCTTAGCGACAAGTATTTTTAATTCAAGCAAAGTGGTAATTAAAAAAACGGTGCATTTCGTAAGGTCAATAAGGCCATGAGTTCGAATATATTAAAGCCACTTAATTTTAAGTTTTTGTTCACTGATGAAAAGAGCAGATTACATTTAGTTCATATAAAAAATATCATGATATGGGTATCTGTTTAATGTATGCATACATTAAACAGATACCCATTTTCTTCTTCAGAACATCAGTGTAGATGCCAATTTGATTGAGCAATATCTAGGGGTCTTAAAAAAGTAACCGGAAATAAGATTTAGTTTGCATTTCATAACCTCCGTGAAGGTCAGAAATATGACTTGTACTTTCTTCAATTGTATTACCACCATTTTTATTGAAAGTATCAAGTTCACATAAAACATGACAAATACTTTTTTTAATTCTAAATCTTGTCTTATCAAAAATGATAATTTAATACATTTGTAACTTACCGTCATTATAACTTGGTTTATTCAATTGGTTACTGGCGGTTATGTGCTCTACAGTGAGGTAAGCATCACTGGGTAACCGCTGTTCTGAATTTTGACCCTGTACTCTTCCGCTTATGTTATATATTTCATCTTGTTGTCTTTGGGCTGAAACAAAAAATAAAATAAATTTGTTGAAACGTCCGATGTTTTACTTGATTTTTCCCCATGTTGCTTTAACTTATTTTAAAAAACGTATTTTGCTCAATTGGCTCTTGCTTTTAAGATATTGCAAAAAACATTTTTTTGAAAATTAGTATTCAAATACTTTAACACATGTACTATGCTCCACACCTCAAAGTCCCACCACGTGACCACGTACGGAACGCAATCTTTTGAAAATTTGGCATTTAAGGCTTTTCAGGTCATGTATCTGTCAAAGTATAGTCAATGAAAGAAATAATATTTATAGTGTTACCGCTTATGTTTAAGCATTAAAAGTTAATAAATCTTTATAGTATCACAATAACAATGGTTGGTTTAAGAATTTAGAAATATAAATACTGCCTTTAATGAAATTCCAAAGTATAAGGTGCAATATAAGTGATATTTTTGTGCATTGGGTCTACATTTCTCCATAAAATAGTTTAAACTAAACAGGATTTATTAAAAAAAATCTAACTTATCTATTATGAAATAAGAATATCTGTATCAAAGGTAGGTTTAATGTATTAGAACAAAAAATATCATCTAATTTTGTATTTTAAGGTTAGAAAAATATATTTTGACAAAAATAAATTAGTGGATTATTTGGAAGAGTGTGTTAATATGGTCATAAATAAATATAGGTATACTAAATAATTGTTGAATATGGTTCAAATTAAATTGAAGCTTTTATACTTCTAATGAAAAAACATGTGCATACCTCTCGGCATACCTACTTTAAGTTAGATTATAAGAAAACAAACAATTTTTGGAGAAACTTGCAATGTGAAAATATTTAATACTCCCATGACATGATATTTATTAAAATATTAAAGTTATAATGATTTTTCGTTGTAGATCAAATTGAGTAGAAGCTTTTTAACTATTTGTATTGACAAAACTTTATGTAGGTACACTTTAAGCTGGATAAGAAAAACTACCACATTTTTAAATACCATATTATACTTATGGAGAAAACCAGATATTTGGACCAAAAGCACAAAAATATTACTTATTTGGCACCATACACTTTAGAATTTCATTAAATGCAGTATTTATATTCTTATATTCTTAAATTCTTAAACCATCCATTGTTATTGTAATGTTATAAAGCTTTATACATTTTTAACGCCTAAACATAATATTATTTCTTTCGTTGACTATACTTTGACATACATAACCTGAAAAGCCTTAAATGCCAAATTTTTAAAAGACTGCGTTCCGTACGTGGTCACGTGGTGGGACTTTGAGGTGATGAATAAAATTCAGACGAGGGCAGAAAACAGTTAAACAAATTTTAAGTTAAGTTAAGATTTTTTTTAGAGCATAACTAACTTTTTCAAAATTGTCACATTGATTTTCAAAAAGTGAAGTTACGGAATAGCAAGTGTCGTAGTAGTACTGATAATTATATTGTACCAATTTTTTTAAATAATTTGATGATTTCAGAATGGTGTGTTATATAATTGTGTGTATGTTATTTTTGTGTTCATTAATGTAGGTATTTTTTTGTTTAGGAAATTGATTAATAAAGCAACGTTTCTTATCAAATTTCTTTTCTTTTAAGTTCCCAATTTCCAACAAATACTTTTGTTACTGGGTCTACAAAAAGGTTTGTAAAAATCTACAAAATGTCCGTTACACGAGTAATTACAAACTACTTATTTACTTAGTTTACAGATTACAGGTGGTTGTAAATTTAACATTAAGTTGTGGACCTGAATTAAAATAAAATTAAAATTAAGAAATATTTTGTTACTGTGAAATTTTATCTATGATGGTTTTTAAGTTTTATTTTGTTTATGAGATTTTTAAACTGGAAAATTTATTGATCAATAAGTCGGCAAGGTCATTACCAATATTTGAATTGTTACTTTTTGTTTATTTTTTTATTTAATAAGGAGCATTACACTGTAATGATTACAGTTTTACACTACAGTAGAGAGAGATATACCTACTGTGCTTATTTTTTTAAAGTAAGGTCATGAGACAGGTAAAAAGGTAGGTAAGTTTTGCATTTTTATCGAAAACAAAGTTTTTTTATTTTTAATTTAAAAATAACAAGTTATTGTTATAATTATGTAGGTTTTATACTGACGTACGTATCTGGCATTTTAAAAACTAAAATTACCTACTCTTCAAAACTACTAAAGGGTTTTTAATAGGTGGATACTAAGTATACAAAAACATGTTTACCATAAGAAATGAATGAATTCTTTAATGTTTACATGTTCTACTGGCACAATTCCAGACAAAATATAAATAAACAAATGTGAATTCTCAACGAAAGTGTTAATTTATTAAAATGATATTTATTGTTTTTATTCGAATAATCTTGGTTATGATAACTGTCAAAAAGCATTCAAAAGGTCAAAGAAAAACTTACGCAAGAAAACTAGAAAATCCGTGTCGTGCATGGAAGGCACAACTTCGTACCTGTAATGCAACTTAGTTTCTCTCCGCTTAATTTTGCACTGAAAATACGTGTACAATACAAATATACAAACAACGATTATAATAAACACTACAGCAGAGAGCGCACTATTCATCTTGCGTTTTTCTATTACTATTATTAGTGGAGATTGTTAACCGGCCGAACATTTTATTTCGACTCCCAGTCCGACTTACTGTTTGTTGTTTACAATTTAGATAACAAACAAGATATGTTAATTTGTTTCAGTTAATAGGCAGTCGTTTTACCTATATTTTTAAAAATTATCGCGACTGATTTAATATGCAACCAGGGTTTTGGGTTAAGGTAGCGTTACATAAATTTTTTTGTTGTGGCTTTATGGCGCTTTAGTCACGGGCTGAAGTTGGCAACAGGTTTTTAGTCACGGGCTGAAGTTAGTTTTAAGTTAGTTGACAGTTGTCAAATGTCATACAATTGTTAAAATAAAGTGCCTTTCTTGTAAAATAATACTAAATGTGAAAATTATTTTATTATCTCAATAAAAAAATACAAAAGTATTAAATAGTTTCTCAAAGCCAATATTTGAAAAGTTTATATGAACATTGTATTGACCTTTTAATTTCGCCGGCATTAAACTATAACTTAAATTCGGACACGGACTCCACTGTAAAGTCCTCATAAAACATTTTCTTTACTTTCACTGTGAAAAACTGTCAATTTTTAAGAAATACATTTCGATTTATAACCTTTATAACCTTTATAATCTGTGTTTATAAAATAAAAAAATTTGACATTTGACATATTGTTTCATAGATGGCGCTCTATAGAAATTTTTGTTTTAATTAATTTTAAGATAATAATAAGTATTTGTCGTAGAAAAAGTATAGTATGCACCTCGTTTATAAAATTATAAAATGGCGTTTATCAAACTTGATACATAATATACTATTATCTACTGCTACATTGACGAGCTGTGACTTTATGGCGTTTTAGTCACGGGCTGAAGTTGGCTTTATTATAAATTGGGAAAAAGTGAGGTTAAATTCGGGTGAAAGTTGACAGATGTCAAATTTTTGACAAATAAAATTGGTTTTAAATTTTGTTTTGTGTTCGTTGTAGATAAAGAATAGTATACAACTCGTTCATAAACTTCTCTAGACACTTGCTCGTGCTTAATTAAACATTAATTAAAATGGCGTTTATAAAACTTAATACATAATATACTATTATCTACTCCCACAATGCCAAGCTGCGACGTTATGGCATTTAAATTTAGTCACGGGCTATTATAAATGGCGAAAAAGTATGGTTAAATTCGTCAAATGTCAAATATTTATAAATTTAAATTGATGACAAATTTCAAAACCGGTTATTCGCACCTACATAAATGGTTATAAAAATTATTTCTTCTAATTTTTAATAATATTTTATATTTGATTCGATTGCTTTGGATGTGTTTAATTTACTTAGTGAACTGATATTTTTAGTATGCTTTTGCTACCTCAGATATTTGAAAACATATAGGTTAACCTAAAAAGAGTAACAGTCACGGAGGATAGGTTTTAGACTTTTAAAACATTGTAAAAAATAATTAATTGCGGTTAAAAATCTGGAACCTGACCTGTAATATCTACTTAATTATGAAAGATCAAAACACAATAAAAGTGTTTAGATTTATTAAATATCACGGGGTAACACCATCGGGGGACATTTCGTGAGATTCACCCATTTAAGTTTTAAAACGAAACTTTTTTTTTACTTATTCAGTTAATTTTTGTACTTTTGTTTAAGAAACCTTAATTTATAATTCAAAAAAAGTTTCATTTAAATAAAAAGTATGTCTCAAACAAACAAGGGTTCATTTTTCCTTATTTTTAAATTTAAATTTCTTAATGGAATTTTATTTTTTACCTTCGTTGTATTGATTTTTCATAATTTCCTTAAAACAATAATAGCATCCCACATAAATAATTCCCGCCAATAAACCGGCCAATAATTCGTACATTGTTCAACACCGCACTGATTATAATAACCTACTTCTAGAAAGAAAAACAGATTATTAACCACGCAAATAAATTTAACATTTTTAAAATGAGATGGGTACTTAAAAATAAATTTATCACCTTCAAGTTAAACACTTCAACAAACGTCAATATGTTTATGAGTTTATTCAATAAAAAGTGTTTTAGTTTTCTGATATAAAAAATATTGATAGGTGATGTTCCAATTACTCATGTTATTAATTGTGGTTTTAACAATAATTTATGATTAAACTTCAAAATGCGATTTCATTCATTAAAAATAATTTTTATCAATAATTAATATTATAAATTATTGTTAAAACCACAATGTTTTTATAAATTATTTTCCACGACAAATACTCATTATTATCTTAAAATGATTTAAATTTAAATATTTGTATGGAGCGAAATCTATAAAACAATAGAGTATCCAACTTGGGAATCTACATGTGAAATCTAGTTGCCGGCGAAATTAAAAGGTCATATAAAATTTTCAAATATTGGCGTTGAGAAACTAACTTCAGACCGTG